AAACTTTCAAAACAAACAAACAAATGTAAGTTTTGTACAATTATGCGGATATGGGTGTTTTATGTGCACTGAACTACTCTCCTTAGTTTTTCTGCAAATATTATTGTATTCCTATGTTAACGATACCAAACTTCACGACTGTATCAATTCGATTTTAAAGAAATACCTAAACTTACTAGAGTTCTAACTACAATTAGAGGGCAGTTTATTTAAAATTGTAGATGTAGTTACAATAGAAAGTTCAAACTGTTCAGAAAATGTTACTGTGCTGAACATACTTCTTCAAATAAAACAAAAAAAAACAGATTACCGAAAAAAGGGAAATTTCAAATACGTTTCGTCAATATAAATATACAAAAAAAAAACAAATGAATTACCTAATTTGTTCCATAATGCCCCTCAATCATTTTTATCACAGAAATCCTTAAAAAACGGTAAAATCCTCAATTTGGAACATATAAAGACATGGCCCGTGGCTGTAATACGAACAAATTTAACATTAACGACAAACATAGGTAATTCGATAATAACAGAAACATTTGAGGCGAAAACACGCACAGAGCTACCAAACGCGGAGTGAACCATAATTAACAAAGATAAATATCGTTTATTACTGTTAGGAAAGTCGATTAGAAAAAAACTACCCCTTTCACCCCACAATTTGTAACCCGTACAGTGGGCGCCGCGCCGAGCCGACCGACACGCATAAAAACTTACGACCGCTCCAACTAGTGGAGTCAGCTTTCTTAAACTAGTAGCTAAATTAGTAATAACACTTGCTGCTTTGCACACGCTGAACAGGTCCCATTTTACCGCAGACTTGGGACAGAACCATATGTGTCACATGATCTTTCTTTAAATATTAAAGTAAATTTTGTAGAATACCTACAAATAATAATTGTCTTCTAGTGTTGTTGATTATATATTAAACAATATGTTAATGATTTCTGTAACTAACCTGTCAATTAAAAAGAAAGATTATTACATTATAATTACTAATTACTTGTTGAAGTAATTCACTAATATTGTTCAATCGAAACCTATTATTAAAGATCTCTTTGTAAACTTTGATTAATAAAAATTATAAGCAAGTACAGTATAGGTACAGTTGGATAGTTTTGATCAACAATATCCAAACTATTTTATAGTTCCGTCTCCACACTATTGAGCTCTACGTAAAAAATGTTACAGTTACATAACGCTTTTCCATAATAATAGAATCATTATCGAAAAACAGAAGAGCGGCCAGCTGATTTATTGGATGATAATGGCCGCTGTCATAAATAGCTTTTTTCTAATGAACTTTTTTATGCGTGCGCGCACACACCGGGCCGAACGCAGCTTTTTATTAATACACTCATTCTAATTACGTATGCATGTTAGTTTTTTTAGTTTGTTTCATAAAAACTAGGATTCACCTTGTATTGTAATCGAAAAGTAAACTCGATAATCAAGCGTCAATTTCATTATAATGCTTACCATTAGTTACCAAATGTACTGTTTTCCTTTGACATAGTGAAGATTTCATTCAAGTTATGCAATTCTGCAATTGGTGTAAGTATGTGTTAGCTCTAGTTCCATAGACGTCTCATTGCCATTGTTAAATGGCGGCATAGACAGGTGGTTTATTTATCAAAAAATAAATGCGATTTATAAATAAACCACTGTGAAAACATATTATTGCATGTGTCCATGGCTTACCTTAAACATTGTATTAAACTCGTAAAATAAGTAGGTGTTTATTCTAAACGGTCTGAATAGTAATTGAATGTACCTACATTGTAGTACTTACAGTACAATACACACTTACGGATTTAGTGTTTTTGTAGACTAACGTAAGAACAAGGGAATTTAATTTAAAAAATCAATTGAGTTAACAAAAATCGGATGTCATTGATGTCAGTAACATATGTTGTCCGACCTTGACTAATGCCGCGGGAGATCAGTGCTGTGTGATTTATGGGTAACGTGCACTACAAATATTGGCCGCGAGTAGTGCACGTAGCGCTACGCGTCGCGTGAGGCGTGCCCAATACATTCAACACGCGCATAATTTCTTCGACGTAGCGACGCGACTTAAAACGACTTAAAAATTCAGCGTTTCCCCGTTGAAAAAAAGAGTTAATATTGATCGTAGATTTCTCGTCGTGGGGTGCAGCGGCCGGCTGAGTCACCCCACGGTTTTTTACTCACCCTAAGTTATATTTTTTGTAAAGCCCCCCCCTCCTCCCCCTGGCCCGCTTTAAAGGATGAGTAGTCTCTATGGAAACGGCTCGATCTAATTTATAGGCGGGAGAAAGTACGGATTGCTTAATTAAGAATTTAAAATGTGTCTGCTAAGTAATTAATTATAAATTTTCAGTCCGCCAACTTGGAGCGCAAGATAAAATTCTTTTTTTCTAATGACGCATATTTTCTGCTGTAAAGGCAGTGAGAATTTAATTAACGTAGAACAAAGAGCTTCTGTCGGAACGAGTATGACTACTATTTGGTGGGCCTTTCAGGCTTTTATAATAAGTAGAATTTTAATTTCGTAAATTCTCGATTTTTTTGGACAATGGCTTTGATATTTAATTTTAGGTGAAAGAAAGCAAAACCCTTTTTCTGAGAAATGTAGTGGATGCAAGAGCAATACATTAAAAATCAGCTAGAATACGATTCATTTTAATGTGTTATAAAACGGTTGAGTAATGCTTGTGTCGGGAGTCGAGCGAGACGTACCCGACGTATGACGTGTGGGTTTATGAATACGCAAGGGTTGTTTAGCGGTGCGGCGGCGAGGGCACGCGCGATTCAAAAAACTGTGGGTCACGGCCGACACTCAGTTGGCGGGTTTTTGTGAACCAGAGCGCGCGTCCCACAGCGCCCGCGCACCTATTACGTGAGTTGTTTTTTTGTTTTTATTGTAAATCAATAACAATGACCTTACTGTATTTAATTATTCCACAAAAGAATTATTGTTTATCCTTTCGTTAGTTAAACAAAACCAGGACAAGTATGTCACATTACAACATTTTACGCCTTAAATGAAGCTAGATGATATATTATAGTAAATTCGAGTAAAAGAAATCGACGCCGAGGCAATATACTAACTCAATATATAACTAAAAATAATACATATACCTAGTTATTAAATAATCCTTGAGTAACAGCTTTAGTTGCAATTATTATGAATTTTAATAAAACGTAAAGTTTTATATTCAAACGTAATTAATTAATTCATAAGTTCAAATTTTTTTTGTTTTTTAATGAGAAGCATTATTTTGAACTAACTATAATTAGTACTCATTTTTAAAAAGCACGTAATAGTTACAGAAAAAGAACAAATTACCTATAGCTAGTTCCCCTAAACATTACCCTTGCTGTACACCCTTTTGCTAAACCGTTTCACTACAATAAGGATAAGTACTGATGACAATTGTCGATCGTGCTCTATTGAGCAATTTATTTTTATATCTTTTTCATATTTCGAACCTTTCAAACATTTTTTAATCTGTAGAGATTGTTTATTTGTAAGATATTAAATATTTACTCAGCTAATTATACTCGGGTGGCTAAAATGTTGTGTAAGTTAGCAGACTTCAGTCTCTTATAGTTGCAATATCAATAATATGTATATGTAATTATTAAAACAAACATTTGCAATACTCCGTTTACGTTAGCCGGTTTCTGTTTAATAAAAAAATAGGTATTTTTTTACCAAAATATTTTGTTTTCCATTATTTAAAAGTAGTATGTATTTTTGTCTAATATCTGAACGATCCAATATTAAGTTTTGCTTCGGTGTCCAAGACTAACTCAATAAAATTAATGTACGGGATTTGCTGATCATAATAATTAGATCTCGTGGGTTAGGCGAAAAAAAACAATGGCGACAATGCTGCCTAATGAGCCATAAAGAAGAAAACGATACGTAGAGCAAGGCGTAGACAAAAAAGGGCGCGGCAGGGGGTGAAGGCGGCGCGCGGGCGGCGGCGCGAGGAAATGGCGGGAGAGCTAAATTAATTTGCGCGCTCCCGCCAAACAAAGGCACGCTAATGGAACGCGCCGAATGGAAAAAATGCCACCGTCCGCTCTCCGGCGACTTATTTTTTTTTTGTAAATACAACCTTTGACTTTCTCAAATGAATAACATTACACCCGTCGAAGTTTGCCAGCGCTTGCTTTGTCCCGATTTAATGAGGAAGAAGAAAACGCGATACCACGCGTATTTCATAATTGTTCACTCAAAACAAACTTGGCTTCTGTTTTAATTACTTCGAGTGAAAAGTTTTGTCTAAGAAAAACATTCTTTTGTTCCCTGACACATTTCTTGTATCTCGCTCTGTACTCAATTGAAAATAATATTTATTGAGAAAGACCGATTGTTGATAGTTCAAAAAATAAATGAGCAATGTGAAAAACATGAGTAAATATACGATGCTTTCATCTACATCTACGTAGCTCGTAGACTCGTAGCGCGTAGCACCAGCGTAGCGCGTAGCTGTATCGCTAATAAAGGATTCACCGCTAATAGTTCAGGATTATTCAAAATTACTTACGGTGACTTATTTCTAGTAAGTAGTAGGTATCTAAGAAGACTGATATTGAGAACTTACCGCTGCTTGTATACGTTGGGCAGCTGGGTGTCTGTCGACATGAAATAACACAACGACTCTGATATAACATTACAAAGATATGTTGCTTCAGGCACTACAAAGATTTGAATTAATTTTATACGAAATTGTACATAAAGTGTTAGAACCTAAATAATTTTTCTAAATAAGGTCGTCTAACAGAAGATCTGATGATGATAGATGAGTTTAATATACTTTCTTTTTGTTGCTGCCAACTTGCTGAGTCGCAAAACTGTTTGCTGAAGAACATTTTTGTGGAGGCATAAAGCATAATCGACGCATTAACTTTAACTAAAGGTGTTCACTCGGAGGCGTGATAAGATAATCACATTAATCGTGCATGTCAGGTACCGGTGGCGAGCCGGCGTTATCTCGAGTCGCGAGATGCCGGAAACAATGAGCGATGATTATCTAAATGTACCTGTTCAGAGCGGCTTTTTGTCGCAAGATGATATTAATGCGCACGCCATTACTCGCGCCAGATTTATGCGCTCCCAATTAAAAGTTGCCACTGCTGAAGACGTGAAATTAGTGGAATTCCCTAACATTTATCAAGACATCAACGTTGCCTCGCGCCACGCGAAACTTCCCAAATTTAAATTAGAGACGATTTTTACAGCTACCTCCCTGTGGGGGAAGGGGGGGGTCGCTACCCTTTCCTTATAACGAGGAAGGCCTCATGCATTTTTATGTGCTTCTTTTTTCGCCGGCGTTTTAAACAAGGGGGTGAGCGTGGGGTGTGCCGGGGGGTGAACTTTTTTATTCGCGTCTTGATAAGTTAGGGTTGAAATTAGACGTTCGAGTTTCGTTCGCGGAATTCATAATGACGAAAATTAATAAGTTTTCTTTTGAGGGTCCTTCAAACTACGCCGGTCTCCGAATGTTTATAGAAGCCTGTTTATTATTGTACTTTACGATTGTACATGGCAATGAGCGTGTTGGAAAACTTGTATTATTCTATAAAAACGAGTGGAGATGAAATTGCGACTGTAAAATTGGGTTTCTCTAACGTCTTCCCGTTAATTTAGCATATTTTGCGTATTCTTAGTTTTCCGAATAAGGTATAAGTAGGCTAATTGTCTAGGTAGGCCAATCCTGACGTCACCGATGTACGAGACTTCCAGCATTATGCAAATTCTGAAAATACGTAGTTACTGTGTATGTATATGATTTATCTCGAATCGTTCGTTATCTGACATGTTATTTTAATCTCGAGTCATCTTTTTTCTTTATGCAAAATAGTATCGAGGGTGAGTCGGGGTAAAACCAAACACGATATAATAGATACAGCATTAATATCACTTGGCTGACGACAGCGCTGTCGCGCGGCGGGTTCTTTTAATTGCTTATTCAGTAAAATCATCAATATCCTCATTTGCGTTTATAGGTAGGTAAATAATACTTAATTTACTGCTTTTGAAGCAGTTGCAGTTGTAGCCTGTTGTTGAATGTTTGTTTTAATACAAAATAGGATTTGGGAATTTATTAATCAGTGTCAGTCCTAAATGTATGCAATGCAATCGATTTTTGGCATTTGTTGTATAGAGTTTCTTTCCATGATGATCGAGATATTTTCAATCAATATTGTCTATTCATTTCGACATTTAAACCTTCTTCACCCACATAGGCAAGCATATCGTGTAATGTTTTCGGATGATTGGTTTGAATGTGTTTACAACTAACGCCTGAGCCACCTAAATGAGACGTTTATTTTTGAAAATTCATTATTTTATATCTTTTATAATCTTGTAATTAAGCAGAAGGTAAAATGTGCTAAATACGTCATAATTTAATATAACTTCCTTTTTTTTGGTGTAAGTGAAAAGTCAAAAATTGCAAGCAAGTCAGTATGTAGTCAGTAGGTAGTAGTAACCAGTTAAGAACTGTATGTCATATTTGTCTACAAGAATAATAAGCTTCATTAATTTATAAAATTCCGTCAATTACTTGGAACTGTTCGTATTTCAAATCATAATAGATGTTTATTTACGATCAATGTCGTGTCGAACGTTTCGAAATAATAACTGTTACGAATATTATTGTAGGTACATCTGTATTGAAATTATTTTTCATGTACATACATCAAAGGAAAAGCTTATCGATAAAAATAGATGTAATAGGTCATTGAGGTATTTTCCCCATGTCAGGCATTAGTGCGATAACTAACTCGGTCGGACACCGGTGTCGAGGGCTGTCAGCCGGCGGACGGCGGGCGGCGCGGCGAGTACGTGAGCTCGTGTGCACATGGGGACACTTGTTGAGTCTATGTGTGGGCATGCGCGCTCTCTCGCCGGCCGCGACGCGCGACATATCACCGCCACTACATGCGTCTTGTTTACATCCACCGTTTTGCTCAACAGTCGACCATAACCGCTAAAAAGTGTGCCAGGTAATTTATGTGCCTTATACCCTAGATGTCTACGGCAGAGTTTTCTAAACATAATGAGTACGGAACTTGATCAACTTAAGTTTAATAAATCACGAGAGATAAAACATCGAAATTCTTTTCATAACAGCCTATTTCCGCAAATGAAGGACTATTATATTTCATCAAAGTTAGAAATTGGAGAAATCAACGAAGCACCGTGAAGTCGGATTTGTGCAATTATAAGAATAAAAGAAAGTCATTAGTCCAATCAATCTGGGCGGGAGGCGAGCGGCGAGCGGGCGGCTGCTCGGACGGCTCTTGTATTATAATTCGCGTCTAATAACGTCGTTAACAACGCACATTAAAACAAAACAAACAGCGGGCGCGGGCGCGGGCGCGGGAGCGGGCGGTCGCCATCCTTCCTCGAATCCGTGTCATTAATTTACGTAATGCGTAGGTACGCGCTATCCCCAAATATTTAAGAAGCCTCCTCCGGGAGCGCCCGCTCCTCCACTATCCCCCTCCCGCGCGCCGCCCGCCACCCTGCAACCCGCCTGCCGAGAATTATGGCGGCCGCCTTGTAATTATATTTTTTAATTTATCTTCCTTAGCGAATACAATGGAGGCGCCACCCCGCCACCGGAGCGCTACTTTCTCATGCTGAATATTGTATCAGGCCGCTGAAAAAAGGAAAGAACGCTTTAATTACAAGCGAGAGAGCGACCGGCATTACGCGCTAAATATTTGATGTTGTCTCTTTCTTCGAGCGGCCGACGGGCGCTCCGCGGGGCGGCCGCGTCCTCAATAATTAAAACGCCTATTAACTCATTCCTCTTCAGGTGACCCCTCATTACGTCCCGAATAAAAAATTTCGAACTCACCAAATACATACTGATTGTTACCAAGTGCCACCCCACTTAATTAATCCCCACCGAAGTATCACAGTACATGTGGATGTTTCGCTTTTGGTATTATGTGTGTCCACCATGTCTAATGCCAGCTGCATTTTCTCATACAAACAACAGTAACATACAAAATACTGGCACATTCTTAGGTCTTCCTTCCACTAATACATCGAACACAAAAGGACGCACTGGTATACCAATATGAAAACAAAGGAGGGCTTCCATTTCCATTCATTCTCGTAGAAATGCTATACCACTTACCTTAACCGGGTAACATTTAATGCTGCCTGCTCATCTAAGGTTTTGTGACCAACTGCATATCCATATATCGAAGTGTCAAAAGTGAGGCGTACTTATAAGACATCATCTCGTCAAACAGCAAACATTAGCAAATACTTCATCTGAATGTACAAATGCGACCCACGTGTGCAGAGGGTACACGTTGATTTATTAGTGAACAACAGTCGCAAATTAAAGCGGATTCCGCAGCGCGGACACGGCCGTGCAGTACTTAGCGCGAGGAGACAAAGTATAAAGTAGCACCCCAGCCACCCACTGAAAAACGTCTCTAATATTCTTTTAGAAACGGTGGCATTTACGGGCTATATTTTATCCTGAATTTGCATACGCTCCTTTTTCGTACCCGTCCTCTATTTTATGGGTGAGTATTTTTTTCATCCGGGGGTTAAGATACAAAAGGGTAAAGCGGGGCCCGCGCTGATAATTAAATTGCACCGCGAGCGCTCCCGGCTGCTAAAACTGTGGCCCTCAGATACTTTGTAGTCTCCCTGCCGCACGCCGCGCGCCGCGTCACCCACACTGGCGCGCGTTTTTATTATTGTCTCTCGAAACATTAAACTTGACGATTAAATCATTAATATTCAAGAACATTCAACGTCTTTCTTTATATTCATTTTACAACTGATTACAATTCTACTTCGTTACACTGCTCAAGGTATCTCGATACTTGCATGTTACTATGTAGGAACCAAAAAGACAATTCAAGTTGACTTATAATAACTTGGGGTCTATTTATATCTGAGTAAATCCAAGAAATTAAGGATATTCAAATTGGAAGAAATTTTCGTGTCCTAACAGCCATGATAATAATTTAACTAACAAATTAGGAGAAATCTTACCCTGCTCTAAGTCAAATTACCATAATTGCTAATCAAATGTTGTAGGAGTAGCCGCGTCGGCACGGCCGCTCGCTTTGTACTAATTACAAATTCTAATTCCCTCTCTTGTTTCATAGGCCCTTTGAATTTGTAAATTATTGCGTTTGCTTTAAGCTACACCAAATGAATTCTCGATTCTCAGTTCTGTAAATTATGTCTTAATTCTTGGAATAAACTCAACTGTATGTGGATAAGACGATTACTTTATTTCGAGGTCATCAAAAATGTTCGATTGTATAAATTGTAGCAATAATATAATTAACGCGGTGTACATTTATAATACTCACATAACAAGTACGTCATTACCTCATTTTCTTCATATTTTTTTAATATTTCGTTGTGCGGCAGTCGCTACTAACTAGCGTATAGGAAGCCAACCAGCAGTTATCTATAATTAATTGGCTTATACGAAGGCACACTGAAATGAAGAGTTTTTTACAACAAAATTTCAGGGGTGTTCGAGCCCCCACGATCCCCCGAGCCTTGCTATGGTCTGGTAAATTAAAATTTAATGTTGATATTTAACCTTTAGTTAGAATGTTACAATGTAATTTTACAAGTACTGAGAACCTCAAATGTGACAATGTTTAATCCTCATTTAGCATTCTCGTAAAAGCAAGGCAGTAAAATAATTGTTTGTGTCAAAAATTTAAGTTCAAACACATCTTACCTAATACACTACGATGTAATATTTGAATATCTCCATTCAATGTTGCCTACGTGACGTACCGAACGAACGTCGGTGTAGATAATTGTATAAGCGTTTTAACAAGAATCAATGGCGCAATAAATAAAAATAAAACATGTAATATAAACTCAGTGAATACCTATCAGTTATATGAGCTTACGAAGAGCCTGTAAATTTGTTTGAAGTGCTATAAAGAGGATTTTCTTGAAAGGAAAAATAACTCGTCAAAAAACTTAATATTAAAACATTTTCTCTGTATAGGTATTCGAGAGCGACGTTGCGAACGATTTTAATTCTATCACAAGTCTACTTATAAATAACACCGGCTCCAATTAAAAGCGCGCGACAGCTTTGAAAGCGGAATGAAGGAAAGTATAAGTACCTAGGTGGGGAAATGTGGCCGTGTTTACGGAAAAGCTCCTCCGGCAAATATTATCGCGAGACGAGCGCGATCAAATATTCAGGCGGCGCGCGGAGGCGGCGGCGCGGGACGCAACCCTCTCCAAGTTTCAAGCCCTTCCCTTTGCACGCCCTACACTAATTACGTTTAGAGTTCTTAAGCGAAATTACTTAGGCCCCTCGCCACCCGCGCCCGCACACCCTCGCGACCCCCTTCCGGAAATGAGGCGCGCTGGAAAAACAAGAAAGAGGAAAGCGTTATATAAGAAGGTCGCTGTCTTTCTGAACGTCCTAAATCTGGCCAATCTCTAAAAGATGTTGATGTAATGATTTTTTTCTTCATTTTCGCGAGCGTTCTCTGTTCATGAGCGGTTGCTAAGTGAAAAGCAATTAAAGCACGGGCGAGTGATCTCCACCCGCCCCGTCCCCCGACGTCCCGCCGCCCACCTCGACACTCATTCGATCAACACGAACAGATATTATAATAAACACGATTATATGCATTTAACGATCATAGCTGTCCGTACTTTAACGAGTTAATACATCGTGATGAAACTATTAGCAACTCTTGGAGCATGTGTTCTAGTGCCAACACACACGTTAGTGGTAGGTAGACACTTCTCAGCGGCACATGTCGGGGAAACCTGTTGAGCTCGCAGAGCTATGTCAACAAACCATTCAGGAAGGTAATATGTAGTGCAGGGAGCTTACACACAGGGTTTTATTCAATATATATGTAACATTTTCTTACTAACATTTCTTGTTCTAATTATAGATAACAAGATATTTAATAATCTGAGCTTATACTTTCAGACAATGGTATCTTGTGTCTATAAACTAATTGATAATGAGAAAAATGTGAAAAATTATAATTGATTGAGTTCATTTGAGGGTTGCAGACGTGCGTCAACAACAGCCGCGCGAATTGTACGAAGAAACGGGAGCGCTCGTCCGCCGGGCCGCTCGACACCGCGCTTCCGCACCTTTCATGTGCCAACGCACAGTTTAATTTCCTAATTCTCAAATATTTTCGAGAAACAAGACAGTCCTGGCAGACTTTATGATCTAATAGGAAGCCACCGCTGACTCAAACACACAAACACTCGGTACGGAGCTACAACAACGCTGTATAATTTCCTGTTTTACTAAATAGCTTTGAACCTTGTAAATGGATTTATATGACAGTTCCTTTCAGCTCGTCATTTCATTATATCTCCCATTAATCTCTTTTGCATTTTGATAAAATGCTTACAATCTGTAAATGAATGTTGTGCTAAAGAAATATTTGAAAAATGTTCCTTTAACATACCCGACTATCACATATTCGTAAGGAAAACTTGAGTTGGTTAACTAATATTGGTGAGAAATTTTATTTACATAATATTATTATATTTACATAATATTTACCGCATTTTAACTCTCAATACTTTAAATTTCAATATTCGTATTTCGCACGATAAGCTAAAACTCAACTCTACTCTCAAACTCAAACTCTACTCTCAAACTCAAACTCAAAACTCAAACTCAAATGTTAATTCTAATGTTTCCCAGAGGTTTCGTGAAGTATTGAAAAGTTAACAGGCAGACAGACTTCATACACCAAACAGTGATATGCTATATTGGTTAATTAATTTGTCATAATATCATACTTTTTGGGGCTTATTTTTTTGTAACCTTAAAAAGCTTTCTCTACATACTCTCAACCTTCCTGAAATTTTGCATAAGTCAATACTATGTTTGTAGTCGGAATCGCAGAAAAAGACATAGGCTAAATTAACGTGAGCAACGTCGCCGGTAATGCCTAGTTCGAGGTATTGCACAGGTAATTTGACAATATTTCCTGATTATAAAAAATTAAATAAATTGATTCCAAATTATTTATGTTATTGTTAACAACACGGTTTGATGACACTTGCTCATACAAAAGCAATAATAAAGTGATAAATTGTTTTGTAATAAATTAAGATAACACGTTGTTACTTAGATTCTGATATAGTGGTACCTTATCTAGTAATGAAATGAATGATACCAACTTCTATAAATAGACCAAGTCGCTAGAAAGAACATCTTTTTTACTTCTACAATTCATTATTGAGGTCTGAGGTACTCTGCCCTCAAAATAGTAACACTATTTGAATGTGTATTCGTGAAGATAAAAAATGAGTAATGGCAGGCGGAACAAAAACTTCACTTTCCATGCATTTTCCCTGGTTTGCTCTCCTACTAGATTAATAACGGAAAACGCTGCTACGTGGTACGTGCGACATGCACCTAGCTTCACTGATGAACAGACTGACAGACTACTATTCGATTTTGACAATTCAATACTACTTATTTTCTGGTTTAGTTGCAATAAATGATTTTGACTTTGACTTTACAGATCCTACATCTGACTGTTCCAGTCTAAATCAATTAAAACAAAATGCAGTGAAATCACAGTACAAATATAACCCTATTATTTAGTAATGTTTTACGAAAACTAGTAACGCATATTTGGTGGTGCATGTCTTGATTGCCGTTTATAAACACCTCATACTTTGTCGCTTTTCAATACCTCAAATAAAAAAAGGGTACTTGCACGGAGGTCGAAAAGACATTGGGCGTTATTTCGGTTTTTGGAACTTAGGGTCACTTAAGAAAATCTTTTATTTTAAATTTGTTTTGCGTTATTTCATTTAATATATGTATATGTAGGGGCTTATTTTAATAATTTTAATAGTATTGCATTTGTACGATAATTTATTTGTAGCTGAATTTGAACGCATATTAATTTGAATTTCAGATAAAAATTAATTATTTTCAAAAAGATATTTTTTTGACGCCTATTACTTATAAGTAACCTCAAACATTCTCAAGAGATAGTAAGGTATTTTGGTTTTTCAAAAACTTTGCTTAAATACATGTCAGTAAATTGTGTAATATGTAAGTAATTGCTGTTAAATTTTTACTACCCCAAAAAAGAGCGCATCACTGATGGTTTTTGCTGTGTTTTTGGTATTGAAAGCAAATTGTATCGGTTTTTTCACAATGATATTATAAGTAAAAAGGTGAAGATAGGTTACAAGCAAGTGATAAATTAAAATGTGGCTAAGTAGCCACACTTTTTCATATTTGTCTCTTTTTCACTCGCGATTATTGAATCATGCCATCCCACTTTAACGTGTATCATACGATTTATTTATGTGTGCATAAATGTACCGTTTTTGAAAATCGAATGTTGTTTATGTAACCTATCTATACCATTTTACTTATAATATTATTGTTTTTTTAAGTGTTGGTTTTAGTATTACATGGATTTTGTTGCTTTTAGATTATCAATCCTTACCACGGAAGACACATTGAACAACTTCTGTGATAGCTGGAAAATGGAGATGTGTCAGATGATGAAGGCGATGTTGACGAGTACGCACGACGGAGTACGTACGGGTGAGTTGGAAGAAGTATTTGAAGAAGAATTGGAATCAAGCGAAATTCCTATATAGAATCTGAGGTTAAAGTTATGCCGAACTCTGTGCCTAAAAAGTCGTTTATCAATTAGAAAAACGCTCGAAATTTAGTTTGGAAAAAGAAGAATATGGGCTTGGTTGATGAAGCTCTCGATTTTCAAGGTGTAACAGATTACACTGAAGATATTATGAATTTGACTACAACTTGACCTTACCAGTTTTTTACATATTTTTTATACAACGCCTCCTTAAAATAGCATTGAAAAGGGTAATAAATATGCTACACAGAAGAATCCGAATTTGTCCCAACCAATCACCTTTCTAGAATTTCGAAAATATATTGGTATTTTGTTTGATTTATGCTTCTGTGTACCTATGCACCACCCAAGCATACGGTTGTATGGCGCAGGAAATGTGCGATTCCATCCAATAGCAGATACAATGACAGCAAATATATTTGAAAAAGTCAGTTTTCTTCTTCTTTTTGTTTATGGCTCCTTCGTAAATATTCGAAGATTTTGCCTACGTCAAGGTAGGAAATGACACTGTGATCGGTGTAAAAAAACGAAACTAATGACCGGTAATCAGAGATGTTTGTAGTGCTGAAAAATGACAAAACAATTCGTTAGTATTAACGACACAAGGGTTAAAACATAGAACGAAGCTTAATGGTCAATAAATTTTTAGGTTAAAACAAAAAGTCAGTCAATATCTTACATTTCAACGACTGTAATTTACCTTTCACTTGAACACCCTAACTATGACAGATTAAGATTACATAAACCGCAATGACAGATTCAACTCAGTTCCTTTTGATCACCGACTGTCCCTATCTAAATGAACAGATGTGTTCAACTTAACTGTTCTATTTCATGAAGCAATATCTTCCTAATAAGTCCAACAAAATAACGAGGGTTCAAGTTTAGTGTACTTGGTTGTCTCATGGGATACGCATACTTTTTTAAGATTTATTCTGATACAGAAAAGAAGAAGAAGAAGACCAAATGAACCAGATTTTGGGGCTGTATAAAACTCGCGCAGTACTCTTGATCCGACCTATACCGAGGCAAATGAATCATAATTACAGTCATTTTTATACCATCTTGAGCCCATTTCGTTATGTATCCAAGGATAGGAAGGAAGGAAGATATGTATTGCTTGGGTACAGTGCAGAGAAACAAATTTGGAAAAGGTTGTAAGTTGACAGACCAGAAAGAGGTACGCAGAACATCTGAACCGATTTTCTGCACTAAGCTGGAAAAACAATAAATAGGTCTGGCTCTTATCAATTTATGATGGTGAAGAAGTGAACCTGTTAACACTATCACTCGTTATTGCAAGAAACAGAAAACTTGCACAAACAAACCATGTCCGAAAGCTATTTGTGAATTTAACAGCAGTATGGGCGGTGTTGACACCATGTAGGTATAGTTACTTGGGAAGAACTAGGATTCATATGAAATCAAAAATGTTTTTAATTCATATGAAATAATAAACAGTACAGTGTAGAACCCACTACACAGAAAAGTATTGGTCAAGAAAGACACAAATCATAAAAAATATATAAAAATTGGTCCATTTCAAAACAGAATTTGCGAACATAATGGTGCTGTATCGAAAAATAAAAGAGGCCGATCAAGCTTTAACAGAAAAACAAAACCCACTATATCTATCTCAGACTGCTAAAAAACATCTGCAACAAAAACAATCTTAGCTTATGTTACTGATTGGCGTCATGCGTTAGTGTCGGCCATCGCTGAAAATCAGCGCCGCGACACTGTCTCGTATGCGGTCGCTGCATAATGCTGAGCGAGGGCCACTTCGCGTGCTTGGACGCATATTTTTCTCCTACCTTTTACTTTTATTTTTTTTCCTTTTTATAATTCTGTTCGATTTTTCTCTTTTATGCGTCCCAGACGCGAATAAATACTTTTTGTTTGTTCTGTTTGTTTGTTTAACTGTTACGCAAAAAAAAGCAAAGAGTTGACCAAGTGTAATACTTGGTCAACTCTTTGCTTACCTCCCTTAAAACCCTTATCCCCTTAGAGCAGGCAACCTACTCGTAACTCCTTTGGTGTTGCGGGTGTTCATGGGCGACGTTTGCCGACCTGTCCCGTAACAAAAATGTGTAATATTTATTCCAGTCATGAGTACAAGTACATTTTTTTACCCAATAAATAATGCACTTATGGGTTAACAAACAATGTTGCATTCAGAAGTTACGGCCAAGTATATTTCGGTTATTATTTTTGATTATGTATGCACTTAATGGTAAGCCGCAAGTGATCAATGATTTGACAAACAATAATAACCAAAATAACATTTTGATGGGTAAGTAGTACAAAATATAAGCCCAACAAAACAATAAGAAAATAAAATGTCACCAGCGTTCCCCGACTAATCAACGAGAAAACTCAGACAGTGTTAAGATTTAATACCATTTTGCAACAGTTTCTGGAGTTTTATTCGACCTAAATAAATTTCGTCTGTGTCCAACGGCTTAAATTGGGTAATATAGGTGGAGAATAGCGTCGCAAAATTACAAAACAAGAGAGGGAAACTTGCGGTTGTTTAATGAGATTTAAATAATTAATGAGCGTGCAAAATTGGTTTCTTTTTTCAGACGGCAGAGTGCTTCGGGGGCTCCGATGAAAAATAAGCCATAATTGCAACCCCGACCGGCGCGCGAATACGACAGGCGTAGCGCCAACACCGCCTCGCGACAAACATTACGCGAGGGATCTCTTCGCCGATCATTATTTATAAAGTTAAACTTTTAATTGCTATCGCTATAAATCTTATTAAGATCCCAATTAAACTTTCAGGTTACTGCTTAAATGTTCATTATTAGACTATGTTTACCATTAAAAATTGACGTTTCAAACCGAAACTTATTTTATCAGATTTTATTATCGTTATAAATTCTATATTTCCCTTTTAAATAATATTAAATCGTCACAGAATTTCAGTATTTATTTATTACAACGTAAATATCATGCAGGATAGGGTCTGCACAATTGTAAGCGTTGGCGTTCTAGATATATTTCTGCCTACTTGTAAATTAAAACGTAAATGGCTTAAGAGACATCTTTTACTCAGTACCTAACCGTTGCAAACAAAAATAGTATCTACCTATTGTCAAATAAATATAAATTTGTTTGTTGAAGCTTAAACAAATTATATAAAAAATCAATGGTTCCCACAGAATGTTTGGTTCCACCGAACACTTTATTGTAACTAGGCAGCTATGTGCAAACGTATAAAGATCTTATCAAATGTCACATATCTACTGAACAGTAAATTTTCGTTATTTCCCTAAAAAGGGCGCCCTTATACATTTACATATCGAATGACGGAGGTTCCTAGCAATTGGTTACAAAAGCGCGACCGTTAGTCAAGATTCCGGATGATCGATCCCAAAATAATTGATTTCTTACATTTTCGCTAAAAATGCAACTTTCAGTTGGTTGACTTTATAATAATGAAATCTTGTTATCACGATATCTAACGGAATATGTAAACGGAACAATGTTCTTATTCAAATGTGTGTGATTGACATCTCTCCGGGCGGTCAGCGGCGAGCCGACGTTTTGCAAGATTTGCTTCCCTTCGCCCGGCGCGCCCTACAGAAGCTATTGTAAATCTGACCACGATCAAAGCGATTGTGATCAAATCCAAAAACTATTTAAATTTCATTCACCACCAGAAGCTATTTTCAACAATTCGCTGGGAATTTCCGTTATTAGTTAGACCACTGTTCCGATTCATTTGACAGTCGTCTGTATTTTAGTATTTTACTGGTTTTTATTACAAATTCAATCTACATAAAATATACAAGGGCGGTTCGTTTTTGATATGTAGAAAAAGATAGAAAGATACTTACTAATACAGTGCCCAATTAAAATTAATAATTCATATAAAAATAATTCATTAAAATAAATAATTCAACATTCTACTGAAATTGAAATAAGTATGAGATTTAAAACTACTTATTGATTTCTAAGGCATACAGTCGTTATAGTCTTAGTAAAGACCCTCCACCGTGCATTCCACACGTGTAATTTACACACGCCTGCTATAAAGTGCCTAGTTACCTCATTACCAGCTGCAGATGTGTGGCTCGCTCGCGTGCTGTACTTGTGCCACCCTAGGCCCCCGAGCCCCATCAAACAGCTTCACAACACAAAAAACGCGACCAGATTGTTTACCTCACTTTTTACTTTTTTTAAAACTACTGTTTAGCTTTTTATAAGTATTTTTGTCGTCGAGCACGCGGCCACCGCCTTTATAGAGATATCATTCAAGCGTTTAAAGATAGGTGCAGTCTATTGTGATGGGAGACGGCAAGGCTATTCATTTGTAATGTTTATTTAAATATAGATAATCGGTGGATTTGTTGAAGACCTCGATTTTTATAAATTTAATTTGTATCTATATTTTTTGTGTTGTGTCAAGTTTAGGGGGTTTTTAAATAATAGGGATTAAAATGATTTTGATATAGACGCCATTTATCTTTGGAGTAGGGAAATGTGTGGTAGATAGGTAGGTATTTTATTTTATTTTAGATAAATCACGTTAGGGGCAAGTCGGTAAGTACCTTCTTACAAAGATGAGTGAATACTTTACTACTTTTCGAATTATCTTGATAATTTTACAAAAAGTTTTAACTAACTCCTACCGGTCTAATTAGTTTTTTATATAAGTATAGACACATACATATCTAATAATAGGTCTAAGTATCATACTTATTGTCATATTAATAGGTCTGCATATGGTTACGAACTCGCCCGGTAATAGGTAAGCGTAAATAATGTGACAAGCGATAATGTTGTGGCAACCGATGGAGCTACGTATTCGGTCGGGATTCAAAGACAACCAGGTAGTGGCATTCTAGAAAGCTTACACAGACTTCAGCAAGGAATTTCAACCCTTTGCGAGTTCCCTCTCTTAACATAGGTACCTAAACGTGGTATTTCAACAAAGATCTAGCTAGTGGTAGGTACATACGACCGGACTGGAGAGATTAACATTGTTCGGCCTTTCGAAAACCGGGTGTTTTCGAAAGGCCGAACAATGTTAAAATCAATTTAATCTCTTGTCAAGTCATCTGAATGGTTGACTGAATTGTCAACAACCAATCAGACGACTGGACAAGTGATTTAACAGGAGATTAGTTAATTTTAGCGTTGACAAGCCTTTCAGAAACCGGGTGTAAGTAGTGTAGTTAATCTTCAATGTTTCACGGACAGTGTGAATAAACAAACAAAGTATAGAATAAGAAGGGATAAAAAAGTTCTATCTACCTAAAACAGATTAGTTCTTGGCACTTGAATGAAGAGGTATTGTTAGTTTTTCTGAGTCTATTTGAGTAATGCAGTTTTTTCGAAACAATTTTTATTAAAACTTTGTCTTCGTTTCAATAGCGATGGACGTGACATTGTTGTTTTATTTGCAACTGTTTTTTGTCAAAGTTAATTTTATACATATAATAGGAACTTACTTCCAATAATCATCCGAGCCATCTGAATAGATAAACAAGCAATTGCATCGAGTTACTATTGGACTTCCATCGCTTAATCGAAGGATTGGAGAGCCATGTTCCGGCACGAAATGTTAGCCGTCGTGATGCTCACAAAGAAGGAAGCGGAGCGTATGAGGGAACTATCCTCCTCACTCTTCATTAGTTGGTGACACTCCAACCTAGGTAAGTCGCTCACTGGCCACCCGAACCGAGCGTACGGCGCGTAGCATTCCGCGCGCTCCAAAAAAGCCAATAGACCACCACAGACGGGACCCAACAGGGCTTATGTTCAACCGGGGTTGCAAGGCAAACGCAATAAGGTACTGCAGATCATGTAACAGGGTGTTTTTAGTCAGTAAAACTCTGACTGACTGTCTTCTCCAGGGTCAGGGGAGAGTAACTGTCTACACTCCCACATCATTTTATTTGATGACTGACCTCTGAGTTAGTTTCGCCATTTCTTCTCAGATCAGTCAACAATGAAATTCCAGCCTCATCACGTTTATCATTTCTTATATAGACATCGACGTGTAAAAGTGCCGCTTTGTAATTTGTCAACATGTTTTAGAAGTAGGCTGCTTCGTATACAGCGTCCATACAACATATTTTTCGAACGTACCTTTCTACTACTGCTTATATTGCATGACTTTTAATCTTAATCTTAATCATGGAAACTACAAAACTGGGAAATATAACGCAAATATCTACATAAGTAGAAACTTACCTAATTAAGTAGGTTTTTTTTTATGTGATAGGACGGCAAACGAGCAGACGGATTACCTGATGGTAAGCAATCAGCGTCGCCCATGGACACCCACAACAAAGAAGGAGTGCGTTGCCGACCTTTTAGGGATTGGGATTTTGGGGATTAAGGGATATAGGTATCGACATTTACGAAAAAAAAAATTCATTCGATCACTTATTGATTGTTTTTTTGTTTGATTGGAAACTTAAAATTAGATAAAAAATTGTACCTATTTGAAATTAGTCTTTCTTAACACTTTTTCGAAAATGAACCTACTTATTAAGTTTTTAGACTAAGTATGATGTATTCTACATACTCAGAACTAAATAAGGATAGCAAGTACCTACTTATCTAAATACCTATAAATAATGTTCATAACTTATAAAATATCGGCTCGCTATTGTTTTATTTCCTAAGGGATCAAATACTTTCATAGTCCGGATTTATAAAAATAAATTACTGTCACGAATATTTTAGATGTTCGCCGCTTTGATTGACCAGATTAAAGTTAAACAACCAATACGCTAGTTTCCTATTAGTCAAATTCAATACTTTTATCTAAATGTCAAAAACGATACTTTTCTATAAAATTTGTATGAAAAACTGAGTTATGACTTCCTAAGTAGCTTTTTTGCGTCAAATAGTTAATTCTTAGAAATTTGCTAAAGAATATCTAAAATTCATGTATCAATCGATCGATGAATAAAAGTATAGTTATTTTTGAATATTTAATTGTATTGAAACGTCGGATTAATTTATTTTTTACCGAAATGTTGTGCGGCTAAATGTCATTAAATTACTTAATTCTTAAAATTCTGCATGACAAATGCGAAAATAAATATTAATATCGTCAAACCACAGGATTAACTTGCATGGTTACCTCCACGTTACCGCACATTATTTTTGTGTGAAGTTTAAAAGAGAATGTGGTGTCTGATTTTTTTCTGTGGTGGAATTTAAAATGCAGGCCTTTAAATGTTGTAAAATTGTACTTTTTTAAATGTATTAGCAAATATAATAATCATTTCAATTGATGTTTTAAGCGTTGGAGAGCCATGCTTTGGCACGAACTCCTCACAGAAACCCAGCATGAAACACTTACGTTGTTTTTCGCCGTGTAAGTGAGGTTATCGATGCCCGATGTTAAGATATAGAATGCCCAGTCGTCCCCTCCCTCATTCTTAAAAATTCCTTATATCCTTAAATCCCTAATAACCCATAAGAGGTCGGCAACGCACTTGTAGAAACTGCTTTGATTGGCGGCGGTGATTGCTTACCATCAGGTAATCCGTCTGCTCGTTTCCCGACCTATGACATGTATTACTCAACATTTTGTTGTATTTATTGTACACTTTTCCCCAAATAAATATAAATAAAGTATAACATGATGAAAGGGGCGACATATAGTGATATAAAAATAAAACAACAGGTTAGTAAGAATGCTGTAAGTTTTTATTTCAACAAAATGCGGAATATGAAAAAGAAAATAAATATGCGCTGTGTGTATTATGTATTAATTTATAAGCCTTAATACTGAAACAATAAATAATCGCTTACAACATTGACTCTGCGAAATATTTTCTAATTTCATACTTTTTAGAAAATAAATAATTTTCAAACACTTGAACACTTCATTCAACAAAATATAAAATTTGGAAAGCTTTACAGTTGTAAAGGGTATTTATTATAAAAATGCAAAAATAATATTATTATAAAAGTTTGCATTTGCCGCTAGAAACGCTAATGTATACACATCGTCAATTTTGATGGCGTTTGTAATTTTACTGACAAGATCATTCTCGACAGTGGCGCCACTAATGATCAAACACTGAACCTTCATTACAAGCACTGAAAACTCGTTAGCAAATACGGGTACACAAACGAAAAAAAAAACATTTTAACTTAACCCACGCTGCAAATGTTACTGAAGAACAAGCAATAGAAGCATAACTTTATAAATCAACAAAACTCTGAACCATATACAATTTATACACTCACTCGGAATGTACTCAATTCCATTGATGCATGAGAAACATTAAGATATAAAATGACTTGCTATGAACATGAAAGGAGAAAATACAAAATACTATTTTAATATACCATTCATCTAAACTTACTTATCCCAGTTCCACTTACGATAATAATTTTAATAATCTGACACACCATCTCAATATATTCTTTATTTAATTTAGAGTATTTTATCCTATAAAGTATGTACAGAAAGAAGCATCGGTAATTCGTGTTTTGTTTTTTAATTGAGCTAATTTAATACTATCACACAACACTGGCCGCAAGTGTACTATGAAAAGAATTTACTTGGAACTTATTTGTGCACATACGAGGGAATATTTTTTCGGAAAATTTTAAGTTTAAGTTTTTTTTTGGGGGTGTATGTCCTAAGTTTGTGACCAATTTTCGGACCCAACTTCGATTCCGAAATCTCCCATATATTTCCATATTGGACTGTTCTTGTTTCCACAGTAGAATTATTACGGGTAATTATGATGGTGAGGTAGTTTATGAAATAAATTTTGATTTTGGAACATTACAATTATTTTCATAAGCTTAGAGCCAAAGAATTTGGTTCGTATTAAAATTTTCCGAAGATTTATCCAAATACATTGTTGATATGAGAATATGCACCGGGTCAGCAAGTGTTGATGGATGCTAAGTACTCGTTGTATTTCTTCTCCTGCGCTTGCTGCAATTTCTGCAGCTTCTTCACAAGCCCTTTACTCAGCTCCTTGCCTTCATGGTCGTGTGTTGGCAGACCCTGTAAGTTATATAAACACTATTATTATTAAAGCAAGGAATTTGCATCGTGATACACAAACCCTTAAAACAGAGTATCAATAATACTGTCCACCATAGCTTAGGGCCCGTAGTGTTCCGCGCGCGCCTCAAAGATCTAAGGGCTGATATTCAGCCGGGGTTGCGGGTAAGCGCAATGAGTCACCGCAGCTTCGGCCCAGGGCAAGACAAGGAATAGGGGGGTTATTAGTCAGTAAGAGTCCGACACTCCCTCCCGCCAGACCCGGGGCGGTAGAACTCATTTGATGATTTTTCCCTAACAAAAAAAGCAACACTGTTCAGTTATGATATGGAAATCTACTATTGACGATTTGACTGAACGGTCGGCGCGGGGGCTGGGCAAGTGGCTGGACAACTCTTGCGATCCAGAAATTGTTGTTCCGGGTCTGAGAGTGATGTGAAATTGTATGTTTCAGAAACTCACCCACGACACACAAGAGAATACTAGAGTGGGATAATGTTTTTTTTTTTAAAAAAAACAGACTTTTAAATATTGCGCTGTAATAAAATACATTATACTGGTACTTATTGACGTTAGTTGTTTATTCAGTGCCTTAAATAATATAACATTTTTACATAGTGCAAGAAATACATTGTCGCTCAAAAGCTCGGTCTTTTTTATTTATTTATATTTTCGTTTGAGTGTCTGGTGTTTTGTTTTAGAAACCCCACACTGAAGGCTCCCGGTGTTGTTTAACGATCCTGTAGGTATTGGTTATCAGAAACTTACATATTAACTATGACGAAACAAGTTAAAAAATGTTTGAATACGCTAGAACGTAACGTAATATGTTAATGTGAGTCTGCCTGGTCGTGAATAAAATTAATGCCTACAAAAAATACCTGGCCTCTTAGGATGTAATAAAACAGTGACTAACCTTATCATCAAACTTGGAATACTTGTCTGTCTCCCGTTTGAACAGTTCTCCCGGCGGTATCTTCTTGAGTTCCTCTTTAGCGCGCTGTGCCTCTAACAACTCTTGCTTCTTTCTCTGTTTCTCAGCTTCGAGTCTTGCTTTTTCTTCTCGCTCTTTCATTATTTCTTCTTTACTCACTAGCTTGACTACTGTGCGGTCTGAAACAAGAGTATTTTTTCATTACATATCGTTAAAAACGACTTTTGAGGCATTTTTTCCTTTATAACAGAATATTGCTCAACACTTTATACTAATATAGTAAAAAGATATAAGTTTATACCTGGCTTGTCTTCGAGCCTGACTCCCAGTTCAGGCAGGTCGTGGTCCCGCAGTTTGTCGCAGAGCGCCAGCACGGCCGGCGCCTGCGCACTGCGCGCCGCGTCGCGGACCGAACTACGGAACTTACTCAACGCTTCGAGGTATGGCATCACTGTGTCTTCCAGCTGTAGGACAAAATAATACAGATATTGTTAGTAATTTAATTTTAACTGGTAGAGAATGCTCAATGCATTAAATCCGCCTTATGTACCTACAGTGTTTTTGTGCATGAAGTAAATAAATCAATGAATTTACGAAAGCTTATGTGATATTTTTAAATAAGGCTAACATTTTTTGTATGCCATAATCCCCGCTTGGCAGTCGACCGGGGATCGCAGTTAAGTCACCGATTTGTACGGTAATTACGGAACGCTGCTGCCCAACCCTCGGTGTCTGGTCGTAGTTTAAGGACGTACCCGGATCCCGACTAAAGTTCTGATAAATCATTGATATAAATAATGGTACTCACGCAAACATTGTTTCCGTCAGACACAGGGAAGCCGATACCTCCTCTTGGGCCCTCAACAGCTCCAAAGACGTGCAGTATGTCGGTAACGTAACGCGCCGCAGCGGCCAATAGCGGGGAGCTACGGGGCGTAGTCTGGCGTAAGTATACATGCGCTGCGCCCACTAACTCGCGGAGAGCGTCCAGCGCACTGCGCGTGTCTATGTTGTCTGCGAAGATTCAAAATTCAATTATCATCTACTGCTGCACGAAAACATCGCAGTTAGATCACCAAAAAGTAAAGGAGGTAATACCCGTTATTTGGTATGTAACATGTAACAACAATGTACAACTCAATCTACATCTGAATTAATTTATACTAAGAAACAATCGTTTTCATCTAAGAACCATATCATCATTTGCAAAAAGATAATGTTTGTTCCGTAATGTACATTCTTATTATTTCTAAGGGGTACCTTGAATATATTTTTAAACGGTTTTATTTAGCTCACCCCGTTTGTTTTATTTATTATTAAAAATGTTAAGTAGACTATCTATAGCTTGTGTTGTTATTAATAGTTATCGGCTTTCTATGATCCAAGACTAGGTACTTACCGCAAAGTGCAGCGTGTACTTGATCCTTGACAGCCGTGAGCTTGTTGGACAGCTGTTGTTCCTGCTCGTCCCATACACCACCGCTACCCTCGTCGTACCCACTACGTAACGCATCTTTCACTGTCAGGAAGAATTCCTATAAACATATACATCAAAGTTAACTAGTTATTCCTTTTAAGGCACGAAAACGTTGACCGGCAACCCTTTTGCATGTCGAGACAATAAAGAAAAAGACTATAATGTTACAAGTTTAACACATTCAGTGCCCCCGACGCGTATGTGCGTGCGAGGAAACGCACATACGCGTCGGGGGCACTGAATGTGTTAATATAATGAATTGCTCTACATGGGGGTTGGATTTTGCCCATTTTGTTATGCAGTAATCCAGTACAAAGAGTATGTATTTAGACGTAAATTTTGAGGTGTTTATTTACAGATTAAAAATAAACAAAAAGCACAACTGCAAACACTGTGTACATTACAAAAAACACTAGAATTAGGAAGTCAACAGACAAACTTACATTAAACAATTTCTCCATTTGTATCGCCATGTCCATGGTGTTGTCCGAATAGTCGAGGGTTTCCTTCCATCCGTGCATGAGGAAGCCTATCCTGAGCTGTCTGGCGGTGTGGCGACGCAACGCTTCAGATATCGTCACGAAGTTCTTCAGAGACTTGGACATCTTGCAGCCAGCTATCGTAAGGTGTCCAGTGTGAAGGAAGTAGTTCACCCAGCCTGGCTGGTCGAAGTGTGCCTACAATAAAATTATACATGTTCAATATGTGTATGTAATTACTGCAGAAATAATTTTACTAGGTGCGGATGTTTCGCAATTTAAAAATAAAGGCTTCGTTATTAAAAATTAAAATGCATATCACTTTATCAGATGATCTGATAAGGTGTTTTAGGTAATCTATTTCAAGATAATTATACATTCACTTTTGGTTACAAAGCATACTATCCAGTTCAAAATGTGTTCTTTTATGTGACAGGTTGGCAAACGAGCAAACGGATTACCTGATAGTAAGTAATCAGCGTCGCCCATGGACACCCGCAACGACGGAGGGAGGAGTTACGAATGAGTCGACGTTTTATGGATTAGGGATTTGGAGGTTTTGGGAAAGGGAACGGATTGGGATAGGGGAAGGATTGGGCTGTGTACCTAATAATCATTTGAGTAGTGGAAAAGACATTAACAAGCTGGCCAACTTTCCGTTTTAGAGAATCCTTACCTCGCTCTGAGCAAGCTCGTTGTCATGATGGGGGAACTTGAGGTCAACGCCCCCTGTATGTATGTCCAACTTGCTACCGAACACGTCGGATGCCATAGCCGAGCACTCGATGTGCCAGCCGGGCCTGCCCGCTCCCCAAGGCGACGACCATGAAGGTTCACCCGCTTTACTCCGCTTCCATAAAGCAAAGTCATTTGGAGACCGTTTCTCACTTGTGTCGTCCGTAAGATCACCTGAAGAAGAAAAATAAAAACTCGAGTAAAAATTCTGATTTGATTTATTGCCTGACAAATTTTCTATAGAAACATATAGGAAAATATAAGTTAGAAGTTATTATTTAACACATTCAGTGCCCCGACGCGTATGTGCGTGCGAGGAAACGCACATACGCGTCGGGGGCACTGAATGTGTTAATAAAAATAACAGCAAGAGTTTTTAGCTAGAAAAGTTTTTTTACCTTCTCCCTCTTGTAATGACTTTGTATCTCCATAAGCTTCGGGCACTAGCCTTGCATAATAGTGTTTATCATTTTTATCAAAGTCACTCACACTGAAGTACACTGAGCCATTTGATTCATAAGCGAGACCATTATCTATTATCTTTTCAATAAACTTTATTATTTGTGGTACATATTCACTCACTCTTGTTAATACGTCTGGCGGTAATACCTGTAATAAGTATGAATAAGTTATTAATCTCCACACTAATAATATAAAATGTATAAGTTGGAAAGTTTGGAATTTGGATGAATATTAATTACGACACACAATCATAACAAAATGGTTGGGTGGATCTTGTTGATTCAAATAGGAATTTTTATGTAGAAAAAATAGTCACTCCTGGCAACAACTGGTTATAAATTTATATTTTTTATTAGAATAGAATAAGACTTTATTTGCTAAGAATGCAGGTCCATACAAATATGATTGAAAATAACATAATAAAGAACCGTGTACATTCTGCTTTGTTGACATGCAAATACAATAATTAGTATACAACTAAGTTAAATAAGGTAAACAGGTGATTATAATGTATTATTTAAGAAATCCTGAACAGAATATAAATAAATATTAATAATGTAAACAATATTTTTAAATATTATAATTATGTTAGAACCTGTATTGATCATTGATTTATTCTCTTCCATTACTGACATATTCACTTTTAAACCAGAAAAAACATATTCCTTGGTCTACTCAGTATTTAGCATGATTAACCGACTCTATTGTATTTGTTAAAGTGAATCTAGATTAATTTAGCTACATAGAGAATAAAACAAATACTTACATTTAATGCTTTCATATCTTTATGAAACTCATTTTCCCAATACCTAGGCAGGGCTGTGAATATAGCATTATCTGTGACTGTAGCACCATATTGATTGTCCAGCCATTCTGATATAGGACCCTTAGCTGACTGCAATAGCTCACACTTTGCATTTGTGATAATTGCATCATCATTACCTTCAACAGCTACTTTCAAGTTTTTTACTGCAGATGCAATGCTGGAAATTAGAAGTAAACATGGACACATCATATTATTAAAACTTATGAATTAACTTTAATTCATTAGAAAATAGAAGGAATTGTTGTCGGTATTAGATCTAATTTTGTCAATACTTGTAATTAAGAAGTTACTAAAATTTTATAATTTTGTGCAACTCCTCTCTAATGTGTGAAAATGTTAGTCAATAGTCACAAAAAAAAAATACCTTTTGTCATTTTTTTATGAGGAACTGACAAAAATATTAGTTTTATTTTATTTATATTTTTCTATTCAAGGATAAATCCTTGAGACTAGCGTATCAAGTAATTCAATTTATATTATTTTAGATTATTAATGGTATGATTACACAAGTAGTAAGTTACGTGGGTGGAAACTATTTCATAACATAATTGGTTGGCACTAGTACGACATACACACTGATAAGAACTATGCAAGCATGTACTTAGTTGCTTATCTAGAAGCTAGTAAGCAATAATTCTGACTTCTGCATAAAGTATTAATATCAATTGCATTCAAAGTTTGATGAAGAAATTTTCTTAAACTGATAAATATTATCTGTTGTTTCTTGGAACTACTTTGTATTTATTATGAATAGTAAAGAGTAATAACCTTACTATATATGTACTTACCAGTCTAATGTCTTTTGCATGGCATTCTTTTTATCAGGGTCGGTGGCTTCTTTAACAATTGTTTCATAGTAATTCACTACTGACGTTGCATCATCTATAATACAGTTCAGACTTTTCTTCTCTTCAACATATTTCTCAAACAAATGATGCTGTCTTGCTCTCTTTATGATTTTGTCATCTATATCTGTTATATTCATAACATAGAGTATATCATAGCCAAAGTAATTGGCCATTACTCGTCTTAATATATCAAAAGATATATATGATCTGCAATTAAACATAATGGTTTGAGTAGAACATATCATTATTTTTTTCATCACATATGGTCTTGTCAATGTAGCATAGACATACAATAAGTGTACTTAATATAAATCTTTAAACAAAATGTTTATGATGTGTGCATTTGTATTTAAGTAATATTTACAAATCTCCTAGTACTAAAACTAAAAGATCAGTGAGTATGTAAGGCTTCCCAAGATATTCCATAGATAAACAGTAGTCCATGAACAATGAGTATTCCTGTAGGAGGGTGTTCCTTACTTATTTTATAGGTTACCAGGGTGATCTACTATTAATGATAACTTAGATATAATTAATTTTACATTTTAAAGTGACAGTATACACACTATAATGTGATATTTATGTAACAATTTGTATAAAACCAATAGTAATAAGCCAAGTATACTCTACCTGGCATGGCCCATATGGGAGGCGTCGTACACCGTAGGACCGCAACTGTACCAGTTGATACGATTGCCATTGTCGCACACAAATTCTTCCTTCTGCCTAGTCAAGCTGTTATAAAGCTTTAGAACCGGCTTCTTCCCGGGCTTAACCGGTGGGGACCAACTAGGTTGACTTCTTTTAGACATTGTAAAATTTTACACATAAAACTACTTTGCTTCAAATTTGTACTTTAAGTAAGTGCACTATAGTTTATAATCTTCTCGTTTTTTCACAAAAATCTGAAGTTATCACTTATTAAAATCTTTTTTCGCCACGTACCGAACATATGATGCATGACTCTTTGACACTTGCAGCACAAATCTGATTCTGACATTACAGCCTGTGAGCCTGACAACCACGGAATTTTTGAGGTTGACAAATGTCCGTAGTGAAGTCCATTCGATTTTTCATCGTAAGATTTGTTGTTTCACAAATTAATGGCTATGTACTAAAATATATTAAGGCTTTTTAATTATTTTTATTTAAGTGATTAAGATTTTTTTCAATTTCATATTGATATCTTAATTTTCATCAAGAACATTATGTTTATGAAATTCTTACTAAGGTTTCATTGAACAGTATTGATTAAATTGATTTCTAGTCGATTCCACTTAGAACGTTCCACAACAACATTGAACCATCACTATCCATCAAATGACAATACGGTATAGAACTGTGAGAAATTGCTTTATTTCTTTCTTTCGTACATGAAACGAACGGACAACGATAGCCGGTAAAAGAAGATGGTGCTATATCGATTTGTATGCCTCTAATTTTGGCTGCTGTACTCCTTGTTGATTAGTGTGAATGTGTGCGTTGTGAACAAAAATAACTATCTATCTATACGTACTTCTACGCGTTTATCTGAAAGTTGCGACTACTGTACTCGTATTTTACTTAATTTTTTGTGTATTTTTGTATTGTTTCGTCCAAAACACACAATCCTTCCGGACACAATGGCTCTCTGTGTTTGCAAATGCCTAAATGTAACTCTTGAAGGTGATAAAATTGAAGACAATGTCGATATTGGGAAACTGGAGTTAACATCCATGGAACAAAGGGATATTTTTTTCAGTGAGGTACCGTCAGTAAACATGTCTTGACCTTGACTTCTATGAAGGGTTTTCGTTGCTTGAAATATGAAAATATGAATGAAACCATAAAGACATTCTAGTGATCATAATTTATTCTGATATAATTTTATATGTATGTTATGTATAATACACAAGTACATGTGCGTTCGGCACTTTATCGTCTTGTTTGTGATCATATTAGCAATACATAACATTATGCCATTTCTACCTATTAGTACTTGCTTTTCTGACTTCTCGGTTTATTTTTAGCTTTTTAATATTCATAACTGATCTTATTGCTTTCCTGTTCTGTGTACAAAACAGTGTCAAAAAGAATGCAAACCAGTTTTACTGGTACAATAATTTATTATGAATATATTTTAGTACGTTTTTAATGTTTTGATTCAGTTTTTGATACTAATTTGCAATAATATTTTTACTAATTACAGAAGCTGCTATCATGTTCTTTGAGCAGCCTGAAGAGCCAGGTGACCCAGCCTGCCCTGGTGGAACAGCGTGCAGTAGGCAGGTGGACAGTTCACTCTTGCCTGGCTTGTGGTGAAGCTACTCACGCCATATCACATGACAAAAATGGACCTTATGCATTACTTGTTTCCAAATCTAATCAGGTCAGTGTTCATTTAAGTGTTCAATTACATTCACTCAGCTAAATAATGTCTAACAATATGTTATAATATATTGTAAATTGCACAATCATCTGTTTTGCATCTAAATAAAAATACATGTACTCTCACATTTAAGTACATGCACACTTGTGTTTGTATTTAATCATTTAGATTGATTCTGTGGCCTTGCTGATTATCTTATATGCAAACAAAAGAAAGTAAACATGAAGTACATTATAACTGTGTTACATAGCAACACAATTGCTTATAGAAAATTAGAATACCTATCTAATTGAGGTAACTAATGAAATACTCCAATTAAATGAATTTATTAATTAACTTTATTCTACACCAGCATTCTTATTTCATTTACCTTTTTCATCAATATTATTGAGTTTTTATAGCAAACTTAATAAAAGCTTAAACTAATATTGAACATATTAACATCACAATCTTATCACCAGTAAAGATAAATCATTGTCCATGACTTATGGATTTACCTGTTTATGTTACAGACTACACAAGAACGGATTAATAGTTTGAAAAAGTCAAACAATTACTCACCTGTATTTAATCTATTAGTGCCAGAGGTAACTAATGACATGGAGATGAAGGAAAATGTTGACACAAACAATGTTATAAACAATGATAGGAATGTGTGGCTGCCGACCCAGCAAGTGATTGGCACACTCAGTAAACAGTTGAATCAGACTCTGCAGTCACAGTTGGAGGCAGTTGAAGAGTCCGTCAGGCAGTTCAGAGATCAGAAGTATGCTGAATTTGAAGCCTACAGAGAGAGAGCTCAAAGAGATCATAAAATTTTAGCTAGGTATGTTGCTTGATATTCAAAGATAATAATGATATCAATGATGTTTGTACTTGTTCTACTATTAAGGTATCTAACTATTGTTATACATTCTTGAAATGAAATGGTTAAATACTTGAAATAGTTTGTAAATACAATGGGTGAAAAATCAATAAATATTAAGAACATTAATCTTTTGTTGCAGTATTATAAGCAAGGCGCGCAATAACGGCGACAGGGACAGCTGGCGGATTGACTCGACACTTGACAATGGGCCACCCTCCCCACATCTACCCCCTCTACAGAGGAGAAGGCTATCATCTTTCAAAGATGCCAAAAAAGTCACACAAAATTATGTTAAGGTATAATGAAGTTTATCAACCTTAACTTGTTTATCAGTCAAATTGATTTACCTATTTTGTGTGATCAATCACTCTAGTAAGTCCACACTTGTAAACAAATCAATATTTATTCTTTAGTCACAACCTCTGATAGTATTTTTGACAAAAATAGTCATTTAATGGGTAGTGTGGAAAAATAATTTGCAATCACCTATGTTAAAATCATGTTTTTATTTTTCACAACTATTATTATGATATTATCACAAAGTACCAAATCTATGCATAATAAATTCACAGTTTGTTTACAACTTTTTCAAAATATTGTATTCACATTGCTATGATAAAGATAACAATTGCCATTGGTGGTAAGTTTTAATTTACAGTTCTGTTTATGTTATTAACATACAACCACCATACAATACAGAGGAAAAATACGCGATAATTGATAATATTGTGTTTACATACAATGGCACATTTCAATAATTGCTGGAACTGGCCACATGTAACCAATACACATGTATTTATTATTTACATATTATTTTATTGCACAGGTGCGAAATCACATGGCTTTGTTAATTATATTGTGTTATCAAACTGAAAATAAAAACTATTTTGGTTAAGGATGTTGAAAAGTTAAATAAACAGTTGTTATGACGATAATTATTTTTATATGCTATTAGTAAAAATAACCATAAATATCAAGATGTGGTAGAATTTTATGTAACAGTAAAGGTTAATGTTTTTTATAATGTTTACAGCCCCCTAGAAATATGCAATCCGAAGAAGATTCATTAGAAGCAGAAGATCTCTTTGATTTAGAAGGCTATGATTCGAGGAATAATATGCTCTCTGATCAGGATGACTATGACTCTGATCGTAAGTACAATTATAAAATCGCTAGTAATTTCATTTGTCAGTGAAACTGTAATGTAAATGGTATTTTTATCAATAACAACTCAAATAAATTGTGTAGGAGTACTATTTGATGCAGTAACAATAGAAATGGTAAACAGTTCTTTATTTTTTAATAAGGACCTTGAATTTGAGCCAACTTTTAAGCATACTGACATATTTATATGTAACTCATTCCTTCTCATTAAATACTCCAACAAAGGACGACGATGATTTTTATTATGTTTTATAATCGAAATTAAATCTGTGGTTTACAGAAGGTAGTAATGACGAGGGTATTCACATTTCTCGGCCCCGCGGCGGCGGCGGAGTTGACATGATAGCACGTTCTCTCCCCATGAATGTGCCAAAGTTTCCCAACGACAGACCCGCTCATCGGGATTTGGATGATGATGTAAGTCTTTCTGAATTCACTTCCTATATTTATGTATACATATTACACTTATTAATTATTTAATTACATCAATATTTTTTTGATTTCTTCCTCGTGAGACGCTAAATTAAATATCTTTTACTATTGTTTCCGTATGCCACGCTATGCTGCTTATAATAAATATAAAGAGCCCCTAATGTTGCTTCAAACTAGTCCAGTTACGTGAGCAAGTTGTTAAGCAACGTTAACTTTATTTTCTGTTTAAATATTATTTATTTATGTCCTGTAACACTAATTTATTACAGGAGGACCCGCAAGACATAGCTGCAAGCATCAAGGCACTGGCGCGGTCGGTCCACGGCGACGCGTACGATCTGCCGCGGCCGCGTTTCTCCACCCAGATCTAGCGAGCCTACCCTCGCACCTTCCCCGATCTCCCCCACTGTCTGTGTATAGTGTTACAAACAGATATACGGACAGCACCCGCTTTAATATACTAAATCATTCAAAGATATCTCGTCGAGTTGTGCATGACTGGTGTGCTTGAGTTATACATACACTTGCCACACATTGGTGCTTCATATTGTGATCACAGTGACCCTAAACCCAAATTATGAGTATAAATAACGTGACTAACAAACAACTAGTGACAATACAAGCTACATTAAACAAACAGATATAATATGGCAGCTATATTTTAACTCCGAACGCTTAACAATATGAATAACTTGGGAGTCTTATAATGTTATGGAATAAGATAGAAATATATGAACGGAAATAGAATATAAGAGGCTATAATATATTATGGTAAGCAGATTAACTATAAAAAGATAAAACACCAAATTGTTTCTAATGCAATGTAATGATTAAATCATAACTGATTTAAATATAGTTTTCGATTTATTAATTTTGAATTATTAAACAAAGCCATTTTTGTTAGTTTTCGATAAGTACATACTTTAATGTAAATGAGAACAATAATGTGTAATTGTGATTCAATGGATGTGATATGTTGATATGGTTCAATGTATCCATGGCTAGAATATGATTCACTATAGACCATCAATTATTGCAGAGTCAATTAAAACATGAAACAAATCATATAGTGCTATATTTCTGTGCTTAATGTTCAAATGCTTGTTGTAATGACTACAAATAATGCTATAGTCTAGCCATGTAAGAGTTAATGGATGTAAAATAGAGTTTGACAAGATAATGTTATAGAGTTGACCTAAGATAATATTGCCATATTACTGTGAAATATTCATTTCGGCTGTCGAATGTTGTCGTACCTATTAAATATAAATGTACGTGCGAAAGTGTCTTTGTGTCAGTGAATATTGTTAAATGTATGTAAATATAATGAAAATTTTATAGATGACAAGTAAAAATATAACTATGAATTGTTAACATCTAAGTCATATCCACGTTAATAGACTTTTCTATTATTTTTATCTGGTGTTATCTTAATGATAAGTGAAAAGTGTACAAAAATATTAATACCTTGCATTTCTTACTAGTCTTTTAGGGTCACGAAATATTTTTTCATTGTTAACATTAATTTCAGTAGGTAGTTATAAAATCGCAAACAAAAAATCATAAAATGTACATAAGAGATCATTGTTATTACGTTGGATAACGATACAATATAAAACTTTTATAATCATTTATTTTTATACCCAATATTTTGAATGTTTAAGTAAAAGGTTAACAGTCAGAACCAGGAGTAGGCTTCCGCGACGTGACATCTCGTTTGTATCGTTTATCGATTACTTTGTATAACTTGCTTAGTCTTTAAGTTAGGATACTTTACGTTTTCTTATCTGGAGTGAAAATTGAACAAGTGAAACATATTTTCAGCGTCTTCCAATAGCACTGAGTTATTAAAATTAAATATGTTCTTTAATGTGATGTCTATTTGAGTCAGTTGTTTTTATTTTAACTAAAACTAATAAATTGTTTCATTGGTGTGATTATAATGAGATGGACCTTGATTGTATGTATTAGAAGTAATAAATATTGAACGTGTATATTTGGCTTATTATTTTCAACATATAAATGATACTTGCATCAGTATTATTTTTTCGTCAGTATTATTTTTAAATATTATTAAGAAGTTTCTACGACTTTGACCTATTATCGTCGACCTCTGTCGTTGGTATGACGTCGGTTGCTATGGTTACGGCGTCACAACAAAGGCTGTAATTTTTATCGAAGACGTAGTGTAACAATTAACCTTTTCTTATATTAATTTACGATAAAACAATGTTGAGCTCACGTTATTATAGTGCCTCCCGGCTGGGTACAGATGCGAAGCCGCGAACTGCCATGGTAGTTGACGAGGACGACGAGTTGTACACAGGTTTCAACGAGGTGGCTCCTGCACTGGACACTCGCAATCTGCGGGAAGACCATGACTTCCAGGAGACACTGCGCACAACCGCCATTGGAAGGAAACTACCCAGCAGAATGGGTACCGGGGTAAGTGAATATCACAATTTTTGAAGACAGTCTGCAACATACACGAGGGCACGTGTCAACAAAACTCAAAAGATATAAAAATCGAAATATCAAAAATAATGTCTAATATTTTATTTGTTGGTGTAGAAGATATCCTTAATAAGTTATAATCGAATTATAATTATCCATTAATTTTTTTCTTGTAAGCAAATCTCAAACATGTATAATGACCATGGAATAAAAATTTGAAATGGGAAGTGGTAGTTTCAAACTTTCTACTTTGCAGCTGTCTTACACAATATTATATGTATGTTTTAACATGTAAATTAAAAACGTGTATCAATAACCTGGGATTTATCATATACCTAATTAGTGAAAATTTGGTTTTATATGAAGTGTGCAGAGTTTATAATATATTTAGAAAAAAGCTAGTAGCTCCCTATACTTTAACCAGTAGACGGATTGCCTGATGGTAAGCAATCGGCTTTGCCCATGGACAGCCGCAACACCAAAGGATTTATGAGTGCGTTACCGGCTTTTTAAAACGAAGGGTTTCGGATAATTAAGAATTGGGAAAGGAAGGGGAGAGATTTGTTCTCCGGTAACCTCACCAACCAACACCACGTTGAGGTTGTTTCTCTAAGGCCTTAGTATCACTCTGGTCAAGTCGACCTAGTCATGCCGAAGCTTGGCTCTCCTACACCTATACCACTTAACTATACCTACTATTTTGAAACTTATGACTCACTATTTATTACCCAGTAACCCATTTTTCGTATCATCCTTGATGGTCCCAGTAGATTTTAGTATATCATTCTTCTAGATGATTCTTCCAGATGATGCGCATGGGCACGGTAAGCGTCCGGGCGAACAGTTCTCGCGCAGGCACTGCGGCGCGGCCGGTCACTGCCGTGCGGGCTGCGGGCTATACATCTACTGCCAGAGAACTGCCCACCAGAGACGACGTTAAGGAGGATAGGTAAACTAAAGCATACACATCACACCCAGACCCGGAACAACAATTTGTGGATCACACAAAGAGTTGTTCCGTGCGGGAATCGAATACGTTGCCCAGCCATCGCGCAAACGTGCAGTCAATTAATTTAATTAGAAAGTAGATGTGTCCTCCTACAACGTTATCTACAGAAAATATTATGTATTAAAGAATAGGAAGAACGCTACACGATATTCTTTACCTATCTGTGAACTGCTGCTTACAAAGTCGCCTAATTATTAATTTCTCTCTCTACTTTTTTATGAAAAGCAACAAAACAGTTTGATAAACTATTCTTAGGACCATACCACCACTACATAGTTTAATAAAAAGTCGCTTTCCGCTTCCTTAGTATGCTTAGATCTCTAAAACTACGTGACAGATACTGATTCGTTTTTTAAATAGATGGGATGATTAAAGAGGAAGGTTTAAGTGTATAATTTATAAAGGTTTGCGGATAAGAAGCTGGTACCTAAGATAACTATTATTATCCTCACAATTAATCCCCTAACAGTATCGAGGAACGAGTAAAACAGATGGAAGCTCGCATAATGACGCTGGTTGAAGAGTCTTGTATGCTCAGTGCACGATCAGACCCCGATGACGATACTGCTCCGAAGAAAGAACTTGACTTAGGGCAGGTAAGCCGAAATCAACTTAATCTCAAGGGAATACGGGTGAAAATCGATCTGCAATATTAAAATATTTCTTAACGTCCATTTATTGTGTATTATAGGCCCTTGCCAAAGCACAGGAGGCATCAGCGATGGAAAGACAGTTAATTCGAATGCAAGAACAAGCGAATCTTGGTGACACACATAACTTGGATCTCACTTTTGCTGTAAGTGTACACAAACGTTTGATTCTTTGCAATTTATATACTTACCTAGTATATAATTTATATTTATGCAAATCTTATATATAAAAATGGATCGCAAAATGTGTTGGTAAGCGCATAACTTAACAACGCCCGGACCAATTTTGCTAATTCTTTTTTTGTTGTATTTGTTATTATCAGGAGAAGGTTTTTATCAAAGAAAATACTAGAAAAGTAGAGGGGAAGATTAGGAATAAAGTGACCCTTTGATAGCGAGATAGAGGGACCCGTGCGAAGCAGGAGCGGGCCGCTAGTATAATATATATTTATGCACTAGGTAGGAAAGTACGAATTTAGTTACTTATCATGTTACGGAAGAAATACTTTTATTTTATAGTTGTGCAGTTATTAGCATTAATAATCACGACTGGTAACCACAATCATAAGGCAGCATGTGAGACGATAGCTGAAACCATTTTGAATCAATCAAATTATGTACTAGTTGGTTCATTAAATCATAATTTGTTAATTACAGGTGCTCTGCAATTTGGCGGGACAGTACGCGCTCAACGAAATGTATACCGAGGCTTTAAACACGTACCAACTACTCACTAGAAATAAACTATTCCCTCATGCTAATCGACTGAAGGTACGTTTATCTAATTATGTATTCGTGAAACTCTTCATACGACACCATAAGTAAGCCGTGTGTGGAACTAAGTATAGGCTTACATATATTTATGTTATTTCCAAAAGTGCTGCAGTTCCTGTATCTTAAGATCAATTGTAGATGTCATCATCTTCCTGCCCTTGTCCCGTTTTATTTGGGGTCGGCGCAATATGTTTTTTTCTTCCATTCTGTCCTGTCACCCGTCACGCTATCACTAACTCCTCTGTCTTCCATATCATTTCTCACACAATCCATCCATATTTTATTTGGTCTCCCTCTCCCTCTCTATCCATCCACATTTATACCATGATATATAACCATGAAAACAGACAATCGTGTCCCAGGGTCCTGAATTTCTGTCTTGGATACCACTTATAAGTACTCTTTGGTGGTAAACGATGATGCGACATATGATGGAACACGTCTACGTTCCGTTCATAAGCAACTTATTTACTTGGGCCTTAAAGACACCCAGATACCCTTTAGGGAACACAGACTCCGACAAAGAATTTCACTCCTAATTAAACGCCTTTTGTAGGTGAATATGGGAAACATCTACTTCAAGATGGGAGAACACCCAAAGGCATTAAAGTTGTATAGAATGGCTTTAGATCAAACACCGACAGCTGAGAAGGATCTGCGGTAACTAAACATTTCTAAATTAATAAAATAATATACTAATTATATTTTGTTCTTTATTTTGTCTTTTTTTATATTCAGAATGAAAGTGATGCATAACATTGGTCTTCTCTTAGTACGTATGGGAAAGTTTCGCGACGCTGTGACAAATTTTCAACATATCATGCATGAACAGGGAGATTTTCAGACTGGTAAGTAAGATCAGTGTACTAAATTATACCTTAAAAACAGTTTTTAGATGATAATGAACTCTTCATTATCTAGAATATAGCTTCTGCAGATGGGGTCATACTGGTGGAATGGAATGGAATCCCCAAATTCAAATTATTGGTACATTTTATATTAGGACTAGCAGACCCAGCCACGCGTTGCCGTGGCTGAGACTATAGATTGAGATGTAAGCTATCCTATCTTTCAAGCTGGCTCAAATGCACACGGAATGCAAATCAAATTTAAAATCGGTTTAGTAGATTAGGAGTCCATCGCGGACAAACACGTGACACGAAATCTTTATATATAAAAGATAATAGCGTACAACACAGATTGGTGCACGCGCACTCGCAAAAGTAATTTGTGCGTTACGCTTTGGAGTCAAGATTGAATTTGCTATGCCCAGTTTGGACAGACTCTATGATACGCTTCGACTTTGCGCTAGTACTAATTGATCCTTAAGGTTCGGGCCTCTTTTGAGTGGGTCAAGTCATTCAATGCCTCATCAAAAAGCCATGAAATGACTACAGATGGGACCCAGTAAGGCCCGATGTCGATTTATCGATACTTCGGCTTGGTTTCACTTGCTGATTGTCTCTTATTGATTGTAACCGCATATTAAGTACAAAGACTATAATAGCCTCCATCGAGAAATGAAAATTACCTAACGCAAACATAAGTGCTCAATTCGAACCGATAGTATTGGAGATTAGCGCGTTCAAACTTTAGCTTTATAATATTAATAAATAACAAATATTGTAATGAAACCGTAACCTATTATGTCCATACGTTTGCATGACCAGGTTTACACTTAGTGCTATGCTCAGTGGCGTTGAACGACGCTGAAGGTGCCAAAGCGGCATTCCACGCAATGCTGGATGTGGAGCCGCCCACGTTTCACCAAGATATCAATATTGATGACGTAAGTACTAACACCATACGATTTTTTTTACAAAGTTACATAAAACGGTGTTCTTTTACATCTAACGAAGTAATTAGTTAAAATTTTGATTAATTTTTATCCGACCGGTTTCCGTAAGTTAAAAGAGTGTCGCACTTACCTTGGCGTGTCTCAATAGCACCCAAAGGTAGACTGAAAGAAAATGAATTAGCCATTTAGTCTAGTCCGCCATTGTACTGCTGTGTAAAAATCAGTTGATAACAACGAAAGGATTGTGCGAAAGGTATTGTGATAGAAAAGGGAGTGCATAACATGATAACCGTGAGACGTCACATCGAACCTTTAAGGATATACTTACTATTACAAAAATATGTTATTCTCTAAACAAAAGTAAATGTAAGGAACCAGTGGCTAATATTGTGATTATCAGGAAAACGATGCGTACGAGTGCGTCGTCCGCGACGTGGTGCGCGGGGACCGCCTGTCGCGCTGGTCGCGGCGCGGCGCGGCCCACGCCGAGCGCTGTCTGGCGCTCGCTGCCGCCGCCGCCGCCATGCAGAGGCCTGGCTCCAGGGGCCCCGACTCTGGGTATGTTTGTCGAAGTCTTGCATCATAAAGTTAGATCAGACGACAATCCAGGCGTCGGGGATCGAGAGACGATCTCCGGCCACTGTAAGTGCGGGTCAGCGTATGGCACGTAGCGTTCCGCCCGCGCCTCAAAGGGCCAATAGACCACCACAGCATGATGTTCAGCCGGGGTTGCGGGGTAAGCGTAATGAGTCACCGCGACCTCGGACCTCGGAACGGGGGGTTTTAGTGAGTAATAATCTGACACCCTCCTACCCGACTCTGGGAGGGAGAAGTTATTTGATGATTTTCTCCTCACAAAAAAGTCATGGTTGGTTGGTTCGGTGTAAAAATTATGGTGTGTCATTGTATACAGCGGCATGTCGTGGTGCGTGGAGGCATTGCGCGGGTACAGCGGCGGCGCGGCGGGCGCGCGCCTCGAGCTGGGCGCCGCGCTGGCTGCACTACGCACGCGCGCCACGGGGCCCGCCAGCGGCCCGGGCGGCCCGGCCGGGGGCGCTGCGGGCCCCGGCCCGGGGGGCAGCATGGGGGCGGCCCAGCGCGCCGTGCAGCGACTCAAGGCCGTGGCCCGCGCGCACCCACACGACCGCGTGCTGCGCGCCGAGGCCAACACTGATGCTGCTTTCGTCGCTTATGCGGTCAGTATAGTATTTTCTTCGTACTAAGGGTGACAAAAATGCATGGAGAGCTTAAGGTCGACTATTGACTGACAGGTTTTGCATAACGCTACCATTGATAACTAGATGGCGCTGCTTTTAAATGAAAATAACCCTGCAAAGCTTGAATACTTTACACTGCAGAGGCACACAATAAGGTTTTTAATGGTTAAAATAATAATTAAGAAACAATAATATATTTATATTCAAATACACATAAATTATGTTAATTTTCTCATTTCCGAAGACTTAATATAGCGCCATCTAAGTCAAGTCAAGCAAACCAATTAAAAGATGGCGTCAATAATTAAAAATTGACAATAATAAAAGTTATAAACTAACCCGCATTTTCGACATCAAAAAAAAATGCGATCGGTAGCTCGGATGAATAAGAATGATAGAATAATGAAGACGAAGGGCACCGGTTCAATTCCGGGTTATCATTTTTATATTCAGGTTTTTTAACAATGGTTTTTTTATATTTTTTTTTATATAAAATCAATAATAATAATATATAAATAAAATATTTGACGTTTAATATTTATAAAAGATGTAAAAGTAACATATTTTTCTTACAGATTAAGACTAATACTAAGTTTGATTCTCATAAAGGATAACAAATAAAACTATTTTAGTGACATTATAATTTCAGACATTTATTTCTTAAAACATAATATTTATTTCTTTCACTTTAATACACTTTTTATAAGATTAATAAGTATTTTAAATCAAAATGGTGTTGTGCTAGTCATTTATTAGTTAGTTTTAAACACAATGTTATAATATGATTCTATATAATATGCAACCTCACTTCTGCAACTATTTTACTTCCCCATAAAATTTAAAATTTAGATTTAATTAAAGTATTGACTAAAGTGATTCATTTTGTGCATCATGTTATGACAAAGGCCCATAGCTTAAGTATTCGTTCCAGAACAAGGAAGAAATTGAAGCTAGACCTTAAATCAATAACATTTGTAAGACCGGGATATAGCAGTCATTAGATATGGGACGAATTGTTTATAGTAATAATAAATAAATAATTTATTATTTTGGAATAGCATCTTTAGATATTAATATTGCTTTTATTTTTATTTCTCATATTTAGTAAAACATTAAAATCATTACTGTAAATAACAGTTGCTGGTTATAAAGAAGTCAATAAATTTATCCTACTAACACTAAGTTTGAACATTTATCCATTAAATAAATTATAGCTACCCCGGTCTTGTAATTGCTTAATCCTATAGTCAACAATATCTTTTCTTCTAAGAACTAGTGTAGCCGCCATTTTTATCGATCCTATTTCTCCTATCTCGCTGGCCAAGGAATAATCCGTATGTCTGATTGCTGACTAAACACTTGCACAATTATGGAACATTACACATAGGACAATATTGTCCTGCACGAACATTATCACTAGCACATCTTCGTGACGTCTTTCAGCACATCTATGTAGTTTTCACTGTTTGCATCATTGAAGATGACAATGCTCCAGTAATTTTCCTCATAACCTTGCCCCATAAGTTGAAGCTGGTCTGAGTCAATATCACGTCTTCTGCCAGATCCAATATGGTGCTCCAATGAACCCTCTTCTTGAAACAGCTTTAGATATCCATAAAGTGGCAGTCTTTACCTGTAAGGGACGTGTATTATTTATTATTTTCATGTATCGATAACCATGGATAATAAAATAAATAACGAACGGTCATTTTAAAAGAATACTTACGTTTAAGCCAGTTTCCCTCGAAATTTCAGTATAATTTAAGCTTTGATTATGCAATACTATTGTTTGGGCCCTCGTAGCCATATCAATATTTGAACGCAAACTCATGATAAAAATAAATATTAAAAACTTGTTAAACAAATCGTAACTGAACTCGCTCAAATATAGTAAAGAATGTTATGATTGAACAAAAAGGTTTATTTTTTATACAGTTAATATTAAATTACCCTCAACCGTTTTGAGATTTATGATCGGGTTATAGTTGCTAAACAACTTCAATATAATAAAGAGTAGGATAATTTCAATGTATTCCAAGATTACGCAATGGCCTAATGGCTAGTGGTGCCGGTAAATTTTATGCTACCGAGTTCGAATCCTGTGTGCCTAGCACGAACATTATCGAGAAAGTATTCGTATCGAGATCGAAAGCATTTTCTATGGGATTTGTACAGCGCCCCTACCGTGCGTAAAAGGAACTAAAAATCGCAAGCACGAATGATTTTGACAACTATCGTATAGTAATCGTATCGTGTTGCTATCGAAACTTAGAACATTTTGACACAAATTGGAAGCACGAACGATCTTTTGACGTATAGTAACGTAAGTTTCGAAGGCTGGCTATCGAAAACTGTCGAAACATTTGTCACTAAGAATTTGACGGTGAGAAAGGTTTCGAAATATTTCAATCGTGTTTTAAATAATATATTATAAGGTTTGTGAGTATTCTTTACGAGTATAACATCATGCAAAGACCGCCGCTGTACGAACCAAGTTGGAGAAATAGTTTATTTGTGGCTATTTTACTTGGAGATGAAGAGTCAAGAGAAACTTCGTAAGTACCTAAGTACCTACCTATTCAAGTTATGTTTCACTAAATATAGACATATGTATTCAAGAAAATAATACGAATTAACTGATTATTCTAGAGAAATCGTGTGCCGAGCTAAATTCAGAAAGATATCTAATCCAATGGATATCACTGAAACGTAGTTTAGATACTAGGTACCGCCTAAATAAAAAAGCTTTCAAGTACTTCTGTGAGCAACTCCAATAAAAACTAACCTTATCATGCTAAAATGAAATTAATAGGAGTCGAGCAGCGGGTGTAACCGCGAGGAAGTAGCTAGTATAAATTAGGTTTTCTAATAAGTATTTTTTTACAGGTGATTCTGGCTACCCACAGCGACCATGGCTAATGACGCCTACTCATTTTGGATGCGGTAGAGGGAACTCGTGGCCCGCACGATATACTGCAGTAAAAGAAAGAAGAGGCGATGCTTGTGCAAAGACCTCACTCTGCATTTTGCTCCCGAAAAATGTGTTTGACAACGGCTTGCTGCGTGTTGCATAATTTGGTCATAAATTTCAATGTGCCTGAGCAACAGGTAGATACAATAACAGCTGCAACAACAGCATCAAGATTTGTCTCATACCTCATCTTCTGTTATGAGACATGAAAATGATAGAAGTGATGATTTGATAAGTGAAAGGGCTTTAAGGAATATTCTGGTACAGCAAATAAATATACTACACAGATGACCCAAGTGTTTTATTATTATACATTTCCAAAACATCTTACACACTTATCTAACTTAAAAACTATTCTTACCTATGTTTTTATAATAGGTAACTATAGTGAGACATTTTAAATTCAATTCTAATATAATCTTTCCTCATTCCAAAATGTAGTAATTTAAAATAAAACATGTAAATATACATTAATCATCTTTTTAACTAGATTAAATTTTAATACATTTATTGCCTCTCTCATAAGTTCCAGCCACTGAGCCTGTAAAAGGAGCTCTGCATCTCTCTGTCTTACTCTTCATTCTTCTCGTCGTAATTCCAAACGCTCTTGTTCCATTATATCATATGTTTCCTCACGCTCCCTAGCAAACTCCCTAGGTTTCTTATCATTCTCTAAACACATTTGATTAAACTCCCTTTAGATTTTTTTTTCGGTCGAGGCTTCCAGCATTCCTTTTCTAATGGAGGATTGGCGACTGGTGGTGTCGGTGAACGGCTGGCTTCATGGGTACTGCGGAGTGGTCGGAACACTGAAGGCTCGCTGCTTGTCACTGGCATATTCCATGAAATCCACCATTAATTCGTATTGGAGCCGAGTCCTCCTCATTTTAAAATAAATTTAAACTAACCGCATATTAAGATAGCCGCATAATTATCTACAATCTACATTCTTTGTTTTGTTTGTTAAAAATACGTCAATAGCCGTCAAACGTCACCTTTGTCAAAAGAACGTTCGGAAATCGTAAATTATGTTACAAAATTTAAATAACCAAATAATAATTTTTTTCATAGATAAAGTCATTTTATATACTTCTTGACTCGTTTTAAGAATTATTTCACGTAATTAATATTTTTTCATTTAAATATAATACCACAAAAGGTGTAGACGACGGTTGAAATATGTTTAAAATTAATTTTAGTTTTTAGACGAAATCTTTATGTTAAATTAAGTTCAAGAATTCATTCAATTCGTTCACTTGGGTGCTTCTCTAGCTTACATTAGCATGACGTCACTAACGAATTCGAGTCGAGCTCTCGCTAGACGATACGATAGGCTTCGTGCTGCGACATTCCGTTTTCGTCACATGAAGTATCGACGTCTCGATACGTTAACGTTACGATTACGATAGTCATTCGTGCTAGGCACTCTGGTTATTGCGTGCTTTGCGTTAAAAAGGTTTGGAATATCGTAGCATTAATTTGTGTAAAAATTTATTAAGTTAATAACTTTGTATCTGAGTGCCTAGCACGAATGACTATCGTAATCGTAACGTTTACGTATCGAGACGTCGATACTTCATGTGACGAAAACGGAATGTCGCAGCACGAAGCCTATCGTATCGTCTAGCGAGAGCTCGAATCGAATTCGTTAGTGACGTCATGCTAATGTAAGCTAGAGAAGCACCCAAGTGAACGAATTGAATGAATTCTTGAACATAATTTAACATAAAGATTTCGTCTGAAAACTAAAATTAATTTTAAACATATTTCAACCTTCCTCTACACCTTTTATGGTATTATATTTAAATGAAAAAATATTAATTACGTGAAATAATTCTTAAAACGAGTCAAGAAGTATATAAAATGACTTTATCTATGAAAAAAATATTATTTGGTTATTTAAATTTTGTAACATAATTTACGATTTCCGAACGTTCTTTTGACAAAGGTGACGTTTGACGGCTATTGACGTATTGTTTTTTAACAAACAAAACAAAGAATGTAGATAATTATGCGGCTATCTTATTATGCGGTTAGTTTAAATTTATTTTAAAATGAGGAGGACTCGGCTCCAATACAAATTAATGGTGGATTTCATGGAATATGCCAGTGACAAGCAGAGAACCTTCAGTGTTCCGACCACTCCGCAGTACCCATGAAGCCAGCCGTTCACCGACACCACCAGTCGCCAATCCTCCATTAGACAAGGAATGCTGGAAGCTTCGACCGAAAAAAAAATCTAAAGGGAGTTTAATCAAATTGTGTTCAGAGAATGATAAGAAACCTAGGGAGTTTGCTAGGGAGTGTGAGGAAACATATGATATATATAATGGAACAAGAGCGTTTGGAATTACGACGAGAAGAATGAAGAGTAAGACAGAGAGATGCAGAGCTCCTTTTACAGGCTCAGTGGCTGGAACTTATGAGAGAGGCAATAAATGTATTAAAATATAATCTAGTTAAAAAGATGATTAATGTATATTTACATATTTTATTTTAAATTACTACATTTTGGAATGAGGAAAGATTATTTTAGAATTGAATTTAAAATGTCTCACTCTCATAGTTAATATTATATATAAGCCCTATTATAAAAACATAGGTAAGAATAGTTTTTAAGTTAGATTAGTGTGTAAGATGTTTTGGAAATGTATAATAATAAAACACTTGGGTCATCTGTGTAGTATATTTATTTGCTGTACCAGAATATTCCTTAAAGCCTTTTCACTTATCAAATCATCGCTTCTATCATTTTCATGTCTCATAACAGAAGATGAGGTATGAGACAAGTCTTGATGCTGTTGTTGCAGCTGTTATTGTATCTACCTGTTGCTCAGGCACATTGAAATTTATGACCAAATTATGCAACATGCAGCAAGCCGTTGTCAAACACATTTTTCGGGAGCATAATGCAGAGTGCGGTCTTTGCACAAGCATCGCCTCTTCTTTCTTTTACTGCAGTATATCGTGCGGGCCACGAGTTCCCTTTACCGCATCCAATATGAGTAGGCGTCATTAGCCATGGTCGCTGTGGGTAGCCAGAATCACCTGTAAAAAAATACTTATTAGAAAACCTAATTTACCTATACTAGCTACTTCCTCGCGGTTTCACCCGCTGCTCGACTCCTATTGATTTCATTTTAGCATTATAAGGTTAGTTTTTGTTGGAGTTGCTCACAGAAGCACTTGAAAGCTTCTTTATTTAGGCGGTACCTAGTATTTCTAAACTACGTTTCAGTGATATCCTTTGGATTAGATATATTTCTGAATTTAGCTCGGCACATTATTTCTCTAGAATAATCATATATGTATAATATATTATTTACTAGAATAATCATATATAATATTTCTCTATAACAATCAATCAATATTATTTTCTTGAATACGTATGTCTATATTAAGTGAAACATAACTTGAATAGGTGGTACTTACGAAGTTTCTTTTGACTCTTCATCTCCAAGTAAAATAGCCGCAAATAAACTATTTGTCCAACTTGGTTCGTACAGCGGCGGTTTTGCATGATGTTATACTCGTAAAGAATACTCACAAACATTATAATATATTATTTAAAACACGATTGAAATATTTCGAAACCTTTCTCACCGTCAAATTCTTAGTGACAAATGTTTCGACAGTTTTCGATAGCCAGCCTTCGAAACTTACGTTACTATACGTCAAAAGATCGTTCGTGCTTCCAATTTGTGTCAAAATGTTCTAAGTTTCGATAGCAACACGATACGATTACTATACGATAGTTGTCAAAATCATTCGTGCTTGCGATTTTTAGTTCCTTTTACGCACGGTAGGGGCGCTGTACAAATCCCATAGAAAATGCTTACGATCTCGATACGAATACTTTCTCGATAATGTTCGTGCTAGGCACACTGATAAAAACTATAAATGTATATTTTTCAATACCACTAGTATACTAGCGCCATCTATATCATCCATGGTATATTATTAAGGCGATGAAACGCCGTACAAACGATTTTGATTTGGAATCCTCCTTGCACTTATGACACTGATAGTACAACTCTCAACTTCATTTCATAAACGTAAAAGACACCATGTTTCAGATTTTGCTGATATTTCAGTACTTTGGCTTTGGAGATACCCGTAGGGGTTTTAATAAGTCTATCAATAGCCTAACCTTCGCGGATCTCATTCAATAAAAAAGATAGTATAGTATTAATATTAATTTTTACTCATTATATATTAAGTTCTGTGTTGGAAATGTGATACATGTGTGTGCAATACCAGCTAGGCAACTGGTCGGAGGCCCGGCAGCTGAGCGAGGCAGCGTCCCGCGATGACCCGTACTCGTGCGCGGCGCGCGTTACGGCGGCGCTGGCGGCGGCCCGCGCGGACGGGGCGGCCCCCGGGGCCCCGGCGGCTCCCGCCTGGCGGACTGCCGCCGACCTGCTCACTGCCGCCACGCATCTAGACCCTGCTGACCTCATCGCTGCTCATGATCTGGGTAACGGTCATCTGTCTTACTTAACATTGAAAAATAGAATATAATTAGGTAACTCACTCCAACTGAGGTTAAAATGTAGTTAAACCGGTAAGTTCAAATTAACCCATAATTTGACCTTGCGGGTTAAGTAATAAACTTGAACAAAAATAGATAAGTTTTTCATTGCTTTGGAAGTTTATTTAAATGCTAATACAGGGCCAAAGTAACCAGAATTTACGGCATATTTTATGTAGCTTCAAAGAGTAAAAAAAATCGTTAATTACCGAAACTAGTTGCTCTCACGCGCTTTCACCCGCTGCTCAGCTCCTATAGATCATAGCGTGATGCTTTATAGCCTATAGTCTTCCTCGATAAATGGACTAACAAAGACAAAAATGTTCAATTCGAACCAGTAATTTCGGAGATTAGCACGTTTCAACAAACAAAGAAATGAACTATTCAGCTTTATAATATTGATATAGATTGTCAGTAGTAATTCCTGTTGCCTTTTAGCTCTAGCTTTAGAGCGGAGTGAGGAGGAGAGTGCGGTGGAGGGTGCGATAGGTCGCTGGTCGCTGGTGCGCGGCGCGGGCGGTGCGGGCGCCACGCTGCGCGCGCTGTCCGCCGCCGGCCTGGCCCGCGCGCACCACCGACTGCGGGACGCCGGCGCCGCCGACCACTGGTATACTTACTACTTACCTCGCCTTCTACGACTTCCATCTGCATGGTTGACGTGGTGGCTGGCTTACTGGAAAAGGGCAATTCTTTGTGTGATCAACAAATTGTTGTTCTAAGTCTGGGTGTACCTACGAACTACGATACAGGAGAAAATCTTAGTGTACGGCAAAGTTTTTAAAAGTAGAAAAGAACTTACATTCAGGCATTTTTGGAGATGGACAACTATAATTACATATCTGTCCCCCTGAGAAGAAGAGAAGAGTAAGTGTCGACTCTTACTGACAAAAACCACCCTGTTTTGTACGCAGCAAGGTACCTAAGCAATCGGCCTTCCATAGACCTCCGCAACACCGGTTTCACAAGATAAAGACCGTGGGGTTAAACTTACGGAGAACTATTTTTTAAATGTTTAATAATTTTAGGTACAGCCTCATCGGCAATTTTGATACTGGAGTAACGTGTGCGCTTGCGCAACTGCACAGCGAGATGGGTGACACGCAAACTGCCAAACACCATTACCAAGATGTAAGTTAACTATACTGATTTTGTTATGTTAGAGTAACTTTAATGTACTAAAGGCAGGGTTAATAAATCAATGATCATTGAAAATGAAAACAATAATTATTTATTTATTGATATTGCCAATTCATACTTACAGCTAACTATACACGTATAAATTATAGGCACATTAAAATATCCTAATAATAATATCAAAAAACAGTTCAAAAGTCAATATAAAAATTGGATTTGATGAATAGATAAAATAAAATTTAATAAAATTATTAGACAATTAAACCAAACAAAACTAAAAGTCAAAGAAATTAAGAGGTCGTTGACATCTTGCATTACAAATTGAACGCAAAAAGCTAAGAAGAAAGAAATGCGTTCTAGAACTATACAAAGCGATTTCAATTGATTATTCAGTACGTAAATGTATCTAGAACGTAAAATGGATCGTCCCATATTTAATGAAAGACGCGCAGTTCCTCAATGAAAAGTGCGTACGTGGCTTATTCCATATTCGTTATTTAAAAATTCTAAATTACAGGATAAAATTATTTTATTTTGCATTAATATTCAGACAATACATCTTAAGGGCTTATTATAATACTAACTTTTGCCCGCGACTTTGTTCGCGTGGAAAAGTGACTTACTGCAGATTCTCGAGTTCCAAACTATGTCTGTACCAAATTTCACACAAATAAGTTCAGTAGTTTAGGTGTGAACAAAAGCCAGACAGAATTACTTTCCAATTTATAATACATATTATAGTTTGGATTACTTACCTACAATAACAATAATGATATAGTGGCAAAAATTAGTATAAACATTGCACCCGTGCGAAGTCGGGGCGGGTTGCTAGTATTATAACTAAGATTTAATGAATATTCTTGTAAATATATTTCAGGTGTGTGACTTAGTAATGGTCGACCTTGTATCATAACAGTGAACGACGACGTGATACCGTCACGCGTCGCCCCACGTTTCACATACATTATTCAATAACATCGGTTCAATAGATTATGATAGCCCAAATTATTGTATATAGGTATTTACCATATACCTACCGACATGGACAATCAGTATTGTTGTACACTATTATATTGACACCAAGTTAACTTAGCTGAAAATTTCCAGTTTTTTATTACGACCTACGAAATTTTACGTCAATTCCTGTTCAAGTTACATCTTGTTCATGTAGTTACCAAATTCTTCCCCAGTTATATAATAAATGAAAAATAACTAACGTTTACCAATGATTAGTGGGCGTTTTTCACATCAAAAATGAAGAAGCTGATACACTTGACTTACTTGACTTACTTGTGATAAAAATGTACGTGAATGAATTTCGACAATACTATTGTTAATTATAATATTGTACGTAGGTGGAGGCAGTGTGGCCGTGCGAGGTGTCTGCGCTGGAGTGGCTGGGCAGCGAGGCGCCCCCCGACGCCGCGCTGCAGTACTACCGCCGCGCCGCCAGGCTGCAGCCCAACAATGTGGGTACATTTGCTAATGGACAATCATATACTTACACTATACATATATTAATTAATTAATTTAATTATTTCTGCTCGAAATCCTACAATAACTACATTACATAACATTTTGACACAAACATTGTCAGGAGATCATCATCATCAGCCTATAGGTGCCCACTGCTGCGCAAAGACCTCTTCTCATACGGAGAAGGTTAAAGCATTAATCACCACGCTTGCTCAATGCGGGTTGGAGATTTCAAACTTATAATTAGTTATTAGAAGTCCAGGTTTCCTCACGATGTTTACCTTCACCGTATGTCAGCGGTGTCTAAATGACCATGGTAAGTACTATATAAACTTGGAAAAAGTCACATTGGTACTTGCCAGGTTTCGAAACCACGCCCTCATGCATGGCAAGCGGGCTCCTTAACCTCCGGGCCACGACAAAACGCCAGAAGACGTTGTATTAAAAAAATCATACTTTGTTAAAAGTTTAAGGAATTTTAACAGTCAATTACATATAAAGTTATAACTTAGGTTTCTCAAGCAAATGTACTAAACAAACTACCAGCCCTTTAAATGTCTATTTCCTATTTTGTCGACGAGATTGGAATGTAGATGTTTGCTAGATGATTAGTTATCTGCAGCTACAGTCAATCACAACCATAGTAGCACAATTTGGAATGATCCGGTTTCAAAGTAATTATGTACTAGATATTACTAGTTAGCTATTTACAAATTAAACATAATGAATCAATATAAGATTTAAAAGTACTTTTGAACTGAAGCATAGTTCTTTGTGGAAGAAGAATCTTGGAAGCTATGATAAAACAAGCTGTTAGTTAGCATAAGTATCTTGTAAATCAGCAACTTTTCTCTATTTTTTGATATTTCTGGGTTAGTATGATTTTGACTGCGCGATTGGCGGCTGCGGTGCAAGGAGTCGCGGATTCGATTCCCGCAGGAAAAACACTTTGTGGGATCAACAAATTGATGTTTCGGGTCTAGGTGGTTTTTTTAAGTTTGTAAACGCACCTACAACTCAGAAGAACTTGTCAGTGTGAGGCAACATTTCTTAGAAATAACAACAAATGAAAGTATAGACTTTTGATAACCGGGTTTATTCAACCAAATTTCTAATAATGTATGGTCTAATATTCAAATTCTGACATTTTGTGCACATACTTTTCTCAAGTTTTATAACAGAAATATAAAATAGAATTTCCATCTTAACCAGTTCCCAATCCCTTCTAAGTTCAATAATTCACAAGAAATTATAATAAGTATCGATTATATTATCAAAGTTGTATACATACAAAGTAAATAAGTCGTAAATGAGATCAAAAACATCTGTTGGTATTCTATTTACTTGTTATCGAAGAACATTCTATTTTCCGAATTGCTTTGCGTCAGCTTACAACGATTATGTATCTTGTAATAATAATGTATTAAAACAAAGATAGTTATCACACGCTCTGACCTTATATTATTGAAAACATTCTTACTTTTTGTATTAATGTTTTAGTTTCAATGAGTCTTGTAATCTTTATTAGGTAAAATCACGATTATAAGTTTCTATTGTAATGGGATTTAATTGAAACCTAATTTCACTCACTTCTCTATTCGAATTAATAATAATAACATCTCTGTACCTGCACCCAAATACAATCCTGCAGACATATAACAACCCTAAAAATTTACAAATAAATAAAACTATACACAACACACTACATACAACTGCTACGATGTTTTTAGATTAATATCATCATTAATATAAAACACTAGCTACTCCCGCGCGGTTTCACTCGCTGCTCGGCTCCAATTGATTGTAACATAATGTTTTATAGCCTATAGCACTCGGGAAAATTGTAGCTATCAATAAGTGAAAGAATTTTGGGAATCCGACCAGTGGTTCCAAAGATTATCCCTTACATACAAACTTACTTATAATATTAGTATAGCTATAGACTATCTACATAATAATAATTTTCTTTTTAGCCTCAATGGGGGTTGTTGATGGGACAATGTCTGCGCTCGAGTGGACGGTATCAAGAAGCTCTGTCTCTGTATAAGAAAATGAATGCACGATTCCCTGATAATGTTCAATGTAAGTAGTTTTCAAACCTACACAAAAAGGATGTTCTATAAGAGATATTCCCAAAAGAGTAGGATAATGTAACGCCTAGTTTTACAAGTTATTTATTTATGTAATATGCGACCCTATAATATTACTGATGTCTGACGACTTTCGAAAATTAGAAGACCCTGTAAAGCTCTTAGAAATGCAACAAACCTTGCTCTTTTTTCGCGTATGTGTGTGGAGTACGACCTTATGTGTTTGTAATTTTTAGCTAACAAGATATTTTTTTGATATAAGTAATATCTAATTACATAAAAACATAAGTTATATTAAATTGTACTGATACATGTCCCGGGCTTATCTTACACCTCTACATTACTATATAGTTTTAATTAGTGTAACAAAATTATTCAATTAAAATATACATAATTAGGTCTGAAGTTGATAGTGAAGCTATGTGGCGACCAAGGACTGGCAGAGACTTCGTCTTGGACACGAGAACTTCAACGAGCGCAAGCGAGAGTCAAGCAAAAAGAACAAGGTGACATTTCATTACAATACTTATATTATAAAAAAATTATACTTCCTTGGGGAGAGATGGGAGGAGAAATGGATTGGGCATTTTAGAAAACCTTTGTTTTGTTGGTCAAACTAAGCAGAACTGCCAGTCAACTCCCGACCAGTAATTGAACCAGACCATACTACCGAGAGTCACTTATATTATAAAATTTCGAATGTCCTAGACATTTTTACATTATTTCTTTATTAAGAGTCCGGAATAGATCTGCTAGACCATATGCATTCTCTAATGCCCTGAGGTATACACATTTTTTAAGACTTGTCCATAGATTCAGCCTTGGTTGCGGGTGAAAGCGCAATAAAGTAACGCGGGCCACGACCTGGAGCAGGAAAAGAAACGGGGTGGTTTATAGTCAGTAAGAGCCTTACCGCAATTAAAGCGGGAGACAATTTTTATTTAATTTCCTCCCTAAAAGCATAGACCTCGAACATAGATACTCGTACCACCTGTTTTTAATCAAACCAATAGAGTTTTCAATTGTAAGTATGGAGAACATAAAATTTTTTTTCGTGACATTTTTATATGGAAATCTAACTCATATGTACAGAATACATGTAGTTACCATGATTCAACAATATAGTTTCGGAAAAATGTGCTCGTGTGCGGAACGTACGAATCCATAAAGGTCGGGTTGGCTACGAATCTCTCAGAATAAGGCGTAAAATGCCACTATGTATAACACAAAATATATTTCTACCTCAAACCTTGAAAAGTTGATTGATTTCATTGAACATAATCAATGGAATGTGTTATAATGTTTGAATTATTTATCAACTAAGTAAGGAAAAATACTACGCACTCTTGTTAATAGCAATGAGAAATTTTAATGCGCATGTATTGTTCCTATATCGGTCGTAAAGAATCATTGTATATCTTATCTGAGAAATTAGATCGCACCGATGAAGTTAATAACGGCGATGTTTCAATATTTGACCTGATTTTACTTCCAGTATCAGTTACGTCAGCCGGAAGTATCTCCTCGGGGGCCAGTCAATCACCTATCGACCAAATCAGAGGTCAGTTACACGAAAAATATAGTAAATACTACAAAACATTGCATAAGCCTTCCCATGTATCGCTTCTGTTTGTTTTTCTTTTTATCGCATACGAGTATCTCTAAAATAAGGTTAAATCGCGGAAATTCCAGAAAAAATACATACTTGCCTTATCGTTTCTATTTGTTTTCGATTAATCGTTATTTGTGAACAAATTAATATCTACGCCGCTACCTGTTCAGGTGATTCATGATTGTATTTAAACTATTTTAAAGTGGCGTGATGCACACCTATGTATTTTCAAAATAAGTTAGATTAGATTTGTATTAATTAATTCATGATTCATGATTACATTGTGAAAACTATTTAAAGCGGTTTCAGCGTGGCGTAGTAAACATAGCACTATATTTAGTAACTTTAATATAGTCCTTTCTGAAGTATTGAAATAGTAGGTAAGTAATTACGTGGGAATTGTGCAGGCGGTAGTCGCGTGGGCAGCGCGGCGGGCGGCGGCCCCGCGGCCTCGCGCCGCGCCAGCGACTCCCGACCCGACAGCGCGCTCAATAGGACATACACGTGAGTTACTATAATACTACGCAACTTTTCCACTACATTGCATCGATTCTTTCACCAAATAGGTAGTACAGTATCACAGAAATTACATTATATACCTACTCCTTAACTGACTGAACTCTCTCCTGAACTGAATTACCCATTCTATAGGTAGGTGGGTTCTAGAGACTGCCTCTACTATATATCTATCCTAGCTATCAAGTTATTTAAGGTTTTATATAGAATTTTTTGTATATAAGCGTCTTAATAAAATATGGTAGCTATATGAACACAAATCCTAGTGTTTCAATAGAAAATGCTTGGGTCTTTTCAATTGTTCAATGAACTGTACCTAAGTACTTGGAAATCATTAAGTTTTAAGTATATCAAGTATTAGCAAATAATCAATGTTAACCCCTGTTGAATTTAGTGTGAGAACTCTGTCGCCTCATTAACGCTACTGCGCACCAGACGTTCGAACTAAAAAAGTGAGACTGGCGCCACAGGGTCAATCGTCTGAATATTTATTAGGTTGATTCCTTTATCAATTCAATCGCATTTGCGTAGTTAACGTTTAGTGGAAAGTACCAATGGCTTTCACCTGTAGTTATCAGGTAAGCATCATGTTTAATAAATACAAACAATAACCTTGCGTTCCGTCCTGTTGCAATTGTCATATAAATAAAATTGGCAATTAGCACGTAGATGCACTGCGGGAAAATGATTCATTGTCTTGATCCCAGGTAACCCTCAGGTCCAACATGAGCCTGGGGTTTGTCTCAACGGTCATCAGCTCTTCGATAATTTTTATCCCAAGGTAAATTGACGATTTTTTATGCAATATTATTTCTAAATATCTCTACGATTGTTTCCCAGGTATTCAGCCACATCAAATCAGGATGGTTTGCAGCCAGTCAGCAGGTCTATAAACCGTTCGGAAGCCAAGAAGAAACATATCGATGAATTTGATGACGATCTACCACTGCCACCAGAGTAAAATTAATGTTTATTGCTAATGTAATTAACGTCCATTATTAATAATACAGTGCAATTTTTACGGTAATTTTGTATTGTTTTATTAAAAAACTTTGTAGTCGAAAAGTATAGGTATTCGAAAAGTATATTCCTTACTAACATCTGTCGCGCGGTTTCACTCGCTGCTCGGCTCCTACAAATCGTAACGTGGTGTTTTATAGCCTTAACCTTTTATCGATACATGTACTAACAAACACAAAAATAATTATTCAATTCGAAGTAGTAGTTCTGAAGATTAGCGCGTTCAAACATTCAAACTCTCCAGCTTTATAATTTTATTAGTAATTAACATAGATTTGATTACTATTAGTAGAAGACTATTAATATGCCCTTGCAATAACTTCTTACTACTTTATTTTCCTTCCTAAACATTGGCGTTTTCTGCGTGTCTTTTCAAGTGCCAAAAAATTTTGACAGTAAACATATTTTTTAATACTTATCGCGTGAATTTTTGGAAAATCATATTTATTACATTATCTATTGATAAACAAGTGTTAAAATAAAACGTTGTGACTATTGTCTACCTACGTCAACGGATTACAAAAATAGAAAATAGATTAGGTAAGTAGTAGCTCGTTTTTATGTACAGTTGTGATATCCGCCATAAAAAAATATATTGTAAGTATGTATTTACTCCTTGTGATTTATTAGAATATTTGACTTGATAAGGAATTCGAATTATTGAAAATACAATGAGATGGTTACTGATTAATAGGATAGAGGTGGGGTAGGTAGGTTTCCCGCCGATATTGGGTGCAATATGCAATGATGTACTTCGGCCCGGCTCGGAGAAAGAATCTGAAAATCTCGTGAAAATCTTTCGCCTTACTAAAAACCATTGGCCCTACAAATGTTTTTTATTTTTTATTTTGCTTTGTTTTTTAATCCTCTCGTTGCTATGTTGCTGTAAGCTTTATCAGATAGATAAATCTGATTAGGCGTAGAAACTAGAGATGTTATGGATATGAAATTTAGGATGCGGATTAAATACGGATATAGAAATGATTATTATACTGGATACAGTTACGGAGACGGGTATGAAATTATTTCGGATTATCCGTTAGCTTCTGATAATTTCGGTTATGGATATTAAAATTAGAAGGAATTTCAACAGTAAAATACTAGCATAACATGTCTCAATTTAGCTCCGCCCATACACGATATTATCCGAAACTTTCATTTCGGATTTGGTTACGGTTACGGATATTTTTTTAAATCGGTTATCCGATAGTTTCGATTACGGTTACGGAGCTGCCTAACATCCCTGGTAGGAACCATTCCGATTCTGTTCCATGTCCAGTATTATGTAGTTGCATTGCTGGATAATCAAATTGTCTGTTATTGACTGTTATTAATTTGGTGAAATTAAATAAAGGCCCAAAAGTACCTAAGCACGACTTCAGAGTTACTGTATGAGCAGTTTTAACTCGAGACACTCGAAATACCTATTTATTATATACTGATACTTGTTTTGAGTAGTAACTATCGTATCCTATATAATAAATTTATTGAAAATAACGACTTACGTGAAACATCTGAGAAAAGCTCCATTAGTTTCAAGTCTCAACGGGACTTATCCATGAGCAGCGTGCGCGTTGCGGCAACGAAAACGAAAAATTTTTGTTAAATTGATACTTGTGTACCTACTAAGTACCTACACAAAATTGTACATAAATATCTATGTACCGTGAGGCGTCCTTTTGCCTTATAAAAGTTATGTACCAGTAAACCTTACTTAGACCGCGAAACTAAGTTGAAGTTTCTTCTCTTCAGTTAAATATGCATTTCTCCTTTTTTAATCCTTTAGCTGGTGACTGACCTACCTCACGCACCGGCTGGACTTGTACGAAGTATGAAGGTATAATATATTTTATAGTCCTGAATATCTTGATCAGATTTTATATGCTTACTTCACATACTTATTTATCAAAAAAAGGTGCGGCCGTTATCATGAACGAATTAGATCGCAGCATTCCGTAGAATACTAATGTGTTAATGCGTTTTAGTGTGGGTGTGTGTTAGGCGTGTTTACATAGTCAGAACAAGATAGATAATAGGTACCTACAGGTACTTATGTTAAGTGCAATACGCAGATTCAGATAATGACTTGATACTTGTAACTCTGCTACGAACTTTTGTGAATCTCGTAGATTTTTTGTAAACCCTACCGAGCAATAAAATCATTATGTAGGTTCTCAGTATCCAAAAAATGACATTTTATAAACAAAAAGCAACAGGTTTTCACTAACCAAACAAAATACATTTGAAGTATGATGTAGGTTGAGGAACAGGAAGGTTTATAGGAATAATGGGAGGAAAACTGCAGACGCTTTTTCATTCAGTAAAAATGTAGGTACCTACTTCCTACTAGTTATTTAAAAATAACTAAGTTATCCTCAAAACAATTAAATAATTTGCTTAATTAGGGCGTACTCTTTTTTGTTTTATCATTACGGACGTTAATGAAGTATCTACTATAATTATTGCGGAAAACATACCAATGTATATTGTCATCAACCCGGTAATCGTCTTCCTTCTTGCGTAATAATCTAATTACCTAAATTCCAATCAATCAGTTTTATCTTTTATACGGAACTATTTACATATGTGTTAATATCATATCTCGAAAATCCATGGCTTTTTAGTTTGTGTTTCATTAACCCCTCGTCTCCCGGAATGTAAGAGGCAGAAGACAATGCATCTATAGGTACGTCGTGTAGATCCATTCCGACACTTAACTGTAGGTCTTATACCAAGAGCCAATTTTTTAAAATGTAACGTAAGCTTTATTCACGTTTATTGCTTTACCAGAAAAAATCTTATAATCGGATGTAGATCTTATTTTAAACATGCACTCCCTTCTTGCCTTGATCATATGGGTTTTATTTCAACGAGTTGCTCTAAGAGGTATCTAGTTGGTATCATTAAAAATCCAGAGCGTTCAAAATAAAAAATCTATTTATTAAATATAAAAATATATTGAATTAATAAATATGAAAGTATTCATACAGATTCGTACCTTAGACTAGAAAAATGCACGTTTTCAGCTAGATTACTTTCCATATTCATGGCCAAAATCAATTACAATATTTAATGAACTGAACAAATTCTTGACAATACAATACTTCAGTCCACAAATCGGTAAACTATAATTTGCCTAAACGTCACTTACGTAAGCATTGTTCTAAACTTAAAACGTTTACAATAATTATATACAGAGTAAGCTTCGGCTTTATATTAATTACAAGTAATATCACATCACGTTTTCAAGTCTGGTCCTGGCGGCGTCATGGTATAAATATGTCATTTGTTACGATTTATATATCATTTTATGGTACTTTAGTCTTTTGTTCGCTTACTATAAGAGTACTCACTCGATTACATGAAACGGCATTCTTTATCTAGTTATTACTATTTGCAACTAAATAATATTTACAATAATCCTAACTTCGTATAACCCAACATTAATATTTTATAACAATAATTAATACAGTCATAATTTGATTTGGATGGCTTACGTTTCCTAAGTGTATACAGTAGCACCATACAACTTACTATAGTAAGTCAGAGAATGTCCGCGTTTACTTCACTTCGTACTCGGCCGATGTGTCGGCCAAGTGAAATATACCAATTACTTGACGTCCTCCCGAAGATAGTAGATAGTGAATAAATAAATAAAATAAACACGTACACACTGATAGCGCTAACGATAACAATATAATTAGGCGAGTTCTTGTGCTTCCAAATGCGCAGCATTTACACATCGTCCGCTTCTCCGTTCAATGTAACCTTAACTTATCAATAAACGTTATCATTTAAATAATATAATTTATCGTCCACACATTTAGGCACAGAAAGTTTTCTGATTATTTCTCAGCACAGAACAGTTTTTGATATGTATATTCACATAACTCGTCGGCTAGCGACGTACTAGCAAATAGTGAGTGTCGGGTAGCAGGGCGGCCCGAGCCGCGGCCGGCACTACGAGATGACCTTGGCGAACGGGTGCTCTATGTGCCCGTACTGGATGGCCAGCAGGGTGTCCTTCACGCGCTGGTACACCGGCTGGGCCTGCGACATCGTGGGGATTCGGATCTCATGCTCCAGGAAGCCCACCCTACTGATGGGACTGATCACCACAGCCGTGCCCGCGCCGAACATCTCCAACAACTGCAAAAATATAGACATCATTTAATATTTCAAACAAAGTCTTCCAGCCAACCAACAAAATTCAAGCACGAAACTTACCCGTCCTTTGTTGTTCAGCTCGATTACCCTGTCCATGGTAATGACTTCTTCCTTTACGACTAAATCTTCCCACTGGCTGGCGAGCTCTATGATAGACCGCCGAGTTACTCCAGGCAAAATGAGACCATTCAATGGCGGAGTACTTAACTGTTTATCTGCAAAGACAATGTTTTTATTGCATAATTTTGTACAAATTTAAATAAAAAGAACGCTAGTCTGGAAAAAACGAACTGATGTGACTGACCCTAATTGTTGCTTCAGATACGAGACGAGAATTTACCGGTCAAAAGGTCAGAGTGCCACCGACGCACCAGATAACACTTCAGTATCAGCCAGTCACACGGATATCCAACCATTAACCGCATGATCATACGTTATTTTTTGTTGTTACAGACGTAAATAATAATGTTGATATAAATTATAACGTTTATTATTATTATTACCTCCTTGTTCATTGATGTAAACTATGAATATGTTCATCGCGCCGACTTCGGTGAGCTCGTGGTTCGGTCCGAACAACCACAACACTTGATGGTGACCCAGTTTAGCTGCTCGAGCCGTGGCCTCTGTAAACATAATCAGCACATGACTATTCCCGTTTGCACCGGATACATTCGATTTATTGATAGACTATAATATAAAAGGGAAAATGATGATTGCCACATTCTATCCGGCAGAAACTTACCGATCGTGGGTCCATAATTAGAACCAACTTTTCGGTTGCCGACTCCTCCTGGGAAGGCCCGCACTACATTGGGGTCCGCGTATATAGAGACAGCTCCGTCGCTACCAGTTTTGTAGTACGCACTTACTGGACTGAGAATTGCGAACAACAGCGCCGTTTCGGGGGCCATTATACCAAACGTAGGCTGTTGGAAAAAAACAAAATATAAATAACATACTGACAAACAGGCCTAAATACGATAGCTGCAAGTTAAAGTAGGTAACTAAGATACGTGGCTACACAATATCCTCTACCCGATTCTATCTAACAATATGAATACTTATTCTAATAAAAAATATGAATATTTGTGTAATATATTTGTGTTCCAGATTATATTAAAAAGGTGTTACATAATGGCTTGTACAATGATGTGTTTGTTGTTACTATATGACCATGCTCGAGCTACACAGTCGATTCATTAATAATGCAATAGAACAGAACATTGGATAAAGAGGTTCAAGGAACAGAGCTACGATGTAACATTGTTTCAGTTTTCGTTCTATGATCAATGTGACAATTAGGTCCAATTTTATTAATTGTATATGTTAGTGCTTTATTTCCTTTTTGGTGCTTAAGTATTTACTTAACAGTACAGACGTGGCTTCTTTAATAATATTCAGAAGACGCCAATAGCCTAAAGAAGTATCGGTAATTATTTACCTTGAACCGATATCTAAGGCGATAACAACACGATGGAAAATAAATTAGCTAACATTGACTTATTTTTTATCGATTTGCGATTATTTCACATAAATATATTTACGTGCGTTCAACTTAGCTAGAATATATTTGAAAAATAGTGCTACGATTTAGCATTAACAAAAAAAAAACTAATTACTTATTTATTTATTTATTTGGACTTCCAACAGAGAAAACACTTTAAATGCCAGACAATATACATAACAAAATATTTTCTTGTGCTTCTCCACTTATAAGAAGCCACAGCATGCAAATATGATGTAACAGCATGAATACAATACACAACATGTCCTTTTTGTCTCTTATTGGGATAAGTAGTGCGTTTTCCTAAGCCAATATTACATAATTTGTACATTCATTAAGAAATATTTATGAAATCAATATTAATCTGTCTTAATTCTTATTTCACATATTTTTCAAGTTTTAGGAAAACATACAGCTGATCAAGTACAGAATAGTTCGGTTGTAAATAACATTGATAAGGCCAATTATAAGTTTTGACAGATATAAAAGTAGACATAGGTATATAATATACCTAGGAAGTAGACAGAGAAAAAAAAACTTTTGTTGAATATTAATATAAATTAACGTTATCGAAAAAGTTATTGCTAAGAATCTTTTTTAACGTATTTACATAAGTGTTAAAAAGATCGATCTCAACGTCCCGACTAGTCGAATTGAAATTAATCTATCAAAGAAAAGCAGTATTTAATACTACTGGTTCAGGATATTTATTAACTAGGAGTACTGACTTCAATTGATAACTGTGTTGATTAAGATTGAATTTCAATAGATTCGTTTCATCTTATTTAGTTAAATTATCTTGTTAATTTAAATCTAGAACAGGTAAATTACGTTTTGTAAGTCAATTTAATAGGTTTAAGTAGATTACAAGGTAACGTTGGGACTGACATGTACTTGGTATAAAAGTCTCAAAAAAAAAGAAAAAAAAATCTTGTTCAGAAAACTCACTAAGAAAAAGTAGAAAGTGTCGGCATTAGTAAAGAAGTAGATATTATAATATGGTTCCTAAAAAATATTTTATTTTATAGTGCATACAAATAAATCGAAGGAGTATGTAGCTACTACTCGCTTTATTTCAGTAATCAAAATTGTTTTGAAACAAAATTAATATTGATAAATATCAAAACCAACAACAAACAATTGTTGTGATAACACGTGTTGAATGCAGTTGAAACGTGACCAAGAAGAGTTAATTCCCAAATAATAGCAACAGGCGACCGATTGTGCAATGACATGTTTTAAGTATTTAATCGCACGTTTTCTGTCATGTGGTCAATAATTAATACGCTTATCCGTCTGCAGCATTATTTATACTTAAAAAGTAAACGCTTGACAATAAACAAACGCAATTTAAAATAAATAAAAAAAAAATTTGTTTAAGATATTTCATATTTTTAAATTCATTCTATATGTATCAGTAAACTTAGTAAACAAACATAAGCATTTCCAACGTGTTGTCAATTTTCATTTGTTTCATTTATAAATCAGTAGAATATTACTGTAACTTTTACTTCAAATTAAGACTACTTAAAAGTAAAATACTCATTGTATCATCGATTGAAAAACAAGCTATGCTAGGGGAAAAGCGAGTATCAAAACAAAGGTTCATTACGAATGATAAGACAGCACCTACTTAACAACAATGACCGATCTGTTATATTATCGTCCTTCACTCCCGATAAACAAAATATCGATCGACACATGCCTACACGTATCTACGTAAGTGAACCGCCTTGGAAACGATACAACTAGTGAAAATATTCACATTTATACGTCCTATGACACAATCCTAAAAACAATACTGATAATAAATGGCATGATTGAACAAATCTATTCGCGATATCTGCTAATGTATTGATAAAAATGTTATTTGCAAAATTATTATCAATTAGAGGAGTTTATAAAGATAAGAGCAAGTGGGCTACAATATTTTCCGCGTGTACAGATTTTATTGGCACCATTAAAAACTTAACTGCTTATTTTTGATTGTTTTTTTATATGTGATAAGCTACTTAATGTATGTTTAAGTTACAACAGCGTTTAATTTTGTCGAAAATTATAATATATTCCTTATGAAATGTAGGCATTAGACTCTGTATAATTTATTCTAGTACTTTCTATCTAAACACATTTTATCTATGTGTAATTAAAGATGTAACAATCAAAGAGTTTGGGCCTTTGAATAATCATATCAGCCTGTTTGTGATATTTAAAGCGCCATTTATCAGCCATTAGAAGTCTCATTTGTAGCTTGTTAGCATTTCCACGTGATATACATTACTTTTATCCAAATAGGTCCAGGCAAATAAGTTTCGATATCTGAATCTAGTTTTAGTATATTGTACTTATACGGATACAGATAATGTATATTGTATATGTACATATAAGATTATCATAAAAATGTAAATGATTTCGTTAGAACATTCCCAGGGATAATATGTTTTCCTCATGACTCAACAAAGTTGACTAGATAAATTTCTAAGAAACAATTTAATTAAATCATTATTAATGAAAATCAGCTTACCTCAGTTCCTATTAACGTGGGTCGTATATATAGAGTGGACGTTTCTGAATGAGGGACCCACTCCTGGTCGATTTGCACTAGCCTAGTTATGCATTTAATGAGCTCATCTCCATCGAAGGTTGGCAGGCCGGACCTCTGCGCCGCTAAGTTCATTCTTTCCATATTCAACTCCGGCCGAAACAATCGTATCTTATCATCGACCCCCCTGTACGCTTTTAGTCCTTCAAATAGCTGTAATAAAATTAAAATCACTTTATAATCTTATAAGTAGGTATATTGCCTACTACATACAGTAAGGTCTCCACTGACATCATTCGCACATTAATGTAACAGTACCGCTTTGATAAACCGTTAACATTAATAACTGTTCTAGAAATTACACCAAATAGAACTAACAAACAATTCATGTTTGTATTTACCATCATAATATAGTTCTCATTTCTACTAACAAGTCTACAAATATTTATACAGGGAGTTGTAATATTACAAATAGAGAAAAGACTAAACTGATGGTGGATAGAAACACCAATTTAGAAGAATATACTTTTTTAGGAAAGTAAAAACTATTGTCTGGGCTTCGTAGATCTTTAACAAAGTTTTAAAGTAATAAAGGAACATACTTGTATCGCATAATGTAGGGCTTTGGCAGCTGGGTGAATGCTTAAGTTTTCAAACGGCATAATTTCTGGTTTCTGCCATCCTCCTAGTTGTTTGAAATAGTTTATTTTGAGCATGTGATCCGTGAAAAACTTTCCGAATCCAAGATCCGTGGCTTCGGGTTTCGGGTTGAGTTGGTAGGGAGCTGCTAGTCTCACTTGTAAGTCTTCATGCTGAAACACAAAACGTCGTTTAACCATTGAACAGTGAACTCTGATTATATAACTAAAGTGACTTGTACTTTATTTGTTTACTTTTACTGTTGGGTGAACCGCTCTGATATAACTTTGTTTATGTAAATAGTATTATTTTATTTCGTGTTATTATCACGTCGCAGCTTAGTTAAGGCGTCAGTCGGTTACATCACATTGGTTTAACGTGGATAAATTAGTGTGTAAACATATTCTACTGTTACAATATGGTGTAACGTCGTCAGAGGGTACGTCGGCGGTCACGTGGCACTTGGCATGCTCGACTCAAGTCAATACACATATATCATGCAGTTAACTCCTGACGGCAGATAGCAGTTTAGAACTACAGTTGCATGAGAGCAAACAAACAAGATAAAGGTTCAAAACAGACGTTTATTACTCTCTACCTACATATATTATGCAGATACTTACATTCGATTTAAAACAATAAGTACATGTTAGCATTATCAGTTTTCATGCTGTTAAATACATCACATACATCAACGGATGCGTAGCGAAATTATTATTATTCTAACAAAATTATGTACATTACATTACTAGAATATACCTAAAGTTGATCGAAAATGTATCATTATCATAATGATTTGCTAAATAATTACACCACATTCTACAACTATAAAGCTCTTTGAATTATGATATTTAGTTAAAGCTCAGATGTTCGAGATCAATCCAAGCTTCAGATAAAAATCACTTAGCTTATCGTACAAGTAGCTACATCGGATTTGAAACCAACTAATCACAAAGAGATTAAAATATTAAAACGACATATAATTGATATTGTCAACAAATCGCGGCACATTTACCTTGAACGAGATTTCAGGCGTAATTTGTGGGCGGGGCTTGTCAGCGGGCGCGGCCATAGAGGGCGCCACGTGTTCGGGCTGTGCTTGCGACGCATTCTCTTCCAATTCCTTATAGCGGAGCGAAGAACTACAATAACGTACCGTCTGCAACTTGTGTTGGTTCTCGAAGATCCATTTTACCAATGACTTGAAATTAAGAAAAATACACATATAAAATAGCCACAATGAATCTATCTACTTGGATCGTGTTAGTAAATGTAGAATATAGACAATGCTATTAATTTACTGGTGACGACCTCAATCGGTCCCATTCTAGGTAGGTACTATGAATTTTATACAGGAATTACCTAAGTTATCTATTGTACTCTAGTGTTTGGTTTTACATTTGAGTGAGAGAGAAACTGCTTTATAGAACTTTTTAAACAATTAATTACCGAATACTAAAAATATTGAAATTTTAAACTGAGAATTCGAATTTATCGCACAAATTAAAAATATATGACTTGATTTATTTATTTTTTACAGATGTCAATAACTTTAGAATATTAGACTTTTTTAGAATTTCAATAAAATTACCATAAATTAGGAACTTGAAGGAAAAACATCAGTCCTCATAAATTGATATTCTGATTATTATTTCGACTAAAAACTATACAGTGTCAACTAAAAGGAAGTCATATTTAACAGTTAAATCTACACTATAAATGAATTAAGTATTAATAAATAGAGTATAATAATAATAAATATATTATAATTAATAAATAGCTAATCCTTACCTGACTGCGACGAATAGGCATCTTTAATCACTTAATATAAACACTAAACACAAATACTTTTTTCTAATAAATTAATCACAAAACACTTTAAGTACTATAAATATATTTTTTATAGAATTAATGTGCACTCTTCGAAATAATGTACGTTCACAACTTGCTTCAAGTTAACTGACTTCACTGGATCAAAGCACAAACATTTAAACAGCAAAATGATAAGATTGTGGCTGACCTGCGAGTGACGTGCTCATTCATAATCAACACAAATTATAAAATATTATTTGATAACGCAGTATTTAATCAAAATAACGATTACGCACTGAGTGTTACTTATTTGGCGGAATTGGTATAACGCACGCGGTTGTCGATCAGGCGGCCGGTTCGTACGAAACTAAGGAGCACCACAGCGCAGCACCTTGGGGCGGCGGCGTGAGGTCGAGTGAAATGCCTGTATTAGGTCACCGAGCTTCCATGTTCATACACATTTAAATCAATATGTAAATACTACTGGCAAATAAATGCTTATTTACGCACGAAACTTATTTACATACCAAATTATTCTACATAATAATACAAACTCCAAATGACAAAAGACAAATCGCGCCAATTTCTATACACCTTTGTACTACACAATGCCGTGATTGTTTTTTTTAAATAAAATCATAGTGCAATCTTTACTCCTTTTATAATAACTCAGGCGGAAATAATTTTTAACGCCTTTTTTGTAAGTAGGTAAGTACAACCATTACAAAAAACATCCACAGGAAAAAGTGTGTTAGAAAAGTGACGCCGTTAAAGTGAATGACGTATTAACTGCGTAATTCTTTTACTATTGATATGTTATAAATAAAATAACCAAACTTAATGACGCAAACGATACATCTAAAACAAAACAAACCAGTTTCATATAATCATAGTTATTATTCTACAAGTCAACAAATAATTTACATTTAAATATAATTTGCATTAAATGGATTAAATGCACTATTTTTATGTAAGTACTATTGTAAAATTATAATAACTTCTTTCTTGGTTTCAACCAAGGTTTATTAACTTTAGTATAGGCTTGGTTGACGTAGAGATACTTTATCTTCGTTTCTGGCGTGTTTTTTCAGCATATCCATTATTTCGTTGTCGTACTCCTTGGGCGTGGGCTGTTTCTCAACCATCCAGTAGAAGAGGTCCCAGTCGTTGCTGACAGTGTTGATGAGCCGGTCGTACATTTTAGTTTGCTCCTCAGTCAGAGAGGGCAAGTGTTTCTTTGCGAAAGTGCTCAACAGAAGATCATTCTCCAACATTCCTCTTTTTCTGGACTGGTACATGAGCCTGGAAATATGAATTGATATTTAATATACATGTAAAACACTAATTGTCGAGTGGTGAGTTTCACGTAAAATCTCCACATAAATGTCCGGCAACAAGTTTGCCTAGATTAAAACTAAAAACAGAAATCTTAAATAAAAATCCTGTCTAACATAAATACGGATTTTAGACTTTTGTATCTTTTTTCTTAGGTTGACCATCGGGCATACTGATTCGTAAAAATTTTACTGCAATTAGCAAATTAAAATTTTGGGAACTATGCTTGCACAACTGGTTTAGCTCAACCGGCGAGATAGATCATAGGGAACCCACGTTAGCGATTGCGTTGTGTATTTTTAACGGTGACCTGACTACGAGACTCTTTTCCCTTCTGTTATTCGAGGAAATAGGGTCTTGGCTTTTTAACCAATAACACTCTTGTAACAGCATCAAATAAAAGTTGTGAACATTAAGGAAGAAATTATTTTGTTTATTGCGCATTTGGCGTCTTTCTGCGGACTCTGAGAGGCCTTAAGCCATCAGTAGGTAGTTATCAAAATTCTGATGTCCTACATCCAATATGTAAAGTATGAAAATGTATTGCCTGCCAACTGTTGGCAAGCAGGCAGTTGAATACTTTCCTATTTCTGTTTTGTTGTAAGCAACAACATGTTTTGATTATTGATAATTTAATTACTCTCATTAAGATTGGAACAGTGATGATGAAGTACATATTTATTTAACCTTATCAGTTAATCTTAGACTCCATGAATGCAGAACTTATTGAAAATATATTTTTATTATTATTAATTAAAATATGGCTGTGAGCAGTCTTTCCTCAATGTTAAGTAACATTAAATTAATTTATGTAAAATAATTTATTTATTTTTTGTTACAATATTTATATTACGGAAGATGCATCTAGTTGTAAAAACGAATATAAATACAATGCTTTTTGTAAAAAATAATTCTGTAACATGATGAACAACAAGTGAAAAACAAATGAACATCAATCACCATGTTACCTTAATGCAGATTGGGCAATAAAAGATCTATATTAATCAGCATTCTTAAATTATTTTATTACTGTACGGTTGGTGGGGTGGCTGGCCACTGATTCGATTCCCACACGGAACAACTCTTTGTGTGATCCACGAATTGTTGTTCCGAGTCTGGATGTGATGTGTAGGTATGTGAAATTGTATGTTTGTAAACGCACCGCACGCGTGTGAGGCAACGTTTTACATGCCAAGAACATACAGAAAAGTAAGTAGCAATACAACTTATTGCAGAGATCAGAGTGTCTAGTGCGAATTCCATTTAAGTCAAAGCAATCAAATTGTCACTATATCTAGCCTTATGAATGGTTTGTCAACTAAAAGAGAGCCAATCTGTTTAAACAATGCAAACTTGCACTAGGCACTCTGAAATAGGAAGACCAAGCTTAATAAGTTAATGAAGCAGGATGTATTAATTCAGACAATATTTAAAAGATATAATAAAAACATGTTAGTTTGTGTACACATAAAATTTTAAAGTAATTAATCATAAAGTATTCTCACCTTGCTTTGCGTTTCTCCAATGACTGTGGTTTGTCAATATCATAGCGAGGTATTTCTATGTAGGAATAGTCAACATCTACAGGCTTGTCACTCATACAAGCACCACTAGGCATTCTATAGATGACATTTGAAGCCTGAAGCTTCTAAAAAGAAAATATAAAACAATAATTAATTTCTTATTTCAGAATTTAATGTTTTTAGTTTTTTTTATTTCAATATTGTGGTAATTAATGGTGTTATTGCAATACTTTTATAATAATCTACCTTTAAAAAGAGAAAATTGTGGTAACTTATGTAACTTATTTTTGGCTTGTATTGAATAATCACTGTAAATAGTTTGCAAAAGGTAATGATATTGTTGACATTTACTCTACCTACAAACAGTTTATTAAATAGGTAGTTTATCAAGTATCATTATTTTTGAGTGCCAAGGACTTGCAGGCTACTTTCTTATCACATCAAATAAAACATATCTTCCATTAGGATAGTTTCATGTGATGAGTTAGCAATGGAATATCTACTTACTTATGATTTTTAAGACCATCAGTTTTTTTAAGTATGGTGTGCATTGGTGGTTATATTATTTACTTGTTAGCTTAGTTCAAAAAGATCATCATCCTTAAGGGATTTGCTTATCTGATTGTATTGCATAATGTCAAGAAATAGTTTAATTCTTTTTATAATATACTGTGTTACATTAGGAATATTTTATAGCAAATTTGAATTTTGGGATATAAAATATTAGCTGGACATGTTTGAATTTAAATTGATGCACGTTCACTCCGATAACATTTTGGTTAACCAAACTACCTTTTATCTATTGTAAACAACAAACATTACTTACAGTAATTGTTTCAATATTTACTTACCGAAATAAGAGATCGAACCGGACGAAACATTACGCTTTCTTTACTTATGGAGATAGAAGAAAAGCGATTTAACTTTTGATACTTTTTCGGAAAATAGGAAAGTATCGAAAAAACAAAAATAGATCAATATTTTTCCATTGACAGCAAAAAATTACGTTTTAAATTTGACAGTGACATTAGTGACATGATTGTTTTCGAAGATTGAACAGTAGAAAAATAAGGTACCTAAAGATATTTTTGAAATTCCTTAAAAAATATGAAGCAAATTTTTTACGGAAAAAGTTACTTTATTACATCATAAAAATAAGAATAATCATTGACCTGCTTATCTTCTGATGCCTGACGAATAATTTTGGTAGCGGTATTGCCGAACTTTGTAAACGCACTCATTTGCCATCCGTTACCATGACAACAATGTTATGTTCAAAGTTGTGATGATATTTTCAAATGTCTGTCGTTAAGATGTTATAATTTATAATTAACTTAAAAGTAACAAATTAATAATCATGGTATTGGAGACATAACCGTCTACCTATATCTTAATTTTAACTGAGTAAAATGTTGCCTATACGCGAATTCATATTTAATATTATTGGTAAGACTATTAACTTTATAATGTTTGATTTGCTTATGTAACTAAGTAATTATCTACGGTTACATGTACCAACGTAGTTATTGAAATAAATTTTACGAATATTGTATACTTAAGTAATACTTCAAATTTATTTCCATCATTGTTTTTTTTCTAGAACACTTTTACAATAAAACAGATTTGAAATTAAACGAAACTTCAGCAGATTCATTATCTGATTTCATCAACACTCCTCAAATACTTCTGATTCAAGCCTATATTAAACAAGATGTAGTTTGTCTTCAAACTAGAGTAAGTATTTATACAATTAATTGATTTGATTACCATGAAACAGTAATTTTTTCAGACCAAATTTTTTTACTTATGACTGTATTTTATTAATATTGATCTATCAATCAATGATGGCAAAAATACAGAGAAATTAAAAGAAATCTTATATTTTTCCATACTGATCAGACAAGAAATGTTTCCTTAAATATATTTTCAGATAAAGGACGATAAGAATAAATCTATAGTGTTTTATAAAATTTCTGCACAAGAACTACTAAATGATGATGCTGTGAACAATATTAATATATTGACCCTGTCAAACAATACAGCCCAGACACTCTACCAGATTTGGAGACAAATATACACACCACTGTTAGCTGAAGTAAGAATATTATACTTCATAAAATAAAAAACCAAATTAAATGTATTGATAGTCTTCAATTACCTTGATACTCAATGCCTTATTTCTTTCGCTGTATACCTAAGCATATAGCAAAAGAAACAGAAACAGGCAAACAAAACAAAATATGAAAGGCCCTTAAATATAACAGCACTGGAACCAGCCTTAATTTAATAAACAACCATTTATTTGTTTTGATTAATGTGTCATGCTTGACCCGCATATTTTATAAAATCTTTCAAATTAATCTAATTTTGCACTCACTCTACAAAAACATATTATGTAATTTTACTCAACAGGAAAATGACTTGTATTCCAACAAAATCCAAAAAAATCTATCAGACCTTGAGTCCAACTTGAGGATTTTAGCCCATGGCAAAGGAAATACTAACATAAATGGTAAGTTGGCTTAAGCTTTACTATTAATACGAGATGAATAGTCCACACCAAATCTGGTACGCAGACAAGAGCCGTGCGCAGGTTCGCGTCCCAGAGGGTCATGGCTATTCGGATAATATCGGAGAGGTGGCGAACCTCCTTGCCGGGTCACCGCCATTGGATCTGGAGGCGTAGGCGCTCGCGCAAGTCTTCAGTTTGCGCGAAAATTTTCTACCGCCCCAAATTACTTCGTGGCGGAATAAGCTACGGCGCGATCTCATGGCAGAGTGGAAGTAACGTCCTGTCGCAACCGAGGGCTGGGCACACTGTTATAGCAGCGGTAAGTCCCCCCTTTGAGGAGTGGCTTGAAAGACGCCACGGCGTTAACCATCCGCCTGACACATGTGCTTACCGGGCACGGGCATCCCCGGCTGGGATGGGCGGGCCACCGTAAGTGCGGGTCTACGGACGGCGAGTAAGGGTAGCTCGCCGTCCGACCCAAAACCAGAAACAAACGGAGCGCTCGTAGCAATAGTCCACCATAGACAGGGCCCTATAGCGCTAATGTTCAGCCGGAGTTGCGGGGCAATGAGGTACCGCGGCCGGCTCAGAGCAGAAGAAGGAAAGGGGGTGGTATTTAGTCAGTTAGAGTCTGATACGCCTTCCCGACCGACCCTGGGCATGAGAAGTCATTTGGTTATTTTCCCTTCACAAAAAAGCTATAGTAACACCAAATTACATGTATTTTCATGAAACATAAAAGTAGGTACAGACTGTGCAACATACTGTTATATATTTCTATCTGTTGCAGTTGTTCTGTCAATCCAAGATGAATTGGAATATTGGAAAACGGTTGCACAGAAAAGGGATGCCAGTAAAAAAGAAAAAGAGGCTGCATCTAATTTTTGTGAACTTTTTGAAGATATCATTGAAGAAATACGGTAACTGTTAAATTGATTGTACATATAATTATCTGCAATTAAAGCCGCAATAAAAAATAAAAATTCCTACTGAAAAGAAATCTATGTTACAGCACAATAAATTCAAGCCCCATGGAAGAGATTAGGGAATCAGCAGAAAATATAGGTGGAATCCTGGATGATATATGGCGTATCACAACCTCTCCATATTCCCAAGATAGGATGGTACACATCTTTGATGTTATTGGTATGTAATTAAATGTATTGAGACTTTTGTTGATGTAAAAAATACCACCTACTTTCTATGTACAAACTTAGATATTGTTGGTAGTTGAATTTCAAATAGATTTTAAGTCAACGCACGCCAAGTTCATAATCTTCACAAAAAATAAAATAATTTAGAACAACACTGTTTGATCCACAAATTGTTGTTTCGGGTCTGGGTGTGATGTGTATGTGAAATTGAATGTTTGCAAACGCACCCACGACACAGGAGAAAATCCTAGTGTGGGGCAATGTTTTTAAAGAAGAAAAATTATTATTGTGTTAGTACCTATCCTCCCTATTTTTAGATTCATACCTAATGAACATCATCATCGTCTTCAAATCAGTCACAAGATGTCAACTGCTGAACATGGTCCTCTACCAAGAAGCCTTTGCTAGTTATGTAGTTACTTGTGTAGCTTACTCTTCATATCATTATATCCCGTAATAGTATCATAACGTACACAGGTTTAAAAATACGGAAGCACGATAAACATACCGTTCGACGTGAAAGTCTGACCCAAGTCACCCTCTACTCTAGAGTTCATCAATAATTATTCTTTATGTTTCAGGTCACGAATTATGTTCAATAATACAAAAGTCGGTGTGTATAAACGATCTTTGGAAAGTGCACAATGGCAGCAAGGATAGCGAGTTACTGAACCTTTTGTCAGATAGTTTTAAAGTAGTGCAAACTTGGAACAGCGCTTGCGATTCGTTAACTGAGACTTACTGGCCTAACTATGCACTACATGCGTGGAACGGAAAACCTTACGTCCCACCGTTCTGTTTGAATTTCCAAACTAGGATCAAGGAGGTTGGTTTCCGATATCTTAATGCTTTTAACGACTACGTGGAGTTGCATATTCGTATACCTAATAAATGTACCTACATATATTTTTCACATTCCAACAATCCCATGTAAATATGATGTGAATACCTCCAAAGATTTCTATGCATCATTTTACCACAACATACCTAAGCCAATTTTAATCAATACTCATTGCAGATTCATGACATTAGATCTACTCATAGTCAGCTAAATAAACTACTGACAAGCAGTGAGCGATCAGAATTGCAGACCCATCAATTATTTACACCATTCGAAAGTAAGTTTATAGCTTTCTAGTCCCTTCCTTTTATTTTATAATAATTAAAGAAAATAAAAGAAATTTAGATATTGGTTGGTTTATGATAAAATACTGTTTTTTTATGGGATAGGTGCGCCAAAAAGCTGACGTATTACCTGATGGTAAGCAATTGGGGCCGTTCATGGATTCTCGCAACACCAAGAGTTACTAGTGGGTTGCCGGCCTTTTGAGGATAAGCGTTTGGGATATTTAAGGATTTGGAAGGGATAGGGAGAGGGGCAGGGATTGAGCCTCCGGTAACCTCACTCACTCAGCGAAACACAGCGCTGTGGTTGCTTCACGCCGGTTTTCTGTAAGGCCGTGTTATAATTCCGGTCGAGCCGGCCCATTCGTGCCGAAGCATGGCTCTCCCATACTTTTGTATTTTAACGTATATTATTTAGACTATTTATGCTGCATTATTTTTTCAGACGTAAACATTTGGATGTGTAACGGTCCAAACCCTGGATGGGAAACAGCGGTTAGCAAATTTTCAACCAGCTTACGACCTGCTGAAACTAAAGTCGCTGAAAAATTGAAACCAAGATTACATAATATGTCTACTAAACAGGTAAAATGCATTACCATGGCGATAAACATATTAGAATGCCGCATCCCTATCTATGACCCTGTCCATTCAATGTGTGAAATGCGTAGGTATAAAAAATTGATGACAATATTTTTATTTTTTAGTGCCTAACTAAATTTGAACTGCACATTAAAATGTCAATGTACCTACTTAGTTTCGTCAAACTCCACTTATTTACCTAGCTTAAATAGCATGAGGTTTCTTATTATAAAATTTCTTTACAGATGCTATACGAATTCATGAGATACAGTGCGCTAATAGAACGCCCTCTGGTGAAGCACGCACTCAACAACGAATTGGAAATATTCGTGTCTTCACTAATCTCTATGTTAAAGAGTATACAAACACAGCTAGACGCCGAGGAGGTGGATGTTAAGATGTTCCAGCCACCAGAAATGTCCACTGTAGTGCTGCAAATACAATGGGCGAAACTGACTGAAGCTAAGGTAACTTGTAAAATAATACAACCCTTGTTCCTTTGTCTCATATGAGGAGTAATAATAGCGTACTCGTTGTGAGTGACTCGTAGGTAGTGGGGAGGTGATGAGCCATGTCAAGAACATATTTGAGCTCCATGCATCTGCGTCAGCTCCTCTCTGGGTCTTTGAGTTTACCCAAACACAGAATATTTCGCAAGTCTAAAATTCCAAAGATAAACTTAGTACCTATCTATATAGCGTTATCAAATAAGCGCTGGAGTTAGAAACGTATGAAATAAATAATACTACTACCAATCCATCCAATTTCAGGTGAAAGAAATACAAATATGCGCAGAAAAATATTTAAAAGAGTTCGAAGGCAGTTCTGAGTTGCATAGTCTCGCTACAAAGTTGCTGAAAGATCTGAAAAATATGTACACTCAGCTGCATGAAGAATGGTGTCGTGATCTTCAGGTTAGTATTTCATTCTCAAGTAAAAATTTATGAAATACTTACTTTTTAACTTGAAAAGGCAACAAAATGTTTGAAACAAAATCACATCAAATGTTTCGACCGACCTGCCTCACAAAATAGTTCACATATTGTTTGGTTTTATTACACAGGCTCAAGCTAAGAACGGATCTCTTCAAATATCTACGGATAAGCCCGTAGTGGAGTTCAGTGGTAGTAGCAGGTTGATGGTAGTAAACTTCAACCCAGGTCTAGTCCGAATGGAGTTAGAGGCACGAGCTCTAGCTGCCATGCGTCTGCCACCTCCACCTGCCGCGGCAGCACTGGACTCTCTAAGTACTGCGCTGGCGCATGCACGACCGTTACAGCAGGTATTCTTAAATATTTATAATCAAAATTACACTTTCACTGGGTAAAAGCCTGGTGTCAATACGGTCAACGGCTCGGTGGTGCAGCCTTTTGTAGAAAACATAAACTGGATATATAAGTACCGTACTATATACCGTCATATGAAAAACATCCCATTGATCCCGTCCGTTTCTCATTGTCCGTTGACTCATCCCGGTTGATTTTTCAATGGTTACATAAAAGTTATCTGGGGAATAATTATGATGCTGTCACGTCAGAATGCCTGTATAAGACAGTGACAGCAATAATTTTATTCCTCAGATGACATTTATCTGACTATTGAAAATCAGCCCTTAATGTAATAATGTTAAGAATGTAGTTTTAATTAATTTAAATGACTTAAGTGATGATGAAAAAACGTGTGACTATTTACAAAACAAAGTCTATGAAAATTATCTATTGCTCGACAGGTCTTTAAACTTAAGGTCAATTTTAAAATAGCAACGAAGATACATACTAACTACTAACTGATGCAATATGTTTCTAATTTACTCTACCCTAAAATTATACAAAATTGCACTTTATGTTCAGGTTGCATCATTCCACAATACGTTAGGTGAACGAATGATCCCGTCCACCCGTCCGATGATGTTGCAAGCTGCGTTAGATTTGTCCAACTTAGTACAAGACCAGAAAGCAGTGTACTGGGATGACGTCGAACAACTCTCCAATTATACAGACAAACTCAAGAAAATTGTTTTGAAGTTAGAAACGCAGGTAATTATATACTTATCTGTACCGTTCAAGCCATTTATGCCATAAGTTGGAAAACAAGCTGGATTATCTGATGGTAAGCAATCAGCGCTGCCCATGGACACTCGTAATAGGAGCGCTGCAGGCCTCATGTGGGTTATTATGTATTTTAGGATAGGGGATTTAAGGATTGAGGATCGGGGAGAGGGGCGGGGGAGGAATGGACCTCGAGTAACCTCGTTCACAGGGCTAGGATTGTAGAAACATGTCTTATATACGTTTTTTTAACTAATGGATCAAAAACCTTAAGTTAATGTACGATAAAGTACATTTTTTTATTATTTAGTTCTGAGTTTATTCTGCTTTTTTTTGTTTTGAAAACAGAACGTTTTTTATTTTCAGAACACTTATCTAACTGGGCAGCATGTAGCAATCAGGAACATCGTGCAGAAGCTCATTGACACAGAATTGTTAGCCAAGCAATCTGAGTGGAAGAAAGGTGTAAAGGATATGAGAGATATAATAGAAACTGTGAGTAACAAAATATCAGATATTAATAATTTAATTCTTTATATATATACTTCACTGACACAAATTTACTACAACTGATACAAAATAACACCTTATTTATTTACATGACTACGGGAAGCGCAATAAGGTAACGTGGTCTGTCCTAGAGGAGGAGAAGGAACGGGGGGTTTTTAGTCAGTTAGATTCTGACACTCGCTCTCGCCTCACTCTGGGCGAGAGAAGCCATATGATAATTTCTTTCTTTAAAAAAAAAGGTACTTGCATTACCGAAATTGAATCACAAAATATTAATTCTTGTTTTTAGGTGGAATCAAACGGCTATAAGAACACTGAACTATGGAGGTCTCATTGGGACTGGCAACTTTATAAGGCTCTTGAACTTCAGTATATTAAGACTCTACTTTCTTTACATAAGCATTTCCCACATGTCAAAGTTGACTTGGTATTGCGGTAAGTATTACTTATTTTGAATCGTTTTTATTTGTATTAATTCTAAAGTTTAGATCTTTGGCCCAAGGAGTGTGTTAAAATGTGGACGGAATCTTCGAAGCGACATCTACTACTACATTTACGTAGATACTGCCTAAGCTTTTATCTCATTCATATTATTATCATCGTAGAATTCGCATTTCTAAATTCGGGGCCGATCAACACGAAATTAAAAAAAAACATTCTCAAAAAAAGTTTTGAGGATGTTTTGAATTTTTTTTTAATTGTTAATAAAAGAGTAAACTATTTACATACATATTGTGCAAAACTTACTTTTAGGATGTTAGGACGGCTGTGCGAATTTGATTCTTGACTGCTTAAGAATAATTACTATTTTTACTAAATAATGAAATCGCAAAAATACCGTAACACGTATAGGTATATAAAGCGATATCTATCACCAAAATTAAGTTTTCTGCGCAATAAACGAGGAAGTACATTGTGCCCCAAAAGTTGTATTTAATAATTTTATCATCGTCTCAATAACCGTTTAATTAGTCTCAAATAACGAAGTTAGACCTAGTTTAGACTAATAATTCAGTTAATAATATGCATGAGGGAGCCATATTGACCTTTTTTATCAGCGCGTGGTAAACAACACGTATCTGACTCATGGGGTTACAAAACACGTTTATTAAGAGGAAAACTTCAATATGTTATCGATTTTTCTTATTTTTAATAAACAATTTAACAAATTCTTTCTTTTAGCCTTTAGGAAATCGGAACTATGGTTTTTAATGAAGTGGATCAGGATGAAGACCCGTGTCCACTGTGGGATTAGTGTCTCTTTGAGAGTAGTTTTTTATCATCGTATTAACGTTTACAACAAATAATTTCATCCGTTAGTAACCGATTATAACTGGTGTAAGGTCTAATGCCAAATGCAATATCGATATCAATTTTCATAACATGCAGCTATTAGTCTCACATTCGACCCATCTTATCACTTTGCTGTTTCAAATAATATTAGGTGGCTCTATGAAATTGCTGTTTTTCATAAAATGGCAGCAATAGATATGAAAGACACGTCTGGGCGCGTAACTTCACGCTGGCGATCATTGAGTTTGTGGGTTTTTTTACATTTTTTAACTTGCCAATTTGACTCGAACCAATATTATTCTGATGCTAACGTAGAAAGCTGCTGCTAATTCAATCGTAGATTGAGTTTCATCTGCTTCTAAACTCTTAACTTGTCATTTTCGACCAAAGTTTTCAAACGAAAACGGGATTCATTATTCTGAATGGAAGCGGACAACCCAATATGTGGTAGTGAGTTCGCTCCGTAAATGTCGATGATGTTATGTGACCCTTTGCTGCCACGACGTACTTCATGACTTTCTACTCGAATTTTTAATTTATGCTTTGCGCCCAGAAATGGTCAATAGCATTGAAAACAAATAAATTAATTTTAAAATAAATGGAATTTGACATTGGAATTATCAGCCATAACTAAACTAGACATACATAGGATGTCTGTCAGTAAGCCAAAAAATATGTCAATTTGAAATGGCCGGCAGAATGGCTAGGTATTTTATATCTTTTTTTAATCAATTGTTTTAGGGGCTTTTGATCTCACACATGTCAACCCCGTTAGGACATTTTTACTTACATCTATCATATTAAAGACTCAAAGTGTCACTGATGCATGAATAGATATTTTATATTTTATTTTATACTAAACAGATCTTGCCTTGTGGGCAGCTCAATATTAATTCCAGTTGGTCATTCCTAACCCTACAATTTTACACTATTGATGAAAATCACTTTCAAGTTAAATAACACCTTATTTCATTTGATATGTATCTTGTTATTGTAATAAACTTACAGTGGCTACGCAGTGCGCGTGCAGCCTTCAATGGAGGAGTTGCGCGTACAACACTACCACCAGCTGCGCCGCCTGGTGGCCATGCCGGCGCACTTTGTGGGAGTACAAACCAACATCACTGACAAACAGACCATCTTCGCAGCTATTGTAGAAAAGTAAGTTTTTCTTAGCAAATAATGATGATGCGTAGCGTTACATCTTATATATTTACAGATATTGTTATTATTCTATCATTATGATTTTGACTAAGTACGTTAGTTTCACGTAAAACCGTAATTGTGGGAGGGCCAAGCTTCGGCACGAATGGGTCGGCTCGAATGGGTCGGCTCGACCGAAGTGATCCCACGGCCTCACAGAAAACCGGAGTGAAAAACCACTGCGTTGTGGTTCGCCGTGTGAGTGAGATTACCGGAGGCCCAATCCCTCTCCCTACCCCCATCCCTTCACAATCCTTAAATATTCACTCACATATGTATATATGCACTCGCAATTCCTTGGGCGATACGGGTGTCCATGGGCGGCGCTGATTGCTTACCATCAGGTAATCCGTCTGCTCGTTTGCCGACCTATACAATAAAAAAACACCAAGTCAATAGTTACTCAAGCGAATAGGTACTGGATCCTTTGTGTATTATCCTGATAACATAAGCTAGTATGAATGACAGCTTTATTATATAAAACTAAACGCCCTTGTGTTTGCAATGCATAGACAACTTGACACATAATTATAACCTTTATCTTCAGGCACAGTTGGCTAGGCAACAAAGCAGTAAGACAGTTGGAATCAGCATTGTCCTCTCTCGAAGCGACTTGTGCATCTTGGACGCGTCGTGCGGCCCTAGCCTGTGTGCCTGACCTAGACGCGCTGTGCCAGCAACACCTGACTGAACCACAGCACTGGGAGAACAACTTCAAAGCCTGCAAAGCATACGGCCAAGCTGTCGCCAAGATGACATTGTAAGTTAAAATAATCTATCTACATATATATAAAAAGTATAAAAACTAAAACCCAACTACGACAAAAACCGACGCTGAAAAAGTATAAAACCACAAAGGCACAAGTCACACGTTACATTTACTTACCATACCTGCACTTTGATAACGTGTGACTGCGCCTTTGTTGTTTTATACTTTTTCAGCGTCGCAACCTACATATTTTGCACGAGGTGACAGGTACATTATCAGTTCCACCCAGAGCCTACTTTACTTCTTATATAGGGTACTGTTTGAGAGTCCATATTATAAATTGAAAATCGAAGACAATTTGTTTGACATGAGAATTTGACCTGTTGCTTTACCAATTGCAAGGGGCAACAGAACAATCAGTTTCTCTCTAAAGATCCTCAAATCATTTTTAATTAAACTAATTTTGATTTACATTTGATTTAAATTATTTCTTTACATTTGCAGTGAGGACGAAAAAATTGAATGGATAACAGTCGGTACAACAACTCTTCGACGTGAATTCGAGGCTCAAGCGCGAAGTCTCTGGGCTTGTCTCATGTCGTCACTAGTAGCCAGTTGTAGGTCAGATGCAGCTAAAGTCGATGCTTTCGTGGCATCAGCTGCAGTTATGTTGGAGCACCAAGCTTTGCCTAAGAATGCTAAGGAACTTGCAGAAATGAGCGCTACCCAACAAGCTTTGCAGCAACAAATGCCTGAGGTAAGGTCGATTATACTGATTATCGTCTGACAGACAATACGGCACCATGCCTTTAATTTACTGACTTTTCGAGTTGCCAGTAGGGATTTAAATGTAAAAGAACTATGCTTTGGCACGAATAGGTCGGATCAACTGCAGTGATATCACGTCCCCAAAGAAAATCTGCGTGAAAGAATCACAGCGTTATGTTTCGTCGTGTAAGTGAAATTAACGGGAGGCCCAATCCTTCTCCTCCCCCAATCTCTAAATCTCTTAGCCCTAAACGGTAACGCACTCGTAACTCCTCTGGTGTTGCGGATGTCTAACGGCGACTCCGATTGCTTACCATCAGGTACCGTGACAACCTTGGATTCATCTAAGTACCTAAACTTGTGAACTAGGAGAGCAATTGAATGAAGTGGTTTACAAAGAGGTCTTTTATTTAAAATGCTAAATGATTTATTAGTGTTCCACTAAACTATCAAAATGTTTGACTCACAAAACAAAAAATACAGCCTTTGTTTCAAATGACAGATGTTTTATTAACCACCCAGGATGGGGGCCAAATAGAACTATTGGGTGGCAGCGATATTGTTTTGAAATTGGCCAAGTACTTATGTTAGTGACTCTCACGACTCTAATCAAACCTCATTACCTATATCATCAACTTCTTCCCTCCCTCCCTTCCTTCCGTCCGTCCTCAAGCAGAACAGCAATTTTTTTATTTCTGACAAATTTATTGTATATTTTAAGTAACATTTCTTTCATAGATGGAAAGTACGATAGAAGCGCTGAAACGTAAAAGTCACATGCTACGCACTTGGGGAGGGGATACATCAGTGGATGGAACTATGAAGGAATGGCGGAAGATACACGAATTGCTGCTCAGTCAACAAAAAATGTTTGAACACCAGGTACGACCCTCTATATAAAATAAAATGGAAATTGGTAATCCCTCAATACCTTGCTGTGTTAAATGTAGTAGGCGTTCGTTGATGTCTGTGTGTAAGTGTGGGAGAACCATGCTACGGCACGAATGGAAAGGCTCGATTGGAGTGATACCACGGCCTCACAGATAACCAACGGGAAACAACGCTTGCATTGTGCGCTACCATTTTAGTATGGCTACTGGAGAGCCAATCCTCTCTTCGCCATCCCCAAATCCGCAAATCCCTACCAAACAAGGGCCAAAAACACCCGTTTTGGTGTTGTGTGTGTGGATATGGTGACTATAGGTGGGTTCAATCCTTACCACCATATTGGGATGTCTGCTATAAAAGATATACTTTGATATTTTTAAACTTTATTGTTGCCTGACTAAAACATCAGATAAAATTTTTATTTTTCAACTTATTGCTGTTAAAATTTAATCAGGCATCATTATTACCTATATAATAGGTTGATCCTGATTTATATTAATTTATTTACAGGCTGAGATAGTGAAATCAAGTTTAAGCGGTGATTGGGACAATTTGAATTCAAGTGTGGAAGCTTGGACGTCTCGATGGAGTCAGGCGAAACCACGCCTGGACGATACACATGGCGCAGACTATGTGGAAATGCTCGATAGATGTCGCTCTGTGTTCGAAGCGCACGCGAATTTGAATAAGTTTGTCACAGAGAGGGACGAACTCATGTTAGTTTTTCTAAATTTACTTATATTTGAATACTTACTAGCTTGGTAACTTGTCGTAGGTTCGGTTCTCGTGATCTATATAGTAAAAGTATGTGTAATTGCTGTAAGATGGAACTAGTGTTTTTAATAATATTTATTACACGATCCTAAGCTAAGCCAAACGATTACTTGTTAACAGAAAAGAGTGTGAGAAATTCCAAATGAAAGTAGAGCTCAGTGACACTTGGAATCAAGCTGAGAAGCTTATGGCTGAATATGTTACCTTATGGACTCCACTAAAGGAATACAATGAAGGTAATTGTTGCCTTAAAATTATTTTATTAAAGTTGATTTATTTTTCATACGTAATATTTTGTATGCCTTGTAAGTATATTATTTAAGTGGTTTCCCATGCTAACAACGTAGAAAGCTTAGGGCTTTCCCAATAGGGTATAGTGGTTTGCGGATGCAATAATGTACCATGGCCCCGGCTTGGAACAGGAGAAGGAACAGAGTGGTTTGTAGTCAGTAAGATTCTGACAATCCCTGTGGCCCACCCAGGTCGAAACTCCCTTTTTCTTTTATTCTTTTCTTCATGCAATCTGACATGGAGGATTCATTTCAATCTTAACGTTTTTTTTTGTCTTATTATGTTAAATTGAAACCTAAAGTTTATGTATAAGTATTGATTTTTAAATGTACAATAATATAAAATTGATATGACTGCACGGTTGGTGCGGTGGCCGGGCAACTGGCTGCCGTGCAACGTGCCGCAGGTTCGATTCCCGCACGGAACAACTATTTGTGTGACTCACAAATTGGTGTCATGTGCATGTGAAATTGTATGTTTGTAACCGCACCCACGACACAGGAGAAAATCATAGTGTGGGGCAACGTTTTTTTAAAAAAAACAATATAATAAATATTGTATATAAGATGATCTAGGTACTATTGAATGATTTATTAAGAAAACTTATTCATGTGCTCTTTTCATCTCTGCGTTACCTAGAAATCGACTGGAAGAAAACGCCAAAGTCTTTAACTCCTCCTGTACATATGTGTATAATGTGTATTTTCTATGAAGCTTAATTAATAAATAATTTAATATATTTTAGAGTTTGAGTCGATCGCAGACCAAGAATGGATAGTGTTTCAGAAAAAGATCCATTTGATAGAAGAGTTTTCATTAAAATGGAAAAGTCGTTTAGAACCATTCACTATAGTCACTTTGTTCATACAACAGGAGTTGGAAAAATATTCGGTAAGTAAACTTGTTTTTGTCGTAAAACATATTAAATACGTAATTAAAACGACCCAACGAAGTTTGAAGTGGTTTTTGTAGTGATTGAAGAGGAAGTTTTATATCATGTAATTTATTACCGGCACTGCACCCGTGCAAAGCCGGAACGGGTCGCTTGTCTTTACAATAAAACCAACTATACCTACCTATACTCATATTATTATATTAATTGAGAGAACCATGTTTTATAAAAAAAAACTAATTTAAACAAAACTTGCCATTCGTAAACGTTATAAATACGCTACGCTAATAAAATTTAAAACAATATAATTATCTCATTTGGCGTACTCAGTTCCCGTATTGAGGTCATTTTATTTACGTCTGAAACCTCTCCGTTTCGCAGTGTAGTACTAGCGCGACTCCTTAGTTACCCCCTTTTGAGTGCCTACAGCTACCTATTTATATCACCTACGCGTTTTGCAGCTAACATTGTGTACTAGTGCAATGACATCATAACACATGCTTCTATTGAAACATGTCTTCGATGATATCACGATCTTTTCAGTCTGCTCCGTACGGGTGAATTTTATCTATACTATAATAATATTATATAACCCTGGACGCTAAGCTCCAGTGGGGCCCACATATAGATGGCTTGTCGAAGAAGCTCAGTTCTGCAGCATATGCCGTTAAAAAAATTAGAAATTTAACGGATATAGATACAGCGCGGTTAGTTTATTTTGGTTATTTCCACAGCATCATGTCATACGGTATTTTGTTGTGGGGGAATGCTGCTGACATCCAGTCTATTTTTGTTCTGCAGAAAAGGGCTATTCGATCAATCTATAATCTTAGTCCGAGGCATTCGCTCAGAGAATTATTTAAGGAATCTAAAATAATGACAGTTGCCTCTCAATATATTTATGAAAATGTAATTCACGCTCATAAAAACAAAAGCTTATTTAAGAAATATAGTGATATACATAATATCAACACGAGGGGGAAAAACAAATATGTTGTGCCTGCCTCCAGGCTTCAGAAAATAAGTAGTTCGTTTAGGTGTCAATGTATACGCTTTTACAATAAAATTCCTAGCGATATTCAAAATTTGAGCCTCAATAAATTTAAAAGTGTAATAAAGGCTAAACTTTGCTGTAAAGCATTTTATAAAATAAAAGACTACTTAGAGGATAGTCAGGCTTGGGAATGAGCCGCTGTAATGTCTGCACAGGTCATGTTGACATGTTTGTAACATAAGTTACACTTTTATATACAATTTGACATTACGTTTATTTTTTATTTTTTTATACAATGACATGATCACCTATTGTGACATTTTTATTTTTTATTTGACATTTTTTTTTTTATTTATTTGTTGACATTTTTATTATTTTATATTTATTGTTAGTGTAAGGACCGTGTGAGATTTGTCGTGCTTTTTTATCACCAGTCATCTGCGTTCTGACAGTTTGAGTACTTGCGCGACCCACCCAAATGTTCTTTTGATCGGTATTGTTCGTCGGACAACTCAACAGCACTAGCTATATGGTTGCAAACTGACACTTGCGTGCCTGTCTTCAGAACGGGTCCACTTAAACTGGTGTGGTTCTTTCCTCAAAAGACCACTACAGAATGAACTTGCACGGTTCTCTCACATTATGTTATTTTATATTGTCTGGACTTGAAAAGAGACTGACCTCTGAGTTTGTTTCGGCATTTCTTCTCAGAGTAGTCAGATAGGAAATGCCGGCTTCATCTAGTTTTTCACATATAATTTGACGTGTAAAAGTGCCGTTTTAAGGCCTATTTGCAAAAATAAATTCATTGTTTCATTGTTTCATTGTATAAAGAGGTAAAATTTTTAAGTTTGTATGTAGGGGGTAATCTTTAGAACTGCTAGTCGGATTTCCAAAATTCTTTCACTGATTGATAGCTACAATGTTCCTGAGTGCTAACGGCTATAAAACATCACGCTACGATTAAATGGAGCCGAACAGCGGGTGAAACCGCGCGAGAGTAGCTTGTTCGTAGAAAAAGTATTAAATTTGGGTTTTTTAGAATGTGTGGTATTATGTTGTCTTTATTACCTATAGATGCAAATTATGTTAAAGTCCAGGGATGACCGAATACTGTTCGGTATTTTTTTTTAATGGAAGCTATACCTATTTATTGGTTTTTCGTTCCTGAAACCCTGTATATAAAATTCATCGCAATCGTTGAAGCCGTTTCCGAAAGAAAATATTAACGATACAAGTATAACACAGATTTAGACACAACGACAACGAAATTAGGGCTTATTGTTACAATATTTTACCAGGAAATAAATACCAAGATATATACCCATAGATATTAATAAATTAAATTTTTAATCGGCTTTTCAATGACTATTTATTATATTAAATTAGCAGATGAATGGAACAATTAACATTTGTTTTGTCCAAGCAGGATTTGGCCCCTCTACTGAAGTATTTGCGAGGTACTGATTTCACGGATCGTCATTGGCATGAGGTGTACAGTCTACTAGAAATGGAGTTTAAGAAACCAGACACGTTACAAGTTAGGGATCTTTTGGGAGCTGCGATGAATATAAAGAAACATATCAAATACTTGCAGGTAAGACATAAGTCCTAATGATCAGTGTATTGTACTTAGTTAATACAGCCTATTGCTTATACAGTAGGAGGAAAAAACAGACATGAAATCACACCAACACTGAATTTTATTATAAGGATGGATTAATAACACTGGACTACAAATTTTCACTTTTAAAAAGCGAGTGTAAAACAATACATTGTTCTAATATTTCTATTACTATAGGTACATAGAGAAATCTAGACCTGATATATGTATTTAGGTACTTAATTTCTTTAAATAATGTGGTCGCCTAATTTGGTTCAATTCGAAATGTATGTTCAGAAAAGTATGTTCAGCTGTACAAAAAGACATGTTGACTAGTGTAATTTATATAGAATAAGCTTTAAACTGGTAAATTAGAATTCCCAAAATACTTTTTTGTTTTAGTATCCGCCAAAAATATCTGAACAGTTTTCAAATTGCAATGATACAATATTTTTCTACTCTGAATCGGTGCAAAGTTTATATGTATATCATGTTATAATTTATATCAAGGAATTCTTGTTCCTCTTTTACGAATAAGGAGACACTCTGACCTGGATTACTTAGAATCTGTTTCATCATGATAACTTCTTACAGGAATTAGTCACACAATGTTTTTTTGTTATTTTTGGCTTAAAATTTTTGCTAAATTTTATTGTAGACAGATGTTAGTTTTAAGCACATGTTTTCAAGATGGTCTATAACTGTTGATTTTTTTAAAAGTAGGTATTGTAATTGTTAATATTATATTGTGTATACGATAATTTCGGTGAAATAATATGATATAATAGACATTTTGTAGATTGCCAAGTAGATACAGGCTGGACAGCGTAAATCCTAAAACCTGATTGAATTAGCCATGAACTTGTCCTTGGTAAGAACCCTTAAATGAGACTATTTTATTTTTATGACAAAAAAATAATCTTTTAGAAAATCTGCAGTGCGGCATCAAGTGAGTCTGCAATCAGGAATGCTTTAAATGAGCTTGAGATTTGGTTCGCGGGCGCTCGTTTCAGTATCACGTACTACAACGATAAGGCGAAGCGCCCCACACCTATAGTGAAGGACTTCAAGGAAATACTTAGTAAGGTGAGTTAAGAGCAAGTGCACCTCGGATGTACCTATGAACAACATGACAAAGAGACGGTTCCAGAACGTGTAATTTCTAAAGAACCTTAAGTTAACTTTAGGCATACATATGAATGTAACAAAAATTCTGGTAAACTTAACTCGATCATAGAGAGTTCCGTAGTACTAAGTAAAATAATTTAACGATTTATGACCTAATAACACACACATAATTTAAGGGTTTCTAAGAAGGTATCTCTTGCGAAACCTTTATTCAGTTTAGAAAATAATTACTTATGTTGTTAGACGTAAGAATATCATTTTTAAAGACCTATCTATAGATCAAATATTACGGGGATCGATGAAAAAATATTCTTTCACCCTTATTCCTACGTCACAAAATAATATAATAATATTATTTTGTGACAATCTCAATTCTCAATACCTTTTTTTGTGAGGGGAAAATCATAAAATGACTTCTCCCGCCCAGGGCCGGGCGGGAGGGAGTGTCAGACTCTTACTGACTCGTCGAGGTCGCGGTAGGTACCCCATTACGCTTACCCCGCAACCCCGGCACAATCTCAATATATAGTAATAATCTCAATCTCGGTGCCCAAAATGCATCTTCTTAGGCACCAAGTTTTAATAGTATCTATTGTACTTATACTTTCGAAAAAAAGTAAAAAATAGGTTCCTTTTTTGCCATTTGCCTACGGATCCCTAAAAGTAGATGAAATTCGTTTCCGTTTAAAACAATGGGTCCACAGTTTGCAGTGTTGTGGAACTTAATCTGAGGTCTTGCTCTTTTATACAAATGAAAAAAGTTTTTTCTCATGCTAGCAAAATTCCTTGAAACCGCACTTCTCTTACATCGCTTAGGTACTTTATTCCCAAGGTTATTAAATATTATAATGTAGTATGTGTTACTAATTTATATTGCATTAATGTTCCTTTACGCGCAACTATCTATTAAGGAGTTAAATTCTTAAAGTCGAACATAATATTACTTGGCGTTCTCGGTTTTTCGTAAAGTTCTTACTTAGTAATACATATACCTGGTAAGTCAGTACCTACCTATAGCGATATGACCCTTTACAAGGGAATTCACAAATACTGATGATCTCCATAATTAATAGTCGTAATAATGATACCAAAATACAATAATGAAAAAATTTACGTAGATTGAAGAACAACAATGGGTGGTGTCTTCTCTATCGGGTGGTGCGAGTGGATCCGACGCTTGCAGCACGTGGGAGGCGCGGCTTAGGGCTGCGCGGGCGCTGCTACGTGCCACACATCACGCGCAACGCAGGTTTGTAACAACCCTATCTTTGATACTTACAACGAGGGCTAATGCTCTTGATAAAAAATTGCATATTGTTCATTTTTACAAATTACGTTCCTGTTTTATCCAGAGCCTATTGTTTACTTGTCAAACCAATATTGTGGGTAGATACTATGTAATACAGTTGAAATTCCCACGTCATGTAGGGTTGCAACATATTGCATCATACAGTTCTTGGACTAAGTCCCATAAGCTTGTAGATCTTCGATTACTATTCAAAACAAACAAACAAACTTTTACAGCAACAGCATATACACAACAGTAGATGAACATGGGTTTTCAGACCATAACAGCACCACCCTACATATTGACCTCCCACAGAAAACAAAAAAGTCTATAAACTGGTTTACATGGAAAAGATTGTACACATACACAAACATACAAACATTTAAAATGGAATTGCAAAACTTGAACTGGAATAATATAATTACAGATCAACGGAATATTAATGAAAATTACATGACTTTTAATAATAATTTGTTGAAAATATTAAATAAATGTATACCACTACGTAAAATAAAACTAAATCAATTATATAAAAAGTATTGGCTAACAAAAGCAATAAAAAACTCGTGTAGAAATAAGAGACAACTAAAAATAATAACAAATAAGACAAAGAATCCTATTCTACTTAAATACTATAAAAACTATGAAAAAATACTAAAAAAATGTATAACTACCTCAAAAAGACTACATTATAAAAAGACAATTATGAGATCTGACAATAAAGTGAAGTCAATGTGGAATATTATAAACGAACGCACTAACAAAAAAGTTAAAAAGGAAAAACGCAACTTAACTATTGAAAAAGACAATAAACTAACGTCAAATCCCAAAGAAGTATCTAATATATTCAATGAATTTTTTGCATCAATCGGAAAAATCCAAACATTTAACATACAAACCAACAATTTACATTCTCCTCTCATCTCAGAAAGAATAGAAAACAGTATATTCTTAACTCCAGTTAACGCGTATGAAGTAAACCGAATAATAAAAAATCTAAAGAATAAAAAAAGCCACGGAATACATGAACGCCCTCCCATATTATTTAAACAATGCGCGGACGAACTGACGCTTCCATTCTTTAAACTACTAAATCAATCCTTTGAAGAAGGTTGCTTTCCTGATTTATTAAAAACAGCTTTAGTAAAACCCATCCATAAGAAAAATAATAAAACTGACCCTAACAACTACCGCCCTATAGCCCTCTTGCCCACAGCTTCAAAAATATTCGAAAGAGCTATGTGCGATCGGGTATATGCCTATTGCGAAAAATATAAAATATTTAACGACCATCAAAATGGTTTTCGCAAAAACAAATCGACGGTTCTAGCTGTCTATAAATACATCCAGGAAGCCTTGAACATAATTAATGACAAAAAATACGCTGTAGGACTACTAATAGATATGACAAAGGCCTATGACAGAGTACAATTTAACATATTATTACAAAAATTATATAGTATCGGAATTCGTGGAAATTGCTATGACTGGTTCGCATCTTATTTGAAAAATCGAGAACAATTAGTAGAAGTTGAATATTATAATCACTCAACAAACGAAATTGAACTAATCCGATCCGACATCGAGCCAATAAACGCTTCAATCCCACAGGGAAGTGTCATAGGATGCTTTCTATTCCTGATATACATTAATAATTTACCAACATATATTCACGATCCATGTGTCCTATTTGCTGACGACGTATCTATATTGACTTCTTGTGAAACAAACACCAATGTAAGCGAAAAACTGGCCTCCATTCTTAATACTACTACGCAGTGGATGGCAGAACACAACTTGGAAATAAACCTCAGCAAAACTAAATTAATTGCATTCCACCCTCACCAGAAATCCACCATAAACATTAACTTTACTTATAACAATTCACAATTAGAAGTCGTTAATAATTTTACATTACTTGGCATAGATATAGACACTAACATAAATTGGAAAAGTCACGTACAAAAAGTGAGGGCAAAAATATCAAAGTTCTCATACGCGCTCCGAGAGATAAAAAAGACCACCGATTTAAAAACCGCACTTGTCACCTACTACGCTTACGCCTATGCGTGGCTGAAGTATGGTATAATACTATGGGGAAATAGTACAGACTCACAAACACTATTCACTCTACAAAAAAAATTAATTAGAATCTTAATGAATATTAAAGAAACAAACAGTTGCAAACCTCACTTCCAGGAACAAAAAATACTTACCCTCCCTTGTATTTATATCTATGAAATATGCAAATTCGTTCGTAAATATCCAGAATTCTACTCCACTAGAGAACACATACAATGTAATTTCACACTAAGACATAAAAAAAGACTAAATCTACCAACATCACGATTGAAAATACACTCTTCTGGACCTCTAGTCATGTCAATAAAAATTTATAATAGGTTACCACAAGAATTAAAAAGTGAAGATAAATACAATAGATTTATTATGAAATTGAAACAGTTTCTACTAAATAAGGCTTATTACAGTATTGAAGACTATTTTAAAGAAAGACTATTTTAACGAAACGAGACACTTATGAGCACACAGAAGTGCATAATACAGCAACAGGTCTACAGGCCATAAGTACATATAATTGTGTTATTATTATTGTTTTGATGTTGACTGAATAATTGAAAAGTGTATAATCTTGATTAATGACATTTAGTTTTATTTTATTTTATTTTTTATTTTTTATACTTTTCTTTAATTTGATTTTGTTATTTTGGTGTGATTCTATTTTAATTTGATTCTGATTATTTTGATTCGATTGTGATGACTTGATTTGATTTGACTTTGCCTTTTATTTACATATTTTATTTTTATTTTATTTTGACCTCAATTATATTTATTTTGATTGTAATAATTTAATTTTGACTTTTATATGTTTAATTTAAATTCGATTATATGTTACATTTTAATTATTAGAAATTTGATGATAAAATGTGAACTTTATTGAAAAAATATTAACTTCATTTTATTAAATGTTGCTGTGCCCTTACGGGGTCCATAAATGTACCTACTTAGCTTTAAGCGTATTGTAACACCCTATTTACTTTATGGAATGCAAATAAATGAATATGAATATGAATATGAACAATAGATAAAATAATGCCTACTTGTGACAGAGCTATACCATAATAAAATTATATCACAATACTTATCAGTACACTTCTGTGGGGAGCAAAAACCCGGCAAGGTTGACTCTAAAATACCTTATTTTTCTACTCATCAATTCTAGCATACTCTGTAATACCTCGAATTTAAGAATAGGTAAACTTCCTATGAAATATTGTAACATAGGTACTTACATTAAAAACACGAGAAAAAAATCAAAAGGACACGCTAAGGTTATTGTTATAGATAGATAAAAGCTAGCAATTGGTTGATCCCAAAGATTTGTTTCGCCGTAAACATGTGGACGACAGATGTGCTAGCTATTTTGACCGAGTAGAATAAACCGCATACTTCCCTTATGTAGGTACTCTTTTATTTTTTTTCTATTTTAATGCTGCATTCGTTCATGTTTCTTTGCTTTAAGCTTGTATTTACATATACGCTGTATATACGCAGTAGGTATGTACATATACTTACATAGTTCTTAAGTACGAAAGTTAAACTAAACAACAATTAATTCAATTTAATGTTTATGTAAAACGCCCGTTTTCTTAATTATATCTTTTCAAATAGTATAATATAAAACGTAATGATAAAGTTAGAAGTTGTATAAAATATTACCTACTAATCTCCCGTATTTTTTACACTAACAACATTTTCACAGATTATGCTGGACTCCCCTTTGTTTTGCAACAAGATGTTATAGTTTCATCATTCATTTGTTTAGAAGTTAATGTAATTTAATATACCTTACTAGGTGTCAAGACACATTATAAGTACCTACCTATGCAAGTACTTTCTATGTCTATTTATATAAATATATGGGTACATTATCTATATTACAGTATTAATGGTGTTCTGGAACTTGAGATTAATTTCAAAGCCAGTGATTTAGTAAATATTTATTAAGAATAGCTCATATCTATGTAGGTATGTAAGTAAGTATACGCTTCACCAAGTGTATAAGACTGAGTAAACGACGTATAGACCAATATGGCATCACTTCCAAATGTCCTAACGTATTTTAAGACTTTCTATTTATTGTCACAAAAATGTATTTAACATTTCATTCTACGTATTTAGTCTTGTGTCTCAGTAATTATAATTGACGGTGGTTACCTATTTATTACAAGGATCAAACTTAGTTACACGCATGATGCATGTTGTAATAAAACAACACACACAGGCAGATTTTAGTTTCAGTGATACTGTAAGCTCAGATTAGCTACCGAGGATGTAAAGTTGTTTCGATAACGCGGGGTCGCTGCCCTGACACCAACATCGCTGTTACAAAATTAGGCGACATGCTTAGTACAAAGATAGGCTACGTATTAAACGCCTACAAAAATAACGTTACTTAATTTTATCTCTCAACAAAAGTATGTTATTTTACATTATTCGTTTTGGTTTTCGTCTAAACTAATTAAAATTACTGTAAAATTACCATCCGCTTTAAATTTAAAAGAAGAAATTCTTCGAAGTGTTCCAACAAAAAATTGACAATAGTTTCATCTTGTTGCCTATTATAATTTCTGCCTTTATTTGAATTTCACATTTAAACGCTTCCTTTATTTTACTGATTCCATATCTGCCGGAGGTGCTGTGAAAGTTCGATAGATACCTACGATAGATAGAACTACATACATGGACCGATAGTTGTATTTAGTCAAAGGTACCTGAATGATGTTGTCAATATAATAATAACGTGGTTAAATACTCATTTTTGCGTCAGAATCTTACCTATAAAGACTGTGCTGTAGGTAACATAATGAACACCCTAAAAATAGTATAGGTAGATACTAATAGACTTTTTTGTTTACTCTATTTTAATTTTATAATGCCATAAATATTTTATCGGTTCTGTAAGGTCTTGTCAAACATAAAACCTTTGGCTATTTTTAAAGTTGTTCCCAAAGATTGAGCTTGTGGCAAAAATCACTAACTCTTATGTTCTGTTGTTGTCCTCGGTATATTACCTAATGTGTAATTCGATCTATGACTATACTGGTCATACTTTTCTGCCACCTATCTAAATTTTATGTTCAGTTCTTACTAACACTCCAGTTTATCGTCATAATTACATGCGTAGTACATTAGTATCTAGTATTTGTTTTAATTATGGTTAATATTCTACAAGTACATAACTAACTGGTACTAATGATTCTGTTATAAGTCCTTGTATGTAATAATACATAATGAAAGTATTCTTGTATACGCCAGTGGAATGCGACACCACCGTCATGCATAAAGCCCTTTCTTTGGCTTCGGTCAACGACGCACGCAGTGAGGTAATACGTCAAACGAGAGTTTTATGATTGTTCCCTTCCTAGCCGCGCCATAAAGTTGTGGATAATTTTGGACCCGCTATCCTGTTTGTCTTCGGATTATTGCCACATATACCTATATATCACAAAAACGATTTTCTACTCAAGTTCTTTATAAATATAATGTCGTTCCAGGCAAGCGATTATTCCTTTAAGGCGAGTTGTTAGACAAATATCTCAGAGTAGTCTTTATGAGAGAACAAGTACCTTCACAACCGGACCCTCAAAATATACACTAAATATAAATCCTTACTCTACTGTGTGCTTCGGAAATTTCGCAATCGGTTTCTCAATAGCTTTTGCCCCACTGTACTTAGGGTTACCGACTCTGACCGAAAACAGTGCAATTTAAACTGAGTGCTAAAAATATTTTATTGCGACCATCATTTAAGTTTTAACAAATAATGTTATAAAAACGTAATAAAATGCTAAACATGCCCATCTATGAACGGCAACATTGAGATAATAGATCGGATCAGTAGCCAAGTGTTTATCTCTCGTGAACTTTGACATCATAACCGCCTTTTGAGAATGAACCCTTATCGGCGGGAAAGCGTTCATTCACAGCGTTCGCTGCCATCTTTTCAAGATTCTTAACCAAATTCTTATTTATTAATCGTTTTGTTTAATTTTATACTAACCTCAATATAAAGCTTGTTTTGTTCTCGAGTTCCTTGTACGATTATCAGTGCAGTACAGTTTGTTGGTTGATATGGTTAGATTTATTAAATACATGTCATTTGGTTTATTTTAGCATGTCGTAGTAAGTAGTTAGCTGAGATTACGTAGATCTAAAGCTCGTTTTGTGCAAGTTCTATTGCTACCTACCTTCGAGGATAAGCTGGCGGAACGCCTTGCTTGAGCTGAGCACCGCCATGTCCTCAGGGCAGTGATCGGCGGCGGGGACCTCTTGCGTCCGTACTTAGTCGAGACTATGGTGCGGTGCGAGAGGAAATGGGAAGCCACCTCTTCTTTCTGCGAAGCTGTAATGCTCGTAAAGGAAGAGGCAGAGCGCGTAAGGTAGCTATCCTCCTCACGCCTCAGCCGGCGTGGAAGGGAACACTACGGGCGACGGGGATCGAGCAACGATCTATCTATGTCAAAATTGTTAAAGAATTAGTGAATAATGTACATTACCAAAAGTATATCCCATTGATGTGATGGGCTCATTCCTTTACGAGCCTATAATAGTAAAAGTTTGTGACTGTGTATATCACACAGTTTCATTTAAAATATCTATGAAATGACCATGATATTACACTGAATAGACATTTGGTCAATGGTCACATTTTTGTGATTGGACAAAACGTTTCTAGTCTTGGTACTGATAAGGGGTTATCGTTGAAACTGTTGAAATTGTTACAAGTTATCAGAATAGTTAAGAGGCCGCTGCTTGTTAAATATAACTTAACCGGCAATGACGTCATTGTATGTAGGTATCCTAATTAAAAATACTATAGCTTATTATCATTGGTACTATACCCAGATCTTTGAAAAAGACAAAAGGTCTATATAGGAAAACGGAAACAGGGTCAGTAGGTAGTCTTAACAGTTTAATTAAAAGTTAATTTCGATCTGGACACGAAATAAATTTGGAAAATATGTATTAGAGAAAACGGAAAGAAACATTTAGAAACAAATTTATTTTTGACAGTATTTAATATAAATATATTCAAAAACACCCTTTAGAACTTACAAAACACTACAAGACTTAAAAAAAACAATCATAACAAATTGGGACCAGCCTCATAAATAAATATAGAACTAAGGCTTGACATTTACACCCCTGCCTTCATGAAAATGGCGAATATTCTATTTGAATGTCAGGATATTATTATCATTACCTTTTTTTGGCAACATTAGAGTATTGCCAGGCCGGGCGTTGTCTACTTGTGTTCATTGTTTAGAATTTAATTTATCTTTTACTTAACAAATAATGCGAATTAAACTATTAGGTACCTCAGTCGATCTTATACCGTAAAAATGCCAACGAAAACAAAGACCTACTTATTTGCGGCAAAGAAAACTTGCTTAGATGATTGCTCTTTAATAAGCGTTAATAATGTTAATCAGACTGAACATTCTTACTAGGCCATAGGTACCACCTTAACATTGCAATTTTACTGACAAAACATATAGGAATCATTAACACCGAACATCAGGTTTCATGATTTTATGCGTGATGTGTTTTAAAATTTTATTTGATTCTTATCTTTGCGGTCTCGGCGTTATAAGCCACTTTGATCGTATTTTAAAATCTTTTTTAAATCACTTATGCTCTAAATTAACATTAATTTAATTAATTTTACTCATATTGGTTGTTGTTAAAGATAAATTATTCTTTATTTAAAAGCTTTATGTAGGTCAAACAATTTTGAATCGCATCATTTCATAGACATTATGCGTCTACCATTTTTTTGTGTTCGGTTCACTAAACAATTTAAGGGCCCCTTTCCTAGACCCTATTGTTTTGTACGATAACCCATAGCCGATGCCGATAGAATGTTCCAATTCATTACGACTATACACTTCAATGTGTGTCATCGCTTATTTTCTATTTTTAATATCATTGTAAATGTATTATAATACCTATTACGCGAGCTCAATCACAAGTAAAATCAAATCACAGTAATTTGCATGGATTTTTACAATAAATAAAATGTATCATTTCGGTCTGAACGGTCAGTCATTTAGATCGCGAATGTATTTATCAGCGGCGGATGTGTAGGGCGGAAGGCCGGCTCTGACGAACCGAGTGGCCATATCAGACAGAGTGACCTAACCAAAGGGATCTTTTCATATACGCATTTCATTGTCCAAAGCTGTTGACCAGTGGAATCTGAAGGTGGATGACTTGCTCACATAATTTCTAAAGGATGATAAAGTCACAAGTCACCATTAGAGATTTATGTATTAAATAATTCTTACTTGTTAGATGAGATTACAAGGAAGTTTGTTGCCATAATAATGATCAAAACAAAAAGCGCATCCCGAAATGCGATGTTATTTTTGTTGCCTAGTGCCCGTTTCGGAGAACGGCACGAGCGGCGTGCGGGCGGGAGCGGTCGTCGCCTCGCACAGGGCTGTACTCCGTCACAGGGTATCTGCTTTGTGGAAAGTTCAACTAAAACTCAGGGCACGTACATTACTTTAAATTAAAGATGCTATAAAAAATTTAAAAGACTTCGATTTGTTTTTTAATTATCGAATCCAATAATATTTACAAAGAGCTTGTTTCCACACATTCATATAAGTTGGTACCTGATATATAAATATACTTTATGTATATCTACATAAGCAGTTCATAAAAATTAAGTTCTATATTTAAATCTATCTAGGGCATAGCTGCTGTTCAAACATTCTGAAACAGACCTTTCTGAAAGTATACATATCACAATTAACAAGATTGGTCATAAATAAGAATAGAGAGGTGGGGTAATCTTGAGTTTAAATGGGTGATAAGATTTTATGGTGTAATATAAAAGCTCCGTGAGCAAGCGTTTTAATCGTGTGACTGACAACCAAGTCCGGTCCTGTATAAGTAGGGCAGCGGGGTGGGCGGGGGGCGGAGGCAGCGCGAGAGTGTCTCGGCCCAAAGCAGCCACCAGTGCAGTGAGCGGCGCGCGGAGAGCCCGGACCGCGCAATGGCTCTGCGCGCTTTGTTTATCTTTTCGGCGCTTATCGCCGGCGGCGCCGCGGTGTACAGCAGGGAGCGCGACCGCCTCCGCGCTGACCCCCGCCTTTACGACCGTTCATGTGAATTAAGTTCCTGCTATCCAGCCACAGGCAACCTGCTCATTGGCCGTGAATCGAGGCTCTTTGCATCCTCCACGTGCGGAGGCATGGGTCGTGAACGTTACTGCATCGTATCGCATTTAGAACCGAAGAAATGTTTTTGGTGCGACTCTACCAACAGTACTATTCACAACCCTTATCTTAACCACCGAATTCAAAACATCATCTATAAATACTACCCGGGCACACGAACAAAATCCTGGTGGCAATCTGAAAATGGGAAAGAAAATGTGACGATACAACTTAACATGGAAGCAGAATTTCATCTTACGCATTTGATTATACAGTTCAAAACTTTTCGGCCCGCTGCAATGTTAGTGGAAAGATCTTTTGACTTCGGGAAGACATGGCGAGTCTATCGTTACTTTGCCCACAACTGCGACGAATACTTCCCAGGCGTACCCAAGCACACACAGCGATCTTTGACGGAAGTGGTTTGTGAATCTCGTTACTCTGGTGTATCTCCATCTACAGAAGGTGAAGTGATATTTAGAGTGTTACCGCCTAACATTAATGTGACCAATCCATACTCAGAAGAAGTGCAAAACCTGTTGCGTATGACCAATCTTAGAATAAACTTTACTAAATTGCATACACTTGGAGATGACAAACTGGACAACAGAGCAGAAATTCAAGAGAAGTATTACTATTCAATTTACGAAATGACAGTTAGAGGTTCGTGTTCCTGTTACGGTCACGCATCCCGTTGTTTACCTATGCCCGGAGTGGAGTCAAAGAACAATATGGTACACGGACGCTGTGAATGTACTCATAATACGCGAGGACTTAACTGTGAATACTGTGAGGACTTTTATAATGATTTACCGTGGCAACCGGCGGTTGGTAAAACTTCTAATGCTTGCAAAAGGTGTACTTGTAACAATCATGCAACAACTTGTCATTTCGATCCGGCTGTGTATAACAAAACTGGTAAAATAAGTGGAGGCGTGTGTGATAACTGTCAACATAACACAATGGGTGTGAATTGTGAACGGTGTAAACCTAAGTTTTATAAGGATCCTAACTTAGATATTCAGAGCCCAGACATATGTAAAGCATGTGATTGTGACCCAGAGGGTACTACAGATAAAGAAATTCTTTGTGATGATGAAACAGATACCGCTAACAACAAAACTGCGGGTCGTTGCCTTTGCAAGACCAACGTTGACGGACCCAGATGTGATAGATGTCGCGATGGATTTTGGAACTTCGATCCACTTAATCCTGATGGCTGTGAATCTTGTACTTGTAACAACTTAGGTACAATAAATGAAAGAGGCTGCGACGCATCAACAGGAAACTGTTTCTGTAAACGTCATGTAACTGGAAGAAATTGTGATCAGTGTTTACCAGAATTTTACGGTTTGTCAAATAGTGATGATGGTTGTCAACCTTGTGACTGCGACTATGGTGGTTCGTTAGACCGGGACTGTGATGTGATAACAGGACAATGTAAATGTCGACCACATGTTTCGGGCCGTCGTTGTGATCAACCTATACAAAACTTCTTTATCGGAGCTCTTGACTCTATTGTTATTGAAGGAGAATCGAGTCAATGCGATTCTCAAATCGATGATAACGCTATTGCTATTCAGAATCAGTTATGTCATGTTGTAATAAGAGAAAATTATCCAGACGATAGGAAAGAAACCTGGACTGGCCCTGGTTTCATGAAACTGCCTGAAAGTAGTACACTTGTATTTGTTATAAATAATATTCAAAAGAGTATGAATTATAATGTTTTAATTAGGTACGAGCCACAATCACCAATAAACTGGGAAGAGGCAACGATATTAGTGAAAAGACCATTACCTATCGATGCAGACTCTCCGTGCGCTAATGTAACACCTGAAGATGACACTATAAATACTTATTTGCCATCCAATCAACGCAGCGTGTTGGTAACACCAGCAGTGTGTTTGGAGAAAGGCAAGGAAACTGAAATTCGAATATATTTAGGACGTCAAGATAGCCGCTTGCCTAATTCAAGAGCTTCAATATTAATTGATTCTATTGTCCTTATACCTTCTTTTGATGACCTTCCGTTTTTGGCACGTAACAGCTCAATGAGAGAAGAGTTTGAACGGTTTAACTGTGGGGATCCGTATTACTACGACCTCAATAGAGAAAATGTTCCTGAAATATGTAAAAAGTATCATGCGAGCATTGGATTCTATATAAGAAACGGATCTCAATCTTGTCAGTGTGACCCTACAGGATCTAAGAGTCACCAGTGCGACCAATATACTGGTTATTGTCAATGTGTAGAAAATATTGTTGGTGCAAGATGTGATCGCTGCGCTCCTGGAACGTACGGTTTTAGTAAGTTCGGATGTAAACGGTGTGACTGTAACAGTATAGGTTCTCTTGATAACTTTTGTGATGCAACAAGTGGACAATGTAAATGTAGAGCCAATACTTATGGGCGAGCATGTGATTTGTGCCAGCCAGGATATTTCAACTTCCCTAACTGTCAGCAATGTGACTGCAATGGACACGCTGTTGAATGTGATGATAAAACTGGAGCTTGCAAAGAATGCAAAGACTACACAGAAGGACATCGTTGTGAAAGATGTATTGAAGGATATTACGGTGATCCTCGGCTAGGTATCGACATACCTTGTAGACCATGTCCATGCCCTGGGACAATAGGGGATCCAAACAAGAGCAGTCATGCAGATCGTTGTGAATTAGATCCCGAGTCGAAAGATGTTGTATGTGAATGTAAAGAAGGCTATGCCGGACCGCTGTGCGACGTGTGTGCAGATAATTACTATGGAGATCCAATTAAAGGCACCTGTGAACAGTGTGAATGTAACGAAAACACTGATGTCACTAAACCCGGAAATTGTGACCCATACACCGGTAAATGTCTACAATGTCTACATAATACTGCTGGTGATCATTGTGAAAAATGTGCCGAAGGGTATTACGGTAATGCACTAGAAAAGACATGTTACCCATGTAACTGCTCTGAATTGGGTACAAACTTCACAATAGGAAATTGTGATGGTGTCACCGGCCAGTGTCCTTGCTTCAAGAATGTCATGGGTATCAATTGCGATCAATGTACAGAAAACCATTGGAGAATAGCTTTAGGAACAGGTTGTGATCCATGCGATTGTGATCCCATAGGGTCATTATCTCCACAGTGTAATCCTTACATAGGAAAATGTGAATGTAAACCAGGCCACGGAGGTAGACAATGTGATCAATGTCAAGAAAATCATTGGGGAGTCCCGAGTATCGAATGTTATGAATGCGATTGTGACTTATATGGTTCTGTGTCTCGCCAGTGTATGCGGACAAATGGATCATGCATTTGTAAACCAGGAATCGGAGGATATAAATGCGATATGTGCGCTAGAGGATACTTAGGTGAAGCTCCAAGATGTTATGCCTGCGGTGAATGTTTCGATAACTGGGATCGATTAATAAATGACTTACGTATTCAAACAGAGTACGCTATCGGCAATGCCAGTAAAATCAAAGTAGTTGGTGCTACTGGCGCTTACACTAGAGATTTTGATGAAATGACCAAAAAGCTGTCTGAAGTAGAAAATATGTTGGAGAGTGCAAAACAAGGTCAAACTACAGTTAAAGATTTATTGTCTAATGTAACTAGTCTACAAAACTTATTAGCAGAAGCTGATGAAAAAGTCAAAAACAGCAACGAAAATCTGAATGCACTTACATCCAAAATCAATCTTGGTAATGTAACATTGGAAGGCTTACGAACTAGTATAGAAACTTTGAAGGGAAAAACAACCGACCTAGGTAATAACGCAACAAAATTACAAGAAGCTAACTTAGAAGGCGCTCTTAACTTGACTCGGGAAGCTAAGCAACGAGCTGTTAAAGCTGCTGATGATGCAGATGATGTGCAGACAATAATAGCAAACACTGATCGACAAATTAAAAATACTGATAGACTTATTGAAATGCAATATACAAACTTCAATAACACTCAAAACGATAATGATAAAAAACTTAATGAAATTCGAGACCAATTGTCACAGCTGGAGTCTCAAATGCCAAAATTAAATGAAAAAATGTGTGGCCAGGAAAGCGATAGCTGTGATATTTGTGGAGGGGCTGGATGTGGCAAATGTGGTGGTATATCCTGTGATCAAGGAGCTGTTACTAAAGCAGAGCAAGCTTTAGATTTCGCAAATAAGACCGAATTTCGTATAAAAGAACACGAACTCACCGCTGAAGATCTTTTCAAATTAATTTCTCAAGTGAAACAAGATACCGTTGACGTTAGATCAAGAGCAAAGGATTTGCACAGCAGAGCATTTGAGTTTAAGACATCGGCTGAAAGAGTTACAAATGAAAGCCAGGACTTAACGGCTGAATTAAAAGAATTCTTGTCCAATACCTCGAATACTCCTGCAGATGTCAGAACTCTAGCAAATGACATACTCAACTTATCCATCAGTATAGAACCAAAAGAAATAACAGAACTGTCTCAGCGTATCAATTCTTCAGTATCACAGTTAACTGATATCGAGAATATTATTGCAGAAACTAAACCAGACTTAGAGCGAGCTAAGGCTTTGAAATTAAATGCTACCACAGTAAACAAGTCAGCTAATTTGACACTAGAAATGGCAAATAAAGTTTTGGATGCCCTAGATGAAGCACAAGCAGCCCAAGACGCCGCAGAAAATGCTATTAATAAAGCTAATAGTGACATTGAAGGAGTCAAAAATGATTTAGTTCCTATAGCTACGGAAACAGAACAAGCTCAAAAACAAGCTAACCAGACTAAAGATGAAGTGGAAGGGTTACGCTTGCGACTATCTGACTTACAAAAAGACATATTGAAAATAGAGAGTGACGCCGAACAAGTGAAGCAAGAGGCTAATGACGTCGTAAGTCGTGCAGAAGGTGCTGAGCAATCAGCTCGATTATTGAGGCAAGATTTCAAACGCACTAATATGTCACTTGCTGAACGCGCAAGTCAAACCTCAAACTCAAGAGAAAGGGCACAAATGCTACTGAAACGTGCCACTAAGCTGGCTAGTGACACTCAAACACAACTTAAACTTCTTGCTAACATGGAAGTTTTATACAACGATCACAATGAGCAGTTAAATACATTAGAAAAGGAAATCGGCGAACTCAATACACAAATGAACTACTACCTGTCTGAAATCACAAAACGATCGGATTACTACAGGTCTTGCACAACGTAGGGAATGGTCTATACTTCTTTGCCATCGGAATTGTAATTATGCAAAACTTATCTGATATATTCCGAATATTGTTACTGTTTCCATAAGTGCCATAATGCTGTGCATTTTACAGTGTTAGTCATTGTTCGTTATTTTGATGTAAAATGTGTAGTTTAACTACCTTGTGTCTGTAATATAGTGCAAAGAAATTTCGGTTGTTAATGCAAGTAATATTATGTTCATCTCCATATTTCATTACTGTACCTACTGATATATACCTACCTAACACAATATTGACTACCTACGTTGATACTGTCAAACTGTCAATAAGTTGCTAAGCCTTGTAATGATCGTTGTAATTTATTTTACAATAGTCGTGTTTTGGACTTGTTCTGTATCTTTCCAGTGAGTGCATTCACTAATCACTTTTAGACAGTGTGTCTTGAAATAATTATAAAATTAGGTTTATATAAAATACATTATTTTGTATCTTTATTTAGAAAAATATTCCAAAGAATTATTACTATGTGGTGAAATAACTATAACGTAAAAATGTAAACTTACGTTTAATTCAAAAGAACAAAATAAAGTTCTCTACAAACTACTGTTAATTGTAGGTAATTTATATGCATTATATTATGTTTTGTGCTGTTTTTCCATAAAGTATATTTTCTGTGTGTCTGTCTGAAATAATTAATTTAATAGTTTCTATTTTCTGTAAACTAATAGTACTGCCAGAGTAGATAATAATAGTTATTGTACCATAATAAGTATTTTATAAATACGTAGGATGTCGTGTAAACTTAAAAATATTTTGCAAATTTATAAGGAGTGATTATCAAGTAAGACTTTGCTTTTGTTTTACATAAATAGGATTTCTAGCAAGAAAAATATGTCTTTTTAATTCTCTTAATAACTTTTAAGTTTACACATTTCCCTTTATCTTGATATATTAGTACCAGACATGTGTCTGTTAAAATGTGCATTTAAATAATGAGATTCTTTCTTTGATTCCATATAATTAGTCCTTCTATTGCATTTGAGACGCTATTTGGTATTGCCATATTGATATTGTAATATACGAGGCACCAATACTTAATTGTTAATAAAACTTTGCCATTACTTACTATTCGTTTTAATTCATATGAAACTTAATTATTCCATACATATATATCAATGAATGAAGTATAAGTATATATATTTTAGTTGCTATAGAAGTACGCTAGTGTAGGAGTTATACCCTCTTATCAGTAACAATAATGTCACAGGTCAACACCGAACATTAGCTAGTTGATAATTATAACTTTTTTTTAACTAACTACTTGTATCTATGATCTATTTAAACTATGCCTTCTCATTCTATTTCATTAACTTGAGTAATTTGATTTAAGTAGTAATAAATTGTTAGGTTATATAAAATAAGAAATTGTAACAAAGTCAATTGTTTTGTTTTATTTTCTTCTTATTACGAATTATTACAACATCTCTAAAATTCTGTCTTAAAAAAGTAGGTTGAATTTATGGTAAATAAGTAAAAAAAAAACAAAATACATAATAGGTATATTTTAATTAAATAAGTAGGTAGGTACCTAGTATTAAAAAAGACAAACGTTAAAGGTAGGTAAAATCTAGAGAAAGTCAGCTTAACACACACATGGACTTTGTGCTATAATACATAAATAAATATACGTTTAATACTTACGAATTTAGTTTATTGTACTTATAACGCCATTCCTATAAACAGCTGACATGCATTAGGTACAAATCCCTTAGCTATTAATCTTCAAATCAGGTAGAATAAACAATACAATTAATTAAATCATATCTTCAATATTACTGATATTTTATAAAATTATACTTTTGTTGTATAGGACATTACACATTATTTTTATTTATTCTTTAATGTGGTGCAGCTTACACATTTCACGAGATAGGTACAGCCTGGTGATAGACAGACAGATATACGTAATCGAGTCGAGTCGGGTCATAGAAAAAGGGTTCCTGTTTATTCGCTTTGGGTACGGAGGGAGGCATATTCAGACAATAAACTGGCATTCTAATATAAAATAACAAACTTTAAAGATAATATTACCTATATTTCCTATTTAAGGTGGCTGTACTTAGAACCGATACTATCCAATGATGATGGGGAATTAGGAGTAAAGTTCCGGAAAGTAGATCAAGGATTTCGACAAGTGACCAGAATATTAGAGTCGGATCCTAGGCTGTCGGCTCTATTGCAGTCTTCGCGACTTCAACCTATGCTGGACTCTATTTCTGAACAATTGTTAGCTTGTCAATCAGCCCTAAATCTTTATATTGATGTAAGTATAATGTATACTAATAATTATAAAGAGGTAAAATTTGTAAGTTTGTATGTAGGGGGTAATCTTTTAAACCGCTGGTCGGATTTCCAAAATTCTTTCACTGATAGATAACTACAATGTTCCTGAGTGCTATAAGCTATTACATTACGCTATGATTAAATGGAACCGAGCAGCGGGTGAAACCGCGCGAGTGTATCTAGTATCTAATAATAGTTGGAAGGAGAATATCCCAATCATCTATAATAAGTAAAATAAATTACAAAAGTGAGATTGTTTGTAAATGTTTTACTTATACCTACGTCTAGATTGATTTTTACTATTTTTAGGACAGAAAGAATCTGATAGAGCTAATAACCCAGGATTGCGGGTAAAAGTTAACTTATGTCGTAATTGTAAAATTAATTGGAATTTCAAATTAAAGCAAGCAAGCATCGAGACTAAATAATTGAACAGCAATTAAAACTACATAGAGCTAATGATCGTGAATCCAGTTTTGTTACTTGAGCGGTTAGCAGTTTTTGTTTACATGACGTCATCTATAACGCTGACTCAATAAGTTACAGACATTGTAAATCCTTTGCATTTTTTTTAAGTTATTATGTAAATGTTATGTGTCATTATATGTCTATGTGTCATTATTATCATCACCTATAACAACACCAACCTGTAACAAGAGACTGTGGGGTCTCCACGACATGTTTTCCATAATCTCCACGTTTGCCAAACAGATTAGAGAACTCAATTTTAAGAATGAATTACATAAATCTATAACTGCAATATTTACAATTATTATTTATAGGAAAAACGATCAGTATTCCCAAGACTATACTTCCTGAGTGACGATGATTTATTGGAACTTCTCGGCCAAGCTCGTGCTGGCGCTGAAGGCAGGGAAACTGTTATGCAAACGCATCTCAAGAAATTGTTCCCGGGAATCACAGGAGTGCGATTGGGACCCGGAGATATGTCAATTACCGCTTTATGTAGCCATTACGGAGAAACATTCCAATTGGACCACCCTGTTGATATCGATTGCCCAGTGGAGGTACGCCTTGTTCAAATTGTTGGTAGATAATGTTCTTATCATATATATAGAGCATACTTGTGAATATATAACTTCTTTATTCTTTAAGGTATGGTTGAAGAACTTAGAAGCAGAAATGCGTGCCTCTCTAAAGAACATGACTCTAAAGTGCGTAGTCACAAACTCTCTCCAGGAACAAGACCCATTTTCACTGCCAACACAAGTACTATGCCTTGCGCAAAACATACGATTCACTGAGCAAGCAGAAAAAGCTATAACTTCTAAGGAATTGCACAAATTGAAGGCCAATATTGAAAAGGAGAACTCGTACTATGCTTCAGCCGAAATTGAGGACGAGAGTGAGCGACGCAAAAGGCAGGCCCTCATATTACAATGTGCTCATTATTTGTCTGTCATCAGAATTTTGATAGACAATAATATCGTGTCAACTGGCGACTGGCTTTGGCAAAAACAGTTGAGGTAAGTAACTTATGTTTATACTGAATTACAAAGTGTAAACGAGTAGGTACCTAATAAAACTGAATAGGAAGTCGATGCATTGGGCCTATATTCATTAAAATTAATCAAACTATTTTTGCTTGTGCTCATGTAATGTGTTTGCATTTTTGCAGATTCTATTTGCTGAGTACAAAGGAGGTTGTAGCTAAAATGGGCCTAGCTCAGATATCATATTCATACGAATACCTAGGAGTGAACACAGGACAATTTGTGCGCACGGAACTAGCTGACGACTGTTTCTTTATATTGACACAGGTAATTCAATCATTTATCCATTTATTAAACCCTATAGGTAGGTAAAACCAAATGGACTAAGTATAAAAAGGTCAAGTCTTCTTTCTCCATCTCCAAAATATACATATATGTTTATAATTATAATATTTTCTATTCTAATTCATTGCCTTATTTTCTTTCAGTCTCTCCATTTGGGGTTAGTGGGTAACCCATTCGGTCCAGCCGGCACTGGAAAAACAGAATCTGTGAAAGCCCTGGGTGGTCTTGTAGGACGCTTGGTGCTAATCTTTAACTGCGATGAGGTAATACCACTTTATTTGCATATATATTTGTACTTTGTACAATATGTACTTTTAATAGACAAACAAGACTCAAACGGTTCATATGCACCTATGTATGTTAATGAATAAAATGATGTACCTACCTATATATAGGTATCCGATAATTATAAACTGTCAACAAGAAATTAGTAGTAGATACTTATATTGTTTGTTGTGTAATTAAATATTCATTATTCAATATAAATCACAAATAAAACTTAGTACTATTTGTCATCCATTTATATTTACCTAATAGAATGTAACTCGTGACATTTTAAGTGATATAGGCGACTTGAAGATGGATATTTACAAACTTGCTAGTTTTTAAGATTTAAAAGGCATAACCATATTAAGAACTCATTATTATCATCACCAGTACCTGTAACTCTTTCATTATTAAATTGAGTATTTTTTATGTTATGGACCTTTTAGGGATTAGGGTTTTGGAGATTAAGGGATTGGACAGGGATTGGGCAAGGGGAAGATTGGGCCTCCGGTAACCTCACTCACACGGCAAAACACAACGCTGTGGTTATTTCAAGCCGGTTTTCTGTGAGGCCGTGGTATCACTCCGGTCGAACCGACCCATTCGTGCCGAAGCTTGGCTCTCCAACACTTAAAGTTATATAGATAATTAATACCTAGTTATTACGTTTTCTATAATTTCAGGCAATGGATGTAGAGTGTATGGGTCGTTTACTTAGTGGACTCGCCCTGTGTGGCGCGTGGGGATGTTTCGACGAGTTCAATCGCTTGACAGCTCACACACTGGCCGGCGTGTCACACCAGCTGTCCTCGCTACTGGCCGCCATCACTGAGCGGTCATCTGGCTCACAACCTACAGCGCTACTCAACGGGAAACAGGTAACATTTGCCAAAAAGAACTGAGCATAAAAAATGGGACAATACTGACCTGTTTTGGGGGGTACCTGTTTTGGATCGAGCGAGAAGAAACGCCTGGGTGTCGTCATTGTGATGACCATCCGAAGGACACGGTAACGGTGTACTGTGCTAGGGTTCAGCACCACCGTGTCCTCAGAAGACACGTGGTGGTTTTAGTGTAGTAAGAGTCTGACAGCCCCTTTTATCACATCCAGGGTGAAATCAATGATTATCCCCCTTAAAAAAAAACTTGAAGAAGCATAAATGACCCCCCTTCTTACCTACTATAACAAATTACCAAAAAAAAATCATTATGGGTACTAAATAGGATGTAAGTATAAATGATAACTTAATATTTGATTTAAAATTATAAAAAACATATTTCCATAAAAGTAGCTAATTAACTCAGTATAGATAAATTAAATTGGCGATAAAACATCTGAATCAATATACGGTCAAAAAGATTACAAATGAAATGATAATACCTAAATACTAACAAACGATTGATCCGCTATTTCGCACTCGATTAACACATCTTCGGTAGTATAGTGGTCAGTATCCCCGCCTGTCACGCGGGAGACCGGGGTTCGATTCCCCGCCGGAGAGATTCTTTTTGTAATTTCCAAATATTTTTAACAACGTTTTATTGAACTGATATTGCTACTAGTAGTCGTGGAATTGAATAGATATGGAACATAAAAAAATATTTTTTTATTTTTTATAAGTACTTAAATTGCGTCATTAGTTTTGTTGGTATTTAATAATAATCGTATCTGACTCAGCTGCGGCAATACATACGTACGAGGATCATATAGGTAATCTTGTTGATGTACAACCCGATAAATTTCGCATGTAGATTATTACTTATTCAAATTTTCAAATTTTCAAATTTCAAATTTATTTATTTGCAAACTAAGTGAATACATTGGTCTTATTGCTAGTGGCACTTAAAAACTTAGTAGCCTTTTCCAGGCATTGGAAACATACTAGAGGGTAGATAATTGTTACTAATATTATACTTATTAATAATTAATTAGAACATAAATTTACACAATTAAAAGAGATCATTTTAGTGGATCGCTGTATTAATATTAAATAATATTTCTGAGTAGGTAGGTACTATTATAAAATTTATATATTTGATCATCATAGATATTCAAAGTTTTATTTAAGATCATATTTTTGTTCCTAATAGATTTTATTGCAAAAAGTACCTAATACATAATGGGTAATATATAGTATGATTTGATAATAACCTTGATTAGGAAGGCATGGGGAGAGGGAGAGGGATTGGGCCTTTTGCAACCCCACTCAAGGCGAAACACAAGGTTTTGGTTGTTTCACGCCGATTTTCTATGAGGCCGTGGTATCACTCCGGTAGAGCCCTATTCGTGTCGAGGTTTGGCTCTCCCACACTTAAAATCAAGGATTATAAATATTTTTTGAATAAATTCCAAAAGGTGACTGTATCGGAGTGGTGTGGAGTAGCGGCAACAATGAACCCGGCGGGTCGTGGGTACGGAGGTCGGAGGACATTACCCTCCGCCTTGCAACGAGTGTTGCGCCCCGTGGCTATGCTGCAACCGCGCCCTGATGTACTCGCTGCCCATCTACTGGCTGCAGCCTGCGTTCCTGATGCTGACCTACTGGCTCGAGATCTGCATAATGTGTTTACTCTTGCAAGGTGACTGTTTATTTAAGTTGAGTTTAACATAGATTTTGGTTGCGCATTTTTTATTTTTATTCATTTAAGTCAATTATTTAAATAAAACACATTTAGAAAAAAAAAACACATTTACATTTTTTACATGAAATGTGTTAGAATTAGGTACACTTTTACTCACTTTTAAGTATTTTGTACCCATAATTAAAACAAAAATCAAATATCAGAGAACGGAATTCTTAAAAACTGCGTGAAAAGGATGCATATTCTCTATCTTTTACCATCTCGGTGACAATGGTTTTGGGTATAATATACAATACCTACAGTATAGTATGTATATGATGACATGTTTTTGTTCCAGTTACTTACTAAGCGAGCAGCGTCACTACGACTGGGGGCTGCGTGCCCTAAAGGCAGCCGTGGGGAGCTGCGCCGGCATGCTGCAGAGCGGGCCGCGCGCCGCCGGGGCCGCCACTGTCGCCCGTCGCGCCGCCGCTCGCCGCGTACTTACGCTCAACAACCTCTCCAAGCTCACTCGATACGATGCTCAAAGGTAGATCTATAATACCTACACTAGCTGATCTGGCAAACTTCGTCCCGCCTCATTTATAACTAATATGTATATCATTGTTTTATTTAGTCATATCCAGGTAGGTATATTTCAAGACCACAATAAACCATTTTCGCACAGACTTTATCGAGTTTAGCGAGACTTACGAACAGAAAATCATTTTTGTATATAATAAGATAACTTTGTAAGTGGTTACTACGCATAGATACCACATGTATGTAAATTCCTTGTTCACAGATTCGAAAACATACTATCATTGGTTTTCGCCGATGTACCAACTGAAGAATCCAGTTCTGATCCCATAAACTCAGCTCTTGAGACTAGCGTTAATAACCTCAAGCTTGTGCATAATAAACACCAGGTAATCGAACAGTATTCTGAATTTTAACACATTCAAAATAAGGTCTAATTTCGTCCTCTTTATAATGTGTATTTAAAACTATTTTTTCATAGATACAAAAGTGCGTGGAACTTTACGAACAAATGCAACAGAGAATGGGTGTCGTAATCGTTGGACCTCCGGGGTCCGGTAAAACTACTATTAGACAATTATTGAAATCGGTGAGTACCTACTTTCTTTCTTTGCTAACCAATGAATAGCTCCTATTATAGATGCACAAATACAGTACGGCCGCCGTATCTTTGCTAGTCTGAAGTTAGCCGTTTGTCTACGCAATAGATCTTTTAGGAACAAAATTGTGTACTGTGCAGCTAATCGGCTAACTTCAGACTCGCCAAGATACGTTGGCGGTATTGTAGGTTTTATTGTTGTTAAATGAGAATAAGTATGAAGCCGATTTTTTATAGCTATACGAGTATATGTATGTGCACAGACACGGAGAATACAATTGTTTCTGGGTATTCGTTTTTTTAACTTTAAACGAACTACACCTACAATGCACTCAAAGTTCAATAAGTATTTATAAGGCATTTGACTGCAGGCACAACGTATCGCGAGTTCGATTCCCGCAAGGAACAACACTTTTTGTGATCCACAAATAAAATTATTGTTCCGGGTCTGGGTGTCATAAGTATGTGAAATTGTGTGTTTGTAAACGCACCCACGACATAAGAGAAAACCCGAGAGCTCGGCAACCTCATTAAAAAAAATCTGTATTATATCTTCTTATATAAAAATTTAAGATTTTATGATTTAAATTCATATAATGAACTCATGTATGTACAGGCCCTAGCGCTCCAAGGTAAGAATGTGGTGGAATACATAATCTGCCCGAAGGCGATGAGTCGCGAGTGGTTGCTGGGACATATAGAGCACGACACGCGGCAGTGGACTGACGGGGTTATATCCTACACGGCACTTGAAATATCTAACCAACCATCTGGTATGAATTACTTTAACTATTATTACAAAGAATAAAACTTACAATGGTATCGTAAATGAGAACAAAATGTCACTGTAGTAATAATTGTAATTAAATCAAAACAAAATGCGTATTGTTTGTTTACATTGCTTGCTTATTTGTATTTATTGGATCTACAACAAAGATTACACCTTACAAGCTAAAAATGAAACATAAACAGATACAAATCCTTGTGCATCTTCAATTATAGGAGCCCACAACTTGCATTATGATATCAATCAATCAATTATTAAGTATGTAATATATGGAATAAAGTATACAATCTAAAAAAGAAATGACAACAATTTTGACAATATAAAGTATCGGTGTTTCAAACACACATTCTCTATACGGATGTTCTTGATGAAGGAATATTTTTTTATGTTATTGGACGGCAAACCAGCGTATCGATTACCTGATAGTAAGCAATCAGCGCCGCCCATGGACATCCGCAACAACTGAAGAATTATGAGTGCGTTACCGACCTTGGGGGGATTATGGCTGGGGAATTGGGGATTGGGGGAGGGGAGCGATTGGGCCTTCGGTAACCTCACTCACGCGGCGCAACACAACGCTGTGGTTGTTTCACGCCAGTTTTCTGTGAGGCCGTGGTAGAAGTCCAGCCGAGCCGACCCATTCGTGCTGAAATTTTTGATTTAAATTAGAAATTAAATAAAATTGATAATAATAATAAAATTGGTAAACAATTACTCCCTTAATCCAAAACAAGATTTAAAGTCCAGGTTTAAACTATTGTGTCAGGTTTTGTATATTGAATCTTATTCTCACGTTACCTTCAATTTGAAATACAAAAACTGGATCAATGGTTTAGACCTAGACTAAAGAAAAACCTTGTTTTGTTATAAGGACGATACTGTTTTCAGATGTATGGTCCTGGGTAGTATGTGATGGTGACATCGACCCAGAATGGATTGAAGCCCTAAACTCTGTGCTAGATGACAACAGACTGCTAACATTGCCTTCAGGCTGGAGAATACAATTCGGTTCTAACGTGAATTTCCTCTTCGAAACACACAGCCTCGAACATGCTTCGCCGGCTACTGTGTCGAGAATGGGTATTATATTGTTAAGGTAACTGGCATTAAGTGGTACCTTTTTTATGGTATAGATCGGGTCGAGAAACGAGGATACGGGTTTCGGATATTTATCTAAGGATTGGGAAGGGATGGGGAGGAGGTGAGATTTGGCCTCCAGAAACTCCACTCACACGGCGAAACACATGGCTGTGGTTGTTTCACGCCCGTTTTCTCTGACGCCGTGGTATCACTGCGGTCTAGCTGACCCTTCCGTGCCGAAACTTGGCTCTCCCACACTTACAACTTAGTAACCAAGCTACAAAATATACTTTAACATACGTTGCCATATTAATTCAGTGAATTATAGGAGTGTGTTTTGCATTGGTTTTTAAGCGTCAAGCTTACAATATATTAAAACAATATGTATTCCGTTCCTAACAAAATCTCATTTTCTCCTTATATTGACATTCTTGAAAACAGTATTTATAACTCAAAACTAGCAAAAAAAACTTTTGTCAAATTGTTAGTAGAAAAACTGGTATCTCTAATATTTAACTTACCCATTCTACAGCGATGATGAAAGCTGTGATCTAGATGTACTGGAAGCGTGGATGCATAAAGCCGATTTCGATAATGAAAGCGTGAAAATGGCATTGCCGCTGTTGCAGCAAGTTATAAAGAGATGCATTCAATGGCTTACTGATCATAAGGGTGATTTGGCTCTCAAACTACATAACATTACTGTGGTAAGTGAGTTAAAAAAGACATGACAATGTTTAATAGAATGATGGCTATTCAATTTATATCTATACTAATATTATAAAGAGGTAAAATTTGTAAGTTTGTACATTTGTATGTTTGCAAGTTTGTAAGTTTGTATGTAGAAGTAATCTTTGGAACCACTGGTCGGATTCCCAAAAATCTTTCACTTATTGATAGCTACGATGTTCCCGAGTACAATCAAATGGAGCCCAGCAGCGACTGAAACCGCGCGAGAGTAGCTAGTATCAAATATAGCAGTTATTTTATTAATGGGTTCAAGTTCCAGAAGTTAGTTGGATCGCATATGATAAGCAATCGGCGCCGCCCATGGACACCCGAAACACCAAAGGCATTACAAGTGCCAGTTGTCAGCGTTTTCTATATAAAAAAATGACACATGAACGACGACTCTCTGTGAAGTTGCGGGTGCAAAGGCAATAATATACCTCGGCCTGGAACAGAAGAAGGAACAGAGTGGATTTTAGTCAGTAAAAGTCGGACACAAACTCTCACCCCCACCTAGGGCGGAAAAAGTAATTTAATTATTTTAACGGATATTACGGATACATTTTATTGCAAAAACACGTATTTTTTATGTCATTTCCAGGTTAAACAAATATTAACACAGTTCGAGTATTTAGCCCAAGACTCAGGGTTCAACGCAACACGCATGGGACCTGAAGAAATGGTCTACCTTGCCATACAGCGAAGTGTGGTCGACGTTATCAAAGAAAATGCTATCGATAGCTTCCATGATGAGGTGGGTTACAACACTCCTAAGCATACTTAGTCGGGTCATAAGTTCTGTCACAAACTTTTGATGTAATAACTTATACGCCTTTTGACAATTATTTAAAAATTATATATGAAATGAAAGGTCATTAAATGTACAATATAATTTTATTTACATTATTCGAAATGCCCTCCCCCATTTTGAACACATGCCCTTAATCTACGCGGCCAGTCATCGATCGCTGCACGCACCACATTCATATCTATGTCTGCCGCTGCTTTAACCAGAGATGCTCGGAGAGACTCCAAATTCGGGTGAGGTTTAGCACAGACTTTTTCCTCCAAATATTGCCATATCTTGTAGTCCAGTGGGTTTAAATCTGGACTAGAAGAGGGCCAGTCTTCATGCCGGATGAAGTCAATTCCACGAGCGATCAACCAGTCTTGCGTACTTCGTGCCTTATGAGCCGGTGCAGAGTCCTGTTGGAATATCCAATGCCTGTTCCTGAACATTGTCTGAGAAAGAGGTTCCACTATGTTTGTTAGGACAGTATTTTGATAAACTTCGGCACTAGTTCTCACACCTTTTTCACAGAAAAACACCTCAGTTACGCCTGAATATGAGACTCCAAGCCAAACCATGAATGAGGAAGGGTAATGCCCACGCTGGACCCTCGCAATACGCGCGCTTGCTTCTTCACTGCTGTGGGCATACACCTTATCATTTTGTTTGTTAAAACTTTCTTCAATAGTAAAAATTTTTTCATCCGAAAAAAGAATTTCGCGGTATTTTTTTCCCGCGTACCGTCGTAGCAAAGCGCGGGATCTGTCTAGCCTAATTTTTTTTAAACGCTCGTTCAAAAAATGTCCTGTCTTTTTACGATAAGCTCGTAGTCCCAGGTCTTCATTTAGTACTCTTTTAACAGTGGTTCTGCTTAGCCCCATCTGCAGAGCTAGGATTTTTTGTTTACGTACGGGATTTCGTTCGATTCGCGCCTTCACTGCTTTGATGACCTTATGTGTCCGAACTGTGCGAGGTCGGCCGCTTCTCTTACGATCTTCGAAGCTTGACTCTTCGGTGTATCGTTTGATAGTACGATAAACAAACCGTAACGTTATTTTCAAATTTTGAAGAATATTGAAAATGTCTTTTGGCGCGTAACCACAGCGGTGCAACGCGATAACCGCGATTCTGTCTTCTTTATTCGACCACTCCATATTTAAAAATGAATAAAAAATAATTTCTTTTTTATTTTCTACAAGCGCGAAAGTTCTATTTTTAAAATAAGTCGAAGAATTTCTGGCCAGTAATCGAAAATTAAAAATATAAGGTTTTGACAGAACTTATGACCCGACTAAGTATATGAAACTTTTGAATTGTTTGTAGTTTTTTTATGTGATTGGATGGCAAAAAATGAACTTGCGTGTTACTTAATGGTAAGCATTCTGCGCCGCCCGACGGAGGTGTGACGAGTGTGTTGACCTTTTGGGGATAAGAGTTTGGGAGATTTGGAGATTGGGAAGTGGAAGGGTTTGACCCGCCGTAACTCAAATGCAAACTACGTTTTCAATGCATAGTACATAAATTCAAACTTTATAAAAACCACAAGAAATATATGTTCTGGTTTTATTTACATCGAGAGTTTCAATAAAAATAATTAGATACTAATTGTATTATAGGTACAGACAACAAACTAAGTGCTTAGGTAAGCACTAAGTTTGTTGGTACTCAAATTGTATGCAGTGTTCGACGCCCACGCTTATCTATCTTGGTTTCATATTTATTTAAGGTATTATTAACCTTAAATAAATACTAAATTTTTAACACTTATTTTCCGATATAAATTGTCACACTGTATGTTTTTAAATGTATTATTTGAGTTACATACCTAAACATCAATTGATCGACACACTTAATGCTAAGGTATACATTAATTTGTTCCTCAGCTGTCTTCACTAATGGGTCCCCCAATAGTGGCCCCGCTAGGTGTGAATGAGTGGGTGACAGACACACTGTTCCTGTCGCGGCGCCTCCAAGGCTGCGAGCCCACACTACGTGCCTGTGTGACGTCACACCACGCACATCTACTCATTGTAGGGCCCGATGCTTCTGCGAAGAAGTAAGTACTAGACTAAGTTATGCCGAGGCTCTAATCTATATAACCATATCTCGATTTGTCATTCAAATCCATAATGTTTGTTTTAGTTTAAGATTACTATGATTACCAATCTTGTTATTCAGTTGTATTAAGTACTTTTATTTTGTTTTTTAAATTTGTGTTGTTTTTTTTTTTGTATTTAATCCTAATTAGTTTTTTAAGTACCTAGATAATAGTATTTATATAAAATTAACTGTATAACTTAATGGCGTAAGCTGTAATGTTGTATATGTAAATTTTCTAAATAAATTAATAAGCTTATAGTCATCCACCAAAAAGTTAAAATAAACCAGAATGTTTCTTTTGATCTAGGTATAGAATATTTGATAATTTTAAGTCATCATCACTCGGTCTACCTATATTTTACTAGCGACCCGCCCCGGCTTCACAAGGGGCAATGGTGATAAATTCGCTTCAATCACTATATTTATTAAAAAATACATCAAAATCCGTTGCGTAGTTTTAAAAATTTAAGGATACGTATATAGAGACAGAGAAAGCGACTTTGTTTTATACTATGTAGTGATAACTACCTTAAATACTTAAATGCTTAGATATCTTTGTATCTTCAACAAAAATTTTGTTATTGTTTTTCAGTCTTTTAGCGGAATTCATAGTGAAGGAATGCAATTCGGCGATACTAACTATTGACTGCACACCGATTTTAGAACCAGCTGACATCATTGCAGAGTTAAAAAGAGTAAGTTTACATTTTAAAACTATGTAGCATATAAATTGGTAAAACTCATTGCTCCCAATTGGTTAATATTGAACTGTAATTTTGGACTAACATTGTAATATGTACATGATCACATCTTGTGTATTTATAACCATACTAGCTTCCGCCCGCGGCTTCGCCCGCGTCAAATTACTTTTTGTCCATCCTGGTCCCTTATGTCTAAGAGACTCTTAACTCTCACTCTTATATCACTCTTATATTATAATTTGTTACATTTCAAATACACATTTCAAATTCATTTACATTTTCAAATTCCACACTACTTGTGGAATTTGAAAACGGTACCCCTCTTGCTCATTGCTAAACATAAGCGGGTATTGTAGTGCGTCATAAAACTTGTGTGTTTCGGACACCCTGATCAATGTGTTATCATGGGTTTGAAAAACAATATCGCGCGATGCGAACTGTTCACCACACACCATGGCAGCGACTTCGTTTAATAAGGGTGCATTATAACGTCTTTCATTTTCCCCGCTTGGCGTACAATCTGCGAGTATTACTAATTTGTGATTTTCCCGTGGCATTTTTTCTAAGGCTGTTTTGAAGGTGTTATTGAGGTTATTATGTTCGTGCAACATTCTTTTAATTTTTAAAACAATGTCCCTCTCATCTCCTTCAATATTTTGACATCAACGGTCAACCTCGCTGTTTTCGTCTCCCATAAAATAAATCTGTAGAAAATTGGTTGATCATTGTTTGTGGAAAGCATCATCAAGATCCTATGATAAACTTGCCCTTGTACCGTAAATGTGGGTGAAAATCCAGGCATGATGACAGGAAAAATCGCCGAGATTCATTGCTGTCCTTTCTTCTGTCGTTGCTCCTCGGGGTCACCAAGCGTTGGTACTGATATTTTGCCTCCAGAACAGCACATACCTAGGGTCTCTTCCTTCCACTTGAGTGCCTCACAGTGTCTGCATTTATTAGCCATTCTATCTATGAGGACTAATCGATAATTAAAGTAATCAAGTAACAGATCATAATTAAAAGCAGCATCGGCAAATGCTTCCCACGTATTTATCGTAAACGTACGTCTCCTTTACGGCATTAATGAAACGTCGTCTACGTGTTTCTTCGGAGGTCTCTGCGGCTATGTACGAAGCTTGATGTTCAGCATCTAAGATTTGGCAAGCTTGGGACTGTTGAGAAGTCTCAGCAGCTCTTTGAGCCGCGTGACGCTCGGCATCAATGGCTTGGCGAGCTTGGGTCTGTCGAGAAGTCTCATTCCAGTGATCTGGCAAGTTTAGCAGCCCGAGCTCTGCTAGAGCTTTTAGCTAAATTGGACTTTCGTTTGCGAGGCATCGTAGAACAACAAAAATGAAATGAATCGGACAAAACAGATATACAGATTAAGATTTATTATATTAAAAAACCTTTGTTCACCCTACCTGCACCTACTTGGATAAGTACTTATTTACAACCAATGCAAAAAAGTAGGACGCTAATAGATTAATTGAATAAAAAAAGGAAATAAAAGCAAATCGTATTTATTTAAAGTAACGGAAACTATCTTATCTACTTGTAACGTTGTAACTATGAACTAAAAGAAATATTAAGTAAGTGCAAAATTTATTTACAGTATCTAATTAATAAAAAACACTTAAAAAGTTAGACGAAACAATAAAATAATTTTACTGGATCGAAAAATGTAATTCTCTAAAGCGCAAATTTCTCTTATCGAACCCGACAACGACCTCTGTCCTCACGTGTCTGTCCGTTCGGGTAGACATAGTTAGATTCGTGCGCTTCCCCACCACACGACAGCGCCGCGCCGCACTTCGGCGAATGTGCGCGACGCCGACGGCAGCGACGGTGATGCAGAGTGTTCATTAAAAGGAATTTATACTTCGAAAGTGAACTATTTTGTAACTTGATACACCCAAAACCCTTCTAAATTACATCTTCCTAGGTTCAATACTTAAGATTTCGTATACCTACATAAAGGTTGGCTTTGTAGATCCCGTTCCGAATCCGTTCCGGGTGTTATCTTCAATTCATCCCCTATTTCACTACATATCACACTGATAAAATTTTCAAAATGCTAGTACAAACGATTTTTTGTTTCTTATGACGTGATATTTGACGAAATTGCATACTAACTTTCAACCCTTGTTTCACCCCTTAGCTGGTCGAAATTTCAAAAATGCTAGAACAAATATTTCATATTTTCTTATCAAGTGCTTAAATATTAAGTTTTATGGTTTTATCTTTAAAAATTAAGAAATCCCATACAAACTTTTAACCCCTATTTCAACCCCTTTATCCCTGTTTTACGAAAAAAAAAGTAGCCTATGTTCTGTCTCAGGGTCTAAAGATTGTCTGTACCAAATTTCATTAAAATCGGTTGCGAGGTTTAAGCGGGAAAGCGTAACAGACAGACAGACAGACAGACAGACAGAGTTACTTTCGCATTTATAATATTATTAGTTAGGATTTTTTCATTAATTGATCATTGATGATTATTATGTAGTAAAAAAGTCGTGATGGCGGAGATTAAGGCGCCCGCTTCTCATGTATGAGGGTGCAGATTTGAAACCTGGCAAATTTTTCGACTTTTAGTTCAATGTACTTTCTATGATCATTTAGACACCACTGACAAACGATAAAGGAAAACATCGTGAGGAAACCTAGACAATAATTTCTAATTATAAATTTGAAATCGCCAATCCGCCTTGAGCAAGCGTGGTGGTTAATGCTCAAACGTCCAAGTGAGAAGAGGCCTTTGCCTTGTGATGTGAAAAAAATGAACTCTTTTATTTCCCGCACGTAGAACAACATGGTCCGAGCAGGCGGGCGCGGCGCGGGAGCAGGTTCGCGCAGTACGCTCGTAGTGCGCGCCCTGCATCGCGCGCGTACTGACGCCTGGAACTCAAGCCCCGTGCATTCTTTCTTACTACAGGTTAATAACACTTATAGTATAACTAAACTGCTGTTTGTGTGTGAATTATTGTGCCTACTAGTAAAAAATACAGCAAATCTATTCACTATTTACTTAACAGCAAACAGTATGTTTTAACTGTGTATGTTTCAATTCATTGAATACGTAGAAATAATTTGACAATGTTGTTTATTGTAAGTGCAATGAATATGTATGTATATTATGCTTTATTATTTTTTGTTATTATTAGTACTTTTCTACTATTGTATGGTTATTCGATTGCTTTCTTAGTGTACTTGGATTAAATCCGAGTTAACACAACTAAATAAATAATGAATAAATTAAAATGTTATTAACAGTTAATACAACACAATGGGTTCTGGACGCGAGGCAGTGACGAGGAAGGCGGTAGTGGCACGCAGTGGTGCCAGGTGTCGCGTCTGCGAGTACTGGCCACTGCCACTACACTCACTGCCATTTCCCCAAGACTAGCTGCCGCTTTGGAACTTAGAGCTTTAAGGTACGTTACTAAGGTTCATTGTTGATATTTGTGTGTGACATACGCAGTACCAGAAGTTGTATCGTACCACCACCCGTTATAGTTTTACAAATAATGCAATGATATCGTATTATGCTCATTTTCTTCCACTAGCAATCACTTGATGAAGTAATCGTGTATTTTACATTGGTTTTTTTACAAGCAAGCGGATTACCTGATGGTAAGTAATCGTCGCCGCCCATGTACCTACTCCCGCAACTCCAACCGAGTTCCCGGCCTTTTGGGGATAAGTGTATCGGGTATGAAAGGATTGGATGGAAGGGATGGGGGAGGGGGGGGGTGATGGATTGGGCCTCTGGTAACCTCACTCATATAGCGAAACACAACGCTGTGATTGTTTTACGTCGGTTTTCGGTGAGGCCGTGGTATCTTTCCGGTCGAACCGATCAATTCGTCCCGAAGCTTAGCTCTCCCACCCTAAATACATGTATATGCACCGGACTTATAAGAAAATGTATGAAACCTTGTAAAAAACTTATTTCAGTGAACCAGACGATGAGGAATTGTTAGAAATACTAACCCACTATTTAAGGAACAGCGTAGATAAGGGAATACCGTTTAAGGATATAACAAATCTAGCTGATAAGCTTCTGGCCATGTATAAAGAGGTAATATTTGTTTACATTAACTTTAATATTGCAAATAACATTTGCTTTTACTTAATTTATTACAATTACAAACACAAAATTATTTCTAAATAACCTAAGAATGTAAAGTTCACTTTAAAATACTGAAGACACTCTCCACTACACAGAATAAATCAAAGTCGCTTCCCACTGTCTGTCTCTATGTATGCTTAAACCTTTTAAACTATGTGACAGATTTCAGGAAGGATAAATACATAAAAGGTTTTCTGCAAGATTAGATATAAATTTCTTAATTTCATTTTACCAGGTTACAGAGACATTCTATGATCAAAGTCATTATAAGTGGAATGCATCACACTTGAGAAAACTGTGCGAGAATGTCAAATGGTACTCCCCAACTAACACAGAACAATTAATAATGGTAAGATTATTATTTTGGAAACTTAGCTGTTCTACTAACGGCATGTATGTACCGCGATGCAGCATTTAGCTGCGTATGTAAAAAATCGCCTTGTATACCTGCGTAAATTATTTTCGAAGCTACAGTAAAACTTTCTAACTCTGTGGTAATGTTTATGTAAGCAGTTTGGACTGTAACATTTTCACGTCGAAGTCTCTAAGGATATCAGAACTTAACAATAGTTTAGAAAACACTACGAGGTAATTGCAATTTATAGGTATTCCAAATAACCCTATTATTTCCAGGCTATTAGCGCGGAAGCCAATTTTATGTTCCGTGAGAGGTTAATGTCGGATGAAGAAAAATCAACGTTTAGTTCTATATCTCGTAAACATTTGAATGTGAACAACGAGGCGATGTATTTTGCTTGCAAACTGCGAGGGGATGGCGTTTACCTGGAGCATACTGATTATACTGACTGGCATCACAGGACCGAGCTCCTAATTAATCAATGCTGTAAGTAATTTTACTTTTTCTTCTTTCTTGTCCATTCGTGTCATTTTTATGAAGAACTTCACTACAACTATACCCGTAGCCACTTTAAAGGATCCATGTCATTATAATAGAACCGCTTTCCCTCAGCATCCCTAAATGGTCTTGCATCTCCCATGAACCGTGCTACAGTATTCTCTGAAGTCATTCAGTGGTTGTTACATTAGTTTTTAGTTCGCTAGGGTTGCGGGGCAAGCGCAATTAGGTGCCGCGGCCTCGGCCTAAAGCAGGTGAATGAAAGGGGGTGTTATTAGTCAGTAAAAGTCTCTCCGTCTTGCCTCACCCGGGGCGATAGAAGTCATTTTATGATATACCCCTTGCAAAAAAAAGATAAGTTTCTATATATTCTCAAATACTCTGTGACTACATACTGTACCTTTTCTGAGTGCACACTTTAATGCTGCCTTTAATGATTTATACCTCTTTTAGCACTGTCCGATACTTATCTTGCAAATCAAAAAGAAGTACTTAGATCAACATAAATTACCTTCATAATAAATCGATTGTTTGTTTTCGCTTTTAGTGTCAGAACATGAACATAATGTATTCGGTGAAACTGGTGCTGAGGTGTGTTCTGAACTAGCGCTACTGTGCCCGGCTATGGCGCGATCGGTATGTGTTGATTTAAATTAAAAGATTATTTTTTACATCAGATTAAGCCATTGGCTCCATCCATACAACAAAACTCCTCTGGTGTTTTGTTGCTCTCCGGTAATCTGAACCATATAGCGAAACAACGTCCGAGGTATCGCTCCGTTCGAGTTGATCTATTCCCTGGAAGCATGTCTTTAATAATAAAAACTTATAAATAATAGGATGCTCTGTCCATGAAGTGTTTTTTTATGTTGTGCGTCGGCAAACGAGCAAGCGCATTACCTGATGGTAAGCAATCAGCGCCGCCCATGATGGACACCCACAACAACAGAGGAGTTGCGAGTGCCGATTTTTTGGGATTTTGGATTTGGAGATTTAGGGAATGGAGAGTGATTGGAGAAGGGGAAGGATTGGGCCTCCGATAATCTCACTTACACGGCGAAACACAACGCTGTAGTTGTTTCACGCCAGTTTTCTACGAGGCTGTGGTATCACTCGGTCGAGCCGACCTTTTTGTGCCGAAGCATGGCTCTCCCACACTTAACTGATTACAAACAAACGTCAACTTGTCAGAGTAATGGCGGGCTACTAGTATGCGTGGGTTGCGCCGGAGTGGGCCGGCTGGCCGCCGCCTACATCACTGCGGCCGCGCTACCGGCCTCCTTGGTCGTTATCAACCATGACGGACAGTTTAACACGCAGTTTAAAAACGTAAGATTCTATATTTAAAAGCTTTACTTTATTGTTGATTCTTGCATTTTGGATTTATTATTAGTCTTCATGGAATTTGTGGCGATATTTTTTTACGTCATTGTTCGACAAACTAGCTGACGGATTACCTGATGGTAAGCAATAAGCGTATTAGGGATTTTAGTATAGGGTATTTGGGGATTGAGGATTAGGGGGCAAGGATTGGGCCTCCGGTAACCTGTACTTACAAAGTGTTCTATGAAACCAACTTTACTTGCGTATACGTTACATAGAAACAGTCAATTTTACAAGAGTGACTTTTCTTAAATCTATAGTGTATAAACAAATCTGAACAACAGAAAACGCAGTACCTACATATTTATATAATATAATATTATTTTCCAGGCATTAACATCAGCTGCAGAAGGCAAGCGCACGCTAGCACTCATACGCGAGGGCGCGGCCAGTGTCGACGTACTGGCCGCCGTCGAGGCATTACGCCGCGCGCGGACTCCGCATGCACTGCCGGCCTTATTGCTGCCCAACGCTGACCAGAATGCTATGCGAAGTAAATACTTTTTAAGACATTGTTCTTATTCACTTTTATGTTATATGTTTAGCGGTTTTACCCGCTTTTCGGCTCCATTTTATTCTATATAAGCTCCGTAATAATATGAATAAACATAGTTTATCGGATAATATCTTGTCAACAGACATCAAAGAACACCTTGGCATCGTGATATGCTTGGACAAGAATCAAGAAAACCTAACAGATCTAATGGAGAAGTACCCCTTACTATACAACGACGGTACCATAATATGGTTGGAGAATTGGACGGACGATACTCTACGTCAGTGGCCACGGCTACTCGTGCAGAGGTACCGCCCTCTACCGATTGTAGTAGCAACACACTTTGCACTTAGATATACATTGCACCTGCACTTGTTTGAAGGTAGGTAGTGTTTTGTAATTCACTGATTTTAACTAAATATTGACTTTATTTAGGTATCACTAAAGCACATTTTGACTTTAGATTTTTTTGCGAATTATGAGGAGCAGTGACAATTTTATGTCAAAATTACTTATTATGTACCTATTTATTTTTTATAAAGGGACTACACACCAGGATTTCCCACTGTGACGTGGGTGCGCTTTCAAACATGAAAAATAATATTAAAAGCGCCAACTGTGCTGTCATGAATGTATTATAGTACAAGCCATCATGACGCGGGTTTATATTACTTAGTTAAACTAAACTGGCCGTCTAGAAAGCCGAAGTTTAAGTTACAAACTTAACTTATAACAAAGTGTACACGCAACAAAATTACACAATTACCGCCATGTTGCCATGTTACAGATTACTAAAAGAAAATGCAGTGGACACATCAAAAGAACAATTGGACGCGTTACCTATAGACGGCTTCGTGAATATCCACAAGAGCATAGACGTGGAATGGAAGAAGGCGCCTTGCCGATACGTAAACTTCATCAGGACTTATTACAACATCATCAATAGGAAGAAAGCTGCGCTCGTTCAGAGGCAGACTATGCTTTCAGTGAGAAAATAGTTTTTCACTTCTTTGAGAGTTCAGTGTTCCATGATTTTGTAGTCTTTTGTTTTGTATTTGTTTTAAAAAACGATGCCACACATTAAGATTTTGCCCTGCCTCATGGGTACATTTACAAACATACATATACATGACACCCAGACCCTGAACAACAATTTGTGAATCACACAAACAGTTCTGTTGTTCCGCGCGGGAATTGAACCCGAGACGCGTTGCACATCACTCCGTTGTCCAGCAACCGCGGTAGTAGTAATAATATGACCTTTCACTTTATAAATTAAGAACTTTACAACTATCTGCCATAGTTATTTTATTTACTGTAGCTAAAAAAAGAATAATGGTTATTTATTGATAATAACGACTTACTCGTGTAAATCAAGTGAGAATAGCTCTACTAGTTAAATAGTGAGTTGGCTGCGCGACGTTGACGTTCCGTTGTGTCTTTTGAAACACATCGTAGACAATTTTGGTATGCCTCTTCATGCCCTGGACATGATAACTTTTAAATTTTAAAATCGATTTCAATAAAAGTTTTATTTTTGAACGGAGCGTATTCAAAATACCCTGACGCGATATCTTTGTCTGAAGTTGTTATGGGGTTTATCCATTTTATCCAATAACTAGTAGAACTTTTTTCAGTTGATTTACGTGAGCAAGTCGTTATTTTTAAATAATTTTGTATATGTCACGATAATTACTATTGCTAAAATAATGGTGATTCCAAAGTGAGTGTTTACTTTTGAGGCGGGGGTAGAAGCCCTGCGGCGCGGGCGCAGCGAAGTTTCCGCGCTGCAGAGGCAGGCGGCGCAGCAGGAAGCGGAGCTGCGCGCTGCGCAGGCGGCGGCCGACCGCGCGCTGCAGCAGATGGCCGCCACCGTCACCGCACACACGCACCGCAAGGACGACATGCAGGCGCTGCAGCGGAACATACAGCTCGAGAACGAGAAGCTACAGGCGCAGTAACTATTACCTTATTACACTAACTTCTTCTTCTAATACAGCCCTGCTCGATCCTATTGAACGTATCGTGAGATTTTATTGGCCTTCTTAGACAAATAATAGACTTTTCAACAAAACAAAATAAAATATGAAGGATACATCGCGTCTTAACTAAGAATTTACGAGCTATTTTATCTCCAGTTTGAATATTGTATATTGAAATTTCGAATGAATACAATGATACATTTTTTGTTGTAGGAAAAAAGAAATAGAAGCGGAACTAGCAGCGGTTGAGCCCATTATAGCGGCCGCTCGGTCAGCAGTCGGCGATATTCGACCTGAGTCTTTGAGCGAAGTGAGTAAATAATTAATGCTTCACTTTTAATCCCCTACTGACAATCGTTTTCCATTTAAAAGCTTTAGCAACCCAGATGCGTTTGTAAAGACATAAGCATAAACGTGCATTTATCACTGAATTCGGTAGTTTCCAACGACTTAGTCAAATTCAATACTTTTTTTAATGTATGAGATCGCAACATATGACGTCATGGTTTTACGTTAAACAGTATATCTACTTATTTTTAAATAGATTAAGTATATCGTAAAATCAATGAATGAAAGTATGATTATACATTAGTTAAATAATTCATTGTTCTATTGAAAAGTCAAAATAATTTATTTCGACGTTTCAATACAATAAAATATTGAAAAATAACTATACTTTTATTCATCGATCGATCGATACACTAATTTTTAGATTTTTTTTAGCTTATTATTAAGAAATAAGTATGCTATTTGAAGCAAAAAAGTTATGACGTCATAGCTCAGTTTTTCATACAAATTTCATATAAAAGTATCGTTTTTGACGTTTGGATAAAAGTATTGAATTTGACTAGTTGGAAACTACCGTATTGTAAGTAAATATGGAATTGTTTTTTTTTATGAAACAAGTTACATAGATTTGCATACGCAACGGGTCTACTTAAGTTTAAGTTACATAATTTCCTAACAAGACCTTTCTTATAACTGTGTACTTCACCATACTTCAAATAGTACCTAAATGTAAAAAATATCCCAGTTTTATTTTGATTCCCTTAAAACAGGTACGTTCCCTACGTGCTCCGCCAGAGGTCGTGCGAGACGTATTAGAAGGCGTCTTACGTCTCATGGGCATCGCTGACACGTCGTGGCATTCCATGAAGAATTTCCTCTCCAAACGAGGAGTTAAGGAAGATATTAGGTAAAACATTAAGAATAAGTATTAAAGGGTTTAAATCGCATTTTATTACTGTTGCGTTTTTGTTTTAATAATTAGAATTATTGTTATATATTTCAAATTTGTAGAAAATAACGAACTCACGTGAATTTGTTGAGAAAAGCTCTTCTAGTCTAGTTTCACGTCACAATAGGATTCTCATTCATAAGCAACGTAGTGTTATCGTGCAACCGACTGATTGCTCGAGCTTGCGCGCCCACCGCACTGTATACCGGCAATTTCATAAACAAATCATCAGTTCCCCATACTTTTTTACTGAATAAATATTATGAGAATGCTGCCGTACAATATTCCACAAGATCTGAAATTTCAAAAATATACTTAATTCTTGCCAAGTTTACTTGATTTTTAAATATTTTTTCTAAACAGATGTTTAGATGCGAGTCAAATAAGTCCCGCGGCGCTGGCGAGCGTGCAGAAGTTGCTGGAGTCCCGCGGCGGGTCGTTCGAGCCGGCGACGGCGAAGCGCGCGTCGGCGGCGTGCGCCCCGCTGGCCGCCTGGGTCCGCGCCAACCTGCACTACGCCGCCGCGCTGCGCCGCGTCCAGCCGCTGCAGGCCCACCAGGCCCGACTGCACAAGTACATATACCAACACTTTCGTCTATTTTCTACCTAAAAAACCTGCATTGTAATTGCTACATCTACTCGTACCTATGCCTCAGTTTAGAACGCAGGAGAGCCAAACTTCGAGACGAATGGACATTTTTTTTGTTGTTTTGTTAGAGTTCCTATATCCCTTAATGGGACGTCCACAGTACACCATCGTGTCAGTTCTTGACGTTTGCGCTTTATTTCGCTCCAGGCTCTTGCCTATAGTCGCCGCCTCTGCGATGATCATCCGCCGCCAGGATTGTTTAGGGCGACCACGTTCCCGCTTCCCTTGGGGATTCCAATCGACCGGGGTGATACCCCCTAACCCCAAACACACAATAGGTACTTATACGTTCCATCAGGTGATCCATGTGTTGGTTTGCCGCTCTAAACCCTACAAAACTTATTCTGTCCTCGAACATGAAGAGTTGGTAAAAAATATAGTAATCTAAACTGCATTCTAATACTCGTATATATTTCGTAACGTTTTGTTACCAGAAATCTGACGGACGCAGAGCAACAGATGGCAGCCCTGTCCACAGACCTGAGCACGGTAGAGGAGCGGGTGGCAGCCCTGCAGGAGCAGCTAGGACAGAACACGCGCGAGGCGGCCGCGCTGGAGCTGCGCCTGGCGCAGGCCAACGCCACCATCACCACCGCCACAGGACTCATTGACCAACTCGCACACGAATATCAAGCGTGGCAGAATGATGTAAGCATTGTCATTATTCTATACTAATGTAGCATATAGCGTACATCTATCGCGCAACATACAGTAACAGCACCAATCACGTTCAAGGTCCTACATCGCGGTATAAAAGTTCTGACAATAAGCGTCGGGCAGAAGCCCGCCAGAAGAAGAGGTGTTGTGCCTCTTCTGGTCGGAGGATCCTCCTTTTCCGAAATTAGGGAACTTTACACTCTGTCGCTAAACTAATATTACAAAGAGTAAAATTTGTAATTTGTAAATTTGTTTGTAGGTGTAATCTTGGGAACCGCTGGTTGGATTTCCAAAATTCTTTCACTGATAGATACAACGTCCCTGCTATAGGTTATAAAACACCGCTACGATCAAATGGAACCAAGCAGCGGGTGAAATCGCGCGAGAGTAGCTACTATTATATAGATCTTTATATCGCTTCTTTTCCCACCTTAACTAGTCACTTCGTGTAAAGTACTTTTTTCGTTTATAAACATAATCTCAAAAATACTTAATATAATTCCTTACAGCTGGAAAACATATCAAAAGAAATATCGCAACTCAGTCAAAGATCACTACTATCGGCCGCTTACATAGTATATTTGCCAGATGTCACTGAACCACAAGCCAGGTAACTTAAAATTCTTTAATTATCGTTGCACTATTTGTTCTAAGATCCGATTGAACTAATTTATCTTTCGAAACCCTTTGCCCAACTCCACAAAATATGATAAACAAACAAGATGTCGATTTGATGCACTTCACTTTTTTATTGTTTCACTGCCTATATCAACCTTGAACCTCAACGCAACCACTCTTAAAATCAAGAATATTTTAAAACGTATCAGCATATAAGCATATAAGTGCCCACTGCTGAGCAAACGCCTGTTCTCATACGGAGAAGGTTTGAGCATTATCGTCACGCTTGCTGAAGGCGCTTTGGCGATTTCAAAATTATAATTAGAAATTTTAAGACCAGGCTTCCTCACGATGTTTTCCTTCACCGTATGTCAGTAAACTGCATATAACTCGGAAAAATCACATTGGTATTTGGTATTTTGCACTTGGCAGGTATAACCCGCACTCTCGTGCATGAGAAGCATGAGCGCCTTAACCTCTGGGCCACCACGGCTGTATAGTCATCAACTAAGCGAGCTTATGTTTCAAAAACCACATCTAACTTATTTGTAAACATGTTATTATAGGGAATACGTTACAAAATGGAGTGCCCTCATTGATTTTGAAGATTCATCGTTCTCTATAATAAACTTCCTGACGTCTACTGAGAAGCAATTGAAATGGGAAGCGGATGGGTTGCCATCAGATACTACTGCAATTAAGAATGGCGTTTTAATTGATCAGGTAACACCTGCAACAGTTTGTTGTTGATAATGCCGTGTGATTACTGAAGGTCCAATCCCTAACCCCTCTCCCCAGCCCTTCCCAATCCTTAAATATCCGAAACCCTTATCTCCAGCAACACCGTAACACCTTAAGTGTTACGGCTGTCCATGGGCTGCGCCGATTGCTTAACATCGGGTATTCCGTCTGCACGTTTGCTGACATGTCCCATAAAAAATATTTTTTTATTTTGCAAATTTTTTTTTCTATTTTCACGCATAAAGTTATATTCAATTTCTCTCTGAGAGTTTGGATATTTCTTAATTTCTTTCTTCATTGTAGTTTTTGGAGAGCCAAAAGTGTGGTTTTACCCCACTGCTTGTGGACCCAGACGGTGAAGGGTTGACTTGGCTCAAGAACACATTGGCTGACTCCCAGTGCGACTTTGTATCGCAACGTAGTGAAAAGTTGATGACCACAATGCAGTATGCTTTCAGGTACATCCATATTAAGCTTTCAGGCTCTAAAATTATCTGTAATTTATATTTATTTTTTTATAGAATTATGTAGTTCTTTAAAAATCTATGAAGGTAAAAATAAAATTAGACAGATTAGGCTACTCTAGTCTACTTTTAGTGCAGAATGCCAACATTGCAACAGAATTCGTCAAAAGTTTAGTCAAAAAAAGAACGTATATGTTTTCAAAACAGTGTCTACTATTATGAAAAGTGAAAGTTCAAAGAAACTATACACGAATTGTGTACGCCTATTTACATAGTTTGAGTAAGCTTTTGTAAAATACCGTCAACGTCATGTACTTTTTTTTTTCTTTGTATTTTCTCCCTTTATTTTTTTTTTTGTCAAGAATACAAAACAGTAAGTGGTATAAAAGCATATTTTTCACACCAGACTGGGTCGCACGGTGGTGGTGAGTAACGTGGACAGCGTGCAGGGTACATACACGAGCGCGCCGAGCGTGCAGGGCGCTGCCCGCCTGCTGCTGCAGAGTGGCGCGGCCGCGGCCCTGCCCCCCCATGTAGCCGCCACGCTCAGCCCGCTCTACTTCACACCCACGCTACATGCGCTTACCGGTATTTCATTTCAAGTCTTATGTACACTTTAATCACTTTTCTGCCTTCACTTAATACTTCACCGTTTATTCCCCAAAGAAATAGATGAATCTCATAAGTCACGTTACAAATTAAACAAATTTTAATAGAGGCTAACCTGTTGCCAATGATATTATAATTAAAATGATACCTATAGATAGATTACATAAACAACAGTCGATTTTCAAAAACGGCACACTTATGCACACATGAATAAATCTTATGATACACGTTAAAGTGGGATGTCATGATTCAATAATTGCGAGTGAAAAAGAGACAAATATGAAAAATTGTGGCTAGTTAGCCACATTTGAATGTATCACTTGCTGAGCTCGTGTAGTCTATCTACACCTTTTTGCTTATAATTTATGGCAGTATTGCCTGTTGCCATAAATCGGGTACAGATATAAATACTGTAGGAATTTTGAAACTACAGTTTAGTAATTTGTCACGTCCGAGAAATTTGAGAGCTATACTTAGCAATCGATATAAACTTGTCATCATATTACACCAACCAAATAACTTAAAAATAATGTTAATCAATTATTATTTATCTATTTGTATATAGATCAACTCGTAAACTACGCTTTGCAACAGCAAAATCCTGAACTTCATGAAAAGTCTAGAGAGATCAAATTGAAGAAGGCTACTCTACAGAAGCAACAACATGAGTTACAGGTACTTACATAAGCCATAACAGAATGATCATAAAAAATCATCATTATTTATTTTATTCACTTATGGGGAAACTGACACACATTGCTGTTTATAGTCGAATATCAGTAGTATAATTCGACTGCAAGGTTAGCGCGGTGGCACGGCAACTGCCTGCCGCGCAACGTGTCGCGGGTTCGATTCTTTGTGTGATCCACAAAGTGTTGTTCCGGGTCGGGGTGAGATTTGTATGTAACATTTTATGTTTGTAAACGCACCCAGGACACAGGAGAAAATCCTAGTGTGGGGCAACGTTTTATATATAAAAAAAATACTTTGAGACTTATCATGAATCTTCTGTGGACAACAAAAAAATATTAGTTAAAAAACAGAATTTAGATTTATTGAGTAGATCTACCGCACATCCTAGACTAGATCGTTCGAATTAGATTTTAACACATAAAAACTTCTATTTATATAGGAGAATCTCCTCCGTGAACTATCAAACAAGAGCGACATTTTACAAGACGCAGGTGTACTAGCGTCACTGAGCAAAACTAGGGCTACCAACGACACTATAGTGGAAGCTTTAGCGGCTGCCAAAGACGTGGAAGAAGCGAGCCGCGCTGCCTGCAACATGTATGAGGCGGCCGCACAGAAGACAGCCCTACTGGCATTATCCACCAATGGGCTGGCGACAAGGTGGCCACTCATTGCTCTACCTGTTGACGCGGTACTTGATGTCTTCGTGGATGCCGTAAGGAGACAGTCAGTAAGTAAATTATAGATTAACGTGATAAAGTGACCAATCGATCACATTACTACATCTTCAGGCGATAAGGAAAAGCTCTATGTTCTATTAAAACATGCTTAAAAAGTTGTGATAAGCATTTGTACTCTTTCTATTGAAACAATTAAATTTTTATGATAACATGATATGGCTTTGGTTATTCAGATAATTCAGAGAAATTACGAACAAAAGCCACTAATACTAACATATACCTAAATAAGGGTTTTCAATTTTATCTTCTTAGCTTAGCTGTCACAAATTGAGTGATTTGCCAATACGTACGCCATGTTCTAGTGGCGCAGGGCCTTATTTACAATTTCGTTTAACATTGCTTACACTTTTTGTCATATCGTAGAATCAAACCAACATAAATAACGAGGAAGTGATCAAATATGTAACCAGGAGAATTGTGGAGAGAGTTCTTTTGAGCTTACACAAGAAGGACAAGTACGTAGTCGTGTTGTACTTGCTCAAACAAGTTTATGACGATTTAATTCCAAATGAGGTAAGTGGATGTTTAAAAAATAAATTTTTTATCCCACCTTCCTATAAAATAAACTATCTTTTATCTATAATATGTACAAAATATTTTTACTTATATCAATAACCGACATTCTTCTTTACTTAAATCATTTTTTTATTTTCAGCTATGGCAAATATTTATAGGCAATCAAGATTTGATGGAGGATGTTGGCGATGGTAACGAAATAAAAAATAAATACGCTTGGATACCCAAAGATTGTATCAAGAAAATCGCTATACTCAAGGTAGGTAATATTAGTTACGGTGAATAGCGCGACTTTTACCAAATTAACATATGACAATTAAACAATTAAAAAAAAAATCTATTGGCAACACCAGCAAAAAAATCATTCAATCATGGTAACACGCGCTATCTGCAATAAGGATGCCGCCAGGACCTGTTGTGATTTATTTTTATTATGAAAGAAATAGTTGTTATAGTTAAATTACGATTTTTATGTCTGTTGCAAGCATCCATCCCGTCTAAAAATTATTATTTCAATACATTAGTTTCCAACTAGTCAAATTAATATTTTTATCCAAATATCAAAAACTATACTTTTCTATGAAATTTGTATGAAACTCCAAATTATGACGTCATACCATTATTGTGTCAAATAGCTTACTTATTTTTTAAAAATTAGCCAAAAATATTGAAACTTTGTGTATCGACAGATTGATAAATAAAAGCGAAGTTATTTTTCAATACTTTACTGTCGGATTAATTTATTTATAACCTAGGAAACATCCAATTATAAAAATAAGTCTTATTGTAATATTTTACGTCAATTTCAGGTTATAAACGAAGATCTTTACAACAGATTATCCCTGCAAAACGAGGAGCTATGGAAGGAGTTTATGCAGGCAGGCGACATAAATATACTGACCAAACTGAAACTAAATGCCTTTGAAACGGTGATCGCTGTGTCAGCCACTCGACCTGACAGTACCTACCGAGCTATTGTTGCCTTCGTTGATCAACTGCTGGGTATGTTTTCTTAGTACCTACTAATGTGTGTTTCACTGGTAATGATATCTTATACTAGCTTCGTCTACTAGTGACGTCGCCCGCGTGGCAAATTGGTCCAGCCATTTTGCATAAAACAATAACAAACATACCTCTATATATTCTCATAAAAACACTCTCTTTCATGTTTATAATATTAGTAGTTTATTAGGATCTTATCGTGATAGGCTTTTTTTTGTCAGGGGAAAATCATCAAATGACTTCTCCCGCCCAGGGTTTGGCGAGAGGGACTGTCAGACTCTTACTGACTAAAAACCCCCCGTGCCTTCTCCTGCTCTGGGCCGAGGCCGCGATGACTCATTGCGCTTAACCCGCAACTTCGGCTGAACATCAGCCCAATAGGGCCCCGTCTGTAGTTGTCTATTGGCTCTTTGAGACGCGCGCGGAATACTACGCGCCGTACGCTCGGGTTTGGTTCTGTTCGGGCGGCGAGCTACCCTTACTCGCCGTCCGCAGACTCGCGCTTGGCCGGAGATCATCTCTCGTGGTCGTGACGCGCTGGTGTTTTTGAGGAGTGAACTCGTTAAATTGCTCTGGTAGAGTGAGAGGGAGTGTCAGACCCTTACTGATTAAGAACCGCCCCGTTTCTTCTCCTTCTCCTGCTCCAGGCCGAGGCCGCGGCCGGGATTTCAAATCTGGCTACCACATGTACAAATGAAAGTACCAATATGACTTTTTCCAAGTTTTATGCACTTTCTAAGATTATTTAAACACCACTAACAAACGGTGGAGGAAACCATCGTCAGGAAATCTAGACATACAATTTCTTACTATAAGTTTGACATCGTCAATCTGGCTTGCTCAGCACTTAGGCTAATGATGCACTTGCACTTATGCCTAAATTTGAGTAAAAACAGGTCTTTTATACATAACGCTAGCAGTTCTGCAGTTTTAAAGTATTAATGATGGTATTTAGCAACTGCCTTCGTCAAGTTTTAGTCATTAATGACATCTGAAGTTTTTACCGTTCGTTAAATTTTAAATGCTTTTTATATTGTCTACATTAGAAGCTTCAGAGAACCAGAACATCAAATTCGAGTTCTACCTTCAGTAGTATACCTATAAAATATAGTTCGTAAGACATTTTATTAATTGTGTTTCCAGGTGCAGGTGTGATGTCAGGCGGGCAGGCAGTGCGGCGCGGCGCGGCGTGCGGACGGCGCGGCCGGCGCGCGCCCCGCCCCGCGCTACTCCTGTCTGCGCATGCGCAGGATGCACTCGCCGCCGCCGCAGACAATATGCAGCTCACATATGTAATCTTGCAAACTTCCATGGCATCATTAACATTAATAATAATCTTTTTCATATGCTATTAATGTGCCAATCCGCTTGTCACTGGTGGTTTAAAGGAAGATCAATGAAAGAGCTTATAAAGTTTTCTATACACCACTAATCGCTGTGTTACGATTTTCAAATCCATAATGCTCGTCGTTACCATCAACGAGAAGACAGCTTAACTAAATCTTGTCCCGATTTTTTTTATATTTGAAAGTCTAATGTTACCATGCCAATCTTGTTGTCAGGTGGCCATAGAGCAAGGCAGATCAGCATGGGAAGAAGCCCTAGAATCGTGCCGCAGTGGCACTTGGCTCGCCATCGTAGTTGGAGCATCGCCGTTCACAAACGACCTGCAAGCATTCATCACTGCATACCTCGAAACGCCGGTAAGTGTTCGAATATTCTTTGCGAAACTTTTTGTTACCAAATTATCTTAGAACTAGCTTCTACTAGCAGTTATGTCCCTCAGGTGTTATTAAAACTAAACTATAGTCTATCTATAAAAAGGCGTTTGTCGCCACGTACTATCAGTGTCATAAGTGCATGGAGGATTCCAAATCAAAATCGTTTGTACGGCGTTTCATCGCCTTAATAATATTACCATGGATGACATAGATGGCGCTAGTATACTAGTGGTATTGAAAAATATACATTTATAGTTTTTATCAGATACAAAGTTATTAACTTAATAAAACTTTTACACAAATTAATGCTAAGATATTCCAAACCTTTTTAAAGCTAAGCACGCAATAACCAGGATTCGAACTCGGTAGCATAAAATTTACCGATGCCACTAGCCATTAGGCCATTGCGTAACCTTGAAATCGATTGAAATTATCCTACTCTTTATTATAATGAAGTTGTTTAGCAACTATAACCCGATCATAAATCTCAATGCAGTTGAGGGTAATTTAATATTAACTGTATAAAAATTAAACCTTTTTGTTCAATCATAACATTCTTTACTATCTTTGAGTGAGTTCAGTTACGATTTGTTTAACAAGTTTTTAATATTTATTTTTATCATGAGTTTGCGTTCAAATATTGATATGGCACGAGGGCCCAAATAATAGCATTGCATAATCAAAGGTTTAAATTATACTGAAATTTCGAGAAAAACTGGCTTAAACGTAAGTATTCTTTTAAAATGACCGTTCGTTATTTATTTTATTATCCATGATATCGATACATAAAAATAATAATTAATTATACACGTCCCTTGCAGGTAAAGACTGCCACTTTATGGATATCTAAAGCTGTTTCAAGAAGAGGGTTCATTGGAGCACCGTAGTAGATCTGGTTGAAGACGTGATATTGACTCAGACCAGCTTCAACTTATGGGGCAAGGTTATGAGGAAAATTACTGGAGCATTGTCATCTTCAGTGATGCAAACAGTGAAAACTACATAGATGTGCTGAAAGACGTCATGAAGATGTGCTAGTGATAACGTTCGTGCAGGACAATTGTCCTATGTGTAATGTTCCATAATTGTGCAAGTGTTTAGTCAGCAATCAGACATACGGATTATTCCTTGGCCAGCGAGATAGGAGAAATAGGATCGATAAAAATGGCGGCTATACTAGTTCTTAGAAGAAAAGATATTGTTGACCAAGCAATTACAAGACCGGGGTAGCTATAATTTATTTAATGGATAAATGTTGAATCTTAGTGTTAGTAGGATAAATGACATGGCTAAATTGAAGTATGGACGACTGCCCTGGCAATGAAAATGCAAGAATAAACATGGCTCCTAGCAATATATAATCTTGAATAGCTGAAAATTAATATTTTGTAATTATAAAACTTCAGGAACTTTTCAGATCTGCACAATCCTGAAAATAAAATCGCGTAACGCCTACGACAAAGAAACAAAAACTTCGAACGATGACATTTGATATGAACTTTTATGTAGGCGTTTTAGTATGTCTACGATGATTTTAAGCGATAATGGTTTTTACGCTGCGATTTCATACTAAATTACTTGAAATAAATATCTACTTAGGGTTAAACGCTCCATAAAAATCACAAAAATACATTTTTTGTGTTATATAATCCACTTACCCAAATGAGACAATGTTAATATTATTTTTGGATAAAATGATGAATATATTTGATATAAAAATCTAAGATATTAATTAATTTAGCTCATCAATGATGAAAGCTTGACAACACTATGTTGATGATGCAAACCTTGTTAGCTTCCACCTCGATCCTTGGGGCAGCTATAGATTCATCGACCTAAATATTTGTAATTTATGCCAACAACAACAACAGTTATGCCATGCCTAATCTACTTCATAGACACACTGAGTAACCAAGGACAAAAAAATATAAAGTAAAACAACAAAAAAGTGATTTGTGTATTTATTTATTTATACACACTGAATAAGCAAGGAAAAAACATTAAATATAAAGTGAAACAAAAAAGTGATTTTTCTATTTATTTATTCAAGTTGAATGTACATCAGACACTCTTGTACTGCGGGGAATATAAAAATTATATTATGTTCCAACGAGCATTTTTTTTTTAAATGCTGGAACAACTTGAAGCTGTTGTTCATTAATACAACCATTAAGCACACAGTGACTTAAAGTATTTGCAGACAGTTCATAGTTTGGCAGGTTTATTTCTGACTCTAGAACAAGTCCCGGTGCTGTTTCAGGTTCAGATCCAGCTAGTGGCCCAGGTTCTCGTTTAACTTGTGGTACAAGTTCAGGTCCAGGCATGGTTGATCGATTCATCCCGGTTTGACTGCCTTTGATGCATTATCCAACAAGGATGACACACAGAGTTAGGGGCCTAAAAAAAGTTAATTTATATTTCTTGCATGTTGTCTTTGCTATGAAAAAGAAATGTTTTTCATGTTTTTAATTTTTTACAAATATTATGGTGTTTTATGTTATTTTTGTTTATATAAGATATATTATAACTAGCTGTAACCTGTGGTTTCACCTGCATCATTATACATAATAGCCTAACTTCTTCAGTAAATATAACAGTAAAAGATTTTTTCAAATCGGACCAGTAGAACTGAACAAACAGTCTTCAGCTTTATAGTATCAGTGCAGTAGATTTATAGCAGTATAGCAGATAATATATAGATTTAATAAAGACTAAGTTTTGACTGTAACTGCGGAGAGTACCTGCTATAAATGAATACCTTAATTAAACAAGTTATTGTTTTAATATTCATTACCTGATGGAAAACTGAATGTGACATAGGTAAATCCTGCATCATCAAATTGGTTCTTTCCACTGCATGACATTATACACTTCATAGAACAACCACAAGTTATGCACATCATTGTAAGGCCAAATAAACTCTGACCTGACCTGAACCTGATCATCATTTGCTTGCATTCAGTACCAAAATTGACAAATGTTGGCATCCCTAGGAATCTAAAAAAAAACATAGTGTAATTAAGTACCATAATACATTAGTTATTAATACATACCTAAAGCTTTGATTGAATAAAATAACATCTAAGATTGCTTGTGTTTTAGTCGTAACATTGCAAGAAATCTTATTTTTCTGTGGGTAAGTTATGTATATTGAGAACCAACTTGAAAATAACGTATGCTCATGGTGTTTTAGATTGATTAGCTAAATAATTATTCAAGTTGCAGATGACTTACCTCAATTGTTAACCCTCGTAGCCCTCGTGCTAGATTACTGAGTAAAAGAGCAGGCAGAGGCGAAATGCCGCCGCAGTCTTTGCGTGGCTACATCGTTATTCATGCACCGCATAATTGCAATTCAAGTCCGTGTCGATCCAATAAACAAGCGAGGGATGAAATGAAAATCCAAACACCACAACAAACAATCGACCGAAAGTACCGAAACGACGTCTGTTTTTTATCCATAGAGTAGAGATGGATCGGGCTTAAAATAATCGATTTTGTTAATCGTTAAACTAATCGATAAAATGTGTTGTTGACCTAGGCAAGCACAAAAAATGTTTATTACATTCATATTATGCGTCCAACGTGTTTAAAATACACTTATCTTATTACAATTATGTAGTTTTAAAAATATAAATTATTTAGATAACAGTTGTAAAATATCGATGTTGGATCAATTCATTCGATTTGACATTCTGAAATGCGTTATGTCTCGCCTCTAGATAGCGGAATTCCTTGATCTTGTCATGTCAAACCAAAACAAAGGATAACAACAATTAAAAAACTTTTTAATGTTTATCATTTCTCGAAAGTTCTAGGAAATTATTAAATACTGAATAATTTATGTATGAATATTTAAATGCTAAAGTATAGTGTGAAATTCTTATTCGTGCTTAGGGCAGTCGTTTAGCCATCTCCTTTATTGACTACTTTATAACTAGCAACTGTTATTTACAGTAATTATTTTAATATTTTACTAAATATGAGAAATAAAAATAAAAGCAATATTAATATCTACAGATGCTATTGATTGCAAAATAATAAATTATTTATTTATTAATTACCTACTATAAACAATTCGTCCCATATCTAATGAATGCTATATCCCGGTATTAGAAATGTTATTGATTTAAGGTCTAGCTTCAATTTCTTCCTTGTTCTGGAACGAATACTTAAGCTATGAGCCTTTGTCATAACATGCACAAAATGAATCACTTTAGTCAATACTTTAAGTACATTTTATGGGGAGGTAAAATATTTGCAGAAGTAAGGTTGCATATTATATAGAATCGTATTATAACATTGTGTTTAAAACTAACTAATAAATGACTAGCACAACACAATTTTGATTTAAAATACTTATTAATCTTTTATAAAGTGTATTAAATAATGTGTTAGTTAGCTGAAAAATTATTAGGTCAAGGTATACACTATATAAGAAAGAAATAAAAATTATGTTTTAAGAAATAAATGTCTGAAATTATAATGTCACTAAAATAGTTTTATTTTTTATCCTTTATGAGAAATAAACTTAGTATTAGTCTTAATCTGTAAGAAAAATATGTAACACGTTTTATAAAAGTTATTTATATATATTTATTAATATATTTTTATTCTAAAATAATATATATATTTATTTTTGTTATCTTTTATAAATATTAAACGTCAAATATTTTATTTATATATTATTATTATTATTGATTTTATATAAAAAATATAAAAAAACCATTGTTAAAAAACCTGAATTTAAAAATGATAACCTGGAATGGAACCTGTGGCCTTCGACGTCATTATTCTACCATTCTTATTCAACCGAGCTACCGATCGCATTTTTTATGAAGTCGAAAATGCGGGTTAGTTTATAACTTTTATTATTGTCTATTATTAATTATTGACGCCATCTTTTGATTGGTTTGCTTGACTTGACTTAGATGGCGCTATATTAAGTCCTCGGAAATGAGAAAAGTAACATAATTTATGTGTATTTGAATATAAATGTATTATTGTTTCGTAATTATTATTTTAACCATTAAAAACCTTATTGTGTGCCTCTGTAGTGTAAAGTATTCAAGCTTTGCAGGGTTATTTTCATTTAAAAGCAGCGCCATCTAGTTATCAATGGTAGCGTTATGCAAAACCTGTCAGTCAATAGTCGACCTTAAGCTCTCCATGCATTTTTGTCACCCTTAGTACCTACGAACCGATACCAGGTGAGATAAAAAATACACTAAGTTATAATTGATTACGACATGTATAAGATTCCACAAATTTTAGTTTAAAAATGTTTAAAAGTATAAGATGATTTGTTTTGATTTGTTCTAACTAAATGCACGTAACTTCGATGCATTTATAAAATGCATCCAACAGTATAAATGTTAACAGTAACAAGTCAGTATAAATTTATTATGATTATTCATTTAAACAACTACAACGCTCAAAATAAATACTTTCAGGCGGACCAATTCCACGAAGACTTCAGATTATGGATTTTGTCAGAGGACCGTGAAATCCCACCACTCATTTCTAATGCCTGCGTTAATGTTATACTCGAGGTAAGAATATATTTAGAACAAATGTTCTTTCTGAGCTTTAAACAAAATTCAACCTTGTGCACCTTGTAAATGGCAATAAATTCCATTGTTATCGGTATCGGTAATTCGTTACTAACAAATCACTTGATTAAACAATCTGCGCCACCTATCTAACAGAGACGACACAACTTATTTTATTGCATTCTCATTCTTTTTATGAAGGAGGATTAGGTTTCTAGTAAACTTACTCACACAACGAAATTTAAGCGTTGGTTTACGACGATTTTCTGTGAGACCGTTGTAAACAAGAATCATGAAAGTTATTTCTATTACATGAAACTTTGGACAGATTTCAAATGGCATAATATATACTCGTAATATACTAGTTACTCTCGCGCGGTTTCACCCGCTGCTCGGCTCCATTTGAGTGGCATTTGATCGTAGCGTGATGTTTTAAGCCTAAAGCACTCAGGAACATTGTAGCTACCTATCAGTGAAATAATTTTGGCAATCCGACCAGCGGCTCCAAAGATAACCCCCTTCATACAAACTTGCAAATTTTACCTCTTTTGAATATCCGTATAGATATTGTAGCGGGAACGCTGACACGTTACGCTAACCCAAAAATATTAACATTACTTTGTCCAGGCGCCAGAGGGAGTAAAGAACAATATAATGGGTACATTGTACGCGTGGGGCGGATATACCGCCGACGCGAATACCGTGCGTCTCCACGCTGCGCTCGCATTCTTCCACGCGTTGGTACAGGAGCGACGTGCTTACATACCACAGGGTAAGTGCACATCTTGTTTAAAGTATATAAGCGGCCCGGTACCTGCTTCGCTACGTAATAAAAAAAAATTGAGTTCGTTTTCTCTACGTACAAACCTTTTCTGGACTAATCAGTAGAGATTGTTGAATTATAACATTACAACGAAAAGTGGCATTGATTTTTATACTTATATATAGATTTTACTTGCACTGCAAGTTAGTCATACCTATACGATTTACTTAGTATAGGTAGATAGGTAGGTAGATATTCATATATAGTAGGTAACCGTTCTCTTTATTTCAAGTTGTTTAAATTTCATTGCTTTGCGTTTATGGGGTCGGGATGATGATTAGGGGATGAGTTCTGAAGTGAAAAATATAATATTTTGCAAGGACACTGCGCATATGTAGCAATTGTACTGAGAATATGTTACAATTTGATGTCACTTGAAATGCTTAAGTAACATTTCTGTACTATTCTTTCATTTCATTAACATAATATAATTACGCGGGTATTAACTCGACTACGTTAATCAGTCTGCTTGCGACCACGACCTGTGTAAAGAGGTCAAAACGTCTAGCCTTTCGAGGTAGGTACTTAAATAATTATTTATCGCATAATTATGTTAAGTTTTGTTTTGATGATGATGAAGTTGTATAGTAAGTGTGTGTATGTAGGGTGGTCGCAGTGGTACGCGTGGGAGTGGGGCGAGGCGGTGGCGGGGGCGCGCGCGGTGCGCGGCGGCGCGGAGGGGCGCGGCGTGTGCGCGCTGTACGGCGCGCGCGTGTGCTGCGCGGGCGACGCGCGCGTGCTGGCCGCGCTGCGGCGCCGCGCGCTGCCCGCCGCCGCCGCCGCACAGCGCTGGGCGCCGCCGCCCCTCAAGCACCCGCTACCATACTCTACTTCGCTCAGGGTAAACTCTACACACTGTAAAACTTCACTACATCTCTTTTGTTGTTGACAAGACCTGTTTAATGTTAATCCTCCTTTCGTGTCGAGCACTATTATTGTCCAAAAAGCGTTCAATCACACTTCACAATTGTCACACACACAGTTTGCTAGGTCAAAAATAAATGAATTCGACGTTTCAGTAGGTACCTACAATAAAATATTGAAAAATTACTATACTTTTATTCATCGATCCATTGATACCTACATACACATAAACTAAATTTTACATATTTTTAGCAAATTTTTAAGAAATAAGTCGCATAAATACCATGACTTCATAACTCAGTGTTTCATACAATTTTCATAGAAAAGTATCGTTTTTTACATTTGGATAAAAGTATTGAATTTAGAAACTACAGTATTGTGTTGTTTCCTAAATCTTAAATAAATAATTTTGACTTTTTAATACAAGTAATTATTTATTATTTATTAGTTTATTTATTTGACGATAGGTATACCTACATAACATTTGATTTTACTAGTTAAATAAATAAAAATAAATATGCTGTTTGACGTAAAAACATATGTTACGATCTCAACACAAAGTTCAAAGAAAAATAGATATCGTTTTTAATATTTCAATAAAAGTAATGAATTTGACTAGAAGGAAAATGCCGAATTTAACCCAATAACCTACTCGCAATATTGTAATAAATACATTGTAATACTACAACCTAAGAGCAGCTTAGAAAACTATAATTTCTTTTTAATTCTTCTTATTTACAATTGTGTGCTTCCTAACTTAATTTCTTTTCGTATTATATAAAGGACTATACAGTTGCTTTCGACGCCCTGCCAGACATCGACACACCACAACTATTGGCGCTGCCTACAAACTGCCGCGTCGCTTGGGAAAAAAATACTGCCAACGATATTGTGACTAGACTCAAAGGTAAATTGTCTCAACGAAGTCGAAATAACTGTAAAAGGATTATCACTTAAAATAGCAACCAAATACCACTAAAGTTTAAACTTATGCTATCATGAATCTATTTCAAATCTTTTTCATCTCTATTCAATCTATTTCAAATCGTGTGAGTGAGGTTACCGGAGGCCCAATCCTTCCCCTCCCCCAATCCCTCCTCAATCCCTAAATCTCCAAATCCCTAAAAGGTCGGCAACGCACTCGTAACTCCTTCGTTGTAGGTGTCCATGGGCGGCACTGATTGCTTACCATCAGGTAATCCGTCTGCTCGTTTGCCGACCTATTAAAACTATTTCAAAATCGGAGTTGCATAAAATGAGGTTTTACAAATATATACGAGTAATAAGTATATGTACGTACGCTAACAATTATAAAAAACTTAAGATAAACAGCCACTTCATAAACTAACACATTCCTTTTATTTAACATTATATTTAGAAAAGTTATATAAAAATGTTTAGTTTACGTAATTCAAAACTGTCCGCAAATTTTCGAATTTTTTATAGTAGTTTTCGATACCTAACCACTTTTATTTTCCATTCCAGAATTAAACTCAACCGTCAGTGTGACCAACAACATTGATAATATAACACCATTAAAATCCCTTCTGTCTCTGTGGAAGAAACTTATGTCGGGAAGTCCGTTCATCAAAGGAGAATATCAAATTAAAGAGGTTGGTCTTGTACCATAAATCTTAGAGTTGTGCCTTAAAAAAAAGTAGGTATGTTTTGTGCTTTATTTAAATAAATTTAAATTTCTCGTTAACAAACATACAGTTTCATATACACCTGACTCCCAGACCCGGAACAACAATTTCTTTATTGCGTAAAGAGTTGAATTAAATCGCATATATGTATAAAATAATGTGTATTAAATATCGAATGCATTGGTATTTTTTTTTTTAATGAAACGAGTAAACGGATTTCTTGATGGTAAGCAAACAGCGCCGCCATAACAAAGGAAGGATTATTGGGCCTCCGGTAACTTCAGTCACACGGCAAAACACAAGGCTGTGGATTACTTATGAGATTAGCAACCACATCTTTTAAACAATAACTATAGTTTCTTACTCGTTCTTCTCCAATCCACGAATTTGAACGAGCACCAAGCTTCACTGACAAAAAGACTATTATTCTAGTTTGACGTTGTAAACACGGAATAGAAAATACAGGTTTTAAAAGTATCTGTATAATGTAGGTATAATGGTTTAGGGCTGATTTTTCAATAGTCAGATAAATGTTATCTGAAGAATTAAATTGCAGCTGTCATTGTCTTACTCACAGTACACTCTGCATCATAGTTTAATAATTCTATTATTTAATCTCTTTTTTTTTCTAACCATTGAAATGATTATGTTTCCGTCTGCGCAGTGTGGGGCGGGATGGTGGGCGTGTGTGTGTGAGTGCGAGGCGCGCGACGCGGCGCGCGCGGCGGGGGCGCTGCATCGCGACCTCGCGCGCGCTGCACGGGCCGCGCGGGCTCTGCCGCTCACGGTACTGAAATCCTTTTTTATTATAATACTAGCTTCTCTTACGCTGTTTCTTCCGCTGCTCGGCTCCTTTTGATCGAAGCATGATGTTTTATAGCCAATAACAATAAAGAACACTGTAGCTATCTATCAGTTAAAAAATTTTGGCAATCCGACCAGGCAGCGGTTCCAAACATTACCCCCTACATACCTACCTACAATACAAACTTACTTTATCTTTATCTTTATTATATTAGTATAGAAACACCTAAAGACTAGATTTTACCCATTTTCATTTGACTACCTATACTACCGACCATACCCTATCCTAACATAGGATTTGGAAAATTGTTTGGAATCCGCAGAAGAACAATTCTGCGGATTCCAAACAATTTTCAAGGTTCGTGCCGGGACGGGGCGGGATATACGCAATGAGTCACCGCGGCCTCAGCCCAGAGCTAGAGAAGAAGCGGAGGGGTTTTCAGCCAGTAATATTCTGACACTCCTTGCCGCCCGACCCTGGGCGGCGGGAAAAGTCATTTGATAATTTTCCCCTCACAAAAAAAGCCTCTCTCCCATAGTGAGTCAGCTAGCTACACTGATTGAACAAATCTCTCTTGGTTTTTATCGCCATCTGGTGGGCAATATAAAGGTAGTCCTCATAGGAAAAACCCATGGACACCCACAACACGAAAGTAATTAGTTAATTACAATAAAATATCTGAGTTTTGTTCAGAATGAATGGATTGGGCCAGTAAGCCTCCGGTAATCTCTCTCTCATAGTGAACACAAAGCGTGCGTTATTTTCACGCTGATATTATTTAAAACGTATTATAGTGGTGCACATATGCTGAACACGACTGATAGAGAATGAACGTTTTCAAAAACCTCCCTAATAGTTTCAAAGGATTACAATTTCTTGTCCCTAATTCGCAATTTATTGTATTTGATAACAAACCTACTGAATGCCAACATTTTTAGAATGAAAGTAAGATTTTCTGAAAAATCTTGGAACCTTATGTTTGTAGGTAAGCGACGAATGGCAGATGTTATGGAGCGGGCCGACGGCAGTGGACTCCTACATTAGAGAGTTCGGTATCAGAGCCCGCGCTACGCTCGCCCGTCTCGACACCAACCACCCTGCCGACTATATGCCTACAGGTAAACTCATTTATATGTTTTTTTTTACCTACCTACGTGCCTCAACTACCTTCGCTTCCGGCGTCTGCTAGCGCGCTGTACACCTACCCGCCTGCCGCTGCCGAGCTGCCTGACTACCCAGGATAGTGGTGTTTCTATAGGCGGGCAAGAGCCTAACGCGCGCTCGATATTTTAAATTCACACCCAGCTCTGTCGATCTCTTCTTCTTAATATGTTATAATAATTGTACTAGTAATTATTTTTATTTTTTTCTACAACTACCTACCACAGTCTCAAACGTTACAGCCGGCCCACTCATGCCTTAGCATGGGTCTTCCACATTTGGGCACATTTTTTTATATGATAGGACGACAAACGAGCACACGGATTATCTGATGGTAAGCAATCAGCGCCGGCCATGGATACCCACAATAATGGAAGGTCACATGTGCGTAGCCGACCTTTTGGGGAACCTCACTCACACGGCGAAACAGACCGCTGTGGTTGTTTCACGCCGGTTCTCTGTGAGTGTATCCGTGGTAACATTTCGGTCGAACCGACCCATTCGTGCCGTGCCGATCTATCAATCTTAAGCTACATTTACGCTATCTGGTGTGCAAACAAAACTGTAGCCTTCATTAGTACGTAGCCCTACATAACGAAACCCTAGGGCTAATTTTCTTTCCGCTAACGCGAACGAAACGTTGTGTAGCTCTCTGGTTGGATAACTTGGACCAAAGCAATCAAAGCGCTAGACATCTTAAACGTGTCGATCGGACTAAAATAAAGCAAAGGCACTCAAAGCCTTTTGTTTTAGAAGAGTATTTTTTTTTTTTTTTGTATACACAAAAGTGTAGATTCCCTTAAAATATGATAGTCCCGTGAGTGCACAGTGTGTTAGGCTAAACGAGGAACATAATCAAGTAGCCGAATTTTGGTGCCATTTGGTGTACAAGAACTTTTGCCATGAGACCAAAATCCAAATTTCAAAAATAAATTATTTCTCATACAAATCACAACAGCTGACTGATCATTTAGCCTGGAGAAGTAGACATTATTTTATTGGTGTTATGGAAAAAGTTGTTTTATTTGAGCACCAGAATCGGGTCCTTGAATATGTCGTTCGTACATAACCTAACCCACTGTATAAAATGGTAATGTTTAGAAGTGGACCTCCGTTCGTTGCTGCGTCCGTCGCGCGTTGTATGGGCACTGCGCGCGCGGACGGCCGCCCGCCTACACTGCGCCCTGCATGCACTCACACTCTGTGTCAACTGGAACTGGAGGGAAGGTAACTACATCCAAAATAACACTGATACTAACTATCAACTACTAACTACTAGTAAATAAAAATGGACCACAAAAGTGTATAACTGAAGGCCCATTACAGTCGAATGACTGCCTTGAATTGATTTTAATGCAGTAATTTATTCATGAAACGTCGGGATATATGGTCAGGATATATAGTTGAGCCGGATGACTAGTTCGAAATATTAAGGACGTAGAAGAACATGTGTTTAGAGCCATTTAGAAACCGAAATTAATATAGACAGTTCGCAGTTAATATACAACAGATTACTATACTTAAACCATGGGTTTTTACACTTATCATTAATTTATGATTCGCGAAATTTCGTCGTTGTTCATAATACCTAGGTATAAAATAAAGGGAATATCTTTCGAATTTCGAATGTAGCAAGATTTTTGCCTAATTTGCTTTTGTGGTTAGTGTGAATACGAACCTACATTTTGTAGCTAAAATAATTTTTATATTTAACCACGGGAGAGAAATAAGAAGTGAAGTATTTTGTATTTGTCAATGTGTTTACAAGCACAATAAAGTTATTGAATTGGAAATTAAATTGTAATGAATTGTGTATAGGAGAAAGCAGTGAAGGCGGTATAGTAGTCCGCGGACTGCGACTATGCGGCGCGCAGTGGGCGGGCGCGGCGCTGGAGCCGGCCGCGCGCGCCGCGCCCCCGCATGCGGCCGCGCCCCCGCTACTGCTGCGATACGTGCTGCAGGTACTGTATTACTCAACCCACTACTCCAGTCACACACGGTCAACTTGATCACTTGATGGAAAGCAATTTGAGGGTTAGGGGTAGAGCCCCCTCTACCTTCCGGTGTATTGGCCAGTGGGCGTCCGGTATCCTCACTCATCGCGCACTCACTGCTGGTGCTGTGAGGCCGTATAAATATCACTCCGGTCGAGCAGGTCCATGCGTACTAAAACTTGGCTATCCCAATATCTTAATTGCTAATTTGTAGTATCCTCATCAGTCTCCGCCGTTGCACAAGGCGGGCTGGCGATTTCAAACTTATAATTAGAATCATAAGTTCAGGTTTCGCCGTATGGCAGTTGTGTCAAAATAATCATAGAAAGTACATAACCTGGCAAGTATCAATGTGACTTTTTGTGAAACCTCGACTTACAATTTCTTATTATAAGTTCGAAATAGCCAATCTGCCTAGGCAAATCGTGGGGAGCCTTGTCCGTGTAAGAAGACGCCTTTGCTCAGCAGTAAGCATTTATAGACCGATGACGATGATGAGTCACATTTTTTTTATAGCCTATTGTTTTTCCCACTGCTGGGCAAAGGCCTCCCCTTTTTCCTTCCAAATTTCTCTGTCTAAAGCGATCTCCGGCCAAGTTTGCCCCGCGAACATGATCAGATTGTCACACCACCTTCGCCGTGGTCGACCTAACCTAGACCAGTTACAAATTAATTAATAATATTATTTACAGGAATCGGATAACGAGTTAGTTTGGGACCGGAGTGTAGAAGTGCCAGTGTACAACAACGAAGCGCGGGAGTCGGTCGTGTTCAGTGCGCGTGCGCCGCTTGCCCAGCATTATGACCCGGACACCGCCACGCTACATGCTGTCGCATTGTTTATAGCCTCCAACGACTAAAGCACTAGATTCTACTCAGAAAAAAATAATAAACAAATATAAACACGGATCACTCATGTGAACATTTTTTTATGTGTTAGGATGGCGAACAAGCCTGTAGATTACCTGATGGTAAGCAATCAGCGCTGTCCAAGGACAACCGCAACAGTCAAAGAGTTACGAGTGCATTGCCGACCTATTAGTCAGGCAGTCAGCGTGGCGTCGACGCTGCGCAAACAAAACGTTGACGTCAACGCTAGTAAAACGCTGAATGGGATAGCAGCCTTACGTTGACATCGCCGGGGCGTGCGTTCGTGCAGCGGAATGTTGTTGAATTTAAAGATTTTAATTATGCAGATATTTAGTGTATGACGTCGTATAATTGTGTATGGTAAAATAAAATTTGTGCACGCAACCATTGTGGAGAAATTCACCAAAAACTGATTCCGCTGGGCGAACGTTGTCCTGGCGGAACTTTTTTTAATCCATAGACTTTAGAAGAAAAGAGATGTATCCAAAAATTAGTGTGTATTTGTGTGTAATTGTGTATGTATGAATAAAACTAGTGCATGCATAAACTTCGGAGAAATTCAAGTTTCCGCTGCGCGAACGTTTGGCCATTAGCTAGTTTTCATATAAAGCGCTTACATAGAGAGCTGTAGATTTTTACATACGTTATTTTGAATTTGTTTATATTTGTTTAAAAAACAGATTAAGAAAAAATCGTAGGGTTTAAAAGATAAAAATATAAACGTAAAATACGCTTATTAGGTCTTAGTTCTTAAAGTATGCACTTTGGGATCTAGATTTTTACGTTTATACAAACCTTGTAAGTGTCTGCAACATGTTGCCAAGTATCAATGATGTTCCGTTAGTAATTAAATAGTTATAGGACAAAATTACCATGAATAGATCACTGTTTACAAAGCAGTCAAATATCACGACGTTCTAAATGAATTGCATGGTAAAATGTATGCCAATAATTAGTGTATTCATTCAACTATTCACATGCAAAATTTCATGTCATTAAATTCAGTAATTAAAGAAAAACAATTACAATACTGACGAAGCATCGAAAACCTACATAACCCGACCAAGTTCGGATGGCTACAAAAAAGCGGCTGTGCAATATATTTAGGTAACATCCCAAAATTTACAGTATAATACCGGTATTGAATTGGTACAGGTGATAACAAACTTGTTGTTTCGAAATAATTTATAGGTCATTTATTTTTGGACATATACTTAGAAATATTAAGGTTATTTACAGTATTTGCTACTCATTTAAGAATATTTTCGTGAAAATATCTTTTTTATACCAATGTTTTAGTTCATAAGCACTTTTTTTAATGTTGATCAAATTTAAACAACTGTATAGGTTAGTTATGTGATGTGATTTTAATTTTTTTTGAAGCTCGAAATACTTACCCTAAGTTTCGTCATCCACGCGAAGTCGCGGGCAAAAGCTAGTTCATAATCTATTTTAGTTAAAACACATTTAAGTCTATTGCTGTCATTGCAAGCGTATGCATATGTAATTAAAAATATTTTTGTACGCGGATTTAAATAGAGAAGTACTTGTTGATTGAAGATTAGTTTTTATCGTAGATAGTGGCGTTATTATTAAAAAAATATTTTTCATTCAAGAAATGCAATTGTTTTATTTTTTCCTAACGCTTGTGTACGATACTGTACCATATTGATAAATGCTATATTGGAAAGTTAAGAACGTTTCTTAGATATATGGCACAGCCGCTTTTTTGTAGCCATCCGAACTTGGTCGGGTTATGTAGGTTTTCGATGCTTCGTCAGTATTATAATTGTTTTTCTTTAATTACTGAATTTAATGACATGAAATTTTGCATGTGAATAGTTGAATGAATACACTAATTATTGGCATACATTTTACCATGCAATTCATTTAGAACGTCGTGATATTTGACTGCTTTGTAAACAGTGATCTATTCATGGTAATTTTGTCCTATAACTATTTAATTACTAACGGAACATAATTGATACTTGGCAACATGTTGCAGACAGGTACAAGGTTTGTATAAACGTGAAAATCTAGACCCCAAAGTGCATACTTTAAGAACTAAGACCTAATAAGCGTATTTTACGTTTATATTTTTATCTTTTAAACTCTACGATTTTTTCTAAATCTGTTTTTTAAACAAATATAAACAAATTCAAAACAACGTATGTAAAAATCTACAGCTCTCTATGTAAGCGCTTTATATGAAAACTAGCTAATGGCCAAACGTTCGCGCAGCGGAAACTTGAATTTCTCCGAAGTTTATGCATGCACTAGTTTTATTCATACATACACAATTACACACAAATACACACTAATTTTTGGATACATCTCTTTTCTTCTAAAGTCTATGGATTAAAAAAAGTTCCGCCAGGACAACGTTCGCCCAGCGGAATCAGTTTTTGGTGAATTTCTCCACAATGGTTGCGTGCACAAATTTTATTTTACCATACACAATTATACGACGTCATACACTAAATATCTGCATAATTAAAATCTTTAAATTCAACAACATTCCGCTGCACGAACGCACGCATCGCCGGGCGAGTCCACGGCGCTGGAATAAAATTTATGTGGACTCTCTGGGCGAGTCGGTGGCACTGAATGTGTTTATTTTATACCTTTAGGAATAAAAAAGATAAGGTACCTACAGGAATATTTTCAATTTTACTAAGTCACTAACTAGTCTTAGGTTATTTTTAGCACAGTGGTTTTTAAACAAGTTTGCTTTATCTCTAAAATGCATTGCACTTATTTCGTGAGTTTTAAGTCCTAGTTATAAGTTGTCGTAATTATTTAATTGTTGTCTTAATAAATAGTTTCAATTTGAAATCTTTATTGTGTTTTATTGAGCTTCCTTACTGATAAGAAAATGTTATTTAAATCTATTTATTTGAAATTCTCTCAAATCATTCTTCTCTCGATGAACTCCTTTTTCCAGAAGCCGTCTCACAGGAAATGGACCTGGATGAGCCCGGACGGTTCCACAAAAAATGAGATCGACTTCATCATGACAACAAAGCGACAGATGTTCAATGATGTCTCTGTGATCCATAAAGTAAAAACCGGCAGCGATCACCGACTGGTCAGAGGCACATTGAATATCAATATAAAGCTGGAAAGATCCCGTCTGATGAAGTCTACGCTCCGACCTTCAAATGCACATATCGGTTGTCCCGAGAGCTTTCAGATCGAGCTATCGAATCGTTTTGAGTCCCTGGAGAATTGCGAGTCAGTGGACGAGATTAGCAACAGGTTTGAAGAAACTGTCCATGCGGTCGGGTCGAAGTTTTTTAGACCCCGCCGAAAAGACAGACCGCAGAAGCTTACCGATCGCACCATCAAACTCATGGCAAAACGACGTGCTATGGTACTCCAGACCTCTGCCGATGCTAAAGCACATCGGCAGCTCAATAGACAAATATGGAAGTCCATGCGACACGATATCCGCAACTTTAACGCCAATAGGGTTAAAGAAGCGATAGAGCGGAACCAAGGCTCCAAAGTGTTCGCTAGGGACATGTCTATTGGGCAAACACAGCTGACGACGCTGAAGGCGGAGGATGGCAGTGTAGCGTCGACGAAGGCCGAAGTTTTGGGTGAGATCGAGAGGTTTTATGGACAGCTATACACATCGGTCACTAAACCTGTTAGCTCAGTCGCCGATCCAAGAGCTAAACTCACCCGACACTATACCGAGGATATCCCGGACATCAGCCTATACGAGATTAGGATGGCCCTCAAGCAGCTCAAGAACAACAAGGCGCCGGGCGAGGACGGAATCACATCAGAGCTTCTGAAAGCGGGGGGAACGCCGGTACTGAGAGTCCTTCAGAAGCTCTTCAACTCCGTCATATTCGAAGGAGCAACGCCGGCGGCATGGAGCAGAAGTGTGGTGGTACTATTCTTCAGTGTCCGTTACCCAGGCCAGATGTTGTCGACAATGGTCATTTGAATCTTATAGATAATTAGTTGTGCGGCTTCTGTAATTGTTGCGTACATTTTTAAATTTGTTGCGCTTATAGTTTTTTAATTATTTCATAAAAATATTTCCTGCTGGCGTAACGTTACCACAGCCAGACCTTTTTCTTTCTAATGGGAATATTTAAATAAATATTAGCTATAAAATTAGTTGTCTAGATAAAGTAAATGTTGTGCATTATTTTGTATTTGTTCTTTCTTCGGTTGCGAAATTATTCGAGATTTTGCTGCGGTAACGTTTTTGGTTTTGCTAGATCTTTGAAATGGTTAAGCGGATTCTTATCATATTTTGTACACGACTTCCGAGGACTTAGTTTAAATTTGTTGTGCAATAACAAAACCAAAATAATGCATATTTAAAAGGTTTTTTCATTAAATAGAAAAACACTTCAATTGGCCCCAGCACTCCCAATAAGAAGTCTAAAGACTTACTTCAAACGTAATTTTAAAGCTTGTAACTGCCTTCAAATGTATGTGAAGTTTTATTAGTATCCCGTAAGTATTTAACAAGTTTTGATGATATTCAGTTCTTCACGAGCACGGTCTTAATGCACGCGGTGTTATTTGGCCACTGGATTGGATATATGAACTGAATGTTATGTCAATGATTAGTTGTTTAGATCAGTTGTATATCAGTAAAATTTCAGCTCAATACATTGGATAATTAATGAGATAATACTATTAAAGTCATTACGAAGTGAATGACCGTGGTAAGCCGACCAAGTTTAGGTGGTTACGAAAAAGCGAAAACGCAGAACATTGTACTATATCTTGAAATGTTTAGTATAATACACCTTACAATTTTGGTACAGACGCCTACACTGGTGATTACCTATATAATAATAATATAAAAGAAAACATTATCTTCCAGTTCCACAAAATTATCAAAAATCACCGCTAGAGCATGCCGTTCGGTAGGACGCAGGAGGAGTGGGGTGAAGGGGTAATACATTGTTTGCATAACGCACTCAGTCTTGCCAGAAGGTTACTTTTGTAACCTTTTAGATGATTTTTGAACTGCATTTTGAAATAGAAATGACAAGGACGGGTGATGTTTAATCGGTTGCTAAGCAACACAAGTTTTTATAAGTAAGGGAGTAAAAGTTCAATTGAAATGATTATTTTACCTTTCAATAAAAAATCTTGAATAATCATGTAGTTTTTTTTTAAACTTTTGTACATGTCTGTACTAAATTTATAACACTATCCTACATATTTTAGAAGGTACCATAATGTTCTGCGTTTTCGCTTTTTCGTAACCACCTAAACTTGGTCGGCTTACCACGGTCATTCTCTTCCTAATGACTTTAATAGTATTATCTCAATAATTATCCAATGTATTGAGCTGAAATTTTACTGATATACAACTGATCTAATCAACTAATCATTGACATAATATTCAGTTCATATATCCAAGCCAGAGGCCAAATAACACCGCGTGCATTAAGACCGTGCTCGTGAAGAACTGAATATCATCATAACTTGTTAAATACTTACGGGATACTATTGAAACTTCACATACATTTGAAGGCAGTTACAAGCTTTAAAATTACGTTTAAAGTAAGTCTTTAGACTTCTTATTGAGAGTGCTGTGGCCAATTGAAGTGTTTTTCTATTTAATGAAAAAACCTTTTAAATATGCATTATTTTGGTTTTGTTATTGCACAACAAATTTAAACTAAGTCCTCGGAAGTCGTGTACAAAATATGATAAGAATCCGCTTAACCATTTCAAAGATCTAGCAAAACCAAAAACGTTACCGCAGCAAAATCTCGAATAACTTCGCAACCGAAGAAAGAACAAATACAAAATAATGCACAACATTTACTTTATCTAGACAACTAATTTTATAGCCAATATTTATTTAAATATTCCCATTAGAAAGAAAAAGGTCTGGCTGTGGTAACGTTACGCCAGCAGGAAATGTTTTTGTGAAATAATTAAAAAACTATAAGCGCAACAAATTTAAAAATGTGCGCAACAATTACAGAAGCCGCACAACTAATTATCTGTAAGATTCAAATGGCCATTGTCGACAACATCTGGCCTGGGTAACGGACACATTCTTCAAGAAGGGAGATAATACTCTACTGAAAAAATTATAGACCCATCTCACTTCTGAGCCATGTCTACAAGCTATTCTCGAGGGTCATCACAAATCGTCTCACACGTAGGTTCGATGACTTCCAGCCTCCCGAACAAGCCGGTTTCCGGAAAGGCTATAGTACCTTAGACCACAGCCATACGCTGCGGCAAGTTATACAGAAGACCGAGGAGAATAACTTGCCACTATGCTTGGCGTTTGTGGACTATGAGAAGGCTTTTGATTCGATCGAGACTTGGGCTGTGTTAAGATCTCTCCAGCGGTGCCATATTGACTTTCGGTACATCGAGGTTTTGAAGTGCTTATACACAAACGCCACTATGTCGGTCCAAGTACAAAACCAGAGCACGAAGAATATTCCTCTGCAGCGAGGTGTAAGGCAAGGAGACGTCATATCTCCGAAACTGTTTACCGCTGCATTGGAAGACGCTTTCAAGCTCTTGGAATGGAAAGGATCTGGCATCAACATCAACGGCGAGTACATCACTCACCTCCGGTTTGCCGACGACATTGTAGTCATGGCAGAATCGCTGGAGGATCTGAGCACAATGCTCGATGACCTCTGTAGAGTTTCTCAACAGGTAGGGCTCCGAATGAACATGGACAAGACGAAAGTCATGGCAAACGCCCATGTCACGCTCTATCCGATATCAGTTGGGAGTTCTAAACTCGAAATTGTTGACGAATATGTTTACCTGGGACAAGTGATCCAGCTAGGTAGGTCCAATTTCGAGAAGGAGGTCAATCGTCGAATCCAACTTGGATGGGCAGCGTTCGGGAAACTACGCAACATCTTCTCGTCCAACTTACCTCAGTGCCTTAAGACGAAAGTCTATAATCAATGTGTGTTACCAGCGATGACCTATGGAACTGAAACGTGGTCTCTTACTGTGGGCCTTATAAAGAAGCTCAAGGTCGCTCAGCGCGCTATGGAGAGGGCTTTGCTCGGAGTTTCTTTGCGAGACCGTATAAAAAACGAGGATGTCCGCAAACGAACAAAGGTTTCCGACATAGCCCAGCGGATTAGTAAGTTGAAGTGGCGATGGGCAGGGCACATAGCGCGTAGAACCGACGGCCGCTGGGGCAGAAAGTGGACAGACGACCTGATTAAGGTCGCAGGAAGCCGCTGGATGCAGGTCGCTTCCAACCGGCCTATCTGGAAGTCAATGGAGGAGGCCTATGTTCAGCAGTGGACGTCCTGTGGCTGATATGATGATGATGATTTGAAATTCTACTAAACCCTTTTCGTTTCTAACTTCTACTTACACATTGAAATAAAACAAAATTCACATGTTTGTACTTGTTGTGTCTTTATTTAAGTACAATATTACAGATTAACCTTACGAAGCTAACAAGATGAGATCAACATTTTGTGACTTTTGTACCATAACATGAGCAACATGAACATATTCAGACGCTATACAAATCTGATTATAAAATCAAAAAACTTTGGCTCTTCTCACAGAAAATCAAAAATATGTACTACCTAGAGAAATAAATATTATTCATTTAATGGTTAATAACTTTCTCGCAACTCTTGCTTATTTTCTCATTTGGATCCTGAAACAAAATACTTAATTTTACTAAATTACCTAAGTCAAATTGCATAGGTACCTACTTATTTCTGACACAACAAAAAAAGTCTAAAATTAAGTATAACGCCAAATCAATGGATGAAATTATGATAACATTTTAATAATTTATTAAAAATAGTTTGTTTCGACTTTTATTTGTGCCGTGGGTGCGTTTACAAACACATACATTCACATAGACACACATCACACCAGACCCTGAACAAACATTTGTAGATAAAGAGTTGTTCCATGCGGGAATTGAACCCGCGACACGCGCACGTTAGTCATATTAGGGGAGCCCATAAAGGAATTTCGGTAGTTACTCGAGCGCGTCAGATTAACATATTATGGGGAATATTTAGTAAACAGATGAATATACCCATTATATGCTTAATGTAAATAGAACAGAGGGGGGGGGGATAAAAATATAAAAAAATAACTAAATTCAGTCGTTTTCGTCAGATTAGGGGGGAAAAGGTAGACGTCATGTCAATGAAAGGTCGTTTAAAAAATCTACCGATTCCATCATGGTTTGCAACAGTGGTGGAGTTTTGAACAGGTCCCATTTCTGTCTCCTTAGTCAGCCAATCCCATCATGCAATTCGGCAGATTAAAATATTTTCATTGTCAGAGATACATGGAAAATATACGTTATTAATATCTGTCACGCTTGTGCACTAAAACAAAAATTACACCTTACAATTTTGGTAAACTATCATTTCCCCCTTCCCCCACCGGAGGAAAGAAATGTCATTAAGTGATTTTTTCTTTCTATCACCAAATCTTCAATATCCAGTTACTCCATACGACGCTTGAGTAACTACAAATTTAGCATCCTGGGCTCCCCCACTATCAACAGCCAATTGTTATCCAACCATCACGTCAATTATGCAGTTAGTCAATTGTATTGAAAAGTTAAAATAAGTTATTTTTTTAAACTTTTGAAAACGTAGGTAAGTATATATCCTACCTATCTAGATTTTCAAAATTTTTCGAAATTGTGTGTTTACGGAAATAATATCTATCTCATATATCTCTATGTATTGGTTGAAAGGTACACCTGCGCATCCAGGGGCAGAAGTATGTAACTTAGGTCCGACCACTTGCTTTACTTACCTTTTGCTGTTCCAGCAAATATTTCAATAAATGTCCCAATGATTCGTTGGTAACAGTATTAGAGTTCAGCAAGTTTTCCGATACAGGATCATCTGCAATTTCATGATAGGTATTTTTGAAACCGAGTTTTATACATAAAATCCAAACTAATACCTATTATAAATGCGAAAGTAACTCTGTCTGTCTGTCTTTTCTTCACCCGTAGGTAAACTACTGAACCCATAGAAGATATCGTCATTGACTAAACCTATTTGTGTAAAATTTCATGTCACTATTCGCGTCAAAGTCGGGCAAACGCTAGTTATTCCATAAAACATGTCAAGTAGATTCTACAGATTCTGAGCACTTAAAAACAAGATGTAATTTAATCGACTTCAAAAAAGAAGAAGGTGGTACCTACTTATGGTCAAATTAAACTATGAAATATACCTTAATGAACTATCATGACTTACAATAGGCAACAACGCGGAACACTTCAGTCTGCTTGATAACATACACAAACATGGCTACGACGGCCAGGCCGACTGCCGCCGCGATCAGACACACATATCTATAATGAGAACCTTTCCCAAACTCTAGGAATTCAGGTAACACGCATTTCCCTTTGACTGAGTTTCTGAATATGTTAATGTAGCTGAAAATTAAAATTTATTAGTAGTAGTGACATTACAGATGAAAATAGTGTTACCTATAATAAATTATGTTTCTTAGGAAGTAGGGAGTTCCAGGGTAGATGCAACTCCCATATACAATTACAATATAAAACAGTAATGCCTAGTTGATGCTTATATATTATGCTTGTATTCAGTAATAAGTAGGTACATACATAACAATTAATTAACAAGAGGCAAGAAGCAAATAGTAAACTCACATTTTAAGTATGTAACTACCTATATGTATATGCAGTGTTTAGTTCATTATACTAAAAATAACGTACCCTTCATTACAAGGACCACATTTGTCCAATGACTTAATGCATTCAGTCGAGTTTAATTTCGGAGGCTGCCGATTAAAATCTTCGCATTGCAAACACTCCTGGCAGATATTTGTTGCTGGCTCACAGTAATACCCTTCGAAACAGTGCTCGTCTCCTTCGCATGATAATGGTTGTGCACGAACTACCAGCATAGTAGTAAATAGCAGTGTTGTACATACCAACCTGCAATAATAAAATAATTAGGTAGAAGTGTGGGTCGGCTAAACCGGAGTGATACCACGGCCTCACAGAAAACCGTCGTGAAACAACCACAGCGTTGTGTTTCGCCGTATGAGTGAGGTTACCGGAGGCCCAATCCTTCCCCTCCCCCAATCCCTCCTTAATCCCTAATCCCTAAAAGGTCGGCAACGCACTTGTATCTCGTCCGTTGCGGGTGTCCATGGGCGGCGCTGATTGCTTACCATCAGGTAATCCGTATGCTCGTTTGCCGACCTATTCAATAATAATAAATAATTTACAATTATTATTATAAACAGACAAGACAGCTTAGGACTGTTCTTCTCCTAGCCTGTGAAATATCTCAAAACCCTACCTAATATCATCCTAATTAGAAACGAATGAAGTTCCTAATCCCCCAGTGATTGATACACCCGCTATCCTCCCATAAAGGCATAGGTAATGTGTTTTTAAATTAGTGAACAGTGTTAGAGTAGCTTCGGGCCCATTTGTATAATCTCAAACATATCACAACAATTGCTAATAAATTTACGGCGAAATTATAACTTAGGAATGGTTTTGTCTTATCTGTCTGCTTGTAAATCTTATAATATCTTAAAATCTGGATATCCTTTTTACAAATAACAAAATAATATGTAATGGTATGTAGGATGTAGAATACCAACTTATTTTCTAATTGAAGGATAGTACGAAACTCATGGAAGTGACCTTGGCATAAGTAGGCCGTTTCTACGCTTAAAATGAAATATTCTGACATCGGAGGTCCAGGCCGTCGTTCATTGTGCTGTAAAACTTAAAATTGACAAAGTACTCATTCATTGAGACCGAAATACCAAAAGTTCTCAAACTCATTTAACTTTATGTAACATACAGTGGCGACGGCTAAAGTTAAAAGTCCATCTATTCCTTGGAGGATTTTAAGGCATAAATACTAACGGGTAAGTATCTACTTTACCTTCTCCAGACAACACCAAGCGTGTAGGTCTTTGTAAGTACCTACCTACGGTACCTACACAAATAAAATTTTGAATCTTACCGGAGCATTTTCAGGTTGTCTTTATCCGATAGATAGGTACGAATAAATCCTGCAATATATTCGGTGCACCTAGGTATTAGGTATGTTTTCTAACTCAAAGTAAATAGAGTACCTATTTCACTTGAACTGTTCTGCAAAATATTTACTGATTTATTCACTAATTAACGGTAGCTAACTAGCTTACAAATCCACCACAATTTCGAAATTCGTACGAAGGACTCGTTATCCAATTCCTGTGACGACTTCAATAAAACTGAGGATAAAACAATGCATACTTTTAACTTTAGGGATCGTAAGTCGTGCATGAACTTGACTAAGACAAGCACATTTCAATCAAGTTTAAACATGTCGCGCGCCAGAAAGGTACCTATCTCTTCAACTATTCTTTTCGTTCGTAATACTATTCAAAACAATGATCTTTTTTAACAAAAGAGTTTTTATTGTTAGCAGAATAATAGCGACCAATACCTCGCATTCAAGAATTAAGAGCTTAGTTACTTGATCCCTAATAAATAATAATACCACATTGTAGGTATATTTTGTTCAGATTTTTGCAGTGCTTAGACAAGCCCATTCTGGTTTTGGTCGGTACCTATTTTTTTCTTATTTTTTCTACTTAATTAGTCAAAAGTAGGACTGCCGATCAATAGGAAAATAGTACCTAGTTGCGAACACAGTTACTGACGATGGGATCTCGGATTCGATTCCTTGGTCGGATTTACTGTTAAGATTTTCGGTAGATACGTATTTGAATGAGTGTGAGTGTCTATATGTATTCGGCTGGAGTATATTTACATGGTGGCGAGACAAGACCTAATTTTAATGTGGGCAAGACAGATCTTGCGAGGCCACGGGATTTGAGGCGGGCACGACAATGGGCCCTCAAAAAGCTCGATAGAGATAGATTAGATAAATGCTCATCGTCTACGTTGCCACCTGATCTGGAAAGAGAGGCGACCTAGTTTTGGGACAAAATGTCTCGAATCAGGTGTGGGCAGCCTAACATCCTATGCTTTCAGTTCAAAACGCTGTTACAGGTGTAAGGTCTCGATTTTGAAGCTAGCTCCTGGAGGGAGTCGTTAGGGAATTTGTGGCATCCCACATCGATCGCTAATCGCTACTGGTCCTTTATTGTGGAACCTCACATATGATGTGAGGAACCGCCTCTTAGCGGATGTCATGCGGTCGATGGGCCTTATGAAAATACATATAATTGTCTACATCGGGAAACGACCATCCGGATCGCCCGAGGTTACTGAACGGTCTCCTTTGAGGCGGCAACCCTCTTGGATCGCGTTCCGCTTGGCTGGATATCCTGGCAGGTATTAAAGCAAAAGTCTATACCTAACCAAACTCGCGTTCTCCGCCAAAACGGCGCTTGTTAGGTTGAAGCGGCAGGATGAGTGTCACGCGCTCGAGCATTGACATTTAATCAACTACAAAAGCCGAAGTAGGTACTCATGCAAGCGAGTTGTCGAAGCTATTTTGTCCGCACTTTGGATCCTGTTGAAGAGAGCGCGCTTCTTTCAGGCTCACTCAGATGCTGACCGGACATGGTTGTTTCGGTGGGTAGGTACCTCAAATTGTCACCACTATGGAGTAGTAATCGATTCTGCTCAGCACACGCCCGAGGAGTGCCCAGCTTGGGCCTCTGAACGGCGAATCCTGATTGCCAGGATTAGGCGAGACTGGCTTTTCTGGCAGAGACCGAAAATTGAGGGAAGTGGCTTCCTTTTGTCATACTATAATGTCCCAAAAAAGGCTGCCGAGCGGGATGACAAAATGGCCGATCCCGTTCGTAAAAGACTTCCAAGTGGCAACCGCCTAGGTGCCAAATACGCCAATATTCCGCCTCTGCCTCAACTATACGGTGCCACATAGGCCACGTGCCGAGAGGCCACAGCGGAGCTTAAAGTCACGTACGTCTCGATAGGGATGTGCTATAACAGTCAAATGAGTGGACCTGGTGACCCTAACAGGTGTTGATGGTGATGGTTGAAGTTTTATTAAGATGAAAATCCCACTCTCCACTTTGTCTTATCCCCAAAAGCTAGGCACTTTAAGGTAAAAGGTGTTTTAATACAAATGAAAAAACTGTATAATATTTACATACAACTTTATTCACAAGAGACTAAAATCTCATTTAACTCATTAATGAATAGTAAAACTCGGCAAGTATGGACAATTCATTAATGACTTAACATTAACAATTAACAAGAGTTAGTGTAACTTGTAATAAGTGCTTCACAGCCTTCAGTTACATCTCTTAAGTAACGAACTAATGAGCATCGTATTTACTGTTGGAAATGCAGGCAGTGAATTAAAGCGAGTATTTATTTGACATTCGGAAACTTTCAATCAACATTAATTGATACAAATTATAATAAAATCGGAGTAATCAACACAATATTATATATCAGTTGCACAATTATATTTATCAAAACTATTTCTTTACTAAAATATTAGCACCACCGGTGCAATATAACTGAATCTCAATTCAAAGACAGCTGTTGCTAGGCAACAGTTCTGTTATTAAATTTTCTACACCTAATTGGCCGGTCTGAACGCACGCACACAACAGTGTTAGAATAAAAAAATCATGCAAAACAATAAAACAACTAAAATAATGGAAGCAACTACACAAATATAGCACACTAGAATACATTGGCATAAAATATGAATCACAATACGTGAGTATTGCGTTTACATAAATGCTAAAATATGTTTAATTACAATATGGTAAAATGTACTAATCAAACATAGTTCTGTAAGTACAAAACAGTAGTACCGCAACGAAATATTCGGTAATTGGCCCTTGTTAAATGCAAAAAATCAAAACATTTACTCGTTTTATGTAAAAAAAATGAATAAATATGCAATCTAATGATTATGTGTTTTACCCTGTTTATTAAATATTAATAATAAACCACTGAATTTTTTTCACTATTTTTTCTTATCTATAATTTGATTTTTAGTCGATGTTTTAGTCTGTGTCTCTGAATCGAAGGTGAAACCTGTTTGGTCAGAAAGAGGTCCTTGACACATTTAAAAACAATGACTTGACAATAATTACTGAGTCAATGGCAGGTTGTCGGTTTTTTTTTATTTTAATTTGATCTATGGATAAATCTTTCATTTAACATGACTGATAATCAATAAGACCATACAAAGACAATATTTTTCTTTTATATTCTCTGCGAAACATTACGTAAATAAAAACATCACAATCATTAATAAATAATATCTTGAATTGAATTACAAAGATTTTTTATAACCATAACATTTATTTAAGTTTAGAGTATTTTTATGTAGGACAGATTACTGCAGGGACATTTTGAAATTTTAATATTCTCTAAGCACCCCGAATCCTCGAATAATACATATTTTATATAATTTCTGCAACTTTAAGGAACATTTATTTAAAAAAATAATATTAGTATCTTATATACAACATATTCTATACAGGAAAATCATTATTTATATCTTATCTTCAAGCCTTGAAAGCTTAGAATTAAGATATTATGCTAAATAAATAATACATTGCATATTATATTTGAAATGATTCAGTTATTTTGTAACAAGGCACTAGTTTATGGCCAACATTTGATAGCACTTTTGAACCATACTGAATACTTACAAGACTGGTTTCTTAAACGACTCATTAAGTATTAAATGATCCAAATATTCTTCTAAATTAATATAACTTGAGCAAGCAAGTATTAAATAATGTCTTTTCCATCTCTCTCATCGTTTAAGCTACCGACTGTTCACTAGGCGTATCTAACATTACATTACGTTATTGAGATCATGAATTGATCGCACAGATCTCGAACATGACTGGTATATGCACCGGTATATACGCACATAAATCTACATCACAGTTCAATGGGTAAGAATTCCTCTCCATAAGGCACTTTATACACACCAATCTAACATTGATGCTAACCTAAAACATTTTTTTTTCATTTTCTTGACTTTTCATAACATTTTCTTTTTTAACTAGAAAAAGTATAAAATTACAATATCCACAATTACGCTAAATTCAAAATAGTAACATTAAGACTAAGTTTTAAGATAAAATGACGTATCTTAGAGTAAAATTTCTAACTTTACAGAGAAAATTGTCATTTTACCTTATAATACGTAAACTAAGTGGCGGAGTATTGTCGTTGGCGGAGTGACGTCACTTGCTGGTGTTGATCTGCACGACGTTTGTAATTTGTGTTATAAAGCTGTATGGCGGCCCGCCTTGGCCGTGGCTCGGTGACGGGGAGCGCGGGAAACTGGTATGACTGCTGTCCCCACATGAACCGTTATCCCGATTGTTATTTAGCGAGTCCTGAGAACAAAACGCATATACGTACATTACACACTTTACAAAAACCTCTGTTCCATGGACAAAAATTATGACATGTGAAAATGACCACAAAGTCTGTTGTATACAATCTTTTGTATAAATGTGGGAGTGCCATGCTTCGGCACGAATGGGTCAGCTCGACCGGAGCAATACCACGGCATCATAGAAAACCGGCGTAAAACAACCACAGCGTTGTTTCGCCGTGTGAGTGAGGTTACCGGAGGCCCAATCCTCTCCCTTCCCCAATCCCTACCCAGTCCCTAAATCTCCAAATCCCTAATCCCTAAAATGTCGGCAACACACTAGTAACTCCTCCGTTGCGAGTGCACATGGGCGGCGCTGATTGCTTACCATCAGGTAATCCGTGTGCTCGTTTGCCGACCTATACCATACAAAAAATACCCTACGCCTAGGAAAGAAAAAGTGTCGCCGAATTTTCCTTCACAACTTTATGCTCTACAGAAAATTCTTTTAATACTTAGGTATGTGTGAGGGGTAAACCATCAAATGGCTTCTCTCGGCCAGGGTGAGGCGAGAGGGAGTGTCAGACTCTTACTGACTAAAAACCCCTCATTCCTTACCTGCTTTAGGCCGAGGGCTCTATGCCTTATTACAGTAGCCCCGCAACCCCAGCTGCGGTATTAATTTTTATTCAATACTACATCTTCTACATTTTAAAACTCTTGCACACTTACAGATGAACATGAAAGTGTACATACCTGTCTGACACATCGTTTCTTAGCTGCTGGATGTTCGACGAGCGTCGTATCCCTCGCGGCGGCCAGTAGCGCGGGCAGGTTGGACGAGCTACCGTCCGCGTCACCACCACCGCCTTCACTCACCACGCTGTGTTACAAAATTATATTGATAAGTACCTGAGATGATAGACATCAACATTATCATCATCACCATATTAACAGCCTGTGAAAGTCAATTACTGGATTTAAGGTAGTGGTGGTCCCAGGGTTACGGCACCAGCTTCTCAAGCATTAGGGTGTGGGTTCGAAACCTGGCAAGTACCAATGTGACTTTTTCCTAGTTATATGTACTTTCTATGATTATTTAGACACCACTGACATACGGTGAAGGGTAAACACCGTGAGGAAACCTGGACTTATAATTTCTAATTATAAGTTTGAAATCGCCAACCCGCATTGAGCAAGCGTGGTGATTAATGCTCAAACCTTCTCTCTGTGAGAAGAGGCCTTTGCTCAGCACTTGTAAGCTGATGATGATGATTAATTAATTTGTACAGCTTACTAGCACCATTCATAAATTACGTCACACTTTATGGGGGAGGTCGACGTTGTGTGCCATTGTGTGACAAGGGGGAGGGAGGGGTCCTAAATTTGGTGACGTCACATTTCTAAACTCATTATAATCTAAAGTGTTAAAACACAAACATTGAACTATTGAAAAAACATTTGCAACTCTTATCTGTAGTTAGTTACCAATAAGGTTCGAATTGTTTTGTCAGCAACTCGCTCTACTAGTGTTACACGCCGACCGCCTTTGATAAATGCCGCCAACACATCGTACGTACGAGCGGCGAAAATAATAATATTATTTCATTTGACAACTAACTTACGCGGATTAAACATTGCCGTTTTCTTAGTTCTACTATTTTGTGATTTAATTATTAATATTGTATACTGTGATACTTACGTTTGTTCTTTAATTAATATAATGAATCGTTTTTATTTTTCAATTCGTTTAAATGTCTGATTTAATCTTATTTTATAAAAAATAATTAAAGTTGAAAAAAATGCAAACTGCTATTTAAATTAAATAATTATTTCTAGATTTCAAAATAAGAATAAAATTATGTGACGTCACACTAGGTAGGGAAGGGGGTCTCACAAACGTGGCCAGCTGTGACAAGGACGGGGGGGGGGGGGGGGCAAAAATAATGAAATTTGTGTGACGAAATTTATGGATGGCCCCCTATCATCAAGTATGAAGATGAGTACTTAATTTAAACGTCCCGGTGTGGCTTGAAACAAAACGAGAAACCTCGTTGTGCTTCGCCGTGTGAGTGAGGTTACCGGAGGCCCAATCCAAATTTACTATAGGGTGAAGTGGGAGATTTTTCATGGTATATGTGTATCATGCCAGTGAGTGACAGAATGTTTTAAAACGAAAATATGCTAATAAGACAATGCACGACCTCAGAAAACATCTTTCAAAGAACTGGCGAGGCGATCCTCGTAATCATCTATACGTATGTATTTATGAGAATTGATAGACGGCTGTGTAACTCGATATTTTTACATTCAGCTATTGCTATTACCACGTGTCTCGAACTGTCCATATATTACCCACCTAATAAGATCAAGGGCATTCGGTGTTTACATTTGAAGTTCATATTTCTATGACGAGCCGACTATGTCCGGCGACGTTAATGTTAAACACGGACTTAATCGATTGATGGCAAGATGTTTCTAGCTACCAGTCAGGTCGAATTATTCGATTTCTTAATACTTAATATTCTTGCTTCGCTCATTAGGGCTCAGTACATTTACCAGTTATCAGTCTTCTCGCAAACGTTTTTATAAGAGATAAATTGTAAAATTAGAGATATTGGATTACACGCTGTTCAAAATCAATTCTAAAAAGAAAAAGCTAGAGTTAATAAATAAAATCATTCGGCATTATTACAAAATAAGGTTTTTCATTACTCTAAGTGTAAACCATTGTGCCTGTTTTTGAATTTCGAATTGAAGGTAGGTGAGAATGAGATTCAAATTTCAAAGCTTGACTTTAATCCTAGACTTAAGATAAATCTTGTTTTGAAATAATGGTTATTAAATGTAGTCCGAAAACAAAACTACAAACTAATTACTAAAGAGAAAAAAGTACATACTAGGCATTAACGTCTCCATTACTGGTCGTGGAGCCAGGCATCCACGGGCTCGGCATCGTGTCCTCATCATGGGCTGGTAGGGTCATTGGCTCCGTATACTCCGGCACAGGGGACTCCGGACTGTACAAAACGAGAAAATTTACACAAAATCGTATTAAAGCAACCGCATCCAAATCGGTTTAGCCTTTTAACACATACCTAAGCGTCCTTAGACCAACTAAAACACCAATAAAATTAAAAAGAAAGTTGAGCGATCATGACAGATATCTGATAATGTCCTGATAATAATTAAATTATCAACATTATCTATGGCACCAAGGACATGTATTGAAATATGTATATTATATGCGCGAATACAATTGATATAAGATTTCAGAACAAGTATAAGTAGTGAAATGTCTTATCACAAGGATTTCTGAGATGTTGCACTCCTGTGTTGGCCTCATAATTTATGAATCATTGTCTGCATTTTTCGCTAGTTAAGTCTTTAAAACTTTTTCTATTCTGTTTCTTAATATGTATTGATTTATATTAATTTTAAAATTGGAAACATCACATATGGCAAAACACGCGACCGCGACCGACATGAGGGCCCTTGAAAAATTTTTCGTTGATAAAATAGATTTAAACACATATAACAATACTAAGTAACATCTTTTATATACATATATAAAAATGGATCGCAAATTGTGTTGGTTAGCGCATAACTCAACAACGCCTGGACCAATTTTGCTAATTCTTATTTTGTGTTTGTTAATGTCAGAAGAAGGTTTATAGCAAAGAAATTATTAGAAAAGTAGAGGGGAAGATTAGGAAAAAGAGACCCTTTGATAGCGAGATAGTTGGACCCGTGCGAAGCGGGGGCGGGCCGCTAGTGCTATAATATAAATGATATGTAAGAAAAGCATGAGTAATCAGAAGAAGATGAACAGCCCAAATTAATGAGCAAATTCAATCCAAAATCTTAAGATAAATAACGATTTTATACATTAGTTCTAAAGTTTCTATCAAAAACCTAGCTTAGTCTAGAAATTCCTTCCTTCCGATTGAGGTTATTTAATAATGAAGACTTAAAGATAATTTATTTGAAGAAAGATTTTGTTTGAAGCTAACCAATAAAGGAAGAAAAGATGTAATTTATTTTCCAAAGAATAAAGAATGAAATATTAACAACTGACCTTTTCAAAATCAATCCTTGTAAGACCTGGCGTGTACATTATAATCAATATTAACATTAAGCATTATAGGCTTACAATATTATTATGATATGGCTCGATTTACTCTGTAACCAGGCGACTGGGTACCGTGGAACGTCTCAAGGATTTGAATATCGCACAGAACAACATTTTGTGTGGCCCACAAAGAGCTGTTTCGAGTCTAGGTGATAATTGTAAACGCACCCAAGACGAAAGAAAAAAGGTGAAAACATTTACTCTACTTTAAATGGATTGCCATAATATATACTACTACTAGTAAACAGGAAGAGATCATTATCAGAGCAAGCTGTTATCCGGTCCATGTCATTGTGTAGCCCCGGTTCTTCGACCCTCAAGCAAAGAGCCCTAGGTTGTGACCAATATACTACCGTCTAAATACCCAGCTGTTAGCTGTCACCACAATAACATAATGTACAATATAAAAATAATTATGTTCCTTAAACGGAAAAAAGACTAAGCACATTCACGTTCCCTAATTATTTTACTAACTGAAGCAATGGCAAGATTGATTGCCAAATACAACGTAAATCATAAATTCATATCAACTTGAAAATAAATATCTAAGTTAATATCTCAAATACCTAATCGGCGTTGATTAAGTACTACACTTATAGACAATAATAAGCTATTAAAGAATATATAAACAAAGGTTTATGCTGTTTGAATCCATATTACTTAGCTGCTAATAATTGAATTTAGTGATAACGAAAATCTTACACTAAGACCTAACTGTGAACCGAAACCGTGCGGCCAAGCTACGGGATCATGGCATATTCACCCTTAAGATCATTGATTATTGATAGACATCTTGTAACTGATGATAAATTAGTAGTGGAGTATTATAGAAACAGATATTAAAACTTACGCGGGAGGTGGGAGATCTCGTTCATATATCGGCTTGTCATAGACTCTGGCGGCTTGGTTCCCTGCCGACTCCCGCGCATCCTGCGGTCGAGATAGGGGCCGCTTGATGAACTGTTCGTCTGTCAACAAAACGTAGAAATACATTTTTAATTTTATAAAGTAAATATAAAATCAAGTGAGCAATCCATAGGTAGATTTGATAATGGTGGAAATGGGAACAAAATGTCCACAGCTTTCAAAATATAACGATACACGGATGGCTTGAGCTTGGCTGTAACTAGTCGTAGGCAACTACTCAAAATATAAAAGAGATTAACATTTCTTAGTTGATATAAGTACTATTATTTGCTTGGTAGTTTCTGCCAGCGGTTTTGCCATATCAGGGTAAGTAGCTATGTGTTAATCCAGACTATAATCCATTATTTTAGATCCGTTTAGTAGCTTTTAAGTAAAAGAGTACAAGCATCCGAGCATACGTACAGACTATTGAGTTTATAACATTAATCTAATACCTATGGCGCAAGTCTTTAAATCCCAAAGAACCTCCGCTACTTAACCTTTCACGGTAGAAAAAATAAATGTTACGAATCCCAAAAAAAAAAAGAAGGTGAACTGTTTCAATGGATTTCACAAAGTTGGACAATTGATTAATAAATAGTTGTTGTTAGAATGATAAGAGTTTTATGATAACAATTTGAAGTTAAAAAATTTACAACCACCTAAGTTGTATTATATTCGTCATAAGACATGTAAGTTTCAGCGAAGTGTTTTGCATTGAATTACTAATTAAACGCTTCATGCTTAACAACATCAATAAGGTATCATTCACAATCAAATATAAGTAAATGTATCGCGACACATCACATCACAGATCAATAAAGTGTTACAAACATTCTTCGTGTACATTCAGAATGCCAAAATGATGGCAAATTTAATAGTTTTGTGAAGCGTAGGACGACATACGTAATCAGTATACCGAATCATAAATGTTCCGAACTTAGGAGTTTCCGTAATGATTCATTTCATTATACTTATTAGGAATTACGTTTGAGGGAGAATCCCTGATTCACTTTATCACGTTTGAAAGAAAATTATAGATATTTTTTTTTTATGTAATAGGTCGGCAAACGAGCAGACGGATTACCTGATGGTAAGCAATCAGCGCCGCCCATGGACACTCGCAACGGAGGAGTTACGAGTGTGTTGCCGACCTTTTAGGGATTAGGGATTTGGAGATTTAGGGATTAAGGAGGGATTGGGGAAGGGGAAGGATTGGGCCTCCGGTAACCTCACTCACACGGCGAAACACAACGCAGTGGTTATTTCACGCCGGTTTTCTGTGAGGCCGTGGTATCACTCCGGTCGAGCCGACCCATTAGTGCCGAAGCATGGCTCTCCCACACTTAAAGAGGACTCATTTATTATACAAACTTTAAAATCCGGTTGAATACGTATATGTTTACTTATACATAACAATAATGTAAATTAGCATGTCTTTGTAATGAAGGCCAAAGTCAAGATCTTCTGATTTGGACGCGTCACTAGACACGTAATGAACGGCCCACATTGTTATTAAGCCTCATTGAACTCGCTCAAATATCCTCGCTGTAGTTTTAGCGACTCTGACTAAATTGTAATATGTGCAAAAAGATTTAATCATAAAGCATTCTTCTCAATCAACTATCACACAATTGGAAACAAAGAAAATACATTACTGATATACTAAATCGATAGTTTATACGTTTAGTTGTAATGGGAGAGCAGACCTCTTTAAATAATCTATTATTGGACTACTTATAGATCCCAGTAACTTCCAAAACACGTTGACTTGCGTCATTCAAACTACCTACATCTGATAGAACTCATTTTAATAATACCTAACATACAAACCATACAATATTCTATTAAACAACTAATATGAGTATTTACAGATTTTTGTGTCCAAAAGCCTTATCATATGGGCCATTTAGACAAATAATAGTTTTGACGCAAAATCCTACCTTCATTATAAGCAGTCGTTTCCTCGTTGTAGACTGGTGAATGGTATGGTGCCTGGGGCAACGGATTGTAGGGCGGTGGAGCCTCGGGAGCGGTCGCCGTAATCCTCGCTGTCACTGTACTAGACTGGTTGTCATAGTCTGAAAACAAATAATTATTCCATCAGTACACACAAGCGAAAATTTTAATGTACCTATCCTTAATACAACAATCAGTCTTCACCAATTCGCTTGAAGAATGTAATAAGAAAACATGATTTGTAATTCCGTAACTGAAGGAAAATATCCATTATCTCTTTCTTTGTTTCACAATGAATAATTGAAATAATTCTGCGCAGTAATAACTAATCGGTTAATCTAATCCTTTTCGGTTGAACTTTTGTAAAAGTCGTTGTTCACATCGCTATCCCCATCGGTTCAGATGGGAATAACGATGTGAAATGGACGTATTACGTCATAGTCACGTCTAGTCTAACATTGATACTTTACATGCAAGTGCATATAAGCAATGCTTAGTAAGGAAGTTTTATCTTATCAAGCTGCCGGTGATCGCAATATTTTACACCCTGTAAATGGGGGCCTCTTAATGACAAAGGAGCACAAGAAATAGCACTTACTCGTACGTCATAAAACAAGGAGACTGTTGACTATAATAATTGCCGATTAATTTCATCCAGTACTGTTCAGACACACATCTTCACAAACTTTTAATTGAATAGGATAACATATATATATCGTGTAAACACTTACCAGGAGTCTTGAAGATTACAAAATAGGCGATACCGACGAAGGCGGCAATAAGCAGTAGAACTCCGATTCCAATGAATATCCACACGTAGGGAGGCGTTGATTGTAGTTCTGAAGTATCAGGAGGCACGCACTTTGAATTCACATCAGCCCGCCGGTCCACCACCAAACTAGAAGAGGAAATATGTTGGGTTTCATCATCAAGTGCTGTACAAATTCGAGTTCTATTTCTTAAGCCACAAGAATTGCATTGCAAGCAAAGAGCAATACCAACAAACTATCACTTGCAGCTGCTATTAATCTTGTTCTAATGCAATAAAATTGAAAATCCATCGACGTAACTGAAACCAGCTTCGATACATTATCTAATGCTGAGCTGGATATAATGTATTACAAAAATCGGTGTCAATGTCAATACTGGTCGATGACCACGCTATTATGTGACAATATTTTAAAGGAGTATGCAAATTTTGACGCTATTAAAATAGCTGATCATTTACTTTTTTGATTAGAAAAACCTTGAAGCCGGTCATCAGCGTGTACATTATGCACATTAACCTAAAAATGTTATTTGCTATCGAAGATTACATTTGTGTGGAATCTAAAACTAGACTTAAAAGGCTTACCTAATCTCAAGGCTAAATCAAGAATCTTATATTGATCAAACACGTAAATATTCTTGAATAAAATTAAAAAGGCATTAGGAGTGCATGACGTTATAGGTAACCGTTATACGATGTGAGGTTTTCCTCATTCTACGCACAAAACAAGTCTAATACCAGGAGATCCTGTACATCTTGTTATCACAATAAATTCCCTACATTTGACTCACCCACTTTACCTTTCTACTACATAACTACTTCTATCTTTATGTATAATCAGCCATCTTTATCAAAAGACCTATTGCGTCAATCATTTGTAATAAGGATACAAGGAACAACCGACTAAAAAATTAATGTATTTTTATCATTATTTGAATTTTAGAACATTATGGATAACAATGCGTGATTCTCGTGTTTCTGTTTAGTTGAGATGTACGTTTTAATTCTAGGCAAAACATGATGTCAAATATACGTATCTACCTACGATATCTCAAATTCCGCATTAGGTACACATGGTGCAACATTTTTATTCTACACAAAGGACATTACAATATTGCACAATATTTATGTATGTACGTATAGCGCGTATGCTTCCTCTTGTAAATCATTTAATATCAGCTGAATTTGAAATACTTACATCACGCCGAATATGCGTAAAAAACGAATATTCAGCTTCGATTGAGTAGTATATTCGTAAACAAATTAGAGATACGCTGCTAACTGCTTACAAATTATCACATCAATGGTTACTGGGTACCTGCTTATATGTATTTATAAATGTATCTTGTTGTTTGAAATAGGGTCTTTACAAGAATCACTCAAAGCAAGATATAATGGCCACATAACATTCAAATATATTTCACCAGACCTTCACCAGATGAACTTTGATGCAGCAAGAAATGTTGTAGAGTTAGGAAGTATATTATAAAGACACTTTTAACTTACTTATTGATGCAGTCCCCGCAATCGGCGACCGACTTAATACACTGTTTATATGCCGCCGGGGGCTCCCTCATGAGATCCTCGCAGGACAGGCATTCTCGACATTCATTTATTTTGTTTTCTTTTTCACAGTAGTACCCTTCGGAGCAATGGACGTCTTCTGAGCAAAACGATGGCTGAGCACGCACCGGAATCAACGTCACCGCCACACACAAGAACAACACCCTGAAACAATAAAGCAATATATTATATTCATATAAATTCAAAACCGTTATTAAACTTATTGTAGCTGCGCCTGTTTACAAATATACAAATTCACATATGCATTTACAAACCACCCAGACACGCACACAGCAGCCAGTTGCCCAGCCACTACACCAACCGTGCAGTCATATATAGGTCTTTGAAATAAAGTGGGTCCTCGTTGGAGTCCAGATTATCACAAATGACATTAAGAATAATCCAACAACCAGTACCTAACTGTAAATGTAGCAATTATTTAAATACTAATTTAAGAACTTTATATTATCAACGCTAGTAGGTAAGTGTAGTCAAGTGTAGTTAGCCAAGATTTACAACTAATTACCTTATGGGCAAAATTTGAGTTCCGTTTATTTTAAATAAACTCTTTTTAATAAATTACAATTTTATACGTCTTGAATCCCTTCATTTCCTGTTTACATGAGTTACCTAAGCGTTCGTTTATTTAATACGTTGAGTCATTGTCGTTAAAGCTGGAATCATTCATTCCAGAACACCACAAAACCACATGATCGAGTGTTTTAACCATCCGTTTATTTACTATAGTTATTAGCATTTATCATAATATTGTCCATTCATAGTTGGTGGTGATTCAAATTCTACATAAATTTAGTTAACGCTGCCGTGAGATCTGATTCCCAGAACAAATCACCGATTCAGTAGGCGTAATTTTAATATATATGACTAAGTACGTCCAACAAGCCAACAACATAAAAATCATTCCCTAATAGAAGAAGTAACAATCACTACATCAGCCGTTATGTAAACTAATGGCAATCCTGACAGAACGAGTTTTGATATCATGATATGCCTAACGTATCAGGAATCTTTGAATCTGGACTAGCCGCGTTTTTACATAGATGATATTATCTTAATTTTGTTATGAATATGGTCTAATTAATTAATCATCTTACGTATATGTACAATACAATAATTCTTATAATTTAATGGAATGAATGTCCAGAACTTAATTAGAATATTATTTATGAACAGGTGTTCAGTGAGATAAGTTATCTAGACTAATATTACACGTAGAGGTGTATATTTTGTAACAAATAAACTAAAAAAGAATGAGACTATTTAAAAAAATCGTCTTTAAAAAGCTGCATTCACTTTGGGAGTTAAATATAACCTATGTTGGTTTATTTATTGCTAGCACTTACTAAATCTTAAGTAACGTACAAAACCCATGCGAAAGTTATAATAAGAAAGAGAAGTCAATCGCTCAAAACTGACGCCAGTCTCAAGAACGAGAGATGTGGTTTCTACGATCCTTACGTGCGAATAGTGTAGTCAGACACTAACGCAGCACCAGCCGCTTATTCACAGGACTATTTTAATTTATTCTAAATACAAAGCCAACTGCCACAGCAGGCCAGACCTGCCTCAAACTCCAGAAACGGAGATGATGCAATCATATATTTTAAAATAGCGATAATTTTAATATTTAACTACCTATCTATTGAGTAAAGTTTTTTTTTCTTTGTGTCATTGACATAATGAATGATATCGTTAGAACAGGTAATTTAACATACGATAATAATTTGGGGCCTATCTTCGACTACTTATTTATGTAAACACTTATCCAGAATTTCTATTACCATATGTCGTCAATTGCAACAAATATAAGTTCATCTGACCGATAAAAAGTACTACGCAATTAATCGACAGTAGTTGTGTCCGTACAGTAATGTAACGTATAAATAACATTACAATGACAACATATTAAATCCTTTACAAGGATAGTGCTACAACGCAATAATTAAAACACGTGCATCCAGCCGCATATACTCATTATATGTTTTTTATTTGTGACATAAAATGATAATGACCTAAATATATGTATAGAGATAGGTAGGAAACTTTTCTCGAAACATCTAGATACCTACAGCAAGGTAAACAAGGTAAGATTAACAGTAAGTTAACTTTATTAAAATGGACCTTATAGTGTGAGTGCAGTTGCAGAAACTCGCGTATGTCTATTAAAATACAATACTCTACCAAGTATTAAGTTAATAAGTGTTATTATTCATCAAAAACGCAATGTCATACACAAATACAAACTTAGTCCTTTGTGAAATGAGATAACCGTATCTTGTAATTCGACCTTGAGAGTGAAAGCACCGCACCGTTAGACGGATGTGCGAGCATTTTGTTTTGTATATCGAGTAGCATCGAGGAATCAATCGAATATTTTTTTAACATTCATCCGTTTGCAAGCACTGTGTCGAGCGACCTTGACGGATTTAAACAAGCAGGTTGATACGAATAGGTAGGTACTAGTCCCTCTGTGGGAGGGCGCCTTGCTTAATTTAACACGCCCATAAGGTGGGTTCAACTACTTTAATAAAAAATAAATGAATAAACGTGATTGTACTGACTGAATATAGCTGTGAGCTATCTAAAAGCTAAACTGAAGGCTGAAGGCAAAAGAACAACACAAACAGCTCATCGAACTTTGAACTTTCCTGCGTGCCCGTAAATAGAACGAGAAAATATTATGTTTGTCTGTGCTTCTCCCAGAGAACCATGAATTTAATGTGATAATGAAATTGACTTTATTATTTACTAATAAAATATTACTTAAATATACGTAAACGTTGTCACGTTTTATCATCTAAGTAGCTAAGCTGACAATTTAAAGAACGAATTTACTGGAATTTGTCAATCATCCGCCTATCTATAAGCCACTTAATTAGAATTACAAAGTAATATTTAAACACAGATGAAGTTTCAGTTACAATTTCCTTTAACAGCTTAAGTACACACCACACATAGATTGATAAACCGATCGGATCATAATTATAAACAGGACAAAATTGTTAAATTGCAGCAAAAGAAAGAAGAGAGAAATAAGGTATTCTTGCCAACAAAGAGCGAGATAACCAATTATGTCACACAGCAAACAGCCTAACAACAACGTGTTTTTTTATTATTATTTTGTTTGGATGCGCTAGCCTTTTGCCACCAGTTTCGTGAAATAGAGAATGAGTCACGGTCCGGTTTGCGAGTGCCAAGCGCGGTGTGATACGATTGAAAAGCAAAACGAACGAAATTTAAAAATAAACAAATGCAAGAGCAGGATGGAGTTGGCTGCCGATACATGCACATGGGGCACGGCGATCAAACGTAATATGTTGCTAGGATGAAGGATAATGACTCTTATGGCAAGCCGCAGAAGGTGATTATAATTGTGGATGACGCAATACTGTGCAATACTTAGTTATTTTACTTTTACTGTACAAAAAAAATACATTTCTAGTTTTTAGACAGGTTTGAATCTAAAGATCTGTTGAACGATTTTTTGTTAAAGCCTTTAAGCCTAGTTCCAAAATAGAAACTTTACTTCCAAGTTCGATCACTGGATCAAAATGAGTAAGTATTAAGTATAATCTGTTATTACTTAAAAATATGTATTGAGATTTAATGGGGTTTTTAAATGTTTCGGAAATGTAGTCTGGGAACGCGAATGATATATACCTATGTAAGTATATAAATACTTTTATGTAAAATCCACATACATAACAACATTTCGGAGAACACGCCCACTACCTGGCGTTAACAAAAACAAGTTCTACATGTTTGCAATCTTTTTAATAAGATCTATTTAATAACTTTACTAAGTATAATATAATAATGCATTTTATAGTTGTATGAATATTAGGTGAAAATGCCGTTTTCCATGAAGTGAATGAAGCATATTTTTATTTGTGTTTATCAGAGCCATCCATGCGGATCTCAGGTTGAAAGGTTAAATCTACAAGTCAGTGATAAGGCCTGTCCTGCTGTATGGGTCAGAATGTTGGGCTCTGAAAAAGACGGATGAAAAGCGATTACATGTAGCAGAGATGTGTGGTGTGACGAGAATGGATAAACTGAGAAATGAGTATATTAGAGGAAGTTTGAAAGTGGCGCCAGTGACTGAAAAGTTGAAAGGGAACCGGTTGTCTTGGTATGGCCATGTGAAAAGGAGGGATGAAAAGCATGGCCCTCTCCATCCATCCACATTTATACTCATGACTTTTTTTGTAACATGCTTTTCATCCCTCCTTTTCACATGGCCATACCAAGACAAACGGTTCCCTTTCAAGAGGGAGACCAAAGAAAATATGGATGGATTGTGTGAGAAGTGATATGGAAGACAGAGGAGTTAGCGATAGCGTGACGAGTGACAGGACGGAATGGAAGAAAAAAAACATATTGCGCCGACCCCAAATAAAACGGGACAAGGGCAGGAAGATGATGAGAGCCATCCATGCCTGCCCATGCATTCAATATAAATCTTTTCCAATACAAAGGTAAGTACTTAACTTATTCCACCCTTCTTACAGAAATTAGTAAGATAGGAAGAAACAAATTCTTAAAAAATATTTTGTACTGCCTTCCTGGTATTAAATTGTTTTCTCTTCAAGAAATTATCAAAATTCTGAAAATAATAAGTCTGCAGGCGCAAAGTCTGGCAAGAGTGCTGAAATTCCAAGCCCAGCTCCTATTATTTGCAGACTGTCTGCTGTGAAGGCTTTGCAGTATGATATCATTCAGGAGCAGTGGGATTCGAACAATAAAATTGACCGAAGCTGGTTGGTGACTTGCGAGCTTTACTATTACTATCATTATATTCAGTTCTTCTCGGTGCACATTTTCAGTAATGCTCGTCCCGTTTGATAAGAAGCTGTGATAAATAAGTAGGGTGGGTGTACTTAGACTTAGAACGTTAGACCATCAAACAGTGACCACCACTGTCAAGTATTTTTTTAGGAATTTGTTTGAATGCTAAACCACGATCCAACCAACTTGCGCGTTTACGAGTCAAACAAGGTACATTTCTCGTCACAAGTAACAATACGGGCTGTTGAGTAGTGCAAGGCACTTTTTGACGAGTATTTTGCACTGACGTTTATTTTGCATTGCGTTCGTGGGCTTTGTCAAGCTTTTTTGCCTTGCCAATATGAAGCAAATGGACTAATATTCTTTTGACGTTAATGTCGAAAACTGCTGCAAATGCAGCCATAGAATTTGTTTTATCAGCTTCCACAATCTTCTTTAATTCGTCGTTTGTCGAACAAAGCTTTTGGACGACTACGGACTTTCAGAACAAATTTTTATCCATGACGACAATCTATGTACGGTATGTTTGGAGGCGTAGAACACAAAACACTAACTATTAAAGGATTTTAGAAATGTAATTTTAATTTTTTACAGGGAAATATTTATTTCAGCCAGCCAATAAAATTATTGTGATTTAAAAAGACCACTAGTAAAGACCTATTAATTGAAATAAATGATTTTGATTTTGACTTTACCATCAGATAACGCTCGTTTGCCGACCTATGGCATAATATATCACATGTGTCACGTGTCATGTGTCTACGCAAAGCACGCGCCAAATAGCTGGAACAACTTTTATTCTACTATTTTAGCTACTTTCTGGATCAGCATTTACCGTGTTAATAATGCTATATTCACATCGATATATTCATTTATAATTTTTCCGTATTATCCTATTTCCATAATATTAGAACATGCATACACGGATAAAATGGTGATTACAATTCATCGATCACTTGCACCCAGTTACTTCAATTTAAAATCGTGGCAAAACGCTTATTGAGCTTTCTTGTTCTCGCCGCCAAGTTCAATGGCGATATCAATCGACCAGTAACTAAATATTAGCGTCATCAGCTTGCATCATCATTTATTTAGGTCAGTCATCAATTTATATAATACGTATGAAATAGGTAGGATGGACCGAAATATTGCCTAGCTTTTTCAGATAAATTCTATTAGAAACTAGGTAAACGATTAAGGGCTGATTTTTCAATGTAGTTAAAAGTTATCTGGGGAATAATTATGATTCTGTCGTGTCAGAATGTTTGTATAAGACAGTGACAGCTACAATTGTATTGAAAAATCAGCCCTTAAAGTAAATTTTACTTAAAAATAACATCAAAAAAACGATTAGTCCAGGGTCCATTCCCATTTGTGGTGGTTTGATGAGACAGTGACGCATGCGCACTGCTGTGGCTGCAGCCTGAGGACGACAATTCCCACTCGCTCTCCGCCTCTTTTTTCTCCTCACACACGAATAAGGCGACTTCCCAGTTCATCCTGCTCTGCACTATGGCCTGAATTAAGGACGGGAGCGAGAGGTCACTGCTGCTAATTGCATCCTGAGAACCGTCACAGTAGGTATGTATCGTCTACCGTGTGGCCTCCGAGTGCTCGAGTCCTCGAGTCCTCGATAGATGTAAATTACGGAGACTCGAAGATATTTTTTATGATACCTATACTTATGTATAAACATCAATCCGGGAATTTCCTTAACTATTTGTATCTCACTAACTAATTCAGGGAGAGCGTATGAATGTGCAGCGCAACTGTGATTAAGCCGCCTACCTACCGAACGTAATGATTACGATGGAGTGTTTCTGTAGTGGACGTATTCTACAACACAAGGGTTCAGAAGTCGAAGTTCGTAAGTCGGGTAATAGCACTATTATCCGCCTTTTTCTTCTACATTCCAAAAAAATATTTTTATTAAACCCTTTTTCCGATCACAACGCATAAAAAGAACTATCGAAATCGGTCTAGCCATTCCCGCGTGATGGAGGAATGACCAGGAGGGATTCATCTATTCATATAGGTATTCCCTTCATTTACGTGTTTTTATTGAATAAGAGGCAAACGAGCGGACGCCGATGGACACCTACGACAACAGAGTCACAGGTTTGAAGTACGCACGTTTCTTGAAGGTTTGAACTTTTGAAGGTCGTATCGGTTCGAAAATACAGCCGCAGAAAGATCATTCCAAAGTTCCGCGACAATGTTGTTAACTGACAACATAGATGATATAACCACGGGATTATTTGGGATTATTCCTCTATGACTGACAACCATCTATGGTATGGTAACCGTATGTATATGATCGGGATGAAAATGTTTTCGCGTGGGTCGATGGCGAGAAGATGCGGCGGGGATCAAATCGAACAATTCCTCAGAGCACTTCCCGGGTTTATGGATTACATGAATAACAGGTAATTATAAAACTAGAAAACCCACTATACACAGGATGTTTTGAGTGTTAAGTAATAAATATTAGTCAAATCGATGTAAGAGGGAAGGTAAAATACCACGTAAAATACGATGGAGATTTCATAGTGATTAGAAGACTATAATAAAGGTTTCGTAGACTTTGTGGGCATTTGACACCACAACGATATGTGACACTTCATTGCCGCGATTAGGTTATTACGTGTTTTTAATGTATTTTAATTATTTTAAAATGTTAAAAAAAATCTAAAAATTAACATGTTTTCGTTGACTATTTAACGAAGTATGACAATTTGAGAATCTGCGCCATTTTAATTAAAATTATTATAAAATCTGTTTAATGATAAAAAAATGTAAACAAAGCAATAAAGGTCAAAATAGCAAATTAAACTATGTAGTTATTTTAATTATAATACCAAAACCATTACCATTAGACTGAAAAATAAGTAGCAATTACAGTAGGTAAGTATTTTCAGTTGATGATCAAATTATGTATAATATAACAAAAACACAGAAAATTTTAACCAAACTACAGTTTTTAAAGATATTTTGAAGAAAGAATATAAACTTTAGCAATGTATGGACTTATAATGATTATCACACACAACTATGTTGTACGGTAAACATTGGTTATACTTATATGTATGATGTATGACTAATATTAGATAACTCACCATCAAGGTTATAAGCCAGGTCAGTTCTGTTTTAAGCAATTGAAAAGACTAATAAGGATAAAAGAGTTTGTTGAATTAAATTAAAGATAAAAAATATAGCCAGTGAGTTTCCTTAGAAAAAAAATAGTAAATTTTTGGTCAGGGAGAAGCCTGGGTGGATTTAAATTTATTTAAAATTAGGCTAAAAAATGTTATAAAAAAAATCATCAAAAGATGAAACTGACTGGTCTGGACTGGACTAGACTTGTAATAATTTACAAAAAAGCTACACTTGTCAGTTCAATTTCAAAATTATTTTATTTCCTGGTGGTAACTACCCTTAGAGCAACTTGTCTAACATAGTTGTGCAATATTAATTCAATATTGTAGAATAGAATTCGGTATTTTATAAGTTAAATGATCTAGATAAGGTATCTGAAACACACTTTACAATATTGGCAATTCAAAATATTATGCTTTGGCACTAAAGCTAAACACAGCAATCACCACATATTTGGCACAAAATATTTTAGTCAGGTACTCATTTATTTAATTTAGTTCATTAACTACCTACTAGACATAAAAGGGTAGTTTAACATTAAAAAAAATGATTGTTTACTAAACTTGTTTAGACATGAAAATTCAAAATCTTCCCATTTCTGCACAAGTTCTGTCATAAATATTAACACTAAACCTACTAACTTATCAATTTTAAGGTACGAGTAACATAATCAATAAAAAATATACTGTAAAAAATAAAATATATATCAATATGAACTCACCTGAACATTTTGCAATTTATCCCTGGCCCTGTGTAGTCAAATCACAACTGTCCACAGCATATACTGAATGCTAAATACACACTAACACTAATTTGAGCAAAAACACGATGTTTTAGATGAAATTTGAGTTACTAAATATTTTTATAAACATTGAGTACTACGCTACAATTCTAAAAACGTAGGTAAACATTGTCTTTTCAAAGCACTGAAGCAACTGGTAGTCAACATCATAAATATTTGATATAAAAATGAAACAAAAGCGCTTCGTTCACTAAATTTCTCGCATTTTTCGTGTTACTTAAAAGACAACCGACACAGAAAACCGAAAACTTCTAACTAATGCAAAATGACATTACTCCTATTATTTTGGCAAAGAACAACAGAGCGAACAAGTTACGACTTGTACTAGATTTTCCGTCTTTGTTTATCTGTAAGAAACAGAAAGAAATAACAAGCAACCACTACGTTTGCATTATAAACAGCCAATCGGAGCAATGCTTTTTTGACATAAGTCGTCGATATTACCATACAAAAAAATACTTGCTTTAAATATTTTCCCTATATAATTTTCGTAATTTACCTATATAGAAAATAATTGATGTGTGATGGAATAAAAAATATTATATGTGCTCAATTAATCCCAATAACTTGGTTTGATTCTACTGGTTTATTTAAATTTACTACTACCCAATGAAAATAAGTATTTCAGTCTGACAATCTTTGTTCAGTGACCTGAAACAGCTTCAGTTCATTCAGCTCAACTTTCCTTAGGGATGGCACGGGATGATTAAAAAATTATATCTAAAAAAAAATTACAGAAAGGAACGATCTGTTTCTTCTGAAATAATGAACTGTTTTAAAAAATATTTATCGTTGCAAATTATAGTATGAAACTTTTATTTTGTCCTGATATCCTTTCAAAATCAGGATGTACTCAAGAAGAATAAGTGAAGACAAGGCCTTCGCTACGTTCAAACTAACGATTATTTGATTGGGGTTTGATCACAAGCTGACCGACCTTTTCGGAAATCTTACTTTGGTCAACAATGGGTCAACAAGACAAATAGTTAATTTTTATTGCAGAAATGCATTTTAAGAGAAGACCTGTGGTGGTGGTCGAAATATTTTTCGCGAAATGTAGTAAGTTGAGTAGCCAATTTAGATTCTACATATTTTCAGGGTAGCTATCATCGCAGCAGTAAGATCACTCTTTGAGGGTTGCTAGAGGGAGGCCGCGACGTCCTAAATCTTCGTCTGCAGCAGGGGCTAACACTGAAATTACGGTAGGGACTTTATTAGCATTCAGTGGTAAGAAACGCCCTGATGTGATGGCTTAGTACCCGGCTTAGGCTGAGAACATATTTTTCTGCAATCACCCGTAAAAACACGGTGTATCTGTGAATCATCCAAGACTAAATAGGTACCTACTTTTTTAATATTTTTCACAAAGGATTAGTTTACCTTTTGACACATTTGCAACATGTCATTTTTTATTTATTTTAAAACTTGATTTTTACATTTTTAAATATTTTCATAAAACAAAAAAAACACTTAAAAATATAAAAAGCAGTATCCCACCGGTTACGGGAGGGTTCCAAGCAACCGGCGGTCAGGGTTCCAGAGAAAGGAATCTCCGGACAATGCGCGCCGTGTCTAGAAGTACAGCTTTCTGGATCAGATTCTTGACCCAACCATCTAACGTAAGCCAGCTTAGGTGTTTATCAAGGCTTTTAGCCATGAGACCATTGGCAGACACGACTATCGGCACAATGATTGCTGAGTCTACATCCCACATGTCGACAATCTCATGAGCTAAATCAAGATATTTACTTGCTTTATCTTTTTCAGCTTTCACAAGATTCTCGTCATGTGGGATTGTTATATCAATTATCATTGTGCGACGGCTAGATCGATCTATCATCACAATGTCAGGTTTGTTGGCTACAATTGTCCTATCAGTGATGATAGTTCGATCCCAATACAGTGTGACATCTCCATTCTCGAGAACTGGGTCAGGCAGATACTTATAGTACGGCACTTCGGATTCAACAAGTTTGTATTTTAAAGCAAGTTGCTGGTGGATAATCCTGGCCACGAGGTTGTGTCTATGCAAGTACTCTCCATTAGCTAGGTGAGAACAACCCGAAATTATATGTTGGATGGATTCCCCTGGGCGATGACATGCCCGACAAATGTCAGCCGTACCATCCTTTATAATATATTTTCGATAATTGTTCGTCAGCATAACTTCGTCCATAATTGCACAGACAAAACCTTCTGTTTCACCAAATAAGTTGCCGAAACGTAGCCAGGATACGGACGCTAAGAAGTCTACCTCTGGCCCATGTAAAGCCCTATAGTAGCGTCCGTGCAGCTCTTTGCTTTGCTATACATCCTTACGGTCCTTAGTGCTTAGTACTACAGGTTTTCTCCAATTCTCGTTAGCTAAGGAGAGCGCAGTAAGTCCTTTGTCCACAGCGACAACATCTTGGTGCATCCCCACTTCCATTTTTAAGAAGTAGTTTCGGAGACTGCACACTTCACATTTCCGTGGAATGTACAGTCTCATTACCGATGATCGTGTGTGATGCATCCGATGCTCAGTCAGCAATGAACGGACTTTTCTATCCAGGGTATCTAATTCCGTTTGAGTCCACTTGAGTATGCCAAAGGAGTACATCAGTACTGGCATGACCCAACCGTTGTAGGCACGCACCTTGTTACCGTCCGATAAAAGACTGTTTAAAACTTTCCTCAGCCTGCCAAAGAAACGTTCCCGCAACGTTTGCTTCATGACGGCAGTATCGATGCCCAACGCTTCTGACATACCCAAGTATTTATAGCTCTCGGATGGCGAAAGGGACCTGAAGTTTGTGGAATCAGATATTTGCGTTCCATCTGATTCCACAATCTCCCCTCTCTTTACATGCATGACTGCACATTTATCCACACCAAATTCCATCCCAATGGCGTTACTGAACATTTCAGTCAGATTCAGTAACCTCATTAGATGTGAATTGTTGGGGGCAAAGAGCTTTAAGTCATCCATGTAAAGTAGATGGGATACAATTTGTCCCCCTCTCCTTAACCGATATCCTAACACTGAGCCTTCCAGCAAAGTGCTTAAAGGATTCAGGGCTAAGCAAAACCATAACGGACTCAAACTGTCACCCTGGAATATACCACGCTCTATCTTAATGGGTTCGTCACTCTCAAAGATCTGTCCGCATCCTGGATAGCGAAGGACTGTTTTCCACTGATTCATACATGACCTCAAGAAGGTGCACAGAGTTGGGTCGACGTTGTACCACTCCAACACCCTCATGAGCCACGTATGTGGAATGGAGTCATATGCCTTCTTGTAGTCTATCCAGCATGTGGACAAATTCTTTTTAAACCTACGAACCTGCTGGCAAATGGATATGTCAATGAGGAGAAGCTCCTTGGTACCACGGGACCCATTTCTACATCCATTTTGAGAGCTAGACATGATATTATTGTCTTCAATATGCTTATTAAGTTTTGCTCTCAAAATGGATGTAAGGAGTTTATAAATCGTCGGCAGACACGTTATCGGTCTATAATTTTTAGGTTCCGTGGTACAACCAGATTTATGGAGCAGGTGGGTAAGTCCTGTTGTAAAGAATTGGGGCAAAGACCCAGACTCCAATGCTGATTGGAATTGAGTCGCCAAGCGACTATGCGAACTCATAAACCATTTAATCCAAAAGTTATGCAGCCCGTCCGGGCCTGGAGCTTTCCAGTTAGCCAACGGGTAGGCTGCATTTGATACGTCTTCGGTGCTAATCTTAATAGAGTTCATTTGTGGTATCAGTTCGCATTTTCCCTTGACCTCCTCAATCCAATCATCCTCGGTGTGATCAACAGGTGCCGACCAGATGCTGCGCCAGAATGCCTTCGTGGCGCTAAAATCTGCAACATGTCATTATTATTATTTAATTAGATTAGTCGTAGCTACACTATTACATAGGTAGTTGTATTTAATCATAACCTAATTTATATTCTGTATTAATAATTTGTCCGTAATATTGTCATACTAAAATGCTACGGTACCTATTAATATGTTAATTTATTCACTGCAGGTATAAGCCATTTATATAAATATATTTTTATTATTCAATATTTTATCATAATTAATGACTAAAATATTTTCAACACACCGTTTAAATTATTTTGTATATTGAAATCTGGAATCATTTATTTATTCTGTTATTTTTATTGCTCAATGATAAGTAAACCTGTAAACAAATGTGTGCCAGTAAGCAGACAACCCTACATTGTAGTGAAGTTATCTGAAAGTAAAATAATCAATAAAAATCAATTAAGTACCCTGCGTGTACACAATAATATACACTTAGCTTATATTTGCATATAAATTTAGTGAGCTCCATCAGCCCTTTCGATATAAAAGCAATTGTTTCTTAAAACACGTTTAATTTGGACAACATTTATGGATTTGGGTGGAGAAGATACTGGTGCTGCAGAAATGGGACCGTCGGACAGAAAATCGGAAACGTCTCGTTTGGTGGCTCCGAATACTGAAACGTCTCCAAGTTATTTGAATATTTTGTCAAATATATGCGGTCTGGTGTTCCTGGGAATCATTATGTACTGTTGTTTTATAGATGGAGTGACACTATTTTCGTTCCATCCAACGCTTATGACACTTGGGGTAAGTTTGTTGTAATAGGTAGTGATAAACTGATAATAAACAAATTTAATTGCGTTGATTAATATTATAATACGTTAATGTTTTTATGTTTCAGTGGATGTTATTTATGACATCAGCAATGCATGCACTTACTCCTGGTGATCTTGCAACAGGCTGGATGCCTATACGGCTAAAGAGTGCTCGCCATTGGATTCTTCAGGTAATAGGTGGAACTATAATATTAACTGGATTTATTATAATCGTAACAAACAAATTTCTTAAGGGTGCAGGTCATTTTACCAGCTATCATGGAAAATTTGGATTGACATCATTCATTTTCCTTTTGGTGACCATGTTGGGAGGTTTAGGAGCTCTAAATAGTTTGAAACTAAAAAATTACCTGCCCCCAATATACACGAAATTAATCCATACATCAGCTGGTCTGCTGACATTTTGTTTGGGGGTAACTACGATTTTGCTGGGTTTCTTCTCTAACTGGTGGAAGGAGAATCCACAGTGGTTAACAATTATCTGCTTTATTTTGGTGTTAATGAGTATGGTAGCTACAACATTGAGGCCCATTTTAAAAATATATATTCGTCTCCGGGAACGATTGGATATCCAGAATTAATTTTGCACAGACAAAATTAATTTATATTTTTGTATACCCAACATAAATGGCAATGGTATGTGATATTTTGTTAAACAAGATGCCAAGACCAGCACAACTTTGTTTTCTGTATATTCAGACTTTCAGTCTACTGTTACAATTGTTTGTAAATTTGATTCTTTAAGTTTAATATTGTTATATTTTTATGGTGCATGCTTTACTTAATATGCAGTTATTATAATTATAATTGTTTAAATAATATTTCATCAGTTTTAGTAAAATAACTATGCATAATATATTGATTATCTTGTATCAACACTTGGTGTATGGTAGATAATACTATTAGACGAAACAATAATAATTTTAATATTTACTCTTGATAAATGAATTTTGGAGATGATTATTTTTTATTTTATAACTATTGTACTTAATATTTTTTCGAATTTATAGTTTATACCTATCATATTTACAATTTTAATGACATAAGATAATAATTTTGTACAATGTTTTAAAAAAATAACTTACGGGATGTCATACATTATTTAGATGTCCTGTAAATATACTATATCTGATTGTAACTTATAAGCCATCAATAATGTTATGCTTTCTATGTCTAATGGGCACAAGTATTTTATTGTAAATGAATGTTATAGTTAGCAATAACTATGTGTGTCTGATGTATGCTTAAACTTCTAAAAGTTAAAAACTTATCAAGTTACAGAATGGTTGCAAAATTATCTATTTATGGCTCTAACTAGAAATAATTAATAATAAGGAGATTGAATGATCACTGAATGTCTCTAGCCATGACTTTTAGAGATTCAAGCAAATCTAGGAGCAAAGGAAAAGCCAAAGGGATCCTTCTTATGGCCTGAGAGGCTAAGAGACTGACAGTTCTGAGCTTAGGAAGTCACAAATAACGAAACTACAATAATTTTATTAAAAATAACTAAATGCTGCGATCTGATTTTTTATTATATTTCTTACTTAATATTTATCAATGTCTTCATTAGTAATGTAGACATAATTAGTGCCAAATAATGATCTCTAGATGTGATGTTGTCGTAAAATATAATGGATTATTATTTTGTTAAAAAAATAAAAAAATGTGTAGAATGTTTTCTGCTTTTAATGTTCATATCAAATATCAATAATAATTGTTTATAATATGATTAATATGTATTCTTTGTAACCAATAAACATATTGAGTAGCAAGTCATAAAGTTGTATTTTAATTACTTATTTCAAATATATTATCATCAAATTTAGAACTGCTTTAGCCGCAACTCGCAAACTTGAATTAACGAAAATCATCAAATTACAAGCAAATTACTTAACCCGCCCAGGGTGAAGCGAGAGGGAGAGTGTTAGATTCTTACTGATTAAAACCCCCCGTTGCTTCATCATACTTTAAGACATTACATTTAGCCGAAACTCACAAACGTGAATTAAGGTCCATATTTGAAATGCGTAGCTAGACTGAATGATCATAACGTATTACATTTTTACACCTTTGGGGAAATAATCAAATCACTTCTCCCGCCCAAGGTGAAGCGAGAGTTAGATTCTTACTGACTAAAACCCCCCGTTCCTTTTCGAGTTCTAGGCTGAGGCCTCGGTGTCTTATTTCGGTTATCATTAGTGGTCTCTTGGCTCTGAGGTGCGTGGCGCTATGCGTTGTAAGCTCGGGTCTGGTTCTGGTAGGGCGGCGAGCTGCCCTAATGCCTCGGCTGCACTCATTGCGATAAGACGAATACTGACGAATATTAACGTTATCGCGATATATGTGTAACGCGAACTCTTCGGCACTTAGGGCTTATTACTTCGCGCTGCGCCGCCACACTTCATTCAGTAGGCCCGTACGCATCGGCAAAGCGGACGTGTTAATAATTTTCACTAAAGTCGTATTTTTAATCGCGATAACATTCGGACAATAAACTTCGTTTAGGTATTTTATGTAGCCGCGAGGATTCGCCGTAGCCCGAAGCCCGAAGACGAAGTTTATCGCCTGAATGTAGTCGCGATAAGTGCGGCCGAGGCATCACTGAGTCAGGCAGGATTAAGGCTAGGCGCGGGAGGTCGCCAACCTTATGTTCCACCGTGTCCTCTGAGTGGTCCTCGCAATAACGACACTCGACCGTTTCCCCCCGCCAGATCCGAAATGGGAAACTATCAAAGCTATAGGTTTTCAATCTAGGGCCTTTTTTTTGAGAAGGGGTCATCGAACCTCAACTCCCTCCTTGGGTGGGAAGACATATTATCATATGTTAGCTAAATGTTTATTTTAATGCTCCTTCTAATAATTACTTCATAATTCATAAACTGAGTGAGATTTACATAATACCTATATGAAATGTTGGTTTGTAATAGTTTTACAGTGTCATCTGGGTGAGAGCGATACAACGGCTCATAAAAAAACGACGTGAGTGAGGAGTTACCGGAGTCCCGACCATTCTTCCCCTCTCCAATACCTTAATCTTAAAACCAATTAAAATTTAAAACCGTGCTAAAAACCAAATCCTCATAAGCAACCTTGCAATTCCTTTGGTGTTGCGGGTATCCAAGTAGCTGCGCTCGAACCGTCTACTCATTTGTTTGACAAAATATCACAAAAAATAATAATAGTCTAATTCTATAAATCTGTTGAACAAGAAAATATTTAACGGAGAAAAATATAAAACTGTCCTTTTAATAAACCAACAAAAAAAATTGTAACATCCAATTAGTAATTATTTGAATGGATGTTAAAATGTCGATTATTAGAACTACTCTAGTGATGTCAAATTTGATAATCTGTGTTGAAAGGTGAACTGGTGAATTGCTCTGTAGTTTATAGTAATAATCTGTGGTGATTTGATGAATTGATAAATGAAATATCATTCGTTCACCCATCGTTCACCAGTACTTTGTGATTTCGTTAAATTTTGTTATCCTTTCTTACAATATTGATCGACTTGTTAAAAATTACTGTGTATCTCTCTTAAAATTGCAAGGTAATTGTTAGTTTACTGCATTGTTTCGTGACAACTATTGAAGACGCTATTTATAAAATATCAGGGGACGGAAAATGGCGTCCGATTTTCACCGTGGTGTTTATAAAATTTTTGGTTTTGTTTTAGATGCCTAACATAAAACTGCAGTCCTCGGATAGTGAAATCTTTACTGTTGATGTTGAGATTGCAAAATGCTCGATAACAATCAAAACTATGTTGGAAGATTTAGGGATGGAAGATGACGAAGAGGAGGTAGTCCCATTGCCTAACGTGAACTCTGCTATATTAAAGAAAGTAATTCAATGGGCAACTTACCATAAAGACGATCCACCACTACCAGAAGATGATGAAAATAAAGAAAAGCGAACAGATGACATCTCATCTTGGGATGCAGACTTTTTAAAAGTTGATCAAGGAACTCTGTTTGAATTAATTTTAGCTGCCAACTACTTAGATATAAAAGGCTTACTTGATGTCACTTGCAAAACCGTAGCGAATATGATTAAGGGTAAAACTCCAGAAGAAATTCGGAAGACATTCAATATCAAAAATGACTTTACCGCAGCTGAGGAAGATCAAGTCCGTAAGGAGAATGAATGGTGTGAGGAGAAGTAACTTAACAGCCTTAGTATTATAATTTCATTCTCTAGATATAATTGGTATATAAAAGTATGTTGTAATTACTGTAAGTTGATCATTATTTAATTTTCATTGCAACTAAGTAAAAAAATTTCAGGTCTTTACATACAGATTAATTTCAAATACAGTAGAAAACCTGTGTTAGCCCACAATGTACTTTTAACATGCTTGATAACTAACTATTGCTAGGAAGTTATTCCAATTGTAAACTTATGACAATTGCTTTTATTTGTACATAATAAATTTCCTGAAATATCTGTGAAATTTAATTATAACAATAACCACCCAATTTACACAATCAATGTTTCAAATACCCAGGATCACAAGTGTTGGGGACTTGTAGGCCCAGTTCCTTCTCATACGAGCCAGGCTACCATTTGTCTTAGTGATTGTAAGCTGGTTTTTGGTTTTGAATCTCTAAAAGTAAATTATTCTAACATGACAAAAAACATGCTCACACTTTTTGTCATATTAAATTAATCTAATCTTGATAACTATACATACAAAATGGTGTCCTCAGATGTCTCCACGTACTAATACAGCCAAATACACCTGAGATTGATTACTTTCAAGTACCTACCCAAAAAGTTTGAGAAGTCTGATTCTCATTGACCTAACAAAATATAGTCAGACAGTTATTATGTACCTAACTGCTAAGAAATTGAAACAATTTTAGTCTGTTCTGCTTAGAAGTAGGTTCTTGAGTCAATTACAAGAGGCTCAGCAAGTTGTATTCATGTAGCTTTTCCTGTGTACCACAACAACTCGATTCATCAATTTTGCTATAACAACGCCACCTATTGTAACTGTTGGATAATAAGGTAAGTTTTAAAAATTAATAAATATATACCCACATTTTATAATATTGTATTAATTTAAATAAATGCATCAGTTCAATAAATATCTATTCTATAGTCTCATCTTAAATACTCTTATAGAAATAGATTATTGTAAAGTGTAAAATGTTAAAAGTATCATGTAAGTGAAATTATAATGGTAGGTAGGTATCTACTAAGGGATGACGAGTCAGTTTCTATACTATACTACGATACGTGTCTTCTACATTGGAAAACCTGTCGTGGGCAAATAAATTGTCAACGCAATTAAGGATAGGACTGTTAAACCGCCCGAGATAAGATCCACAAGACGCAGCACCAAGGAGAACACCCGCAAGGAAACTCATACCAATTAACATAATTAAAATCACTCGGCCCTTGTCTTGACGTAGGAAAATCTCTTTACATAGACACACGAAGTCATATACAGACCTGAAAAAATAAAAAACAATTACCCTAATAATTCATGATATTTTATCATCACATCTTTCTTTCTTTAACGGTTGATGTAGCGCAAGTTGCACTAGCCGTTAGATACGTCGTTTTTATGACACTGTTAAACCTGCACCAGTCTATTTCTATAAGCTACTAGGATAAGAATCGGAGGAATACACCATGATGTTACCGTGCACTGTGTTCGTTAACAAACAAATAAACAATCTCACATCATGTAACACCGACACAGGTTCCGTTTTTCCGTTCGGGAATCGAACCCGTGACACGGCACGGCAGACGGTGGCACCGCCACCGCATCAATGTGCACAATATATTAGATACCAACCTACAGCATCTAGTGTTATCACACAGCAGTTTGTCGGTTTCGTCCAACAGCCTAGTCAATTGCTGTTGCGCTAAAGTTATTACTGGACATTTTTTGTGGAGGATATTAGCGATTTCTCCCTCAGGGTCTAAGTCGCAACTACATCTTGGTGAATCGTTGCTATCCATCCTTCCATCGCTTCGCAAATCACTTCGTGGTGAAACATCTGCCCCTTCAAAGTTCGTATTTTCTCCATCATAATTATTCTTTTTGAACGTTCTCCTTGAATACTTATAAAAGTTTTGGACTTGATAATTGTCTGTAGACATGAATTCAAAATTAGCTAATAAAATTTTGTTGTTGTTTGTTGACTTAGACTTTAGTGATTGGCAAAGGTGTTTGTTATGAGACTTCAAAATATTAATTGTCACCCCAAAACTTATTACTCTTTGAATTGTCATTTTGAGTGGTATAGGTAGTTTCATAGACTTATGAAATGACATATCTACACATAGAAAAAGGTGAATCACAAAATTATTTTAGCTTCTGTTACGAGGCAGCCTACTACTAAGTACAACCCAATCTGAGGGTCTACCAATCCTATAAAGGTGTGTAGCTCCATCCCTCTTTCTCGCCCGGAAGATTCACGCTTTAACACGTCATCATGGTAGGCCCTCTGCTATAACAGCTAGTCTAGATACCTATACCTCGTAGCTTTTACAATATTATTGATAGTGTCCGACCGACCCAAGCCTCAGCAGGTAGGTAGTAGGTACCTGTAGTGATTATAGCCTCATCATTTCATTTTAAAAAGTCAATTCTACAGAAGTCTGGGGGCATCCATAGGTAAATTACGTGAGATGATTGAGGGAGGTGATCGAGTCAAATCCCTTCTAATCTCACGCTGGGGAGAGGGGTTTCTCAACAAATATGATGCTTGTTTTTCTAACAACTAAATATACTTAAAAAAATTAAGCAAGTACTCTATTGTGAATTTTAATTCCTTTTATAACTATTAGCAATGTTGATAGTAGTCTGAACTAGGTAGTCGTAAATATTAGCACAAAGCAAATTGTTTTTTCTTCTTTTTACTGTTTTTTTACAATCCAACGCGTTTACGTATGAAACCCACATTTTGAAAAATCTCATATCTCACCAAGGGGGGAAGACAGAAAATTTAAAAAAACATCACGTAGTTTATGGACGCCCCCTTTCATGCCACTAGTCCTTGGGTACTATTTTTCACTGTAACCAGGGACCATACAACCTCGAATATAAATAAGTTAATTGTTTCGGAATTCTTACTGCTTTGTTGCCATCGGTCACAATGGCGCGAAGTTGGGTACGTTTTACTAGTACTTACCTACTATTACTAAAGAAACTGTGCATAATAAATAACAAAAAAATACTAATAATTATTTATTTGTATAATTATTCTACAAACTAATTTGTTAAAAATCACGATGAGCCCACCTGGCTCACGAATATTGCCCCCTTGCCCATATCACCTGATTAAGGTATACATTATTTGGATTAATATTACAATCGTATAAAAATATAATTGCATCAAATAGAATAAAAATGCACAGAATGTTTACTTATAATTAAATAACAAGTCAACTTGGTATTTATCCATACAAGAGCATAGCGAAAAATTACTTTTCTGGAATTCCTTAGAATCGGTTTCACAAAAAAAAACCGAAATAGTGACCTACCTAAGTAAAGTCACAAGAGATGTTTCAGAAATCATTTTCGCCATTTCGCATTGATTAACACGTTTAAGTACCTACATACATACCTACGTACTTTAAGAAATTCAACTAGGTATCTGCCTAAACGGTTTGTCGGATAATCAGGCGCTGGAATGTACGAGCAACACTCCTTCAAATTCTAAATATCTAAGTAACAGTTCATAAATTACTTATAAAAATATACGTATTGTTATTTCACTAAGGCACTGAACTGTTGCGTTAGTCTCCGAAAGACTGGTGCATCCACTTCTTGGAGTATTCGTAGACAACAAAGAGGGCAGCTGTCGCTGGTATCGTTCGCACAAGAGTAGGTTTGAGTCCGTTGTACAGGGCTAGTACACCTGGAAACACAGAAAATATAAGAATTAAAATAAATATATCGCGCGCTTCAAACAGGTAAAAGACCACCACAGATGGAGCCAACAGATGTAGCTAATGTGCAATCAGGGTTCCGGCACAAACTACCGCGGCCTCGGTCTTGGGCAGGAATAGGAACGTGGTGATTAGTAGTAGTCAGTAAGAATCTGACATTTACTGCCACCCTACCCAGGTTAGAGAAGTAATTTGAAGATCTCTCCGCCATAATTAAATTATGTACATAAATACGTAGATAACTAGAAAAGTAATATTAATTCAGGGTACTTTCTTGGTACAAATTATGGAAAGGGCTTTATTGGCGACATCTCTTTATTTATTTATGGATAATACTTAATTTTGCTAGGCAAGCAGAATTGTGTATTTATGCAACATGTTGTCACCAAAAAATTCAGATTAATAGGTTGACCGGAAGAGGGTCAAATTTGAATTACTAAATTTGACCCAACAAAGAATAAATAATAAAACAAACGGGGTGAGCTAAATAAAACCGTTTAAAAAAATATTAAAAAGACTTTTCTATTTGTTTTGTGACATGTTGTAATTTTTCTTCTACCCTCTATGTGACATAACAAAGTTGTGCTTTTATCAGCATACTGACGTAATTGATAGACTGGTTTACAGGATGTTCCCGATTAAAGGGGTCATTGATCTTTATCTTTCGTGAAATGATTCAATTATTATGAAACTGGAGTAAAATCCTCTTAGTTGAAGGACCCTTATCAATTTTATAATACGAAAACCGATGAAATTATCTCGCTTCTTTTGTATAAACATATTTTTGTTTTGTATACGCACATGTTTAGGTGTTTCGAATAATCCTACCAATTTTAGCTACATGGGAATTATTGTACCTTGACTGCCTGTTTTAGGTGTAATTTGACCAGACTAGTGCAAACATTTAATGTGACATTTATTTACAAATTATTTAAGATTTATAACCGAATATTATCATAGACATATGACAGTGAAGCCTAGGAATCTAATGTGGCCAGGAATGCCTAACACATTACATTACTAGAATGCCTCACGAATTAGCTTCTTTTTAATCCTGGCAACGCGGGTGTATCCACTCACCCAAACCAAGTAAGCAACTACACAAGTGATTAGCATTCAATGAATTACATTTCTTATCTCTTCCTACGCTGACGAGGTCAAAGTGAATGACGAGAGACAACATTAATTATTGCGCGTCTAGCGTTATCGCCACGGTTATCGGTCGCCTTAATCTTTCATGTTTTCGTTTTAAATATAAAAGAGTTATTTGTCTCTAAGAACTTTTTCTTTAAAATAATATCTATATTATAAATCACTGCACCTTGTGAGTTAACCCGTTGAATGTCGGTTTATAAGAAAATACATTGTGTCTCGCGTGGATCCACGTTTAAGACATACGAAAGGTTAAAAAAAAGAAGATATAAAAACAAAAGATAAAAAAACTAAAGGATAAAACCATAAAACTGGTTAGTCCAACCCTAAAATGTATTAAGTATTGCATTATTTATCAGTCACCTAAAGGCTGAAATGCGAGACATTTAGTCTGGATTTCTAAAGTTTAATAATATATTATAATAAAACTAGTTTTGTTGTTTAAAGCAAAAACTTCCTGCCAGATGACGAATTAATATCAGAATATACAATATGTGCCGTAGTTTTGTACTTGTGTCACAAATATTTACTTATACAACAAAAGATATCGAAGACAAGCAAATCTTTGTAAATAAACTAGAGATAGTGTAACTGCGTACCTTCTTTCTGTACAATTTCATATCCGACGGTCAAAAACTTCTGACTTTTGTTCGATATTTGTATTCTTGATTTGATAACGTCTGAGGGGAATATTACAGTCCACAGGACGAGCCCACCCACTGCGCCGGCTATCATTGTTTTTACGAATCCTATGTCGTCTTTACTCTGACCTGGTTTCTTTAATAACTCTCTGGTGCCTGTAACATTAATGAAAATTATATTTAACGCGTTGAACGACATAGGTGACATTATATTGCTTTCCTAACAAGAAGTAGTGTCAAATGGTGACTGAAAAACCAACCCTTTTTCCTCCTCCATATTCCGCGATACATTATTGGGCTTGAACCGCCATCCTGGAATGGCGTGAAACAACCACAGCGTTTTGTTTCGCCGTGTGAGTGATGTTAAGAAAGGAAAGGAAAACCTAATCCCCAAATGGTCAGCAACATACTCGTAACTCTTTTGGTGTTGCTGGTGTCTATGGGCACCGGCGATTGCTTACCATTAGGTAAAAGGACTGCTCGTTTGTCCGCCCCATATATTACAAAAAAGCCCTAGTGGAGGTTTGCTCTCAACAGTTACAGCCTATCAGTGTTAAAAACTTGAGGAATAAAAATCAGATGTGACATTATGATAGGCCAAAAACTATCATCTCCGATAGTCACTTGGCTGGCTAAGGTGTAGCTAGAAAATGAATGTACCTTCATATCCTCCAAAGAAGAAGAAGTATCCAGGCATTTCTCTCATAATGGTTGGCACGAGGCCTCGAAAAAGCCCTTGAATGCCATACTGTTTGAATATCTGCTGTGTTAGCTGAATTGGCGATATTTTCACCTGTCAAGGAATTTCCATTACTTTGCTTTAATTAATTGCTGTACTGTAATTATCATTTTTCAAGGTCGCAATCAAAATATGGCACAAATAAGATAAAAGGACTGATAAGATGCTCACATGTAAACATTACATTAAATAATATTAGTTTGTAGATTTGGGAAAATTATGTTAGTATGCCTATGATTTTTTTTAAGTTAAAGAGATATATGTAAGGCAAGAAATTTACTTTGTTCTGTAAAATTTCGTATGAACTGGATGATGAAATGTGATAACAATTCCGATTTAGAGCAACAAATAAATGAATAGATTCATTCAGAGAACTAGGACAAATAAAATACCCAAATAATCATCGTACAACTGTTTGTGACGTCTGCACATTTACTTCTCGCAGCGCTTGTAATTGACACTTGATTAATTCGGTGGGGCACAGTGTAAAGGATGAGAAGAATGCTGCAAGGAAACCAGCCGATGCATTACCCAAGGCTGATAACTCTTCCACTTTCTGAAACCAAAAATTTATAATATAAATTTCATTTTGCCTACTTGAAACATATCTTTTGATAACCTCATTAATTTATTTGATAAAATGATAAAGATAATAATAATTAAATAAACTAAATCTTAACATTTAATATATTATTATGATCTCTTGTGCTACTTTTTAAATTGATGCATAAAAGTAATTATAAAAAAAACATTACTTAAAAGTTAACTAAGATACTTATTACATATTTTCTGTATAAATAGTTAACATAAATTAAAATTAAGTCATAAGATCAACAAATTCATCTCAAATAACATACCTCAACTCCACTAAGCCGACAAACAAACTTTTGACAATAGCCATATGCTGCAAATAGTACTGAGTTTTCCGCTACATTGGCCATAATAGCAGGAGTAGTGCCTGCATACAATCCTCTGAACACTCCGTCATTACGTAGTGTCTGTTTCAAGCAATCATACATTCCTTTGTAAAGGTGTGGAAATGTCTGCATCTTTACTTTTACTGTGTCAAGTGGCTGTCCCACATAGACCACTGCTACACCACCTAATACAAAAAAAAATATCAATAACTATACATTCAAATTGTTTTCACAGTAAAAAAAAAATATTTTCCTTACCTAAAGAACCAGCTGTGAAATCAATAATTCCATTTTTCAAATTCCCTGCAGAGCCTGATGAATGAGCCATGACGATATTCTTCTTGTTTTCCTTTTCTATATCTGTAAAGTATAAAGTTTGTTGCAAGAATTTTATAACAAAATTTAACTGTTATTACATCATCCTAGTTTTTTTTTTTATTTTTTGTACAACTTTTCCAGCCTTTTCCAGCTAAGTATAGCAAAATAGGTAACTAATATAACTATTTATATAAATCTTATAACTTATTTGCCTTGAAATACTCTCTCATAGTGGTTAGGACTTTATGAGCACATATATAAACACTGGGTTACTTAGATTCACAATAAATTTCAAAAATAAGCAAAAATGATAGCATCGGTAATAATAAATTAGCTTCAATTCTTAAAAAAATATTAAGTTAAATAAGTGTGTAACAAATATATAATATTAAGTAATTAATTTAGTCCAAATTCATAGACATTCATTAATAAACTTATTAAGACTTACAATACCTGGTGTTAATAAGTTCACTCGGCTTCTCAAAATAAATTTCACAAATTTATTAATGTATCAAAATAATTACGAACGAATTTGTGATTTCCCGGTTCTCTCGTAATACACGTGCGAATGACAGTAAGGATTAAACGTAGTGGTTACATACTCTTTGGTAAGGATATTCGATTTCTCGATTCTCGTCTCGATTTCGATTGAGTTTTGATTTGAAGTTTAAAAAAAATCATAATCGGTTGTAGTCTATGTACAAATAGAGTTCTATCTCGGCTATGGAACAATGTTGCCAGTATATGACGAATTCTGTTCATGGAACCAAAACTAAAGATTTTTAAATGAATTATTGGTATACGTAGTTTTGGCCGCCACCCACTTTTCCACAGAACTTAATAATGTTCTGCTAACACAGTAAACAGATTTGTATCTTAGCTGACAATTTTAAAATAGTTTAACTGGTACCAATTTGTTATTTATTGTCTGCACGGTTGGCGCAGTAGTTATGTTCCTAGGTGCAACGTGTCGCGGGTTATAATCGGAACAACACTTTTTGTGATCCACAAATTGTTGTTCAGAGTCTGGGTGGTTTGTGCATGTGAATTTGTATGTTTGTAAGCGCATACCACCACACAAAATCTACACAAAATACAATAGAGATCTATTCTATAATTATTATACAGGACAACGGATATAGAAAATAAAATAGAGTCAAAGGGGCATAATTCAGAACAGCTAAAGAGTGCAATTCTATGTTGGAGTCTGTGTTCCCTTGGCGACAAATCACATTTGGGTGTTTTTGGAACAAGGTAGACTGGTAGAGTGAGGCGTGGAGTCTTGAAATTATACTACAGTATTATGGTGCGGCTGGTGATCCTGTATTCCTGCTTACTCAGCTCTCCTACTCCGCTTGCTCCAGCTGTTCCGCGCACTTATTTCATAGCGATCGTATGCGGCACGATGTTTTAATAAGAAGAAGTCAAAAACGTAACAAACGTATTTTTAAAAAACGATACTTCTTACTTCGATTAGTCCAAAACGTAATAAACGTCTTTTTCAAGGCAATTGATTCAGTGTTCTACCAGATCACATAGTCAAAAACGTACCGAGTTAATATCTGGTTTGTTATTACATTAGCATAATATTATGGTTCTGACATGGTTCTGAGGTATCGTCTAAGTAACCTGTACTACTTATCTGTCACAGATAAGTAGGTACCTATATTGTCTAGTGTGTCACTACAGGAGTAAAGTTCTTATTAACACAAATAAATCAAGCTGCAGGCTGTTTTATTTCTTTTAATTTTTCGGGATAAGCCTCTGTAAGCCAGGATTCATAGTAGATGAAGGCCAAGCAAAAACCGGAAAAAAACTGAACACGGGACCAGCTAAATAGTTTCCACCTCCCTCACTACGTTTAATGCACGACACAAAATGACTTAAGCCTAAAGGCACAAAAGAGACTGTACAACTGGAAGAATCCCAGTCACCTAACAACACGTAAAAACTGTTGTATTAAGACCTATGTATGGGCTATTATTATACTTGTTTCCAGTAATAGGTATGGCAAAATCGCATCCCACGAGATCAATATTATAATAAATTACACCTAATGAGTGACGACTAAATTATCTAACATTGTGTTTCGTTCGTAATGTGAGAGACTACACTCCCAGAGTACTTGATGGGCGGACTGCTCGTATTGCAGTTCCACTGTCGAACATCGGCACTATGCGGAGCCAACAAGTTTAAAAGAAAAAATTGCCAAGGCCTGTGAGAAACAGGGCTAACACAATGATGTCTGCTGCGAAGCCAACACAATGTTGAAAGTCGAAAGGCACAAAAGTCATTCAGTAAAACTTATGGACATGGTTAAGGTGACTTAGCTAACGTTTATCATTATAGAGGAGTACAAAATATTCTTATGTTTTAGAAAACATATGAATATTTTGTATTTCTCACACACACTTCAGTAGCTGGTAAATCGTCCGCTATGAAGTGACATTTTTCGTTGGAGTAAATTTATTTCTGCAAATGGCTACAAGGCACTGTTTTATTCGGCTTTTATTTTCTGTGGAAAACAATATTCCGTTTGTAATATTTTAAAAATAAATAAACAAAATGACGGAAACATATTATTAGTTGTGTATGTGTTTTGTCATGTGGTTGTACTTGACGCTACAGAGCTGCCATCTCACACGCATCTCACAGGGACGATACGAGAGATTACTTGCATATTAGTGCAAAAACTTTCTAGTCTAAGCAAAAAAGGAGGAATTATACTTTTCTATGGTCTTAGAAAAAACCGAAAAAAAACTATTGTTCTATGACCTATCTGCCAATGTTTCTCTGAAAACTGTCTACGTCTGAAAATCACTTCACAACACAATTTTTAAAATTGACATCACTATAGTTTTGTTTTAGTTATCGAAATTTTAACATCTATTCAAATAATAAATATTTACTAAGTACTGTTACAAAAATAATGTTATATTTCTTGATTATGTAAAAGTTAAATTGATTTTATTTTATTTCACCGCTAAATGTTTTTTAGAATTGAGCTTGGTGCCGGACGACACTTTTCTGTACTTTGTAGAAGTGATCGAAAGAAACTAGAAACGTTATGTAAAATAAAAAAAGAAGAAAAATTAAAACCGACCTCACAAGGTTTTGTAAAAAAAAAACCAGAGTGATTCACCTGTTTTTTAAGATATACCTACGTAAATTAAAATCATTTTAGTATGAACTATTAAGAGTAAGCATTAAAATTATTTTGTCCTAAACTGTTAGAGACGTTACTAAAGCTATCGATGCAATTACAAGAAAAAGACAAGTCTCGCGCTGTGTTTATCCGATTATCGATATTTCATTGTATTGAGTGTACAACACTACTAATGAATGGAGTGCACGAAAACATGGTTGTTTTTCAGCTTTCCTAGGAGATTAATTTGAATATGATCCGTTTGCTTCAGTTTTGATAACTGTTTATTAATTATGAAGTAATTTATTAGAATATAAAAATAAACACTTAGCTTAGTATGATATATGTAAATAACCTAGCAGTTAGCGTCTGGAAGTGCTTCTAGATAGTGAAGTTGTTATTAAAAAATAATCATGAATTTTACATACATTCAATGATATAAGTAAGTGTTAACAATAGCTGAATAGTTGTTTCGTAATAATTAATATTTTATAACTATTTGAGTTATTCTAAAGAATAAAAAACAGTGTCAACATTTTGACGTGTCGGTTTTTGGTTTTCGTGTTCGGCCGCCATGTTTGTCCTTTTACAATAATTTAGAAATTGAGAGATTGTATGGGTAATAGAATAAGACTATTTACTGTTCAAGAGTATGCTAGTTTTTTAATTGCCGTAAAATATTTTACAAGGTTTTAGATCTTTACCGTTTTTGTTAAGATGAAAAAAATATGTGTGTAACTACAGCATTCGCGTCCTTTGTTATTCAGGTATTCAGAATGGTTGTTGGATCAGCGACGTACCCAGGGAGGCAAGTGCTCCACAAGATGCAACCGATGGGCATGACTCCCCGTGAGCTGTCAGAGTACGATGACTTAGCTACAGCCCTAATAGTGGATCCTTATCTGGGCATCACAACTCATAAAATGAATATTCGTTATAGACCATTGAAAACAAATAAAGAAGAGCTAAAGAGTATTATTAAGGAATTTATCCAAACACAAGATTATAATAAGGCATACTCTAGATTAGCTAATGGTGAATGGATGCCAAGACATTTTAGCAAAAATAAACACCAACAGAGCAAGCTGAGAGAACATGTTAGTATTTATTTTAGTGTACTTCCTATTCATGTGTAAAAATAGCTGACTCAGTCACTATCTCATTGTATCAAGTGACTTAATTCAGCTGAAGTATAATTATGTTAGCCCATGTAGTTATCTTTTACAGTGTTATTTACTAACAACCATGTCCAAGTATGTGTAATAATTTTGTTTGTGTATGTCTTATTTGTTTTATCAGTGCGACTTTGAATATTAATTAATAACATTTTTAATTTCAGATTTATCGCTATTTGCGAGTATTTGATAAAAAGGCAGGCTTTGTTATAGAGCCCTGTTATAGGTACTCTTTGGAAGGTCGTGTGGGTGCAAAAATTTCTACAACCAAGAAATTCTTCAAGCATGAAAGAATTGATTTTCTTGTTGGCTGTATTGCTGAAATGACTGAAGAAGAAGAAAAACAATTGTTACATCCAGGGAAAAATGACTTTTCTGTAATGTATAGTTGTAGAAAAAATTGTGCACAGCTGTGGCTTGGCCCTGCAGCATACATAAATCATGACTGTAGACCTACTTGTACTTTTGAGGCTACTGATCGTGGCAAGGCATTTGTTCGTGTGTTGAGAGATATTGAGGTTGGTGAAGAAATAACTTGTTTTTATGGAGAGGATTTTTTTGGAAACGGCAATTGTTACTGTGAATGTGAGACATGTGAAAGACGGGGTAAAGGTGCATTCTCTGTACAAAATGCACATAACGATGAACAAGCCACCAGATATCGGTTTAGAGAAACTGATAATAGAATAAATAGAACAAAAGCAAAACAGTCACAAAAAAATGTTAATGGCAAAAACCCAGAAAAATCTCGAATATCTAGCAGGCAAAATTCTGACATAGTTTCTCCACTTAGTATGAAGGAAATGAAGCAGAAAGGTTTAACAAAGTATGATGCCGAACTTTTAATAGCTCAAGGTTGTATAGCAGATGTAATAGAGGGAAATGTTAGCAAAGAGGCACAGGGCAGTAGAGAATCTTCAGCTTCAAGCCGAGGAGAAAGATTACGACGACGAACTGACAGCAATAGAGCGACTAACGGAATGACAATCGTATCTACTTCTAATGTTAAACGAAGGGCGCCTCCATCTCGTTGCTGTAGCACTACCAGTTCACGCAGTAGCCGCGATTCTCACTCTGGCATTGTTTTACGAAGTCACAAACGCTTACTTGACACCTGTTCACAATCTACTTGTCCTAAACCTAAAAACGCATCTAAACAAAGCTCTGATGTTAAAACTGATAGGAATCTTACTACACCAAAAGATGAAACAGAGATGAATGTCTTAGAAACAAATAAACTGAATATCAAAACAGAACCATCTAATGATAGTCAAAAAGAAAATATTGATTCTGTTGATATTACAGACCCACATTTAGATAAAACCGATAATGATTGTGATAAAATCGAATCTCCTTTGCAAATAACAGATTTGGGTATTACTGCCAGTGAAGGAAAGGTTGAACATTCTGTACATGATTCCAATGTTCAAGAACAAATCCATGATAATAAATGTGTAAGTGACAATGCTTGTGTGAAAAGTGAAATTTATGATTTTAGAGAAAATGTTAATCCAAGTGAATCTAAGGAGAGCAAGCAGAACAAGAATCCAAAAATAGAAGTTACAAGTAGGACTGAAGATGTTAAAAAAGAAGCTGAGTCTGGACCACCATGGCTGGTAGATAATTCAAATAAAAGTAGTGAATGTCCATGTACTCCGCCACGACGGGGTCTTAAACTCACATTGAGAGTGAAAAGGAGCCCTGTAGTTGAGGAAGTGATGGACTGTGGTAACACTACAGAGGCAACTGAGTATGAAGTATTACGGCTAGAGGGCGTTGACCCGGAGACGGCAAGACGCCTAAAGAAGCGACGTCGGTCGAAGGAGCGTCATCGCAAACATAGTCCCATCCGTCCTCTGCCTCCAATGAAACGCTTAAGATTAATATTTGGCAATGAGAGTCGTACAATCGACTTGCCCACTGCTATTTCAGCAGACTGACAGCCGCAACTACCTTATGGTTATTTTCCACCGTTATTATTCAATTAATAGTTTAATTGACACTGATTAGGATTATTTTATCTAGTATTTATTTTGGTGACGTGACGTTCTGACATTTGAGTATGTGTGATATGCATCTAATTTTTATTTGATGATTCCATGAGATATTTATTAAAAACCGACATTTGAAACTTATTGATTTCATTAGCGCAATTTTATTGCATAATCTCCCTTACATGTCAGGTGGTTTCACGATTATCAAATAAGTTGATCTAGTATAGTATGTTATAATATAAACTAATGTTATTCTGTTAATGTATGTACAAAAACATTGGGTTTCGTTTATTCAAAGTCAGATACGACTTATTTGAAGGTGAAATAAGTCCTGGCAGATTATACTGCCATTTAGTAAGAATATAATATGTTATTGGAAATAAACAATTGGGAGCATGATTCTTACCATTTTAATTTATATGTTGACATTGTTGACTTGCTGCAGGTAGATCTCATTGCATTGTATAATAATTTATTTGTTCTTGTAACAACGTCTTAATGAAATGTGTATATTGATTATGGTATGGATATTTCGATGAGCATAGTGAAATAAATTCTCTATTTAAAGAGTAATAGTTATTATTAGTAATAAATGTAGTGTATGTAAATCTTCAATGTGAACAAGGGTGTAGTCTAAGAAGGGATTCAATAAATTTTGAAATTAGTTGAAGAAATGTTTATGCAATGAATGGGGACAGCAGGGGGAGCTTATGAACATTGATTGGGAAAAGAATTGTTACATCACTCCTAAAAATGAAAATTTTGCTGAATGTCTAAATGGGAATCCAACTTTGTTCTAATACTGAAAAATCTTCACAGTCACAATGTGAATTGTTAATATGTACAGTTTCATGTTGATTTTTATTGTAGGTATGGGAATGAAATGTAGCCGAGACAGGTGTGTTACGCTTGTATAAAGCTGTTCAGCAGTTGTAGGGACATAGTTTGTATATAACAGTAAAACTTATTATTAAAAACATTTAAGTATGTATTTCAAATACATAACACAAATTGTGACTACTTAAGAGTGTGGGTATGTTATTAAATCAAGAAATTGCTTCTGTCTACAGTGATGATTCACAAAATATTGAAACCAGAGTGAAAGACTTATTTTAATTTGTGTTCCAAAGCTGCTTTAGTCGTGGCAGACTGAATATAAAATAGTTACCTCTAAAATAATTAATGTTTAGCTAACAGAGGAGAGTCAAACGTAATAAAGTTCATTCTTATTTTCATAAAGATTGCATTGTAATACAACTAGGTATTAGTTGTTTATTTAAGAGAGTTCGAATGTAATAATTTTTTGTACTCTGAAGAAATTTTGTATGTAACATTGAAGCTTTATTAGGTCAATTTTGGTTTAGTTATAAAATAGGTACCTACCTCTAAGTGGTCATTTATAAAAAAATTGGACCTAGAATAATTTGTGTACTTTATTTTAAAAGTACTGGCTGTATTAGAGAAATGATGCACACAACTTAGTTATGTGGCTGGATTGGACATTACAGCAATTTGTGAATTGCTGGTTTGCTATTACTAGCTATTGTGATATTCCTCATTGGGAATAGTGTATGTAAGAAATCTGTAATTTAGACAAAACAGTTGCATATTGTTGACATACATGAAATATTTTTCATTTCAGTAATTATCACAATAAATTGCCTCAAGTTTCTTTCTACTAATTTGTTTAATTGTATGCTACACATTGTAGGTACATGGCCTTTTCCGAGGACAAAATCCAACATCTCCCTAAAAAAGAAACATTTCATGGAAGACATGATTCTATTTTTATGGGTTATTTATTTTATATTACAAGTTCCATATTCACAATCAACAAATAATCGCGTAATAATGAATAACTAAGAATTTAGTACTTTCGAGTTATTTTATTATCAACTTAATGCAATATTGACATTGTATGCCCATTCTCAAGTGGAGCTGAGGCTTCGTGCAGGGTTGGCTGTTGGAGGTTCTGCTTTAATGTCCATACCTGAAACAATAATACACTTTATTTACGAATCTTAATACAATCTTTCATTCCATAACCAGTTACAACCAGAGGCCTCATCTGCAGTATAAGGGTAAAAAAGTGCAGAGTTGTAGAAATATACAATTCTTTGTATCTAATCCTTTTTATGTGAAAGAATATTAATATTCATCATCAGCCTGATTTCATCCACTGCTGTACATTGGCCTCCCCAATGGCATATGATTACTTACAAGCATTCATATTTATAATATTGCTATGAAGTAATATCAAGTTAGGATATATTGTTTCTGTTGTGTGAATCAAATGAGTGCAATATACCAATAACAAAGAAACAATTTGTGAGAATACCTACATAAATGTCATGTGTAAAATTGCTTCACCTACTTTAAGGTAGGTAGGCTCTTATAAGAATAAAAATTAAATGGATTTACTTACTTCTGGAATTCCCACTCTCTGTTGTCTAGAGGGCAGACTTGCCTGGTTTTGAGCCAGCGTGAGATGCAATGGAAGTGAAAAGCATGCTGAAATATAGAAAAATATATTGGTGACAATAATTCAATTGGTAAGTTTCAAGTAGAAGGACTACACTTACATTACAAACACCCCAAGCTACTGTGCATTCTTCACTAGTTGCTGAAGCCTGGTTGGCTTGGCATTCTATGCACAGATCCATAATATGGTTGCGGCAAATCGCACAGTTATCGACCACAATGTCTGGAATAGATACAAACAAAAGTAAAAGTGAATGCATATGAAAACATTTGCTGTATCAATATTCTTAAGATTTTTCTTACCCCAAGCCCACAAAGCGACAGCATTCCACTGAAATAGATATAAAATCGGTCAGGAACAAATACAACAACAAAGAAGATATAGCGCACCGTTACAATGAGTTAGCGTAAATGTATAATTACCTTTTTGACTTCAAATCTTTTTTTGTCGCCTTTACCACTACTTGAGGAAGCCATCTCTACTTCTTCTTCGTCTACATCCATTACAGAAGCCATATTTTATTGAAATACCTTTCTTTTTAAAATCTAAAACGAGGAAATGTTGTACACAAATTTGACAGGGATGACAAACGCCCGAGGTTATGTCTATTTATTTTTTTCGAACCAAGATGACGGAGTTTTTCGTGTTAGGTATTTGGCTTTTAGTAAGGAGCTTCGAAGTCTATGGTTACTAATATTAAAATTAAACATGATTAAAGTTTTACTCATTCTAAATAAATCCGAAATAGGTGATTGTCATTTGAAGTGAACGAATAAAAAATAAACTATCGTCACCACGTTTGGTAGTAAAAATCATTTAAGTAGACCGCAGAAAGAAATTGTAAATTCAAAGAAAAGAACATTAACATTTATGTAGATTTATATCCGCCGCAGCAAAATAGTTAAATTTTGTTAAATAGTGATCAACATTATGAGTAATCATTATAAGTAATCAAGTGTCAAACTCTTACTTACTAAAAACCACACCGTTTATTCTCTTGTCGTAGTACATCATTGCAATTGCACCTGCAACATTGGCTGGACTTCGGCCTCAGGGGCCCCATTTAGACCATATTACCCATCTAGCTCAGCTTACGGTTAGCAAAGATCACCTCGCTATCCCCGATGCCCGGAGCATCTCTTGCAGTTGCTGGAGCACCCACAGCATGCCTCTCACGTGATTTGCCTCCTCCTTAGCTAGAACGAGTGCTTCGCAGAGAGGCTTCCTCAGCTCATCTTCCTCCGCACGACTGGTCAGTTCCAGGACTAATGTTTCTACGTGTTCTCGAACAACAGGTGTAAAATACCACAGAATTTTCGTACTCCTGTTTGGGACAGGTATTTTAACACGTTAAGCAACATGGCCACATGGGGGTCACCGGTGACCTCCGTTTATGGAGGATTTGCCTTTAACAGTTTTCTTTCGACAGTCAAAGGCTTATTCTAAGAAAAAATAAAAGGAAATTTACTCTTAACTTTTTATTGTACTTAATCTAAAAGTAAAATCTAAAATTTAAGTGTGGGAGAGCCATGCTTTGGCACGAATGTTTGGGTCGACCGGAGATACAATGGAAAAAAATCACAGAAAACCACTACGTGTGAGACAAGTGAGACAACCACAGCGTTGTGTTCCACTCTGTGTGAGTGAGGTTACTGAAGGCTCAATGCTTTTCCCTCCTCCATTCTTCCCTTAATCCTTAAATTTCCGTAACCCTAACCACTACTCTTGGTCCATAGGCGGCGGCGATTGCATACCATCATCAGATAATCCGTAATGTAATTTGCAGACCAAACAAATAAAGAAAAAATCAAGCGGTAGTCGCTATAAAGGTACCATAAGTCTAAAAAAAACTACAAATGAGAATAGTTCAGTCCTTTAATTTATTTTCATGTTAATTTTTAAAATCTAGGCATTGTGATGATTTTTTAGTTCTATGTCGTCTAAATCCATGTTAGCTTGTCTTGTTCTTTTATAGGAGTTCTTCCAAATTTCATAGAAACACACTGTAGCTTGAAACCGGTAGCATACAAGAAGTGGAACTGATACGTGTGTTATGAGGGTCCAAGCCCAAACTCCGTAGAATTCCATCTGTGAATTATTGATTAGAGAATTAAATTAATGTTGTCCCTTAATGAGGTATGCATCCTGGTATGACATCATTTTGACAGTAAAAGTAAGAGTTTAAGTTTAAAATTCCACGATAATCTCCATTAATTTAAGAACTAGTGTAGATACCAATTATAGATACAGAAATTTATAATTGCATTAAAAGTCAGATAATAGATATTTCACCTGTAAGGGATGAAACTCGGCTCTTGAATTTTTCACTCGATTTATTAGCCAAAGAGCGAAGTTTCCGACGAGAAGGAACGTCACTAGTTGGCGACCCGGTCGTTGCCTGCCCGTGCCGGCACATCGGCGAGACCAAGCGTCCAGCACCAGTAGTGTCTGACAGGAACTTTGAATAACGGCACACAGAGGGGATATTATCCTGTAGAATGTAATACAGAATGAACTACAACTATAGACTATGATGTTGAAATCATTATTTTTTGTAGCATGGATGTTCTGATGCAAATAAAAGTATCTAGGATAGTTACTTATAGTAGGGGAGCCCATGAAGGAATTTCAGTAGTTACTCGAGCGCGTCAGATTAACATATGGGGAATATTTAGTAACCTATTGAATATATCCATCATACACTTAATGTAAACAGAGGAGGGGGGGGATAACAATATAAAAAACTAACTAAATTCAGTCGTTTTCGTCAGATTAGGGGGGAAAAGGTAGACGTCATGTCAAAGAAAGGGCGTTTAAAAAATCTGCCGATTTCATCGTCGTTTACAAACAGCAATAGAGTTTTGAACGGGTCCCGTTTCTATCCCCTTAGTTAGCCAACCCCACCACGCAATTCGGCAGATTAAAATATTTTCATTGTCAGAGATACATGGAGAATATACATTATTAATATCTGTCACGCTCGTGCAGTAAAACAAAAGTTACACCTCACAATTTTGGAAAACTATCATTCCCCCCTTCACCGGAGGAATGAAATGTCATTGAGACATTTTTTCTTTCTATCACCAAATCTTCAGAATCCAGTTACTCCCTACGACGCTTGAGTAACTACATTTAGCATCCTGGGCTCCCCTACTATTATTGTTTATCACCTACGTATATTGGTTACCTGGTTGCTTGATTTTCTCCAGAATATTGCTGTATAAAGAATCCAGCCCCAATAATTTGAAACAAGTAGTATAAATAAACTCCACACTGTGTGACCAGAAGTAGGGCGTGTTCCAATGGTAACGTTGAGACAGCGCGCTTTAGCGGCAAAGTTCGCATCCTTTGAATACATGCTCCTGAACCAATAGTCATGAGCAAGAATAGGATTGATTCCCAGATGTTTATCTAAAAAAAAAAAAAAAAAAAATGAATAACAATAAATAACTTCTAAATTAACAATTGTTGAGAATAAACGCATGTTAATAAGTTTACCTGTAACAAAGCTAAATTCATATGCTCCTGTTTCTGGAACAAGCCGTTGAACAGCATTAGACTGACAATAGTCCCCGCTAAAACTGCCACTCCCATGAATAGACCTTTATGTGCACTCCCACAGTCAACAGAGAAATGGTTATTTGATTTGGCTCGAGCGCAGCATTGCCGGTCTTTGGCAGTCGCGGGTGGTGCAGACTCTTTTATCGGTTTCTGGAAACGTGATCAATAAGTAATTCATTGACCTAATTAATGTTCCTGCTCTGATGCAGATTCTCGGAACCAATTAGACATGTGCGGTTGAAAAGTAGGTCGACGATGTAAACTGAGAAGGTAATTAATTCTCTAAGTAATCTAATATGAGCATTTTTATGGTAAGGTATGTATTCAACTATTTGTCGGAATAAAAAGAACTTACAGATCCTGGAACTGTGCAGATGTCGTTCCAGATAACAACGATAATGATTGAACACAACAGACTGTATTCTACACCGCATGGTCTTAAATACGGATTGACACTCCTGATGAGAGGGGTGATCATCTCAGATACATTGCAAGTCCATACGTTGCTGACATTCTCCGCTATGATATTAGACACGTTTAAGGTCGTATTTGATATGAAGTTTTCGCTGGTTACATTGGCTAATTGATCTTGAATGTGTGTACTATTTTCTAATGGATCTCTAACAAATATTTTCGAAGCACCAGTTACGTTGGCATATCGGATAAACGCTGGCCGGTCGTAGGCCATAACTAAAATATCATCTCGTGTCTCTTGAACGACGACGTTGAGCCATTCACATACGTTCGTTGCTATTAAGTGCATGAGCCCAAATCTGTCGAGAACTACGCCTCGCATTGGATCCAATATCTGAAAAAAAAATTATAAGCACAAAAACAAAAATAATATGAAAGAAATAGTACTAGCTTATAGTTGACAAACAAATTTGTGCTAAAGGTGTTTTGAGTTCAAAATATGTTTCGGGGTAAGTTAACGGTATCACCTAATTCAAAATTATCAAAGTAAACGTGATCACCCCAAAATTATGAAGATTTCGTAAAACTTGCTCAACTGAGAAGCCACGATGCGGTTGAGCACCAATTAGCAAGTGATTAGTATAATGAAGACTGTAAAATGAACTTAACCTGCCTCAAGTCTCAAGCCACGAAACACCGTTCTCGTACCTGACATTTAAACTTCCAGCTTGCTATACTAAATATTAATAAAATCTAAATTTCGTCATTAAATATAGACTAGATTTCAATATTTATCATATACTCCAATTGACATGATGTGTCATGTAAAAATTATGAAGATGTTTAAAATGTGTTAGGTCAAAAATTTTTCGTTTCTACAAAGAAGAGAGTAAAATGCTCTGTGCGCAGAAGTTTAAAGTAATTCATACTTCAGAACATGATCCAACGTATGTAGGTAAGCTACTAAGTGACTTCTCACAAACGAACAACGAAAAGGTGTAAACAACATATCCACAATGGAATGTGATACTTAGATTACGCGAATTGTTGACATATTTTTCTGGTAAGTTCTCTTCTAAGAAGTATGTTGGATTTTTCCTATGGGACAAAAGCGTTCGCCCACGGTAATGGGTGTCTGTATGAAACGTGGGTGGAAGGCGGCAAGTAGTCGCTTACCTTTGCAGAGCACATTAGACGCCATCTAGGTTTTATTATTTCACCATAGACTGTAATCTGAACCTATTGTTTGCTCAGAGTCTTATTGTTACCATTATAGACATATTACTTAAGGTGTAATAGTCTTATTTTAGTTTTTAAGCACAAAAGAAAACTGGCATTGTGTTGAATATATATTTCTGATATGCATTTATGTTCGTTTAACTCATGTTAAGCAGGGGTGTAAGCGTACGTAATGAAAACTGTTTGTTAATTAGCGGCCCACAAAATATGAGGAGGCGTATAATAGTGACTTCGTGATTTTTTACTTAGCGGCAGTAGATCTGACGACTGTAGCGGTCAAGGTGAGCAGACAAATGATAGATCTACTTCTGGCTTATCATCACACGTATTTAACGAATGAACGGTACTAATTCGTATAGATAGAATCTGCATACTACATTTTTGGATTCGTTAACTTCCATGATAAATGGCCTGATGTGAATCCATGTAGGTAGTGTGCACTTGCTATTCATGTGCGTTTATTAAGAAAAAAAAAACATATTTGTGGTACCATTAAAATGTTTCATAACATTATTATCCAATTATTATTAGTCCAACTTTATTATTAACTGAATAATTACCTGGCTAATGAATTATATTTGCATTCTCAAAAATTTGCATTTTTTTTATTACGTGCAGTCATCGCAAATAATAGTTATATTTATAGTAATTATTTTAAATTTAATTTTAATCTTAGATCGCGTGATGCATATCACCTCCACATTTTTGACTTGAGTTAATAAAGCATACAATAGCATGAAATAAAAAATAATTTAGAAATAATTATTTTTAAGCTTTCAAAATGTATGCTAGTGATTACTAGTTTAAATGAATGAATGAATGAATGAATGAAACTGGAAATAATTCAAATCGTAGGTACCATACAATACAAAGGTCTTCTCAATCAAACACGAAGAAAAAAAAAGACAAAATATCCATAAAATAATTAAAAAAAATAATAACTTACATCTGTATAAGAAAATATAAAGACTGTTTGGGCGACTAAGTATAATATCCTAAGGGCTGGCTTCATAGCGACTATAGCCAGTCGGCAGTCGCCTGAGAGATCAAAGTAACCTCCGAACTGCAGACAAGAGTAGATGATGGAACCCACTCCGAACCCTGCCACACCCATGTGCAGGTAAAAACTACCGTAGCGGGTTCGTTTTACATTCTCTGAAAAAAAAAGTTATTTCCACGATCAGTTTCGTTTCATGTGACAGGTCGGCAAATGATCATTCGGATTGTAAGAATCAGCGCCGCCCATGGACACCCACAACCACAGAGGTGTTACGAGTGCGTTGCCGACCTTTTGGGAATTAGGGCTTTGGAGGATTTTGTGATTGGGGGAGGGGAAGAATTGGACCTCTGGTAACCTCACTTACACGGCAAGAAATTTCAAAACTAATTCAGATTTGTTTGATAATAAATGAATAAATCTTAAAGTTGGCCCGGAGATTACTTTGCCCGCTTCTCATGCAAACCTGGCATCAACTATCAACGTGACATTCTTAGAGTGTTACGTAATTTCTAAGATTATTTAGGTACCAACTATATAAAAGAAAACCATCGTAAGGAAACCTGAACTGATAATTAGTACTTAATTATAAGTTTGAAATCGTTGATCCCCTTTAAGCACACTATATATATACACACTTCAGATCTTATAAACACTCTTCTTACACTAATTAAGGAAAAAAACAGAAAAAATAAATGTTAAAATGACAGATCTTACCATCCTTATCCCTTTTAGCAATTCGAAGATGATAAAAGGTATACCCCAAGAAGAGCATACTGACTATGTATAAATACATAGTGAACACCTGCAACACGACAAAAAGTTAAAATATCCTTTATAATTCATGCATACTTGTAATTGTTAATTTCATCTCATAACAGACGGGGCCCTATAGTTCAGCCGGGGCTGCGGGGTAAGCGCAATAAGACACCGCGACCTCGGCCCAGAGCAGGAGAAGGAACAGGGGGATTTTAGTCAGTAAGAGTCTGACACTTCCTCCCGCCGCTGCCCTGGGCGGGAGAAGTCATTTGATGATTTTCCCCTCACAAAAAAAAACTCATAATTTGTCTCGTAACTATCGTAGCAGTAGCTCGTAGCAGTGCTACGGGATAACTACGGGTTTGCTACGAACCTGAAGGAATGGCAAATTTCAAAGTTTTGGTACACGTATTTTAAGTTATACAGATAAATAGTTTTCCTGTTGTGAGTCAATATATTTCTTTTATTTGTTGTTAGTGTTTTTATGTTCTAAATTGGTGTAATAAACAAAGTACTAAAACTTCAATTAAATTTGTATTTAAAATTAACATAAATGAATATACTCTCAATGCTCTCGTCTTGTATGTAAAACTGTTTGTTGACTAAATATTTACTCACAAACTGGTTTTTCCAGAAAAGTAATTTAAAGTAATAAAAATTATTTAATGCAATATTTTCGACGAATCAATGCGCTGTTTTTTTGTGTATGTTTTTTATTTTACTATAATAAGCTGTATAATCAAATACAACATAATTAAATTCATGGAATATTAATTGTTAAACAGAACGATATACTTACATCAGATATAACATTAGTATAAACTTCATTCTGTATGGTGCTCGTTACAGGTAACGCTATTCCTAATACTATTAACAATTTAGCATAAAATGCTGACAGGACGACGGTCATCGATTCGCTGGAACAATATGATATATCGAATCAATTAACGGGAAATAATCTAAAACATGAAACGACTGGAAATTAATACGCTTCTAACAAAATTAATGAAAACCGTCGCGGGATATTAACGGGAATGTTATTATTGTTTAGGGCTGCGCAGACGAGAGACAGAGAAAAAAAAACTTTTCTACTACTTCTGAATCTTTTTTGTAGATAAATAGATAAATTAATGTCCCTGTTCTATGATAAATATATCGAATAATTCACATAAAGGATTACGATATACAATCTATCCACTAAGATTTAGACTTATTATAGTAGATTCAAATTCTCAGTAAATTTTCTTTAATAATACCAAGTTGATTTTCATACGTGGAAAAATGTCCCTCGTTTGCGCAAGCCCTTATGTAGGTTATCGGATTAGGTATTTTAGTGAATAGTGCATCGTATTAGCTAATTAATTGCATACTTGCTTGAATTTAACGTTATTTTAGGGGATTTGTGAGGGCTATTTTGCTGTTGATAACGAAGCCTTTGTCTATTTTGAAATTAATAAATTCAGTCGCCGTCGGCGTGGTGCCGTCGTGATTTAGATTGTGTTGATTATGTGGTGACTTCTCATTACATTCTTCATTGGTATTATTTAAATTCTTTGTGACAGGAAACATATGTTTTGCATGATCATGCAATCCTGGAGTAACGGTATTGTTGTTTAAGTTTTTAGTTTTTTCCAAATTGAAAATTGTGAAAAATGGCAAATACTTTCTCAAGTACAAGTAGTATTTTAAGTTTGCAAAAAAATTGAATAAGTATTTTCGTATAGTAGTAGTAAATATTAACACCTTTCTTAAACTCATTAACATAACCCAATTTTAAACTCGTAAAAGTTCAATTTATGCAAGTTAATAAGAAATGTGTAGGCACTTACTCGCCATGCGAAAGAGGTTTTCTTCTTGGTTTGACTGGGGAAGATATGTGTTCCATGCTTGAATTAGAACTGGCTGGCATCACCACGCTCAACCGAGGGAGCGAGTGTGGAGGATGTTCTCTGAAAACAAACAAATTATTTAGTTAATTGAGTGAGTCGTACACACATTACCACTTCTTCTAAAGAGAATATATAATCAATTAATTTACACAGCAGTAATTCGTCACTTGCTAAGGCATTGTGGCGATGTAAACCTTATACTTGGAAATCAAAATTCAGATTTCATCACGATGTTTTCCTTCATCGTTCGTCATCGACTTGCCAGGTTTCGAACCTGCCCCAGAAGTGGACCTGTCATGACTTATTTAATGAGTAAAATTAATAAACTTAACATGCTTTATAGTTAATCACAGGCCAGCCTTGACAGGTGGCAGGTGGACCATTTATATAGGCGAAGTCGTGGGGAGACTATGGTTGCAAGATAATATGATGGATCAGGAGAAAAAAGGCTATTGTTCAGTAGTCTTCTGGCAAACGATGATGATGAAGATAAAAAGATTATCAGTGTATCATACTCTTGGCCACAAAGTAACGAATGTGAAATTACTTATGCACATAACAAAAGTTTGTTTTCTTTGTGTGAAATTCTCAGACCAAATCAATTTGGTATCCGAAACGGAGATACAGCTAAAAGCAAGAAAAACGAATCGGTCGGAAATCAAGCTCTACCGGGGAAGTACTACACTCTAATTTAGTCTATTAAATATAATAATCACTACATCATGCTTTTATTTAGCTAAATATTAGTAAGTTGACGTATCGCTCATGATTCATGAATTACCAGTGACCATTGAAAACATCCCAGCGAATTCAAGTGACGATTCAAGTGATATGTTTTCAATCACTCACCACGTCACTCACTATCCGCCGGATGACTAATATTCAGCTAAACACAAGTCTCAACCCTACGTTTGGTAGCCGACTTAGGGGTCATAGTTAGGTCACGATTTTAGAGAACGCTCCTATAAATCACTTGAAGTTAAGTTCGCAGTCTCCGGACAAATCTGGGTGAACTTGTTTTCATTAACTACGTAATTATGCATCATTTTTAGTCTAGTGATTCTATAAAGGTCTTAGTGTGTAAGCTTCCTCGTTAAAGATATAAATAAAAAACACAAAAAGTGATTTATGGGTTTATAAATTCAGTTTCTTAGCAAAAGAATAAAGTTAAACAATGAGATAATATCGCACGTGTCATTGTTCGTGTAACAGCGGCCACTTGCAGTGCATATACCATGTAAACAGGCCCAGACGAAGTAAAAAAACTAAGATAACTAACACTAACACATATACAAATATGTAGGTACCTATATTGCAAGCAAAACTGGATCGATCTAGATATCAATAGGAAGGCCTTTGTTCGATAAACTTCGGTCTTATAGCTTGTGTGACAATAATTAGAAAACGTTGAGTGCAAAAAGTTCTTGTGTTTAATATTCCTAACACAAACTTCTTTATATAACTCTCAAAAAATCCTTAAATAACACGACACGACACGGATTAAATGAACGTAAACATGGAACAAATTCCGTACATAATAACATTAAAAGTGTTATACATAAAGCGGTGTCGATTTATCGTTACACTAAGTTGTTTTGTTTGAGCAAGCGCTTATCTACTAATAGTGGGTTTTAATGAACCTCCACCCCTCACCTTTCATCTTCAGGCACCTCGATGAGGGGTTCCGACGTCCGACGCCAGTCCCTCGATGCATTTTGATTAGATTTATCTTTATTTTTCGTCATCAAATCCTTTTAATCACTTTTAGAAATGAAATACACTTTTATATATAATATTTTTACGAGCCTCTTTCGTCGAAGATGTTGTGCTTAGTAGCGTGTATCACCAACTGTTTAGGATGATACAAAACGCAATGACATCTCGCAACCGTGTGAGTTAGTAATTAGTTTCTCACTGCGACAGGGTTGTACTTGTATTAAATATAAATATTTTCTTGATACCATTTAATTTAAAAAACTTATTTGAGTAGTTTGTGGAAAAAAGTAAAATTTTTCGACGTAAGAAAATTTCGGTATATTTCAAGAACTTTCCGGTAGACAAAAGCGTGAGTCATTCTCAAAGTAAATTTCGAGGCGTTATGAAATAATTTGTTGAACAAATAGTTTGAAGATTATTTTTAATGTTGAATGGCTACTGGAATCTGAGTTTTAAAGATAACAGTGTATTTTTCGACAGGTTTTTTTATGTGTGTTGAATAAAAACGAGATTGAATCAATATTACGTTTCATTTCAATGTAAGCTGTCGGGCCCTCTGATGTATAACGGGGACATTGCTGACCTGGTTACAAGTAGGTAATTTCATAACGATTCCTACAGGTGTCTATGGCGAGGCGATCAATACATGGAGATGCAACTAACAATCGCAACGCTTCATAACAATAAGCTCGGCTGCCTATAACCTGAACTATAAAGCTTTGTGCCAGTGCTCGCCGATATACGATGACAGCGCCAACTAGCGTTAACAATTGCTGTACTATCTGACACAGAATAAGATACTCTATGAAAAGAATTAGGTACTTAATACTGAGATCAAAAGTTCAGGAATGAGGTAATTAATTGGTGTCTTTCATGCATTAAGTATGTCAAAAAACTATAAATAAACAGGGATATTAAACATATGAAGGTATTTGATACAGAACAATTTATCACATTTTCTTGGTACCGTTTCTTCGTAGGCGCCAGTAGTAGTAGGGTTTCTATTGATCAAAAATTATCTCATAGTTATACAGAATAGAGAATACCACTAAATTAATAATTAGTCTATAACGTGACTACAGGTAAAGATAATGGCCCTGTGACGTAGGTACTCTGTATGTAGGGTATCGGAAATAGGACAAGGTTGCCAATCACTGACGCCTGAGAACGGCAATACCTAAATATGAATAATATTTTATAGTGAATTAGTATTTTAGTTTGTTATTTCTATAACGAAGACAGACATAAAATAATAAAAAATCCTATTTTCTGTTTATTAATTTTTTTTAGGAGAGCCATGCTTCGGCTCTAATGTGTCGACTCGACCGGGTCATACCAACTCACAGAAAACGGATATAAAACAACCACACTTTTGTGTTTCGCTGTGTGAGTGAGAATTTGCTATCTCCAAAAGGCCGGCAACGCACTCGTAACTCCTTTGGCGGCACCGATTGCTTACCATCAGGTAACCGGTCTGCTCATTTGCCGACCTATCTCCGGGCGAATTTTGAATCGGATTAGCAAAGTGATCAAATCTTAGATTAGATCTTAAACATTGGCACATGTCTGATTTCAAACGCTAAAATTAAGAAAAAAAAAACTTTATACAAAATTCATGCAATACACCGTACACACACAGACATACACAGCTGTATAAAGCATATACCTACGAGTAGAACTCACCTACATTAGTAAGTTATAAGTAAGACAAACGGTAATTAGCGAGTATGCTAAGTGGTTGTGGTGGGCACGTTTTCTTTCATCTACGTATATCTAGACAATATCTGTACGTTAGTACATATATCGTGATAAATTCTTATAGAGATGACGTCATTAAGATTGGAAATACGTCAGGCGTCATTAGAATTGGATTGTGCTGTATTTCGTTTAAAGTGTCATACGACAATACAATTGTGGAAGAACCATGCTAAGTCACGAATGGGTCGGCTCGACAGGAGTTATATCACGGCCTCACAGAAAACCGGCGTGATACAAACACAGCGTTGTGATTCGCCGTGTGAGTGAACGCTACCTCCAATCTCTAACTCTCACATACTCTAATCCCCACAAGATCGGCTAAGTATTCGTAACTCATCCTTCGTTGCTGGTGTCCATGGGCGGCGCCGATTGTTCACCATCAGGTAATTCGTCAGTTAGTTTGCCGTGCTACCACATAAAAAGTTTAATGTTGTGAATGGCACAAATAGGACAGAAAAGGTTTTAGTTGAAGTTTGTTTAACCGGAGTACTAGGTTTCTCACAGTTGTAGGTGCAGTCTTTTTGTGCAATTAAAAGCTTAAGTCTTCCAGTATCCTATTAGACAAGGCGGGAAGTATAAACTAAGTTTCAAAGTGGACATTTATTCTTGTAAGACCCTACCAAGACAATATTGTGTACCAGCTACTCAATCCCACCAAAAATCCGTGACAGTTTAGTGCTAGTGTAAACAAAAGAGGGGTTTGTCAAATCATATGTCTGTTTATCGATTTTTTTTGTAGCAACAGTCGTAGGACTTACTTAATTAATTTGAAATAACTACACATACTCGTTTTTTCATTCACTCATTCGTCATTATACTTAGGACTGAATGAATAAACGGTGCTCGTGAATAAGAGTCCTGTTGTGACTTGAAACTAGTAGAGTCTTTCTCAATTAATTACGAGAGTAAATCGTTATTTTCAATAAAGTTGTTAGGCTGGTTGGAGATCGTTGTTTAAGTATTACGTTTGTCAGAGAATGCTGCCCGGTCTATGTCAAATATGAATTCCCAAATACGCTAGTTTCCAACTAGTCAAATTCAATACTTTTATCCAAATGTCTAAAACTATACTTTTCTATTAAATTTGTATGAAAAACTGAGTTATGACGTCATAGTTTTTTGTGTCAAGTAGTAGTACTTTTTCTTAAAAAATATCTAAAATTCAGTGTATCGATCGATGAATAAAAGTATAGTTATTTTTCATCGATCTGTCGATACGTCATTAATATATTTTCGACACTTGTTACCCAATTTTTAAGAAACAAGTAAGCTATTTGACGCAAAATACTATGACGTCATAATTTGCAGTTTCATACAAATTTTATAGAAAAGAATCGTTTTAGATATTTGGAAAAAAGTATTGAATTTGACTTATTGGACACTACCATATTTGACACTCGTGTGACAAAGTAATTATATACATATAATATATTATTAGTATTACTCTCCATTAATAAAGACAAGGAAGGTTCTAGAATATACAGGTACAACACTATTCATGTGTATGTTACTATAACATGACCTACTTCGGAAGTATGAAGTTGCAGCCGGAGCCCGGTATACTAATAGGAATGCAACTTTGATTCTGTTTATAATTTTCTAATAACGCAGTTCTACGTTCTATGTATAATTAATATGAAATTAATGAAGTCAAAAGATGTGTTTATTTTCCTTGAAACTACGGACTTAACTTTCACATTAAATTGACCCCTATACCTTAAAAAATAAAACCACTTAGGAAACTACTTTGGTCCACATATTTTTTTGAATCCATAAAGCATGCATGTACCCTTTAAAACAAATAACAAATGACAACTCATCAGTGACATCATGCACAACATGAAAAGGAAAACAGTATAGCGCGATCTCTCTTTCTTCTACCAGAACTGCTCTACAAACAAATGACAAGTCAATGACGTCACCCTCAAAATGACAAAGAAAAATAGCGTGTTCTCTTTTTATTTAAATGAAAATATTTTGAACATTAAAAATTAGCATACTACCTTACTTTAAGTCTGGTACGGCGTCGACCGGTGTGTTTTTTTTAAATAGTAACGATGGAGTTTCTTGCTCGTTCTTCTCCATTCGAATCTACAATTTGGAACAAGCACCTAGCTTCACTGACGAACAGACTGATAGACTACTATTCTATTTTGACGTTTCAAAAGTATTTTACCTATTTATGGTTTACCTAGTTGGAATAAATGATTTTGATTTGATTATGATTTTCACTTTGACTTTAACTTTGTCATAAAAAATATTCATAGAACCGCGAGGAACTACAATTAAGAGTGTAGCTAATATTTATCTTATGCTTTCCAAAGTTGTTACAAAATCCTCTAAGAAGAATAAGCCCAATGAAGCTTTCGAAATAGCTTAATAATGATATATTTTAATGAAAGACTAAATCCCTATTTCACTTGGTTGCAATGTTAATTGAGTGTTTATTAGTTAAGTGTAATGATTCAAATAATTGCATCGTGCATATTGTATTCATCTCTTTTTCATTCATCGTTATTGTATCAGATTTTATTATTTACTCCCATTTAAAAGTATAGTATAATGACTGAAATAGTCAGAGAGAAAATAAGTCGTTAAAAATAAAATAAATAAAGCAGTAGCTCTAAATATTCATCTGTTGGTCGGTAAGATGTTGTCCTCATGGGTAATTAGCGTCGACGGTGTCACTTTCAGACGGGGTTCCTAACGAGGTAGATGTATATATGCAGATGCAATACTGCACGGCTTTCAGCCATCTCTAAGCGATTAATTAGTTTTCCATCTCAAACGCCTTACATGGCGTTTTTTCTGCGATTTCTGCTGCTGTCATATTTATCTTAAGATTTTTATTTATTAAGCTTAGCTAGATTAATTTTATTAAATATCTGGTTTTGATTTTGTTAAACACTGTTGTCATGTTCATTTTTATTTAGTGTCTATTTTTATTTTTTAAATATTAAATATATTTTGTACTTTCATTGTCATTTTTGTAGTTGAATAAGTTCATATTTGTGGGCTGCTATCTCTAGATAAAAAATTGTTTTTGCAGACTAGTTTTTTTTTGACACCGTATCAGTTGTTAAAAAAATATATTTATTTTTGTACCTGCATAGTAAGCAATTTGATGTGCAGACGACATATACGTATACCTATGTAGTAAGACTGTATTATGCATTATTTGTTCAAATTAGATTTAAATAACTTTTATAGGTACTTTGATTTGATTTTACACAGAAAAGTCAAGGTAAAACTTAGGAACTCTAATTGTTACAGAAGTGTATACGAACCTATTATGACGAAGTTTTCTTTCCAAAGTGGTGCTGGTCTGCCTGATAGGGTGGTAGTGATGGGATCCATGTTCGTAACATGTCCTTGAGTCCCGCCGATCAGGTGCCCTAGGGATACATCGATAAATGTAGTTTTTATGTCTCGTCACTATTGTCATCCCCGACTAGACATTTCCTCTTGAACCTGTTTTTTTTATAGGATAGGTGTACAATCAAGCGGTTGGTTTACCTGATGGTAATCGGTAATCAGCGCCGCCCCATGGACACACGTAATACCAAAGGAGTTACTACAAGTGCGTTGCTGGCCTCTTGTGGGATTTAGGGATATTGGT